TGGTTGGACAGTGCTGTGTTATCCCAATTGACTGGAGCCCGTGGGGAACTTATTGATAGGATGACGCCTGTCGTAGAGGAGAATAAGTTCGGTTGCCTCCGAATATACGTAAGAAAGTAGTCGGCTGAGAGCACAGACAATGCTGATCTCGGCGATCCGTTGGTGAAATTCTTTCTTTTTAATCGTATGGGGTTCCTTGTGGAGAAGGAGTCCCAGGCAGACATATCTTTACAGAAAGGATCCTCCACCCGAGGCCCCATCATGTGCCACGGCAAATGTTGCTTTTGAGTAACAGGACGGCTGGAAATTCGATCGGTCCATGTTGAGATGGACTACTTCTCGTTTGACAAATGCTTTGGAAAAGTTGGATGGAATCCTGAAGGCTAGACGAGACTGGAACTGCGCGACAGATACACCGCCGTCGAAGACAAAAGATCCAGTGAGTCGAAGGCGGTGAGCATCCTGGGTAAGCTGATGGCTTGTCCGGGCACGAACCACCGAAATTTGGAGGTCAAAGTTCGAGACGCGAAGTCTCTCGCCCGACTCTGTAATCTCGTTGCGGGTGAGGGCCAGGTACTGGTGGATTGAAAGTCGGAAAACTGTCCATTTTCTTTGTCTCGCATTGCTGATCATTAGTTGCTAGGCCGGGCTCGATGAGGTCGACCAGCCGCTTCTTATGTGGCCCGGTGGATAAACGGAGGATCTCGGTACCTGCGCAAAAAGAAGGATGATAAGAGTTGCACTGTCTTGGAAGCTCTCGGCTACCACGTTTGAGAGTCACAAGTGAGAATCTCTCAACACATATCATTAGCGACCAAAAGCAGGGGGACAGAATAGTGGGGAAGAGTAGAGTTCCAAGCAAATCGGGGCTGTACAGGAGAGCAGAAATACCCCTGCTTCTCGAAGCCTTCCTCGGTGCCACCTAATATTAGTCTTCACGCGTCAAATGCAAGCACTTTGGCCAAGTGTGGTGGACCCAATCTGTGTGTGTCGTGTGTCTGCCGGGAACCATTCTTTCTTCAATGAGATCGAGTTCCGGTTAGGATTTCGGCCGTGCTGGTGCCATTGTTTATTCATGTGCCCATTGTTTCGTGCTCATTAGCCGGCGTCGGAGGGTTTTAGGTAAAATACCCCGCGGTCAAGGCTCGAGGTCATCTAAGATTTCAGTCCAGTGAACACGAGAAGATGGAGTATGGTGATTGATGCATATTTCGGAGCAAGCCGCAATCATTTTCGTCTGGATTTGCCCCCATTATCGAGGGCCTATGTGACACTGTTGGCTTGGGACTGCTGGTCGATCCGGAGGCCTCGGTATTCGGTTTGTCTCAGCTTCATCTCCGTCCACGCGTTTCTGGGGAAATTATTTTTCTTTCACCTTCCTGATCGCGTGTTTGCTGCGTCGCATTCACAATGCCATCCGAGTCTATCATCAAGCTGTAACAAGATTACAATTACAAGTTCCTGAAGAAATGGAGAGGTGAGAAATCAGCTGGACTAACCTCACCGGCCTTTTCTGGTCTCACCCCGCATTGATGTCCATGAGTGGATATTCTCAAATCAAGAATGAACGGTCAAGGCGTTTCATGCGAGTCTGGGTTGCGCAGAAGCGTAGCTGCCTGAGTTCTGAACCACTTAACAAATCTAGTGCATCAGCAAAGTCAAATCGCAATTTGTTTTATGGAAGCAAACGGAAAATCTTTGTAGCAAGCAGAGTCTGGCTAAGCAATCCCATCAGCGGAAATGGGCCAGTGAATATCCTTCCAAAAATATTTCGGGATATCGACTAGGTGACGAAAAGGAGACCTGCAGCGACGGAATGCCGCTTCAGATGAGCAGGCCAGAAGCGGCAAGGCTAGTTGGAGATTGACAAAAGAGCTGCAGACTCGAAGCGACTGGCAGTACCGTCTCAGCCGTCAGCCGTGTCGGTACTCCAACAGAGTCCGCCTGGAAAGTCATGGCCATTTAATAATTATGGGTCCGTACTGTACCTGAGAGAGATAGGGCCAGATCTCAGAGATCTCAAGCAGAGCACGCGAACAGGGGCATCGCCATGGTCTATCCCTGCGGCAAAAAGTTGCACAATCCTGAAGACCTCCGAAAGATATGGTAACATAGCCGGCAGGAAATGGAGTATAGGGGTGATTTCGTGATCGCCGTCACTTCAAGTCGTTTGATGGTATCTATGACAATCATCTGTACCGGTCAGTCCTAAGTACCTTGCTGAATAAAGTCAGCCTGTAGCGAACAAGACTGGACAGGAGAGATTCCGTCCGGAGAGACCGTACATATCTCACGTCAATACGCAGGGGGGGTCAGGTCGATGATGGCATTCGAAGTCTGGTTCTTGCGATGGCCATTCGCTCAAGTTTTCCGGTCAAGTTTGGCCCCGGGCAGCTGGCACCATGTGGGCTTGCATTAGAGCAGGTAAAAAACCAGGAACCTGCCCACCGGCTGGGCCAATGGACGCGACCTGACACGCTTTTGTGAAAATCACCGGCCGCGCGACCACACCCCCATGCTGATGCGCTGGACGGATACCAACTCGCTCGGTCTCGTACGGGTAACTGGAAAACAGGAGAAAAGAAAAGTCGATGCTAAGTCATGAATCAGCTGTACTCCGTAACTCATACAGAGCATCAGGCCAGCAAAGCAGGATACGGAGGAAATTATCAATGTGGTTGGACTGAAAGACTGGTTGCTGTCGGGAAAAGGGGAAGGAAGAAGTTGCAAAATGGGTTGGTTAGTGAAGAGCCAGTGCCCAGGGAACCCTGAATCCTTAGCTAGAAGAGCCTCATGGTTAGTCTGGTGACCTGTGAACCATCGTCTTCTAGGCCTCGGATCTCTAAAAGCAAGCCTGGAAACGACCTGTCTGAAGACCTGGGCGGTCAACCGTCAAATCAATCAATCGGACAAATGAGCATCTGCCACAATGGAGGTCGCAAGTTGGCCTGGAGAGGTCGAATTTGCGGCTTGATATTCACGATGCACGATAATCTGATACAGAAACTCCTGCGTATGGTAACATCTCCTGTAACTTCATGATTGTAAGTTGCCCGCGTCAGGCTGTTAGCCTTTCCTTCCTGTTGTTGGGTGGTTCCTGGCTGATCGTCAAGGTTGGTTGGCCCGTTTGGCTCCATTGGCCGGCGGCGGGCTGGCTTCGCTGTCTCGCAATATCTCAATTGCAGCGTCCTGCACGTCGTTGTCGTCCGCCAAATTCAGCGTTATCCCTGCAAGCGTCTGGGCTGGTTGCTGCACCCAATCACTCTGCCAGAGTCCAGCTCACCAGCTCCTCCTGACAAGTCCAACTCTGTTGCTCGCACACTCCACTCCTCCACTCAACTCTCATCGTTCATCTCGACCTGCCGTGTCATTCTCCATCTCTATCTCCTGTTCCTCTGTCATTCCCGCAATCTCCATGAGGCCTTGACCTCGTCCTTTTATCCTTTTCTCTTCCCTTCTCCTCTGTCGTTGGACGACAAGATACACCACGATCCTTCCAAGCATCTCCCATGTCCTCGACTCTCCTATTCCCTCCAGCTTTCACCCATTCCTCCTGACTGAGCCTTGTCCGAGCTCCTGTTGCTGAGCCTGATCTGCTCTCCTTACCTGCACTCGTTTTTATTTTTTTGGTGCGGAACGTTCTGGATAGCGTCCTGCCTTGGGTAATAGGAAGCAGTCAAACGACACCCCGTCGATTCAAGAAAGGTGAGAAGCTTTCCTTTGCTTCTGGCTGCCGAAAAAAGGAGGATGTCCATTGGAGAGTCAATTTGTCCAAGGTCTCGCGGGACCAACGACATCTTCTTTCCTGAATAAAAGAAAGGAAACAACAAAAGCTTTCAGCTCTGCAACATCAGCCCTGAGAATCTCAACATCATCATCTGATGTCCAAATTACCGGTGGCTCAGCGTCCTATTTCCCTCATCATCGCCGTACACACGGACACTCCCTAGCTGTCGACTGCAAGTCCCACTGTGGATAGACGAAGCCCTTGATTGGATGACACTAAAGAGAAGAATCAAACCGATCTGCTTGAGAATTGTGAGAAAGTCTCCTGAACGAAAGGGGTGCAGTTCTGCTCTCATGTTCAACCCTTCAACTGAGAGACTCGTTCGATATCAATCTCATGACTTCCTCGAGTTCATTTTAAGGGAAGGGAGGACGTGGTTCCAACCTCGCTGCAAGGAACGGAATTTAGACTCACTGGAGCTCTGAATCGATATCTTTACCCAAAATCTGGAAAGCCCTGTTGGACACGGATGGACTTAGCTTCCCACTCCTGGAGACGCTTCTTCTGCCTTCCTCTTCATTTAGCCAAGATCATTCACTGACAGGGTTCTTAATCAGACTTGCATCTCGCAAAGCTTTCGCCTCATTCCAGCACGGCAAGGTCAAACGAAGGTCTAGAATAGTCAATGTGTTTCTGGAAATTCTAAGGTCAGAGGGTCTTTTATCCCCCCTACGTGACAGACACTGATCTCCATTTAGATCCAGAGTGCAGAAAGCTGGTATCCTTTTTTTTTTTTTGGTGGTCTTGTCGCCCACATTCCTCAACCAGAGCCCAAATTCAAGCAAGCGGAGGCGTTCATTCGACCTTCGCTGCATCTACGCACGAGCAACTAATCTGCTTGCCATTCCAATCCTTGACCAGATGCAGCATTCGTGCTGACCCCTAGTAACAAGAATTGGTTCAATCCTGGTGCCGGTTTTCCTCCCTTTTGGTATGCTCCGACAGAATTGTGGCCTATCGTTATCTGGAAGCTAACCATCTTGCGCACGGCTCCAGTTTAAAAGTCACTTCTCGGTCCTTGGTTCCTGGCCACCTCCAGTCCTTCGCAACAGTCGATTGCGTCCGATCTTTTCACTACTTTTGAAGTTTACTCAACGACAGCCATTCACTCTTATGCGTCGTTAACTTCACCCTGCTGGCAGCAGAAGCCCCGTTTATCTTCTCTCTTGCTCAATTCTGACCTAGATTTGTGTCACTACCCGATAGTAGCGGGATGGCTTTCAACAACAGGATCTCTTCATTTGGCTCCACGGACAGTGGCTATGAGAGTGGAATTGTCGAGGTCTTCGGTGAACCTTCTTGCCCAGTCATCAAGAACCCCGAGCAAGCGAAAGAGATCGCAAGACATCGGCAACACCTCATGGCTTCTGAATTATCAAGACAAGACGCAGACGAATACCAACAAGATATGCTTGAGCATATGCTGAAGATGGCCGTAGGTTTTTTTTTTTAAAAGCTATCAATGAACCTTTGAACTAAGCATTGAACACACAGGTTGAAACGACGCCCGATGTCGATGCAATTGATATTCAGACAGAGATTCAATGGTTCATGCGACCATATCTCCTCGACTTCCTCGTCGAAGCCCACTCAGCCTTTCAATTACTTCCCGAGACCTTGTTTCTCACCATCAACCTTCTCGACCGCTACTGTTCCAAGAGAGTCGTTTACAAACGTCATTACCAACTGGTTGGTTGCGCTGCCCTCCTTATTGCCGCCAAGTATGGAGACAAGAAAGAGAAGGTTCCCACCATCAAGGAGTTGAAGTCGATGTGCTGTTCGCTCTACGACGATGACATGTTCTTGCAAATGGAATGGCATGTTTTGTCCACCCTGGGCTGGGCCATTGGTCATCCCACTGTCGACAGCTTCATGCGTTTGGCAGTCAAGGACAATGTCTACGATCCGGAGACCGAGAGTCTGACTCTCTACATTCTTGAAATTGCCCTCTACCACCGAGATTTCGTGTCAAAGCAGTCCTCGACTCTTGCTCTCTCAGCTCTTGTCCTGGCACGACACATTCTGGGCCGGCCTCAAGCGCGTGCCGCCGAATTTGGCTCTCATTTCTGCAGCACCACTGTCATGGAACTGTTACAGAAAGTGCACGAACCCTCTAGCATCTTGGCTCGCAAATATGCCTCGGTTCGTTATTCTGGCGTTTCTCGCGTCCTGACCAACTTCCTTGCTCAGAAGGCTGCCATGTCTGCTCCAGCGCGGACACCACTGACACCTACCTATGAGCTCACTCCGCCCTCCACCACTGCTAAGCCGGCAGGACCAGAATATTTCCAAACACTCGCTACACCTCAGAAGCCTCAATTCCCCTCTGTGGTTCAGCATGGTCTCTACACACCTCCCATCACCCCCGAAGGAGAAATGTTCGGTGTGACTCAAAAGATCTTCAGTGCACCAAACCAATACGCCCCTCCCACTCCCACTCCTAATACAGCGGGCCAACAAATTATCTCTCAATACTCATCCTCGATTCAGCAGTGGAACGGCGAAACCTTTTAAAATACTTTGCTTGGGGAACAGTTCCGACCTGAAAACATAGAATGTTGCTCGCCCAAGCTTTGCTTCAGCCCGTCATAGTCTATCAGCGCGCAGAGTGTTCTATTACACGTTGTCACTTGTGAGATTATTTTTGCATTGCAAGCGCCCTGTTCAGCTTTAAAACCTATTTCGTCAAGTCATGGGGGAAAAAAAAAAAAGAATATTCGCAACATTCGTTTAATTCAAGGCGTGAGAAGGTGATGTTACCAAAATGGTCGGATTCCCATTTTCCTCGACGATTCATGCTTGAGTCGGTCGACAAGGAAAACAAGTTTCGGTTTTTGTTATCGGAGGCGGAAATGATCCAATGGTTCAAAAATGGTATGGGATGGAAAGGCACAAAATTGTCACTGCTGATCCCCGACTGATTGGAGAAATTGTTTTTTATTATTTTTTCCGAAGAGGTAGAATGCTCTCTGGACTTCTTGTATTTCAAGAGAGGGAAAGGTCCAAAAAAGGGAGTCTGTTGGCAACGATACGTTGCCTATGTGCAGCCTGGTTCTCGACTTGACTCGAGTCTTTTGCCGGTTGTTGCCGACTGATTTCTTGTTCCTTTCAAAGAAACAGAAGAGAGGAGGAAAGAATACCCAATACTATCTGTGTTGTCTTGTCAATGCGAGCCTAATCCATGCATATCATGTCCTTTGGCCCCTTCCCCAGTTCCGGAAAGAATCAATGTCTTCTGCACAAGATGGATCTTAGAAATGGCTTTCTTCCTTTCTCTGCAATCTGACTCTCAAGACCCCTGACTCTTGCATCGCACTTTTGCAGGCAGACATGACTGCCAAGGGAGACAACAAAGAAGGATCGAGAGGGCCGCTCGGGCTCCTGTGATAAAGAGAGAATGCAGACGTCTTTATATACTTACCGATGGATTATCGCGCATGCCTCCGTACATGGGCGGCGAGGAATCGACAGTTTCTCCACCCAATACGAGAGATGGCCTCCGCAAGACATGAATGGATCGTCTGCTGTCTCATCTGCTTCTGAATTGCTGCAGAGTCCTGCCGCTCTGTTGTGCTGCTGTGTCGCAGATCTGCCGGGAATGAGCGACTGAACACAAGACATTGTATTATTCCAGGGTATTGATCATCTCTTCTCGTCTTCGCACAGGGCTCTTCTTGAGCATTTGGTTCGACCTCACCGTGCGTAGGATAGAGCCGAAGACGAGGAAATGAAGAGGAGAGATGGTTGAAGGTAGGTGTGCTGCTTCATGGCTGCTAGAGCACGACCTCTGTTTTGAACCCGCTATGTTTTCAACCGTAACTTTCTCGTTGGTAGCATGAGCCAGACAAGACCAAAAAAGGATGCAAATGACGTCGAGCCCAAGTCAGCAACTAGCGACGGACTGGGTAAAGAGCCTGGGAGGGTGGAGAATTATGTTTCAAGGACCACATGCGCCTTCGCTTCGTTTCTCGTCTGTTGATAGGTCGTCGAATAGCCTCATCGCTAGGTACTTCCCCATGTTTCGATTTTCTTTGTCCTCCAGCTTCGTGCTTCTTTCGAAAGTTGGGGCGGGGTCAACTCGGTTCCAGGGACAGAAGATCGAAGTTAGAGTGACCCAAAAACCTGACAACCAACCATGATGAGACAGACCATTGACTCTCGTGAACTCGAACCAGACGACTCGCATGAGCGTATGAAAGACTTGGGCAAACCACTCTATTCCCTTGATCCTAGCTCTTCTGTTGCCTCCGTTATGAATTTCCTTCTTCTCTCTCCTGTCCTTTCGGAGATTCTACTCTACAAGCATTCACAATCTCTGAATCACCACAATGGTCCGAACGGCAGATCCATATTACAATCGCAAACCTGTCCCTGGTATATACACTTCCTTCCTTGAATGCTGAGACGTCGGTCACATAGATGAGCTGATCAAGGACGTGGGCATCACTGGTCTATCTCCAGAGGAGGAGTATTGGAATCGGGAGAAGAAGTATACCGCGAATGGACCAGATGTGAGGCGCTTCAGCAATAGCAGGAAGGATGGTATGGAGCCTCTCGACGATCCCTACTATGGTCGAAAACCAGTTTCGAGTAAGTTTTCGATCGATCTGAATCACGTTCTCTCGAGATCGAGAAGCTAGTCCCGCACTCACTATTCAGAGGCCGAGATCGCCAGTGTAGGAATTACCGGTCTCACTCCCGAGCAGGAGTATTGGAGTCGGGAACGCAAGTACAGCCTCACTGGCGTTGATGTCAGGAAATTCAGCAAGAGCAGAAAAGGGGCAATGGAACCTCAGGATGATCCGTACTCTGGACGCAAACAGGTGTCTGGTCAGTCTACATTCACCCCTTTTCGGCTCTCGCAGACAAGACAAGGTTGGTCTAACCATCACAGCGGCCGAAATTGCAGGCATCGGCGAGACCGGCATGACTCCAGCCGAACAATTCGAAGTCCGCGAACGCAAGCAATCCCTCTTCCAACTCTCGAGTGATCCTTTCGACGTAGTAGTCGGTCGCCATCGACAATCAGTCTCAGGCGTCGCAACCGGTGCATCCGCAGCAGCCACTCGACGTCGCAGTTCAGCTGTTGCCCCAGACACAGCCGCGGCGGCTACTATTCATCGTGGTTATCATGGCGACAAGCTTGCCGCCATTGAGAGCAGACCCGAGATCCCACCAGCGAGCGTGGTCGACACTGCCTTTGGCGAAAGTGGTGCTGGTAGCGGTAACACGTCGGAGACGTTGAACACGGACGGAGAACATACGACACACCACGACCCGGTGACCACGGGACATGACCGTATTCATAAACATCATAACGACCAAGACGACGTTGCTCCACATGAGATTCGATGAAATCCTGAGTGCTGATTTTTCGAAGAGGGCGGGGGTGAAGCGTCGAATGAGGCGGCGGAATGTTTTGGACTGAGTTGAGAAGCACATTAGTACAAGCGGTAGTCATTCCTGATGAGATCCCTGGTTCCGTAGTGGTCAGAGGCAGAGGAAGAAGAGGTCTCGAGAGATGATAGCTCAATAGGGTTCCTTAGTTCAACGAGGTTCATCAAGACTTTCTCTAGGAGTCGTCCATGAATATTCAACCAGCGATCTGCCATAAAGCGAAACACCTGTTCTGGGAAGGTTATCCATGAGAGACATGGCCTTTTTACGTCGATCATTATCAAAGAATATCTCATTTGTATCTTTACCCCAGCTCAACACAGCGTCCTCCAACACATCCGGCCTGAGTTGTACACAATCCTCACACCGAACACGCAACACGTGAGTAAAAGATAGGCAACCAGCTCAATGGGAGCCCAAACGCACTTGACGCATTTGATTAACTTCTTTCTAAACCAGGGTTTGCGGGGCGGACGCCAGTAAATCGTCAACTCTCTCTCCAGACAGATGGGACACTGAACCGGATACTGAAGCTCGGGATTTTGTGTCTTGAGATGCGGACGGCAGTGGTCGCAATACAGACAGCTGCTGTCCTCGGAAGGGGACTGACACCAGGTCTCAATTATGTACTGGTATCTGTCTTTCTTGCTCATGGCGTCCCAGCGCTCCTTGGGCAAATGTAGCTTCAGATCCCACTTGGGATTCTTCTTGCAGCGCAGCCTCTTGCGGAAATATTGCTCGTCTCTGGGGAGGATTCTGCGACAATTCCAGCAATACCGCAACTTGTCCTTGGGGATCCAGCCATGGGCTAGGCGAATGGTCAGGCTGTAAGATTCAGGTAGAAACCAGTCGTACCGTCGGTCGGAGAAGCGTGACCAGGACGTGGGACAGAGGCGGGGAGCCGACAGGACGGAAGAGGCCAAGGGCTTGCATGCCAGCGCGAGACAGACACGGTCGACGGGATGGAGGATATTGGCGATCTCGTGAATGATTTCGGTGGGTAGGCTGGTTATGTTTGTCGGCTTGCGAGGGCGAGGCGGGGAGGGAGAGTTGGTGGGGAGGGTATCTGCTGGGATGGGATCATCGTTGAAGTTGTTGGTATGCTCTATTATGTTGTCGGACGGGCTTTTCAAGTCCACCTGACGGATTGATTGTGTCAGAGACATGGTCCTAGACAAATTACGAAGGTCTTGCGGACTCACCTGCGGAGGTATCCGAAGTAAGACCAGACGGTTCTGGTCATCACGAGGCCAGCTCGGTGTTGCAAGGGGAAATGGTGTGGCCTTGCACGACCGTATGGGCATAATTGTATTCTCTACTCTGATGACGGAGTAGCCGTCTGGTTCGAAGGGTATTTTGGTGAAGGAGGAGGAGGAGATTGACGGACGTACAGAGCCTGAAATGTATGGTCGCTGGAATGAAGCCTTATGACCATTTTACCATATCACGCAAATATGACGATAAGGCTGGGCGATGTGGATGGCCGGTTAGGCTCGCCGTGCACCACGGTGCAGTGCAGTGGGAGGAAGGACGAGTTACTGTAACCTTCTCGGTTGATACTTGCTGATGCCTGGCATGGGGCATTGAGGCTGCGGTGCGAGTGAGCTTGTTGGCGGAGCTGTGCCCCAAGTCTCCAGCGCAGGATGGGAATGGGTAGGCTCAAGCTGAGATAAAAAACGCCACTGCACGGCATTCCAGATTGTGAGGGCCCCCCTGCCACTGGTAGCTAGAAGCCCATGGACTTTTTGGGTGCCTGGCGTGTGAAGAAAGTGGTCGAGTGGCCGGAATACTGGTGATCACTTTAATGGAGATGCTTGGATTGAGCTTGAAACATGCCAATCCCCAAGACGGTTCACCAGTCAGCGTATGGCGCGTAGAAGCCTGGCAGGCCCATGCATTCTTATTGTTGCAGAGAATGCTTTACGCAGCTCGCTTCCTGGAGGGTGCCTGCGGAGGGGCAGATCAAATGATCAACTGAACCCCGCCTGCCTAATTGCCAATGACCTCCAAGTGAATTGGCTGACTACGGCACTACCTGACGAGAAAGGCAAGGCTAGTGGCATGGTCCCGAGTGTATACCTGCACTCTTCCTCAACCTCATATGTCTTCTTCTCTCCCTTCATGTTCTTACGGCGTAAACAACACCCACTTTAACCTCCAGCATTCGGCCTATGGCTACGTGTGCTAGATTCTATTAGCACGTTCCACATTCCATCTTGGAAAGAATGAGATCGCGGTCCTCGATTGCTGTATACGGAGACCGGGGGCTGATGCCAATCATGTCCTAATCCCTTCATTGTCTATTTTGCGTTAACATATACTTACAGGTTTTGATGTTGCCTGTTGGAATCTCCTTTTGAGTGTTTCAAATGTCGCTTCTACGCTAGCCATCTCCGGACTTCTCTTTCTACCTGCCAGTCATTGATCAAAGCGGACGGCGTCTAACCTATTTGATGATGTCTACGATCGGCTCGGGGCGACTTGGAAAAAGAGATTGGAGGATAGGTCCACCACAAACCTTTCACTTGCGGTGACCCATTTCAATAGCCAAAAACCATGGTAAAGCCGGACAGATGCCTGCCGTCCCAATGGCGGCTCCGATTTTAGTCGACCGAGGACGAGAGGAGTCTCCCCGGTGAAGTTCTTAGTGAGGTGTGGAATTATGTGTGTTCTGAGATTAATACGGTATCCTCGGAGCTTCTCGTTACCGCCTCGTATTATGATGACCAGGTCGAGTCAAAGCAACCGAGCCGAGCTCTTGGAGTCGTGGAGTTTTGGCCCGTATGTGACATGTTGTCTATATCTGTGTCTGTATCTGTGTCTGTGTGGGACCGTGCCCAGTATTTGTATTGATAGATTTGCTTTGCATAGCCCACCTTGAGCAGCTCTGGCCGAAAACGGGATCAAGATGAATACGATCTCGGTCCACATTGGCACACTTTACATCCAGTCTTGTTTCTCGCGATTTCTGGGGATATCGATCTGGATCTGGAACTTTGGAGTGAACGAACTGTGGGCTCGAGTGTGGTACATTGACCCAGACACGTGGTACCAGGGAATCAGAGTTCAAAGGACGAGGCCCTATAAGAACTGGCGATATGAGTCAGGGGCCTGGCTGGCGAGTGCCACAATGTCATTGAGGCTGGAGAACCCCTTCGTCGTTGAGGCTTCAGGGGAAATTGGGAGGCGGTCCGTTTGGGACAAGAGAGCGCCAGGCGAAAGACTCCCATTGGCCAGAATGGCATCAAGGCCGAGATTAAACTCCACCACAGCGGTCTTCCTCTCTTCACCGACACACAAACAATCGCATACCCTCGCTTGATCACTTGTTCAGTTTCAGGGCTATTGTCTGCTAGACTCTCCTTCCGCACATTCTAGTTTGCCGCGCAAAACTCTCTCTTCTCGTTGAGGCGTTGGTATGGAGAAACCCCCTTCCGTTGTCATTCTCTCAGCCTAATCAGGGGTCATTTTCCATGTGTCCATATGTTCCGCCTCGCATTGGTTCTCAGTCCCCAATGTTGGTGCGTCCTTAGGTCAGTTCCGTCTCCTTAGCCGATTCGATCCGAGTCTCTGGGAAGCCAAACCTTGGTCTTCTCCATCTCCCATCGAGGCGCGCCTCTCTCAGACCATCAACGGATACGACCGAAATGTAGGCAAAGGGCCAGGAACGGCATGGCGTGATGCTGTGGAATATACTGCACCAAACATGCGTGGTCTTCTCTTTCCTCTCCCTTCTCTTTCTTGTTCTTCGTCGCCATCGTGCTCTCGTTCGCGTTCCGTAGTCATTCGTTTAATATGCCTTCCTCATCATTTTTTCTGAGGTCGAGCACCACACTCGCTTCTGCCCTGGCTTTGTTTTCTGCTTCTGTCTCTACTCTTTCTTTGCCTTCTACCACATATTATGCGTTGGATACTGAATATTCGGGCACCACCTTTTTCGACGGCTTCAACTTCCAAAATGTAGGTGGAATGGGCCTTGGTATCTCTTGCCAGGCTGAATGGATTGGCTAATATAAATTTTAGACTGCTGATCTCAGCCATGGGTTTGTGACGTACGCGCCGATCATTTTCCTCTTCGAAACCCGAGCCAAAAGCTAATCATGTTGAACAGCTATGTTGACAAAGACACGGCAAAGCAGGATGGCCTGATTACTTTCGATGGAGGGTCTGCGCAAATGAGAGTCGACTCTGTCAATACATACGACGGCAATGCAAACTACTGGCTCATCAATGGGGTTGGTCGACCGAGTGTGAGGATTGAAAGTGCCAAATCATGGACTCATGGTCTTTTTATTGCCGACATCAAGCACATGCCCACAACGAAGACGAGCAGTGGATGTGGCACCTGGCCTGCATTTTGGACTCTGGGTGATGGGACTTGGCCTTTCCATGGTGAAGTCGACATTGTTGAGGGTGCCAACAACCAAGGCACTCTCTTGTCGGCAGCTCATACTGGCAACACTTGCACGGTCTCACAAAGTCCTCTCGAAATGACGGGCACGTCAAATGGTAACAATTGTCAATATGATGTCAACACGGGCGCAAACGGCGCTGGTTGCGCTGCTTTCGACAAACGGGACGCCAGCTATGGTCCCGATTTCAACTCTGCTGGAGGTGGTGTGTATGCTATGGAATGGAAATCGGATGCCATCAGTGTCTGGTTCTTCCCTCGAGGAAGTGTCCCATCGGATATCACATCTGGAAGCCCTAACCCGTCAGGATGGGGATTGCCATCTTCAGTCTTCAATGGCCCCGACTGTGATATTGATGCCAACTTTGCCAACCACAGAATCGTTTTCGATACCACATTCTGCGGTCAGTTACGACTTTTATCAGATTGGACCATCTTTATTGACGGATACTAGGTGACTTTGGCGATGCTACATGGACCAGTGGCGGATGCTCTGCTATTACAGGCGCTTCCAAATGTTCCATCTACGTTGGCAGCAACCCAACTCAGTTTCAAGATGCTTTCTGGGACGTCAACTACGTAAGAGTCTATCAATCCAAGGAGAGACCAGTCACTACTTCCACCACTTCGACTACCACGACTACCACAACGTCGCCCACCAAAACAACCACCTTGGTGACCTCCACGACATCAGCAGCCTACACGCACACCACGACCACTGAAGAAACCACCAGCAGCAGTTCCCTTGTCGTTGGAGGTACCACTTCTAGCGTGCCCCATACAACTTCGACCAGCTCATCTGTCGACCACGTGACGACATCGTCCTCCCGGACATACGCCAATTCGAGCTCAACAAGCGTCAGCACGGTTGAAAGCACTACCAACCCATCCACCTGGGAAGATTGGACATCCTCGAGTTCAACCACTCCATTCGATCCGATCAAGACCTCGACCTCGTCAACTGTGTGGGATGACTGGACGACGTCCATTCAGCCTGTCGATCCTATCACCACCTCAACATCGCCATGGGCAGTTTGGGAAGATGGGACCACATCCTCCAGCAAACCAGTTGATCCGGTGACGCCTTCGTCCTCGACAACCAGCGCGGTGACATGGGGGGACTGGAGCGATCCAATAACCCACACCACCGTCACCATCACGAGTAAGTCTCCCTTGCTCTGAACCGAATTGAATCTTGAGCCCCGTCGTTTCAACCCACTGACTCTACCTTGCACAGAAACTTGGATCGAACCCTGTTCCACAGGCTTCACGACTAAGACAACCACCGTGGTGGCTACACACTGCGGCTGCACCAATACGCCTGTTCCCACGATCCCCATGACCGTGACCACCATCACGCCCTCGGCAGGTTGGCCATTCACCATGCCTGTCGTCGTGACCGTGCCTGCCCATCTAGGCGTCAAGACCACTCCTGCCGCCACGACCTCATCGGCAATAGCACCAGTCTCCCCCGCCACGACCGTGGCGGAAGGAGGCTCTGGCGACCACCCCATCGTCTCGCCAGTCCCTCCTGAGGGCGAGGCTGCGAGCGCCAGCTTCGGTTGGGTATCCCCTAGTGTCACGATTGCGACCACTATGACCGTTGCTCCTGTTAAATCTTCGTCAACCACACCCGTTGTACCTGCAACTACAGGAGCCGAAACTGAACCTGGCTCTGGCTCTGGCTCCGGCACCAAGCCGTATGTGGCGACCTTCACTGGCGCTGCTGGCCGAAGCGAGCCGAGTGCCTTTGCGCTCCTCAGTGCTGGTGTCTTGGCTATTGCTGCCCTGTTGTAGGATTTTTGCTCTAGGCAGAGATAGCACCAAGAGGATAGATTCTTCGGATCTGGAAAGGGACCGAGAACATAATGTCTAACCCAAGCCGGAGCTCTCGGAATTTCAAACAAATACGGTCCGAGGGAGACAATGGCGGTGGCACTCAGGTCGTCGAACTGGAGGGTCCTTTCGGCGAGCTTGGTAGCCACGCCAGAAACCTACATATGGAATAGAGATATGTTCCTCGCATGTGTGGACGATTTGACTGATTCATGTTTCCGTTGCGGCTACTCTTCCGAGTCTTCTGACCCGGACACCAATATCAAAGGTGTTCACCTTCCGATTTTCGATCCATTCTCTTTTCAACTCGTTTTTGGTAGGGATACAAGCTTTGCCAAAGAAATCCAGGCTTTGAGCTGAGTCCTCCTATGAACGCGGTGACACGTATACGACATTCCTTACAGCTATATTCCAATGCCCGCATAAAGTTGCCGAAGAAAAGACAACTAGCTTTTCTCTCGGTATCTATAAAATGCCTCGCGAGAATACCGTCGCGTTTCTCAAGCTAACACCAACACCAACCCACCAAAGAAAATCAAAGTCATAACTTCATGACCTCATTTGAACAAGGTAGTCTTTTTGAGTCCCAGACAAGCCCCCTACCCTTCATTTATTCTTCCTGTTCTCCCAGCCGTTCATTGTGCGCCTAACTCCTAACGTTTTCCTCCCTGTGGTTGAGCCGGAAATCCTGGACGTAACCCAATTCTGTCCAATCGAGGACATACTCGTTCGATGCATCGTTGTTGCTGGTCGGGAGAGTATATGATTTTTGAGTGGTGTCGCTCCAGTGCTTAGCTTTGATGAATCATGAATTGGCGCGAGCTGCTTTGCGCCCTCCACGGGGATTTTGATACTGTCAATCTCACCGCCAGTGGTGGTCATCTGTTGATATCCCTCAGCCTCTGGAGGTGACGAACTATACAAATTGGCGTATCGGTTCCTGGCATTCGTGGTTATTTCTTTCAATGGAGCAGGGCGATTGTGAATCATTCCGTTGCAAAATTTCAGTCCGTGTTTGGAAAGTTCTTTGGGAATCCCATCCACACCTATGGCTTGACTTGCTCGACTTGGAGATGAAAGTGTAGATTTGGCACTACGATGCTCTTGTTGAAACACTTGAGGAACCGGTGATGGCAGGGTTGGCTCCGGTGACTGTATCGCTTGGGACTTAGGTTTCGAGAAGAATGAGGTAATGTTGCCCTGCGCTGATGCCGATTTTAATAGCTTCGGCTTCTTCTGTGGCGGCAATGGGCCTGATGAAGATCTGCTCTGGTCCGGAGCACTCATTTTCAGCTGGTGATTGGCAGTCGTAAAGCCTAGTGACATGTTTGAGGTTGAGAAAGCACCAACACTACCCATGGTGGTCACGATCCCATTGCTCTTTGTAGAATCTGATATCGGGTGGCTTCTTCCGAATGTAGAAAGTTCCGAATACCGGGATCTTTGAGCGGCAGCAATAGCCTCTGCTAATGGTCTCCCAAATTGAGGTAAACCCTGGTTTTCTGCTGGTATCATTACAGTTGGTCGGCGACTACCATCACCAGGCCACACGTCGTCCACTTGGCTTTCACTTGCCGTCATGCCCAACAAGCTTTTCGCGAGGTCCTCTTGCGATGGCAATGGGCGACGAAGAATTGAAGCTGTATCTTCAATCACCTTATCGTTGAAGAGGGGACCGGTTTGTGCTAAGTGGCGATGGATTTGAAGGGGCAGAAATGGAGATAGAGTGGACTCAATTTGGTCTCGAGATTGAGTCAACGGCAAAGTCATTGTCAAAAATGCTTGAGCTCGTGTCATCGCAACATAAAGCAAACGTCGTTCTTCGTCGTTGTCATCAGCTCTTGAATGGGGAATGGAGCCGTCGTAAACAGCGGGAATGAAGACCGCCGGCCACTCCAGACCTTTTGCCGAATGAATAGTCGAGATGGTCACACGAGGTTTGTCATTACTTTCGTCAGACTTGTCCACGTCGGCTGATAGGACAATATTGGCTAGAAATCGAGCAAGAACTTCCTGTCCCGCGTTGGAAACTTGCTGCTCCAATCCGTCAATGTCGGCAAGTTGTTCCTCACTGGAAAGTTGCAGCAGAACTTCTGACGCATGATGAATGAGTTCTTTGACGTTCTCGAGCCGATCTTCGTGGTCTTCCTTGTATTTCTTCTTCAGATAGTTCTCCAGATCCAGGGATTTGATGATAAAATCGATTAAGTTACTGGGCACTGTAGCCGGAAGCATTGTGTCCAACTTCTGTCTTGCGGACTTGATGAGATTGACGAGGTGCCCGAGCTCTTGCTCAGCTGGCTTCGAAAGCTTCTCCGGTGACAAGTTTCCTGCAAGAACTTTTTGCACCACCGTCCATAGAGAGAGCTTTCGTTCTTCACCAAGCCTGATCAACTCTGCGACAGAGGTGTCTCCAATCTTTCTCGAAGGGACATTAATAATGGCCATGAACGCTTGGTTATTGTCCGGATGACTGATTGTGCGAAGATAATCGATAATGATTCTAATCTCGACTCGATCGAAGAATCGTTGACCACCGACCATGCGATAGGGGATGCTGGAGTTAGCCAAAGCCTTTTCAATTAATAGGGACAGATATGCCGATCGAAGAAGAATGGCAAAGTCCGAATGCCGAAGCAGACCACCGGTCATAGTCATCATTCTTTTAATCTCACTGGCAATCCATAATGCTTCTTCATTGGGATTGGGCAAACGTCGGAGGACAGGTTGAGTTCCATGACAATGTGTCGCCTTCAGCTTCTTCTGGGGTCGATTCATGTCCTGTTCTATAACATCCTGTGCAAGTCCTAGGACAGCTGATGCCGAACGATAATTTTCCTCCAGATTGATGACCACGGTTTCCGGGAAGAACGATTTCATCCGTCGTAGATTCTCAATCTCGGCGGATCTAAAGCCGTAGATGCTCTGATCAGGATCTCCCACAATAGTAATTCTCCTTTGAGCTGATGCCAGCAGTTTCGTCAGTTCGAATTGCACCACGTTTGTGTCTTGAAATTCATCAATCAACAATGCCTCAACATTGGATACACAGGCCGGAAATGCACGAAGAAGATCTACACATCGTAGAAGCAGATCATCGTAATCCAGCAGATTGGATGTGGTTAGAGCAGCCTCGTACTCATGGAAAACCGTGATGAACTCCTGCTGCTCCACCTGCTTCTGCGGAATCTTTGGTAAATCTTCCAATCTCTTTCCTCTTGCTTTATAGTGCGATATTCGGGCCCGCGCAGCCTTCGGGTCGATTGATAGGTTCAAGCGCTTGATTATGCGTTTGACGATGTTGTTACTGTCCGATGAGTCTGCTATGCCAAAGCCCTTTGAGATTCCAATGAGGTGGCCGTATGCTACCAAGTAGCGTCGACAGACCGAATGGAAAGTTCCTAGGACTAGCTTGGCCTCGAATTCAGGACCAATCAAGGCCCGCAATCTCTCTTGCATCTCTCGTGCGGCCTTGATGGTGAACGTGCAGCAGATGACATTCTGCGGGTTTAGGCATTCATGGACAACGAGGTAGGCGACTCGAGAGGTGAGTGTCTTCGTTTTGCCGGATCCTGGAGGTGCCAGAACCTGCAATACCGAAGCTTTAGAGGTGACAGCAGCTTTCTGAGCAGTATTGAGTCCCTGCAAGAGATTCATCTCCATTGCAGGTGGTGGCCCACATTCGAGACGCAAGAGACGCGCGACAAGATGCAGTGTCATGTGAGGGAACGCGGTATCGCCCGGGGGGTATTATTCTGTACACCAACTTTTGTTATTCTGTACACCGGAAAACCTGCTTATTCTGTACACCATGCCTCAACTCTCCTTATTCTGTACACCACCACCTCTCTCTCGCCTTATTCTGTACACTTAACGCTCTCATCCTGTTATTCTGTACACCGCGCTAACAGAGCTTGTTGCCGTTGGCCCGGCGATGGCGAGAAAACACTAGTAAGTGGCGTAGCTGTGGAGGGGTGACGCGTTAAACTCTCCCCGTTATAGGTGGTTGCGAAGCAATAAACACATTTGATTCCCTTTTCCTTGGTAGATAAGTACCGTGCATTTTGAGCTTCTCTGTATACTTTGTAAATTATTGTGGCCTACACAGCCGGATTTGTGTAGAGATCCCCTGCACGGTCGATACCTCGTGCTGACTAAGGTAACAAACCAGCGCCCATAGGCTGGGGGGTTCCCACCCAAGCCTATGGGCGCTGGTTTGTTACCTTAGTCAGCACGAGGTATCGACCGTGCAGAGGATACCATCGTTAACCATCATTTCTGCATTCTATATAGGCAGACTTAGGTGTTGTGACATCACGTATCTTCGAACTGCGCAGATAACCGGAAAAATAAAAATCCGGACCAATCAAAAGCGGTGTACAGAATAACAAAATGTGGTGTACAGAATAACATTACCCGTATCGCCCAGCATTCGCGAGGGCACGTGACCGCCGCTAGTTGAATATTTGATATCCGTCACACTATTGATCCTCGTCCTGCGTTACTCTTCTACGCAATCTCTCGAACCCAGTGGAAGCCGTAGGTACATCGAAACCGTTGCAATTGGATAGTTACATTGGATGTGTTTTGTTTGCCTGGTGCCGGATAAACCTCTATGGATATAGTTTGAAAGCTGCCCGGCAAATACATTGAACTTGACAAGTGATTCTTCAATCTTCAATCCAGCTAAATGGGTCAGGCAACTCCGTGACAAGACCAAAGAGGAATACCAACGCAGCGAGGCACTTGGACTCCAGGACAAGGCCTGTCGCACGGAGGTAAAGGAGCGCAAAGCTGCTGAGCTCCAAGTCGAACAGTTTTCCCCGCAGGAATATCACCAGAGAGAGTTCCAGCAGGACGCGAACATCGCCGGCTGATACTGGAGAGGAACGAATCGCCCGCCAGAGCGCTACCAAAGGAAGTCTCAGCAAGAAGCGTACATGGCCAGATGATGCTGAGGATCAACAAGTCGCCCGTCAGAATGCCGTCAAAGGGAGTCCCAGCATGAAGTGTAAATTGTCTGATGACTCTGAAGATGCTCAACTCGGCCCCCCAGAACATCACCAAGCAGAATTCCCACAAGTAGCGTGCATCGCCAGACGACACCAGGGATGGCACGCAAGAGGATGAGGACGGTGCAAAGTGCCAGAAGAAGGAGCCTTCCCCTGATCAGATATGCGTGGTGAGTGATGAGTGTCATTGATCACCGTTGTTCTCCCTATTCTGTGTTCGAAGTGCGTCTCGACGTCATCACCGGTGGGAAAATGCATGTTCGACCACGGAAGCCGTCGTTAGAGACGAAGTTTGGTTGACGAACGCAATAGGAGTGGGAGTTTGACGAATCTGACGAAGAAGCACTGCTAGCAAAGAGACGTTCTCTTACGTACGACTAGAATCAGACAAAGAGAATATGCCCGTCAAGAAAGCAGCAAAGGTAACCCCCAAGGCGAAACCTCTTCCCGATGCACAACAACCGGCGAAACCTACCGAAAAGAACAACAGGTCGTCAACGACCTCAAGTCCATCGAAGAAACCTGTCAAGAAAGTCAACTGGCCCCTGACAAGGTTCCCAAGCCACCACCGAAGAAAGAAGAAGTACCCGATTCCGGCTCATCGCCCAATTCGCTCTGGAGAAGATCCCTTCCGTACCCTCACTAATGAATTCTCGAGACCAAGTGATATGACACGTTTCACTCGCAAGTTGCATGATTCCAGGGGGCATACTTCGCGAGGCCGGTCGACGGAAGACATCCGTAAAGAACGAGCTCGGTATTTGTCACAGTCACAAGCTCGCAATATCTAACTTTGTGATTCCAATATCTCTACTCTCCGCTGCTCATTGTCTTCCACACTCGAATTGCAACATCCTGCAACAAAGGGTCATCCGCACCTACCCAATTCACAGCATAGTATCATCACTCAATGAGTTACATAGTCTCACTTTTGAATTTCGGTTTCGCGAATCGAGTATCACTTGCATCGACGGTTTCTTCCGGACTCTTTAAGTCTTGTCCTCGCGCTATCAACAACTTCCCCTGCAATCAATCTTTTTTCAGGTTTCCACATTCGGAGTACCGACGCGTTTTGTTATCGATTTTTATGGCCCCTGACACGAAGCGCAACGATGGGAGCCCATTTTCTGTCGGGTTATTGCATGTCAGCACGGGTTATCCGAATTTCTTTGTCTCTCAGCCTTGTTTCTTTTTCAACTGTCGACACTGGGAAAGCTTGAACAAGGACAATAGTTGGATTTGGGTATTGAGGTTGCGCTTGCGGAGGAATATTAGGGTTTAGGGAAAGTAGGAAATGGAGGATTGGGCATTCTGGAGGAATTAATAAAAAGGAATGGACTGGAGGAAAAGGCGTTGGAAAGTTGGATGCTATGGCATAAGGCATATTGGGGGGAGGACAGGGAGGAAAGCAAAGGGGTCGACAGCTTGACATGTCTTTGACTTTCACTGTGTAGCCTTCAGCTTCAAGGGCGATCAGAACCATTTTCACTAACTTCGTCTGCCTATGTTTTGGACAGATGAAAAGACAACTAGAAGACGGAGGAGAGGATTTTGTAACTAGGGCCTGGTGAACCAGCAACCGATGTCAGCTTTCACACTGAAACCCCACGTGTAGAGGACGCTATGGGACTGCGGCTCCAACTACGACTTCGGTAGACAACCGTGACATATTGTCTCCCTAATACAGTACCACTATTTCCCCTAACTTACTCCCTATTCCTCAAACATCACGTATCCTCCCGAACAGCAATTATGAGATTCTTCCCTTCCCTCCTCGCAGCGGCACTGTACCTCACCCATTCCGTCTTGTCTACTGGCCTAGAAATCGACTATCAGACCCCTGAGATCGAATGCACACGGAAGACCGTCAAGGGCGACAAGATCGACGTGCACTACCGCGGCACTCTGCTTAGTACGGGCAACGAGTTCGACTCCAGTTACTCGAGAGGAAGTCCGTTGAACTTTGAACTTGGTGCTGGTAGAGTTATCAAGGGGTGAGCGAACCACTCTCGTTGGTATACATGTCTTGTGTAGTCGAGGGAGGTGTACTGGGTGGTTTTCTCTTGCTGACCGGATTCGCATCATAGATGGGACGAAGGTCTGCTTGACATGTGTATTGGGGAGAAGAGGAAGTTGACCATCCCACCCGAGTTGGGATATGGTGATAGGGCTGTTGGACCGATTCCGGCGAATAGTGTGCTGGTCTTTGAGACAGAGTTGATGGGCATCAAGGGTGTGAAGAAGGATGAGTTGTGATGGAGGATATCTTGTTGTGGAGAAATGCACTGGTTGGTAGCTGCACAGGCCCTGTGTGCAGTTGAAGGATCGTTGACAATGACATACCCTTCCAGGCCATGGCTACAAAAGGGAGATTTCAAAAGCAAATTATGCGGTAGGGCCCTTTGATCCAAAACGGATCATTGCATGCGTTGCAGGCGCCGTCCTCTATCTTCTATCATCACTCGTTCCAAAGTGATATCACAAAATTTGCCAGAATCACCTAGGTTTCTTGTTGGCCGTCCGAAAGTCGAAAATTAGTCCATGCGGTCTAAACCGCTACTCTTGTCAGCAGTTTCTTCCTCTTCGCTCACCAGTATGCCGACGAGACATTCGCCCAGCATCCCATCCCAGTTAACCCAAGGATGTACCTCCATGAACAATTTAACAGCATCTTTCCCGGCTCCCCTCATGATCTCACCTGGCCCGCCAGGATGAAAGGGAACGTATGGGGTGATATTGTACACTTTTCCATGATATACTGTCCAGGCATCTCTTCCTTTCCGGCCATCCTGTTGCTTAAGCCGCGAAGGTGTGACCCGAATTAGGTTTCCTGGGGCGTCTTTGCCTCGCAGGCGACTCTTTGAGTTGGAAGTGAGGGCCGCCCAGTCGAGAGGCGAGTGGCCTGGTTCGAGAATAACCTTCCGCGAGACTTGCTTTCCTGGCGGCATGATTGAAGAAGTTGGGGCCGCGGACGCATTCGGAAGGACTTTCGTAGGTGCCCGAAAAGAAGCCGCTGCAGACGGAGGTGGACGAACATACCCGCTGCCAGGTCGAGCTGGTACTGACATGGGCATACTGCCAAAAGTGGGAGGTTTCAGACGAGGCGGACTTGATGACCTGTCCAAGACCGGTGATGGTGGCGGAGCTGGTTTCGATATCTGTGGTGTCTCTGGTTTGGGCGAAGGCTTCTCCACCTCTTGTGTGGTCGGGATGTCTGATTCTGCCTTGGAAAGCTTTACGAGGAGGGATGGGACCTTGAAAGATATCGGCTCGTCAGCTGGGGGTTCATCGTGGCCCAACTTCGGGGCAGGATCCCGGTCTTCTGTTTGATTTTCGACTGGTATATCAGGAACTGGCGCATGACTTAATTTGGTCGGTGGTTTTTCGTCCTTGGCCACATTCTCTTGAACGAAGTATTTATACAAAACATATCCAGCTATTAGCGTGCAACACCCTGCTGCTATCCAACCCATTCTCCGACCGGATCTGAGAAAATCGTCGTGGAAAAGGGCGCTGTTTTGAAACAGCGGGCTGATCGTGCTACCGACATGTAGCACTACCGTGTCATCTCGGAGGGTAAAGGAGTCGGCCAGAATTCGCTTGTGACCAGATTCGTGGTCCAATGTAGGTGCTGCCTTGAATGTGGAAAAGGAAGAGAAGAGGCTGAGCAGCTGAGAAAGGGAAATTCTTATGGCGGAAGACACGAATACTTCAAATGACGATTATTTTTGGGAATGCGGCGAAAGTCACTTCTCTATCCAAAATTCTCGATAACGCAGAGCTGTGCAACTCCCAGCCCCTCTTTCGTGTTGTGGAAGATGGTTTGGGAAATTTCAAAAGAGACGCTTCTTGAAGATATGGTGGCTAGAGTAACCATTGATTGTCCCATTGAGTCCGTTGAGTAAAGTTCCTGCAGGATGGTATTTGTGCTCAAGAATCCTAGGAGGGCCAACTTATTGAAAGCAGTTCTCGCCTATCTCCTCTCCTTTCCATTCCTCCATGACGAATGAATGAAGTCAGGACCCGTTCTCAAGGCGTTAGAGCTGGTGATCATAGGCAGAAAAGGGCAACTAGTAGGTGTGCCTGATTGGAGACATTCCATGAATATACCTCTAGGCTTTCCTTTGCACACTCTTTTTCATTGAGCCAGAGGCAAGGCAAGCGAGCCACCGGAAGGCGAAGCCGGCAAATTCTCTTTTCTCTTCGGTCCGTGCTGGTACACAGGACTCTTGTGTCTCGGACAAATTCCTTCCAGGTTCCATTGCCACTTGCTCTTTTACCTTCTGGCGGAGGATCTGGACGGAAGGATTGCCGTGAATGTAAATACCAACTCCGGAGCAACCAAAAACAGATGCGGCGATACCGTATATTACTTATATCACCATAACAAGGAATATCCTCGCCTACGATGAAGTAGGCGCCCCCCCTTAGCCTCTTGGTCGGGCTCTGTGCTACTGCCACTGGCAATAATTCATCCTCCGTCCCGCCGCCTGTTACAAGCTACATCTCGGGATGTGTCCCACGTCCCTGGTCAAACGACACCACTTGGACAGGGCCCTGAATCACTCAAGTCACCCCATCAGTCTCTCATCATTCTATCCGATCAAACCGAACAGCCCGCAGACAACCTGACGGCGGCGAAACGCCTTGCCTTGTCCTATTGCCCTAAACGAAATCGCCCTCATCCGTCCTGCACCCTGCAGCCACTGCATCCTCAGAAGCTGTAACTCTGTAACTTACGGTGGCCATCCCGCGCTCCGATCATGGCCTAGCGATATTGGTTCCCTGTCAACCTCGCATGACCATCCAGATTCCGGCCCAACTTTACTTCAACCACAACTCATCCGTCCTCATTTCATGATTTCTCTCTTCAACCTCGACTCGCTACAATCTCGTCGGTGACTCTCGGACGGCGACAGGAAAGGGATAAGCCTGTTCAATTTCCTCGACATCTATCAGCCTCGTCCATCGTTCTGGACCACCACTCGGTTCACTTGTCTCTCGCTGAGCCGCCACCTTGCGGGCGGTCATCAGGCAAACTTCCGGCAGCCGCTTCGCACACATTTGATTCCGAAACAAATTCAATTCCTGGCATTCTTTTGTCGCTAGACTCTACGTTTAATTTATTTCACCCATTGTGGAGTCGCCAAAATTTCCTTCCGGCGAATGGATTATCACTTCAGTCCCATGTCTTCACCTTCATATTACCACGACTACAGCCCTCCTGGATCTCAAGATCGCTCCGACCGAGAAATTCCCTCCGATGATCACAAATTCAAGCGCCGTCGACTCGAAGGAGATTCCAGCCCTCAGGGAAACATGGCCAACGCTTCTCGTCCCCCCAACATTCCGGTGTCAACGTCAGCCTCGCACTATCCCCACGTCTACGGGCCTCCTGGTGAATCCTTCACACATATGCCGATGAATGCTGGTGCTCTCTGGGAGGAGGATGCCGCTCTCGAATATCTTGCGTCCGGAACTGGATTTGCTCAGGACTTACGTACCGTGGTTCCACCCCTTCCATATACCTACAATCTACAGAGCCTTGCCATGGGATCTCGGCCTCCGCGGCTTCCTGAACTCACCAGTCATCCCGCTCATCCTCCTTCACGGCAACATCAAACAATTCCTTCCGGCTTCCGACCTCTGCCTGATGACTTTTTCCAGCACGTCCAGCTCGGCAGTTTTTCTGATGAGCGGCTCCGAGAATTTGCTGGCCATATGACGAATTCGGCGAGGTACATGATGGCAAGCCAAATCAGCCGAAATGCCTTTTTCAGCCACGACCAAAATCGAACCCCTCCCATACCAAATCAGGGCACGAACGAAAACCTCCTCCGTAGACGATCCCCACCAACAGTAGGCCCTTCTGGAAGGCCAACGGTCATGCTCATTCTCAGTCGAGCCACATCAGAGTCGATTGAAGCTTTAGATGAGCATAAGAGAGAATGTCCGGCCTGCCAACTTGAGTTTGAGCCAGACAATTTCATGGCTGTCATAACCTGCTGTGACACAGCCATGCACGCCACTTGCCTGTCAGCCTGGGTCAACTCCGGGACATACAACAAGAGCAGAACATGCATGAAATGCCGTCGAGGTATTGATGCGAGACGTGTTTTGAATAACGTAGTTCCTCCGGTCAGCGATAAGAATTGGGATGAAGTTGCCGAATTCAATGCCCCCGAATCTTTGAAAGGCGATGCCAAAATTGAACTCAACGTCAGTGCCCGACCTGACCGTGCGTCCTATCGACGCATGAGAGAATCTTACTATTCCAATTTCAGAGCGAGACAACCAGCTCTTCCCCTCCCGGATCAGGTCAGCGCTGATGGAAGACGAGCCATTGCACGATTGCGACAGGAACAAATGGTGGAGTCGGATGAAATGAGACATCGAGTTCGAGCAGCCTTCGCTGAAAGCAACAAAGCATTTGAGGATGACGATATCGCCAATCGAACGCTCAACGAAGCACGAGATGAAGTTCATCGTGGAGTTTCTATTGATCTCGGTCCACTGATTCGACGATGTGAAGAGACGAAGTTGGCCAAAGAAAAGGCCAATGAAGCCTACAGAAAGGCTCACAATGACTCTGAAGCTTTGCAGAGGTCACATTCACAGCGGTTAGCCATTGTCATTGACGGAGCATTGGCTGGTCGGTATGGTCTTCCTAGACCTACTGGAGACGAGCTAGCACGAAGTATATCTCCTTCTGGAGAGGGCAATGCCACGGGGTCTGCGTTGTCTGGCTCACCGTGAGATCGGCGGATTTATTTCGCCAACCCAATCGAGCCACGAGCAAGGAAAGAAAAGGGAAGGAAGACGAACGGTGAAATTCTCAACTCAAGAATGAGCTGAATGCAATTTTTGAAGACCAGGAGATCAACTCATTGAAAGACCAATGGTGCATTCATCGTGGGACGATATGGTTACTCAGTGAAAGGCTGGAATGGGGTAGCCTTTTTCTTTTTTTTTTTCCCAACTGCTTGGATCCAACGTTTCATCTGCTCCAGACAGAAACCGAATCAATCATGGAAAATCGGCCCTCGAGAAAGGGAAGGTGACTACGAACGAGACGAAAATGCGATAGTCCATGGAGACTCCTCTACGACCTCGTAACACACCCAAACAACATGACGATTATGACCTTATGCACGCAACAAAGGAGTCCAGGAGTTTTTGATCTTCCGGTTCTAGTTTTAGGGATTTACTGACGAATGGGTGTTGCATGCTGGTTTTGTTCTCTGCTCTGCTCTGTTTGACCCAGGTTGGATTGTGGGTGATGGATTGGGAACCATCGAGGTCTTTTCCAAATGAAATGTACGTCGAACCGCATTAATCCTAACACATCACATGATAGCACGTTTCGGGAGCTTCAACATTCTTCAAGTTTGCCATGCCCATCTCTGGTATCGATTCACGTGCTTGAGTGGAGGGCATGTTCGGTTCAAGTGGCGAGTGGCGAGTCAGAGACTTCCTGCTCCTTTGTATCTGTGCTTGGGCTGTGTGCTTGTACATAACGACTTTAATGAGATGGAACTTAGTTGATGCTTGGAATAGGCAAATGCAATTCATACCTATGATTTCTCTGTCCGGGACGCAGAAAGGGGTCTCCTTAAATAATATTCATTGGAACGGCCTTCCGGTTGTTTGGTCTTGGGTTTTCCATACTTGTTGAAATATCTTGAGGAATATCTCTCCCATTCCTTCTAGTCCGTTGCCCGCAACTTTTGATACGGACTTTCCCACAGTTGGAATACTTCATCCCCTTTTCATGCGATGCTGATCGCCTCCGGCACAATTAGTTGCATCGAGTGGTTTGTTTTAGGTGGTATATTCCTTGCAAAGCATACCCGTCGACGTCTACTTTCAAGTATCACTCTGGTGTCTCCCACAGATTCATAACCTATTTGCAACTGACTTGAGGTGTCGTCGAGAGCGTCTGGAGGACATTGAAGGACGAATCGACCCGAGACGCCAATGTCGACACCCGGCCATCGTCTCTCCATATTTTGGCTCATGAGTGAACTTGTTCCTGCCTGAAAGAATCGAGGTGTGAAGTGTGAACGTGTGTTGTTTCCCATCTAGATGCCTTAGTTTGAGAGCCTCCCTTTCCACTAAAGAAGGCCTCAATGGTTCTCTGATTCTGCTGTGCAGATTGAGGGAGATCGATCTCAGGTTCATCAATCATATCAGCATCTTCCTCAATCTGTCCATCGCGTTCCTCAAACCATATGACTTCCGACATCGACATTGCTTCGTCAAGATGCAACCGCTGAGCATCGTACAATTTCTTTAAGGTGTTTTCGTGGATCGTCCCCTCGTCTGGTCTGGCATCGCGATACCTCTTCCGCGTTCGGGTATTGAGATAAGGGACACTGTCTATCTTCCAGAATTGGTATGGGTGCGCGAGGTTCGCATTGGAGGATGTGGGGGTAAATGTTGACGAAGGTGATGAGGAGGCGGTTGACGAGGGTGCGACAGGGCTTGTGTTTGGATCTGTTTGGAGCACGGTGTCTTCGAGGACAGAAGCTTTGCGTTTGAGGCCCATGTCTGCTCTCCTCCGCTATATTTTCTGCCGAAGGGAGATGGGAGGAGCTTAGGAAACGTGAAAGACGCGTGGGGAAATACCACTTCACGCGTCGCGTTTGGTCTGCGGGAGGCTGAGGTCCGCCTCAGAACAATGATGCCGATTTTCTTCCGTTCAGAGTCTAGTCAATACCTGGATATTCAAACGAGGGCATTTAGGAAGAATTATAAAGCGATGAGTTGGTATGCACAGTCGTACTCGCACCCTGCTCGGGTTGAAGCAGACAAATTCCCCGCGGGGCTGAGGCGCAACTCCGGCAGGCAAATTAGACCACTCGAACTCTCTCTTTCTCAACCGCAGTCAATCTATTTTCACGACACTCCACCATCCACACCCGCCCCCCCACCAAACAATTTTGAGACTCTGCTGGCCTAAGTCTTAAGATTGTTCTGGTCTTCATTTCTTTTCTTCCGGGCACCATGGCTGTCAGAGAAGCTTCCCATGCAGGTTCATGGTATTCAGGCCACCGTCGACAGTTAGCAGCTCAACTGGATCAATGGCTGTCAAAAGTTCCCGAGAAAGATATTCTTCCTGGCGTTGAGACTCTACCACTTCCTGGAGCGAGAGTTGTCATATCTCCTCATGCTGGATATGCATATTCAGGTCCCTGCGCAGCCTGGGCATATAAATGCTTGGATCTCTCCAAAGCTAAGCGCATCTTCATCCTCCATCCCTCTCATCACCATCATCTAAGTACAGCTGCTTTGCCGGAAGTGGAAGCATACGAAACACCTCTCTCCCCAATACCTCTCCCTCTCGACCATGAAATTATCAAAGAATTATCCACATTGTCCACCACAGCCCATGGCCGAACGATCAAGTTCACCAAGATGTCTCGACCGATAGACGAAGCGGAACATAGTGCCGAAATGCAGTTACCTTACATTCACCGTCTCCTGCAGAAACTATATCCCGATCAACCTGAATCATCATATCCTCCACTCGTCCCCATCATGGTTGGTGGAACCAATGCGGCGACTGAAGCGGCCCTGGGAAAGATGCTAGCTCCATATATTGCCGATGAAAGCAACGCATTCATCATTTCCTCTGACTTTTGCCACTGGGGAAGCAGATTCGGCTATACATGTTACCTGTCAGATGCACCGAGCCCAGCCTTATCGCCACTGATGCTCCCCAACGGTGTGAGAGGGGAATTCACAACTGCAAAAGAATCGGTCAATGACGACGTGCATAAGATGCCAACACTAGGACAAGGCCAGCATTTAAGGTCAGGCAGCCAGATTCCCAAGAGTGGCCCGCAAATATTCGAAAGCATAGCCCATGCCGATAGAGCCTGTATGTGTGCCATTGCAACAGGACAACACTCAGAATTCCTGCGGGTTATTCGCGAAACAGGAAACACCGTTTGTGGGAGACATCCCATAGGAGTTTTCATGGCCGGGGTGGAGGAAGTCGAGCGCCTGGAGAAAGAGAAAGCTATTGATGGTAATGATTCCAACCGAAGACGGTTCCGGTTTATGAGGTATGAAAGAAGCAGTGATGCTGAGACCGTCAAAGACAGTAGTGTCAGTTATGTTAGTGCATTCGCGGTTCTTTGAGCAGGAAACCATTTCGACCATCCCTGTTCCAATCGGAGACCCGCCTTTGATGTCCACAATTTTACTTCGGGAACAAATGAGTCCTTACGCTGGACACCCTCGAACAATACACCGGCGTGGGACAGTGCCCATGTCGGCATTGATCGAGATGGAACATGGAGGGCCTACTGTACCCCGCCGGAGGAACGGGAGACATCTGGGTAGGGAACAAAGGATGAATTGAAAGAGCGGCCATGAGACGAGGTCAGACTGGCCAAGTCTTTGAATTCGAACTGGTTGAAGAGGTCAAGGGTATTAAAATGCCCGCAGTGCAATGCCCGTTTATGGTCAGCGCCCCGTCTTGTTCCACTGGTGTTCTATGCCCATGAAGCAATGAAATCAGGACAACTCCAAGAATCCAAGAACCCAAGAGCCCAGATGCTGCATCACAATTGGAGATGGATTTCTCAGCATGGCGATCCCCAAGTATTTAATATTATGTTGATGAAAGCAGGAGACGTTATGCCCAACCGGATATTATAACCGTACCACGATTCTCCGATTCTTCTTCCCCCATGGGTGGTCTCCCTCACTCCCTGCTTGCACTTTCCCCCGGCGCTACCTTCTGACGTTACCCTGATGACCCTGTAATACGGAGCAATAATGCATTCACCGCTTTTGGACAAGTGGCAGAGCCAAGATGTTCCAAGAGCCCTTTCATTTGCCAATGTGAACATGATCAACAAGAACCAGCCCACGATTGTTGGTGTTATGATATTTGATCACTGACGGATTCGATGACGACGAAAAGATCATTGGAAGTTGCGGCGTCCACAGAAACCGGAGTCACCTCCAAGCTTCGCAAGCCGGATAAACATTAGTATACTTTACTGTGGTTTGAACGCCGATGCCGTGTTTCCCGTGCCATGCTTGTTTCGTCCACCGCCCACAACCCATCGCCAATGGCTTCTTTGCTCACGGGGATGAGTGGGGGCATTTCGCAGTTTTCTGCCCTTGCCTCCCTGATGATAGATATCCCATTGCTACCATACGTCGTGCTTATCGCTTTGTACTTTGGGAATGATCAACATTTTCTCCTCCTTACTACAGGAAGTATTTATATCTCTGGAGGTGGACAAGAAAATACCACGGAGCCAATTCGAACTGGTTGAATCTAGGGCATTGGCAAATGCTTGGGTGTGACGACAATGAAAAAGCTTAACCTCGATGCACCAACTCAAGATGCGCTAGCGATCTACGGCACATTTTTTTTGGGTGTGACGTTATAGGTTTTGTTGTTCGTCGTGGTTCACGGTGGTGGTCCTATCTACCTTTGGACGTTGAGGACCGTTGCTACAATGCCAGCCGCGACGGTCAAGTCAGGGTTTCGATTTTCTCAGGTACAAGGCCATTGCGCCTTTGATAGTTCAACAATTGACCGAAGGGATTGTGTAAAGCACGACGCGAGCGCGCAATGTCATTTGTAGTCGTAGTCTTCTGAAAGAGAAAACTTGTATTACAAGTGAGAGATTATCTTATCTTGGCGGATTTGGATTTGGGACATCATATATGACACAATTGAAAACTTGCGCAACCGCGCAGCGCAAATTGGGGTATCCAAGTAAACGTAGCGATAGAGAATAAAAGATTACTCAATGATGTATACCATGATTCCTTTCCAATCATTCGTTCCTGCTTCCCTCTCCTCACGTCACATCAAAACCATGCGCATGAAGTCCGGCATATGCACACCATTTCATTATGTTGTTCCAATGTGACTGGATTGTCAGTCCTTGTGTTCCTCTGGCATGGCTGAGATCATGCTTCTTGCGTACGCATATGCGTGTTTATGCAGTGTGATCGTTCTTGAGTGCGGAGCGCGCCTCCTTGCCCTTCTCCGACCAAGGGAAGTGAGCAACAGGGATGATGAAGAAACTGTTGGAAGTATCGGCGATACCGGCGAGAGCGTTATACCAGGCAAAAAAGGCGGCGATGATGCCAAACGCACCTCCGGCACGCAGGCAACCTGTGTTTGGTGCTCCATTGCTGGGTTGGAGGTAGGCAATGCCGAGCAAAAGGAAGGCCAAGTCGAGAGTGAAGAAGAGCATGAAGAATGCCACCGTGGACTTCAGTGTGCAGAAGAGGAGGATCGTGGTGAAGATGAACCAGCCCTAAAGCCTCGCATTAGAGGGGACAGGACTTGAAATTCGGTCAGGAGTTCCGGGAGCTTACCATCAAGTAGAATCCTAGTGAGTCCAAGAGAGCCTTGGTACCGGCGGTATCCTCAATGGTCGATTCGATTTGGAAGCCGCCTGGAGTAAGGATGATGGCAAAAGAGATCCAGAAACCGCCATAGGAAGACAGGGCCGTCGCACCGAAAGTGTTACCAACGGCCATTTCCCTGCAAAAGGAAAAAAAAAAAAAAAAAATTGTATATTAGAATGGGGGCGAAGAGACCGGCGGCATTTGGGATACTCACCACATGCCCGCACAAAGCTGGACAAGACCACCATAACCAAACGCCAGGGAAATAATAATGTTTGGCACATCAAGACCTCGAGTTCCCAAATTAATCAAACTGAGGACGAATGTGGTCAAGGCGAACGCGGACAGACCGAGAGGCGCCGGGTTGGCGAATTTGCGGTCGGAAACTCCCTTGTAGAGACCAGGTTGGAATTCACCGCCGAAAGCTGGATTTTTGGGAAAAAAAAGGAACGTCAGTGTTTTGCTTGCTTGCTTGAGAAGATGACGAGAAAATCATCATCTGGGTCGAAGGAGGGGTGATCACCTGGTAGGATGGCACTCTCGTCCGTGCGCATATGAGCCAGAGGTCCATAGCCGAAGCGAGCAGCATGTTGAGCTCTGATCTTTTCCTCGTTGGTCATGCCCTGAGTGATCTTTTCGATATTTTGGGAAGAAGTACCGCCATTCGCGGCCTGGTTGGCCGTGTTGGCGGTCGTGTTCTGATCCTCGTTGGTCGACATGGTGAATGCAGGTGGGTAGAGATCTAGTGATGGGTGGCAGGTACGGCCAGGAGGGATATATCAAAGAAAGCACACGCTCACGACGGAAATATATGCTCAGATACACTACAACTAAGGAGCAAGGAAGATGGAGAGGGAGAAAGAGGTCTATTTTGGGATGGGAGCGAGAATATTTATGTACCGATGGGTCGGCTTCAGGACTCGGTTCAAGAAAGGTAGGGATACCTGGGGGAAGGGGGAAGCCAGTGTCGGGATCGGCGGGGAGGGAATAACCGTTTCCTCAATGGAGACTAGAGAACGTCCCTGGGTATGGGATGGACTGGAGGGTGGACGAGAGTGGATAGAGGAGGATGGTCGTCGACTGATCACTAGGCTCGATCTTTCTGGGGTGGTCGATTAGAAGAGGAGACATCTGGAAGCAGGCACGGACAACCTAGGTCATGACTGGGAATGATCTGGTTGGAGCAAAACAGCAGACCACGCAGCCTTTCGCTCGAAGAAACATGATGAGATGGTAAAACTATAACAGAAGCATGGGTAGGCTCGGGCACAACTGCCACCCCCCCGGATCTGGAGAAAGCTCCGTTGTGGAGGGAGGATTTGATTTGTAGAGTTCGGCATGGGCTTCGTCATGTTGTTGAAAGGTATGATGCATCGGAGATGGAAAGCATCGAGGTTCCGTTTAGCCTGATATGCAGAGATGACCAGGGGTCGTCGCGGTCGAGCGGAGGAAAAGCTTTTTGGGCGTTCTGAAGAATTGGGAGAAAATTTGCACTGGCCAAGAAAACGCCTCTCGCCAGATCCATCACGCCACAGACCATTCGACGCGAGTCTGGACAGCCTGATGATGGACGAGCATTGACGTATTGGGATACAAGCAAACAAAAGAGAAAATAGAAAATCCCGAGAGCTAAAAAGAGGGCCTGCCTCGTACCTCTGTAACTCTAGCTGTTGGACTGAGCTTGGGGGTGAGAAATATTAGCCGAAAGAGCGAGAGGGAGAGCGAAGCAAAAGGACATGGTGATGATATCGTACCAGGACTGTTTGATGGAACGGATCTTGATTCCTGGGAGTGCGCGTGACCGAGCCTGTCATTGGCATCTGCTGGAGAAGGGCTCTACAATTTGTTGTTCCTGTCGTTCCCCCTGGCCTCGCCAAGGTCCCCTTCCCTCACTTGCATGCCCCGCTTCTCGTGTATTGTTAGCATCGAAGCATCAGTTATTGGCCCTTCTACCCATTCAGCGCCCAAGGCTCAAAGCCGCCAATCCTGACGTCTGCCAAAACCCCAAAGAGATGCTTTTCTAGAAAGAGGTTCGTGTCTTACGCTTTGCTCAGCATCCGTCCACTTCCGCAGCCCATCACATCCAATCTCGTCTCTGTAGAATTTTCTGAGGGCCATTCTAGAAGACCGACACAAACAGCACCCATAATTCTCGAGCTGATGTATCTTCCCGAAACTATAGGCCAGTCCAATCTTCGGCTGCCTTTTCAGCAAGCTCTTCGCCTTATTTCTTCCATTTCCCCGAGATCTCATCTGCTCGTTGATATCAAGAGCGGATCTCGCCCGGCGCCACCTCTCTTCTATTCCGCCTTTTATTGACAAATCACACCACCTATTCCCAAACCTCACTCTTCATCTGGCCATGAAACCCGAACCCGAGTTATCACCTAGGAAAGAAAAAAAAAATCCGATCTCGTTCTTGACATGTCAATATCATGCACATGGTGTGGTGATGCCGGTATCCATGCATTGCCCCTGCATTTTCGCTTAATTTATCTTATTTGCATCCTCCGAGAACCCCGATACCTATTACGATCCTTCTTCGACGCACAAGAGGTAGCCTTGGCTTCGATAAAGAGTCGGGCCTTCACCAAAGTGGTCAGAGAGACGGTCAAATGCAGCCTCGGCTCGCCCACTCTTCGGCACCTTTGTCTCTACAACAACAAAATTCTGATGTCGTGTCCGCGGAAAGAAATGAAAGCCAGCTCAGTTTCTCCGGCATGAGGAAAGGTCTGGGAACGAGCGCGCAACTGTGGTACTGCACGAATCCATTGGCTATGATTGTTCACTACCTAGGGTGAGATGTTAGGTTTCTTTTGGTGTGCTAATGTTCGAGTCAAACCTCGAGTCAACCCTTCTCAGCCCTCCTGCCGACTGAGATAAGACATCGATTTTCGCGCCTTCGCGGCCTTTGCAGGGAACAGTCGGGACCGATCTTGGGATCATGTTTCCACGGCATGGTCTTCAATACAAGATTCTCAAACAGGAGACATTCATGAAGATGTTACCACCACCAAGAAAAAACATATGAACACGGGCGAAATAAGGATTTTCCGTCGGTGTACGGGCCGGTAAGAGTGGTATCCTAATTAGGAAAATCCCGATCGCCGATCGGCATGTACGGGCGTGAGAATAATCAATCATGCCAACGACCACAACACCCTACACGTCCATTATGTTCATTCACCAAACATATATGTCCGATTTCGCAGTGGACCAAGGCTGCACCGCACACATTATGTCGAATCAAAAATAAAAAGCGCGTGTTCCACAGACTATCTAGTTCAATTGCACCTGAAATTCCGACACGTTGGCCACTCCTTTCTCGTCTTGTGGTGGAATCTAGCGAGGTTGTGAACACCACCACCAAACCACAACCGTCGTGACATACATCTTGGCTTCGAGAACATCAATTTCCAGCTGTCGAGAATAATTGCTATCGAAAGCCGGAATGGGCCGAGGAGTGAATGACACACCTTGGGAAGAATATATCAGATCCTACAATCGCGCTGATTCGAATTGAGCGACACCAGCGCCGGCAGAGAGCTGACACAAATGAACTTCCATAGTAGAAATCAGACTCTTGAGTCTGTGGCGAGAGTCTCCCACAGCCATGAAAGGATCCTCGCGCAAAGAACCCGCCAGGAATCGTTGCATAGGAAGACTGACACCACCTAGAGGGGAAGAGTGACCTGTGCAGACTTCATAAGTGGCTGTGCGCGGCGACAAGAGAAAGCGATCAGAGACTCACTCGTTTGTGGCAAGGTTGTCATCTTCGGTTTCATGGTGGTCTAGTGCTCAGATTGGACTGGATAATCGGGAGGGAACACGGAATAACAGAGTACGACCACTTTTGAATAAGCCGAGAGAAAATTGAAAAGATATTCAGAGGCTGAGAAAGACCACGAGGGAGGGGATGGCTCTTTATTCAAGACGGGCTCCCTGGCCAAACAAGGCGTCGATATGCTGGAGCGGCGGTATCACCAGAACGACAGGACATAGTGGGCTCTCAGTCGACAAGAAAATGGCGAAAGAAAAGCCGTCGAGTCTGGACAGGACGTGCTGCGTCACTGTCTATCTAGCTCTAGGGGTCCAGCTGTTGAATCAGCCAACAGTCAACCGGGAACGGTATCCCAGAGCAAGCCCAGGGCACCAGGATACAGGTGCCTCAAGCCTCGGGCACGGACGCTCTAGGGCGTTGTACACAGTCCGGCTATACGCTCCGCTTTGGCTTCGGAACATCGACTGCTCAGCTGCAAAAGCAAAAAATTCCAGTCGCAGCAGCTAAGGAAACAAAAGGAACTCCAGTTGTCTTGACAGAATTCACCGACCCAAGCTGGAAGGCTCAAATTCAAGTCTAGTGGTCAAATAAACTTTCATTATCTTCTTAACGACGTGTGTCCCACCGCAAGATCCATGGCGTCGAACGGCTTTCAACCAAGTTTGCCACGTGACTTGTCTCAAGAGGACCAGGCTACGAGTATTCAATTGCTTTTTCTCCGTCGGTCGAGGTGTTCAGCAACTGCCGGCTTCAACTCCGACCATTCGTTGGCATTTGAGGGACAACACAGCCAAAACAAACTGCGATCTCTACACGCATTAACCTGAAAGCGGATAACCGAATAGACGGTCTATTTCCCGGACCTAACGTCTCAGGTATGAAAAGCAACCATTGCCGGGATGGGGCGTCTCGTAGAAAACTTGACTGGCGCGGAATGTTGGCAGTGTTTTGATGTCAACCAATCCCACAACCAATGAGATAACCTCAATTGGTTCGAGCCGTGGTTCTTGGATGCTGCTGTCATGGGCACTGATAAGAACCGCGTACGATCGGATTCGTTTGACCCTCGACAACCCCTCTGCCTCCTGGGTTGATATGTCCGAATCATCCTGAAGGCTTCTAAGCCTACTTTCCACCGTCCTGTCGTACAGAGAAGCAAGAAGCAATACCGTGACAGGTGAGGCTAGCGAATCCCAAACCGCCACCCCACTACACATTTCGACAACGATTTCCCTGGTCACTCAGACGATTCTTCCAATGACTGGACGTTCAGAATCACTTTACAGAGCAGGCCAAGGTCAAAAGGACATTTCTTATTTTCACCTTCCACATGCTCGTCAGCGCCCGGATGCACACGGGAGAAAAGTGACAAGCGCCGAATCCCCATTTAGTGATTGAATCAATCCTTCTTGATGATGTTGCCGTCTCGCTATGAAATATCGGAACCAAAGCAGAAACGAGAAAGACAGTCACTATGATATCCCTATCCAACGCTCGCCACCAAGCTCATACCCAGTTATTCTGGCCATACCTGACGAGGCTCATGCTCACATAGGTCCGATTCTTCTCTGCATAGCCATGATAATCTCTGCACACACGAGGTGCTGATTTGTTGGTCAAGTTGTCTAATTCAAATGACAAAAGGGACAATCACACCGCTCATCAGTCATCGAGGTACATCATGAGTGGGGGAAATTAGCCAAGCATATAGAGTCCGCAAGGCCAGCTTTCAATCTGTTGAGATGTTAGGAATAGGAAAGTATACCCAGACCTCCATTCTGAGTTGGGCCGATGCGTTGAAGGATTCCATCAAACTCATTCCATTGCCCCTAACCAAAGTGTTACTTGCAGATCACTACTCGTAGATGAGAGAGCCAGAGAGGAAATGTTGACTATGCATGTAGGCATCGAAATTGTATTCGAATCTTGTCGCACGTATGTCTTGTGGTTGAAATGCAATATCATGCCATGTTCAGAATTCCAGGTCGATTCCTCAAATTCCAAGTAGATATTCCAACAATGCCTTCCCCCATGCTCCTTGTCCCAAAGTGTCAAGCGCTTGGTGTGTCCATTTTCGTCTCTTCCTGTACAATGTAATTCCAAATCTCCAATTCGTAAGGCACGTTGTCCTTGCCATACTGCACAGTGCGGTCGGTTGAAACATTGAAAATCCAAGGCTCAAACAACTTTCTTCTGTCTGAGAAATTACTTGCAACCTGAAAGGTACTCTTTCCTTCGCAAAGGGATTCCCCGGTTTGTTCGTCTTGGCATAGTTCGTACCAGTCCACATCCCCATGTTCCCGGCCACGGACTCGCCCTCTTGCTGAGAGATCCCACACATGGCCTGAACCCAAAAATTTTCCGCCCACTCTTCACTATCCTCGTCAAACTTGGGGAGTTTTGTCCATGGAGTAATAAGCGTCGAGAACCTTCGAAGTGGCAGATCTTTCAGTGTGCGCACTGGGGGCCCGCATGTTTCGCTGCAATCTCTGAGGAGTCTTTCGAAAGCGTCGAGTTCAGGTAAGTGAGCATCTTTCGCGGCACATTCATACCCCCAAATCATATCTCGCTCGTATTCTAGGAATGGTATGTCCCGAGCAAGGCATCACGATTTCGTCTGGCTTGGTGGTCACTTACTGAAAACGTGTTTCATTGCCTCCACGACATTCTCATGTTCGAAGACATTCAGCCAGATCTCTAAAATCCCAACCAACATGGTGAACTGGAGCTTTCGGCCGAAAGGTTGATTGGACGAGGTCGACGTATGCGAAGACGATGTGCAGGGGTATTGGAACACAGCCATTTCGGTTCCAGGAATTGTTGACTTTCTTATCATAGAATCGGTTTGATGCCGGAATTCACCAGCAACTGATGGGATTGGGAAGCCTGCATCAATTCGGAGGCTCATGGGACGATCGGTGTATTGTCAAATGTAAAAGAACGACGTGAGATGAACGAGACCACTGGAAGGGAATCAACGAATTGTGCTTAGAAGTAGAGCACTAAAAGATGGACTGAAAGGCTTAGAGCAACACGGGCCGGGTTGATGAGAGAAATGGGATAAGTGGGCTGGTGAGAGATGAAGCGTCAGGCAATCCTTGTTGAAATGGAGGAAAGTTTACGAAGTCTTTCTTATCAGACGGTAAGAAGGAAGCGAATATTTCGGTGCTGAGGCGAGCTTCCCAGAAAAATGAATCAGGAATCCGTGCACTGGAGAGCTGGCGACGGAGGACATGTAGACGAGGACATTAGATATGATACAGAAATGAAAATGGTTGATGATCCAATGTCGAAACACTTCCACCGCGAGAACAGTCGTGTTTTGAGATGTAATGGGACGTCGCGGAAGCGAAAAAGACAAGCCCTCGGGAAGGGAGCACCTTGTCATCAACGTTCCACATTGGAGTGGGAAACAGCCACGAATGACTTCTCCAGACACTTGCCTGTAGTTTCCTCAGCCTGTTCAGCAACGGGGGTCCATGGCAGGCGCGTTCAAGCCGTCTATTCTTCGACCGTGGCCTCGATTGTTGAAGTGGAGAAAAGAGCCATCGTGGTCTCACGGGGGAAAAGCGCATTGAAATATATCGAGCCCGTTTCCCAAAGTCCTCAGTCAAGATAACCGTGCGGCAAAAAATGCTTCTTTCAAGATGTCTGTCATAAAAAATAGTCCTGCTCCCTCACGAAAGCAGAAGAAGCAGGGTGGAATAGACAAGGCCCTGCTAAAAGCCCTGTTTCATTCTTCCACGTTTTGCGATATTGAGGAACTTTGGACGGTCCCTGGATCCGCGTCTTGATCATGGGAAAGAAGGGTCAAGATGCTTCCGAGTGTGGTGACAATAGGGATAGCGTGGCCTTTTGTTTTTCATTTTTGGTAAAGTCTGCTTTTCCGCTGCTTCCGGAAGGATATGAATACCTTTTTCATATCATTCGTGGATGTTTGGGAATGCTGCCAGGCTTTGTGTCCCTCGTAGCCTTGTGCTAGGCAGGCAGTAAGGAGTCTTCCAGGCAAGGTTAAAAATAAAAATTAAAACGTCTGAGATGCCAAGTCCGACCAACTCCAAGACGAGCTTAGCTTCAATTCGCAACCTCAAAATCCCAACGCTGGGTCTCCCGAACTTTCTTCCTTCTCTCTTCACACTTCATGAAAACAGATATGAACGCATAATCAACCGCCAAAACCTTCCAGTGTACTCTTTGGGGTATGCTGTACTATAGGCTGGTAGGTCATATTGGCGTACTAGACCAAGACTACTTCGAGGCACTTTTTAAGGCTTTTCTTTCAGATTTTGTTTGTGGGTTTACCTTTCTTCAAGGGTAAATCACCGTGGATGGAAAGTCACCTGCGTGCCATACATACCTTTTTTTTTTTTTTCTGATGTCCGGTACAATCATGGTCTCTACATCACTTTTCTGCAAAATTGGCTGTAAACATAGCCGCCCGGCTGTACTGGTCCTTGCTGAAACTGCTGTGGACCTTTCAGAATATCGTATCCTCAAATCGGAACAATAAATGAGTTAAGACAAAAGCGAGAAACCAACTGCTCGCCACCGTATACGCTAGAAATGCTGCAAAACATGAAACATCATCAATCATCACATCGTAACTTAAGTCATGATAAACCCTCCATGCTACAGATAAAATGTTTTGTGGGGTTGTTTTCTCAAGCATGTTTTAAAACGTCGATCGACGAGTGGGCCCAGGCGAAAGTCGTCTTTTCTTGCTGACGATGAGCGCGCCAGCACCAGCGCCATCGGCAGTGCCATCGGAGAAGGTTTGAGGCCGTTTTAATATGTCGGCCTCCCCTTGATCCTTGGCTTGTTGTTCCAACCGCGAGAGCATTTGACTCCAGAAGAAGACATCTTCTTGGTCATGCACGGCATTGGCCATGCTCTCCTGACGCTGACAGATTTCTATCAACACCGACATTGATAGTTGGGAGTCACCGCTGACATATTTGAGCGCCGTGTTGAAGCTCCGACGTGCATCTGTGAAGCGGCCTTTCGAGTGTTGCTGTCGACCAAGTCGCCGGTACGCCAATCCGACGCGCCAGGGGTCGATGCTTCCTTGGACTCCTTGCATCGCTGTCAATCGGTTGCGGACTTGCGAGCAGACTTGATCGGCATCCGTGTACAACTCCTTGGCGACCAGTCTGTACGCTTCCAGTAAAAGGAAATAGACCGCGTAGGAATTGTTTGGTCCACAGGCCTGGTCGACCTCTTCGATTGGAGGTAGCCAGTTCGTCAAGTCGGTTTGAGGGTCGTACCACAGCATATCCAGAGCCCGATTGAGTCGCACTTCGTAAAGCAGCTGGCTGTGCTTGTCTACTCGAGACTCTAGACCGTCGTACAGGCAGCGTGCTGCACGATGATACAGGTCTCGAAGCTGGGCGACCTGCAGCTCGCCGAAGGAGCTGAGAAGGGCGTGCCGAGAATCATTCTCATCCAAAAAGGTATGGGCCCAGTTTCGGATGGACTTGAGCAACAACGCGGCGAGCTGGTCATGGCCGCTGTGTGCCACCCGACCCACTTCGAACAGGAGGGACATGGGGATCTCATGGTACCACGTCTTGAAAAGATCCGAACTTTGGAAGCTGGCAAAAGCGCGGTTCCAGTGGGTCCAGGCAAGCTCCTCCTTTTTATTTTCGAAGAGATTGATGCCGGCCGTGAGAGATGAAGAGAGTAAACGAGATGCGCGCCGTCCGCTGTGATGTTTCGCAGATTGTTGCATATCCCAGTGGCCGAAAACGTAGGCGTCATGGGTCCATCGGCGCAGATTTCTGAGGAACTGTTCGGTGATCGTGACTCCCGTAACTCGAAAGTGGTCGAGCTGCGGCGTCGTGACAGCTTCCCCGAGAGTCATCGAGGGCACCAACGCGCCGGACGGTTCCATCGGTGAAGATGGTGTCGTCGGTGTCAACGGAGAAGGGGATAATGCTAACGCCATCGGCGAAGGCTGGTCCGGAGACGGGATCTGAATCCGAGCCCGTTGACGGGCTCGCTTTCGTTGTATTGACCGTGCCGCTCGTTTCTTCACCTCCTCGGGGTCACCCGCCGTGGCAATGGCGCCCGTTTCGGGGATCTCGCCCTCCAGTATTTGTTGAGCCTCGTCTTCCTTGAGGTACTTGCGCAAATTCCAGGCCTTGATTTTGTTCTTGTACATTTTCTGACTGGAACAGGATGATTAGGATGGTGGAGTGGTTGAAAACGTGACACCTACCTTGCCCAAACCCGGTGTTCATCCCTCATGATCTCCATGACCTGAGGCAGAGTACGGTTCTCCTCAATGTATAAGCGGGTGAAGAGAGGACGCCATTTGTCCCAGTCCGCTTCAGAGTGAGGGCGCACGTAGGTGGTTTCGGGTTCCATGGTTGAGGCAACTTTGTGGGTCGTGAATGGGGGAGGAGTCACAGACTTAAAGATGACGAATTTGAGAATACATCATGTCGCTAGAGGCTCCGGAGGCTTCTACTCCAGAGGGTGAGAGACAATCCGGGAATGTTTCGACTTTGAACGCTGGAAAAGTGATGGAGTGATGGAGAGATGGCGGACCAAAGTTCCTGTTTGCCCCACGGCCCCCGACAGAAGGAAAAATATGGTGGGTGACTTGGCAGATGGGCCTGTTCAAAAAAGCCCCTTGTGACCAAAGGGCTGTGCATGAGAGTCCAAAAGTCCTTCGACCGGCTTAACCACGGCTCGGCTTCCGAGGGGCTGAGCTGCCTCATGACAACCCTGTTGATCCCCCTGGCCTTTGATGCTGCGAAAAACCCCAGATGACAAACCACTAGTCAGATGCGCGACGCGCCCGTTCTCCTGTCAACCTTTTCTCGCGTGGATTTCTTTGTCGGGTGGTTCAGCGGCACAGAACTATGCCTTCAAACACCGCCTCTCCCCGCATTCTCGATTTCTTCTTCTCTCGTCTGATGATAAAGTCTCTCGCATTGTACGATTGACCGAAGATACTCGAATCACCCAGCAGTCATGGTGCGGGATGCCGACGACGACGACGCCCTGATTCGAAAGCTCGCGGCTCGTCTCAAGCACAACGAGGAAGAAGTGGAGCGAGCGTATAGCAGAGCATCTCGGAATGTTCGCACAGTCTTGCGACGACAGGAACTCAATACCATCCGTCCGACGACGGATCGCCCAGTATGCAGGTTCCTCGGCGAAGAACAACTCGTCAAGGTCCTCGGCACCTTGCCATTGGAAGTTGCGCTTCTCGCCCTGGCCCGCGTATACGATGAGTGCCACGTGACCCTGTGTAAGGCGCTCCAAGCGGCACGAAAGGGCCAGCCTCACCATGAAGCCTTTACCCACGATCCCTGCGTCGATCTTCAACTGCTGACTGATCAACTGGGCCGGCACCAGGAGGTGGTGGAAGACCAGATACTCCTCGTAGCAATCACTGATGACCATACTCCGCTCAGAGCTGCATGGAAGCCTCTGCCGCCCATGTCTTTTGACCATCTTCCCCGACTCTCGTCGCTTTCTCAGGTCCTGCCGGGAGAACAATCGCCCTGTCATGAATATGCTGGCATTGGAGGGGGAGGAGGATCAGACATCATTAGTGCCAGTCTCTTAGGTCATTTGCTGCAACGGCATCGCAAGCAGATGGACCTCCTGATATCGACCCGCACCTGGGCGACCGGATCACAAGGGAAAAAGGGTTCCAAGATGGGGATCAAGCGTGAAATCTACAATCATGATGGACCAGCCCGTGAGGCGCACGGGCAAGCGGTTGCTGGGACCTTTCGGGTGAAAGAAGGGACCTCCGCCGAAGGCCGCGACCTAGAAACCATTCCACTCCCACATCATTCACAAATATTCATCGTGTTGGACCAAGGCGAGTCCACATCGGAGATTCCTGAGAACGACAAAGCCGACTTACGAGACCAATTTCGCGCCGTGCTTGCTCAGGCAAAACCGCCCATCGATACCGTTCTCATTGTCGACACCGGGGGGGATGTATTTGGTGCCGACGAAACCGGCGGAACCACCCCCGATCAGGATTTCCGAGTTCAGAGAGCCATCAGGACCTTGTCATCCTCCTATAATCTCGTCACCGCGGTGGTGTCCCCAGGAGTCGATGCGCCCGATGATGCGCCGCAAAAGGCCCTGAAAGCAGGCGGCATGGTATACAAGCCGACAGAAGCCGAGAAAGCAATGCTTCTTAATCTCTTGGCCAGTGAGTATAAGATGGATGGTTCAGACCCAAGTAGATTTGGCAAGACCATATTGGCCTTGCAGGCACGACTCCGGGGGGTGGTCGGGTGGACCTCGTTGGATCTTCCTACGTATGTTGTTGATACATGGGACAATCCATGGAATAGCTTCGTGTACATCCGAGACTGTATGAGCGATATCATCTTGATGCCTACAATCAAATTGCTGCCTTTGATTGAGCCCTCCTCAAAAGGCCGGTGACAAAGACGAATCCTCGTCGTCCTCTGACGAGCAGCACTCTCCCGACCGATGGCGTGAGGTGACTACGAGAGGACGTGCGAGGTGGCACCATCCAGGATACTACAATACAGAATTCTCTTGCTGGGAGATGAGCAAGTTCCTGAATATTCGGTTTTGGGTTGAACTCAGGGCGGCGTCACCGATGGTCCAAATGGGGAAAAGCCGATTTGCCCTTCGCACAGCAAACCACTCGCCTCCTCATCAAGTCGGGTCCTAAATGATCACACCAGAAGCCGAAGAAGAGTCTCAAGAGTGGTCGCTGACCGTCGTGACATGTGGAAACGTCGGGGGGATGATTTAGTGAGTCGGCTGACCGTGAAAGAACAACGTCGATTCCCCATCCTAATAGCTGATCAAGCCCACAAAATGGCTTAGCCCTGGAAAGGAGTGAGATTTGAATTGAAATCGAAAACGAGGACGACATTATATACGTTTCGTCACTACCTCTATGGGAAATACCCCAATGAATGTAACCAGATCCAATCCCCCCTCTCCTCCAACAACTCCAGAACGGCAGCGTGGTTGATGGCGACCGTGACATGGATTGGGACATCGGATCTGAGAATATTGGACTGGTCGACATAGGGAGCCGAAAACTTCAACTCTCGTTCTATGGGCCTCTAAGATAGCTTTACGCTCCGGTCGTAATTATTGTCTCAGGCATCGCCAGTGAGTCCGCAACTAGATCAGCTGCCGCAAATCTGGCAGCCGAGCTCGATGCATTGCTTCATGCTGTCGATGTCGGGTCGTCATATCTGATTGTCTGCCACTCGTAAGGCGGCACCATTGTACGCGAACTTGCGCTACGTCGTCACGCCTCCAACTTTGCTGGCGTGATCTTCGTGAATCCAAATACCGAAGAGACACCTGCTACCTTTCCCCACCCCTCGGTCCAAACAATTCGGGGAGACATGGGTACACAGAAAGTCTGTTGGAATAGCCGTCGGCAAGAGCTGCTGGATGAGAAAGCTCGAGTGGACGAGTATTGGTCGCAAAGAATCAATTGAATCGCAATCAAAGCGAATTGCTCTTCGGCGATGCCCCGATCGTTGTCCTACACGCCAACTACGCTCTCGAGCTTCAGAGGATCTATGTGGAAGGTGTTCGACTTGGAAACGGGTCAGAGAGTGAGTGGGCTACGATGCGGGAATTCATCCTGGTGTAACACTCTTGAAGAAACGATGCAGCGAGGTTTGAACGGATTCCCAACTCGGGACAGAACGTTTATATATGGCACCAAATGTTGTGGTTGAGGCCGTCAAGTGGGTGCTCTCAGAGGAGCAAAGGCGGCAACTTCAACCCAAGTGAGGCCAATTGGAGTTCTACGGTGACACGTGACGCGCTAGTCCTATTTGGGACTAGCCTACTAGAGCACTCGTTTACCTCTCTAGCTACCCCATACAATCCTCAGAGCAACAAGACACAGATAGACCATAACAAGGACTACTTCAGTCAGCCTTTGCCATTGCGGTATTCCCTTGCTCCTTTTATTTCCCCTCTTGTCCCAGATATGACATGCAGGATCAGATACCGAAAGGAAAACAATACGCTCTTCGCATACCACTAGGGTCTCTAATTCTAATGATACACTAATAATATAAGCCACTCAACCCAGAACTTTCTCAACTCCATTTCGGGGCCATTTCCAAGTCTCCGCAGAATATTCTGCAACCATGAGAAAAAAGTTTTAGGGTCCGTCGCGCCCAGCGTGCGGGATTGCTGGCAAATGAAAGTGATGAAAGTTGTCAGCACGGTGCTAACTAGGTTTGTCGGACCCTGCCCCAAACCTCATCCGCATTGGCTTTGCCTTTACTTTCGGGGACAAAGAAACCAACAAACAGTCCAAACGCTCCTGCAAGAACCGCAAAGATCCACCAAACTCTTCCTTGAGGAAGCGCCGCTATCAGCAGAGGGAAGAATTGAGCCACCAAGAATGTCGATAGCCAATTCCCTGCCAGTGCCCAACTGGATGTGGCTCCAACGGCGTCAGGGCCAACCAGTTCACTGGCTAGGATGAAAGGCACAGGCCCCAATCCAACGCTGAAGCCGCACACAAACAGTACGATGCCGATGATGGCGAGAACTCGGATATCCTTGGCCAGCCCAACAGCAAGCAGGATTGAAGCCAATCCCATGCCGGAGATTGAGCTGAGCAGGCAAGGTTTCCGACCAATTTTGTCCGCCAAGGGTGACGAGAAGAGTGTGATGAGAACGTTGACAGCAGAGACGATAACCGTGATCAATGCGGCTTGCTTTGGCATAATTTTTTCCAGAATAGCAACGCTGTACATGACAACTGCATTGATACCGCAAAGCTGTTGAGCCATCATTGTCACTGTTACCGCAATGACTGCTTTTCGATACTTGCGGATTCTGATGACCTCAAGAAAGGATTTTCCTGGTTCTTTGTGTGGTCGAGGCCCTCGTGGAGGCTCAAGAAGGCTTTCCTCCTCAGCTTCTCCTGACATCGCCCAATCTTCCATTTCCTCTCGAATATCAGTGTCCCGGCCCCTGATTCGCCGCAATATGCCTCCTGCCATTTGAGGTCGATTGTTTGCTGCTAACCACTGAGGAGTTTCAGGAGCCAGCATCAAGCCGACAAAGGTCAGTGCAGCAATGAAGCCAGCAGTGCCGAGGATCCAACGCCATTTGCTGCCCTTGGATAAGAAGTATCCGAGAATCTGTGACCCCAAAATGCCCAAGTTGATTTGCACTTGGGTAAAAGCACCGAAGAGGCCCCTTTTTTCGGCCGGGGACACCTCAGAGATGTAAATGGGACATACGACAGTGGCAGCACCAGCTCCGAGGCCGGAGATTGCTCTACCCCAGGCCATGATCCATATTTTCCCGGCCAGAGCTTCGGCCATGGGACCGGCGACTAGGAAGAAGGTGAGCCATCTTATCACAAAGACTCGTCCATATTTTGTGGCCATGGAACCGCTGAAGAGGGCACCAATCAAACCTCCGATGGTGAACAATGACTGGATCATACCCCATTGGGCAGAGTTCATCAGAATACACTGAGGAAGGCCGAATGCGTCATATCCGTCACGTTTCGGTAGCTGATTCGCCTTGCAGGTGATGACCTTTTCGGGGGCATTAAGTTCTCCCTGATGATGTGTCAGTTCATATCCGGAGCACATCTCTTGCCTATGGAGACTCACCAAGTGGTAACCGAACTGAAGGGGACCGAGGGTGACCACGACGACCAAGTAAGTGAGAAATGGCGTTACCCGCTTCGGGGTGAGACATTCGGCGGGTTTGACGGCGAGGTCACTTGACGATGCCTGTTTGAGGGACCCGTAACCGCTGCTGATTCTGTTTGGCGTCGCTCGATCCATGTTGGAAACAAAGGAACTGACGCTGGGTTCTCTGGGTTCGGCAGCCAAAAGCCACAGGAGGCCAGCATACCTTATATGGACTAGAAGAGGCAGATAGGGGGTGAATGGTGGTGGATTGATGCGTCGTGGTGCAGAAGAAGCACAGACAGGCAGCACAATTATTGTTTGGATTGTCCAGGGATGTTAGCGGAGGGAAAGGGCTCTGGGCGGCGGCCTCCGATGTGGTGGGATTGGAGGAAATCGTGAAGCAATGCGGCCTCCATGTCCAAATCGGGGAAAGTGCAGCCGTGCCGTCTTTCAACTCCTCGTGATTGGTCGATTATGCCAAGTCGCACTGCCTGATCGACATCTTTCGTACCAAGCTATTTTTGACTTCATTTTTTTCCATGTCGTTTGGCCAGATGATGGTTCTTTAGCTCCTTGCCAAATATCGCATGTTGCAAAATCCCATTCACAATCTCATTTCCCCTGAGATAGACCTTGATTCCGTCGAAAGAGCCTTTGGTCTCCGTGGCCAACTTTGTCTCGCGATCGACGCTTGTCCTCGGAGTCTACCTGGCCTCTTCTTCGCCGTCTTCCTTTACGTGTCGTCAATGTATGAGTCCATGCGTTGAATGAGGGTGGAGGCTGGTTTATCTCACGTTTGGAGTGTCAGTTCCATGAATTCCCGCCAGCCATGTTAGGCCGAGAACTTCCCGAAAGGCCCAACGGTTCAGCTTTTGGTCTGGCGTCGGGTTCTTGGTCGTTCCTCTAGTGACCATGTCTCGACCGGGAACAAGCCTCAGCATTGCTCAGCAGTTGAGAAAGTCCACTCAACTGGGCTTGGAAGGTGAGACTCTTTTCGCGAACTCCCATATGAGTCTGTCGACGGTCTCTCATGCGCTTGGCCTCCACAACAATCCACCAATCGCATTGTTGCGTACTGCGGAGTACCTATGGCTTGTTGCCTTCTCCTTGACTGTTGCAACTCAAGGCCACAGGTGGCCTCCCGAATTCATCAATCCATGTTTTCCCCTTTCCGGGGTATCAGAATGGACTGCTGACAAGAACACTAGACCCCGTTCGAAGTGTGGACAAGAAGCAAACAGGGAATAACTATACAGCAAAAGTTAAAATTGGCCACAAATACACTATCATTGGCTTCATCAGTAGTGGCACATATGGTCGAGTCTACAAGGCTGTGGAGAGGAACCCCAAAGGCGATCCTTCCAGTCCTGTAGGAACCACTCCCACCAAGGAATTATATGCTATCAAAAAGTGGAACCACCCCTCCCCTCGGGCCCGAGGTCTCTGTTCTTTGCTAATCCTTTCTAGGTTCAAACCCGAGAAAGAGGGTGACAACATTCAATACACGGGACTATCGCAGTCAGCCATTCGCGAGATGTCATTATGCACAGAACTTTCCCATCCCAACCTTGTGCACCTAGCAGAAATCATCCTGGAAGATAAATGTGTCTTCATGGTTTTCGAGTACTGCGAACACGATTTACTCCAAATCATCCACCATCACACTCAGCCGACTCGCCGCCCCATTCCTGCGACAATGATTAAATCTATCTTATTTCAACTGCTGAACGGCCTTTACTACCTCCATCAAAATTGGGTCATTCACCGGGACCTCAAACCGGCCAACATTATGGTCACTAGTTCCGGTCACGTACGAATTGGGGATCTTGGATTGGCTCGATTGTTTCACAAGCCTTTATCATCCCTCTACTCTGGTGACAAGGTGGTGGTCACCATCTGGTATCGGAGTCCAGATCTGCTGCTTGGTGCACGCCATTACACACCCGCCATTGATTTATGGGCGGTTGGCTGTATATTTGCGGAATTGCTGAGTCTAAGGCCGATTTTCAAGGGAGAAGAGACGAAGATGGACAGCAAGAAGACCGTACCCTTCCAGAGGAATCAAATGGGCAAGATTGTGGAGATTCTAGGTATGCCGAGACGTGAAACTTGGAAAGGGCTGGTCGACATGCCGGAATATCCACAACTACAATCTCTAATTGTTTCACGAGGAGGAATGCCGGGAGGGTTATATCCTCCGTCGACCGCTGTGAATCGTGGTTCAGGAGGGAACAACGGCGGCGGATTGGAGGCATGGTATAATAATTGCCTCCGACATGCCAGCTATCCCACAGACAAGTCTCCAGGTCAGCGGGGATATCAGCTTCTATCTCAGCTTTTTGAGTATGATCCCGATCAACGATTAACCGCCGAGCAAGCCTTGCATCACGAGTATTTCCGAAACACAGACGAGGGACCGAATAAAGGCAAGATTTGGGTCAGCAATAATTGTTTCGAGGGACTGGATGAAGTTTACCCACATCGGAGAGTGAGTACCGAGTCGAATGATATTGGGACTGGGAGCTTGCCAGGGACGAAAAGAGGAGGATTACCAGATGATACGCTGCTACCGGCGGCAAAGAGGAGATAGATTATTCTTTTTGCATGACTCCGACATGGTTGGAGAGCATGAATTGGAGTTATGTCGCATTGAGCGTGGTCGGGACAAGTATTTTAGGTCAGACATTCAAATATCATATTTCTCTCAAAACCCGCGGAGTTTGGAGAATGGCACTTTTTCATGGTATTTTCATTGTCCAGTTTTTCTGGCATCTGCCTCAGTCTTCATCAAGCCATTGACACCGTTTCCTCGCCAGTGATGAGATGAGTTGGGGCACCATGCATTGTTCCGCGCCGAAATTTTTGGAGATGCTGTTCGCCTAGCCTAATCCTCGAGATCGGTCACCTTTTAGATCTCGGTCGAGTAATCCACCGTATCTCTTTCATCCCGTCAATGTAAAATCATGCCTGAGCAGTCTTGGCCGCTTGTTGAGGGTTGACCTTCTTTCCATCCTTGTTGTATCTGATCCTTGGAGGTGGGGCACGGTTTCGTCGACCTTCTCTTGATCGGACACGAACAATCTTGCCGTGGATGGCGCAGGACACACAGTATTGCAGCTTCAAGTACATCTTGGGAACGGCGTAGTCGGCGAAGACGGACGCATCGGAAATGTCACCTATTGAACAAGCACGTTGTCAGATTCAGTTTTCTCATTCCCATCTTCTGTTTCACATCTCTCTGATCGGGGTGGAGCGTACGGATAGCTGCCGACTCGACCATGTTTCTAATTGTGAATCTCTTGATTGCCTTGTCTTTGGGGGTACAACGAGAGCAGTTAGAGCATCGAATGGGTTTGACGTGTCCACGTCCCTTCTTGTTCCGCCCACTTCGCAGTCCAGTTAGATATCAAGATGTGAAAGTCTTGTGCAATCATACTCACTTGGAGGCTCTTTTTTTGACCATGATGGCGACTGTTTGAAGATCGGTGTGACTAGGTGTTGGTTGAATTTTCAGTCGAAAACGGATATTTTGGAATCTGGAAGAGTGCGCCAAGGTTGGTGCTAATCCTAAAACGGCTAGCGAACCGAGATAAGGCCGAGGGCTTCAAGTTGGTCAAATTTCGAAGGGTCCTGCTGCACTCCGTATGCAGCTATCCATGATCATGTCCTCCTCTTTATAAGTCTCGGTGCCGGAAGGCTTGGTAAATATCACACTGGGTTGATTGAGAACTGCTAACCGGGCTACAGATAGAGCTCGGCCTTACGATTGCGGATACAAACTCAAAACTTGCGAATGAACTCATTGAAATGTCCTTCTCCGAAAGCATCTTGGGTCATAATTCCCATCAACTTGCTTCGTCAGAAGCTAGCATATTGATCCGTGAGAAAAATAACCGGGCTTTGAGATATCCCGTTGTAAAAAGTAGTCAGGCCTCGTGCTAGAGTGGGGTGCGGAGCTCCCCCTGAGGGAAAGTTCTTGTTGATTGTTGAGCTATTCCAGGATCAGGCCACGATGAACTATCGGAACATGTCCTCGAAATCCCAATTTGCAGATACCTACCTAAGGACCTAGCTGACCCAAAGTCCTGAATTTTGCTCGTCATTGCTTGAAGAATCCCTGTGTAATCACATGACTATCGGCAGAGTTGCCTTTCCTGGTTGTTTTATTTCAAACTTTGACTCGCTCAATCACCTGCCAAACGCTCCGCCGGTGTTGTGGTCAATCACCTTGATTCCTCCAGCATTTGGCCATGTCTGCGGTGAGCGGTACATTTCGAGGCACGCCCAGCAGGCGCGGCCAAATCCCATTCGCAGACAGCCCGTCAGGAATTCCCAGACCCAAGTTGGAGTCCTCGAGCGGTGCCGCACCGAGCGAGATGTCTGGAACTTCAACCATGTCCGCCAGTCGGCAGAAGCAGAGCAAGAGAGATGAGGTGCGTTGGAACAAGAGCAGATTCTAGTCATCGCATGCAGATGTCTAACAACATTTTATCAGGCCATCCGACGAAAGATGGAAGCAGATCTCAGCAAGAAGAAACACGTCCCTGCTCGAGCTCGACATACTCGAAAAGCACCTCCTGGTACGGTCTTGGCCCTCAAGCCCAGCCAGGCTCTACAGATTAAGCCCAGCACCACCGTCGCCGAGGCTGCTCAATTAATGGCTGCAAAAAGAGAAGATTGTGTTCTGGTGACCGACGACGACGATAGAATCGCTGGCATTTTCACGGCCAAGGATCTTGCCTTCCGTGTCGTCGGAGCCGGCATCAAAGCGAGTCAAGTCACCATTGAACAAATCATGACCAAGAATCCCCTCTGTGCAAGAACCGATACGAGTGCGACCGATGCGTTGGATTTGATGGTCAGGAAGGGGTTTCGACATCTTCCCGTGATGGATGAAAATCAAGACATTTCTGGAATTCTGGATATCACCAAATGCTTTTACGAAGCCATGGAAAAGTTGGAACGCGCATACAGCTCCTCCCGTAAATTGTATGATGCCCTCGAAGGTGTGCAATCCGAACTCGGCTCCAGCCAGCCACAACAAATTATACAGTATGTCGAAGCCCTGAGACAGAAGATGTCCGGTCCCACGCTGGAATCGGTCTTGAATGGACTTCCTCCGACAACTGTCTCGGTCCGGACGTCCGTGAAAGAGGCGGCTCAACTCATGAAAGAAAACCATACAACGGCGGTCTTGGTGCAAGACCAAGGATCGATCACGGGTATTTTTACTAGCAAGGACGTGGTTTTGCGTGTTATTGCACCGGGCCTGGATCCATCAAATTGCAGCGTGGTTAGAGTGATGACACCCCATCCTGACTTTGCTCCTACGGATATGAGTATTCAAGCGGCTCTGCGAAAAATGCATGGTAAGGACCTCCATCACTTCTCTGTTCCGTGTTTGCTCATTCGTATAGATGGACACTATCTAAATCTGCCGGTCATGAACGAGACTGGCGAAATTGTTGGTATGGTTGATGTTTTGAAATTGACATATGCTACGCTCGAACAAATTAATACGATGAATTCCGGGGAGTCCGAAGGTCCTGCTTGGAACAAATTCTGGTTGTCCATGGACAATGATACCGAATCTGTGATGTCCGGTGAAGGTTCCCATCGCCCAACAACTCCTGGACACCGATCCGTCATGGAGTCGGAACCTGCTCGAATAGGCTTGGAGAGAGGCGACAGTGTCATGCCACATGACTCAGCCTCACATCATGGGGAAGATGCCCACTCGGAGGTCCTACCATCAATCGAAGCCCCGGAAGACACTCCTTTCCCATTTAAGTTCAAAGCTCCCAGTGGTCGTGTTCATCGAGTCCAAGTTCTCGCTCGCAACGGAGTGACTGAACTCGTCAATCTCGTCACTTCCAAACTTGGCTCAGAGGTCGACGCGGTTGGGGGTGAAGCAGCTATCGAAGAGGGTAAATTGGGTAAGGTTGGTTATGCATTGAGTTATATGGACGACGAAGGCGACACGGTATCAATCACCACTGATCAGGATCTTCTGGATGCAATCCTCCTTGCACGACGAGGCAAACGAGACAAAGTGGATTTGTTTGTGCACGACCCTGCTCAGCCACCGGTAATTGCGAGTCTTGAGCCCAGACCCCAGCCATCGAAGCCTCCGACACCACCAGAATCTATTCTGAAAGAGGCGCCGGCGACAGAAGACGCCGACAACGAAGAAGATGAGGAGCCCGTGCCGGCCAAGACTGTCAGATCAAGGCGTCATCCAGTCACATCGGTCGCTCAGCCCAAGGAAGAGCAACAAGTCATCGCCGGTGTTCCGAACGATTTACTCCTCCCCGGTGCAATCGTTACCCTTGCTGTTGTGATTGTGGGCGTTTTTGCCATAGCTCGCGCCACCGCGAAATGATGATGCCCACGTCCATTCTAATTTGTTCAGCTGGGTTGTTACGATTTGATTCAGGATTCTTTTATCTTCTTTTGGTGCTGTTCTTAATTCACGACAGCAGCAGCGGAGGTGCACGAGAGATACATTAGCTTACTTACAATAGCGTTGACTTACCTTTTGAGAGCCACATATTTAGGGGATGTGAAGTTGTCAGTGGGCACTGAGCGAGGAGAGAGGTTACGGGGAACTTCAGAGGGAACTTGTTAGATGAATCTTCACTCAAGAATTCATACGGGTGAAGAGACCACCTCCGCTTCCGTATGTTCTCGTTGGTTTGGTTGGTTCCTCATTTTCATTAACATTCCTTGATGATCCATCATACATTGGAAATGTCTCGTAGAATTCAGAGCCTGGATATGCCAACATAGCTAGACCCTTCACGACTCCAGATGAGTATACTTCTCAGATTGATGGACTTTGCCTCCTTTACCACCTTCATGTGCTGGAAGTATTCTGGCCGCATGAGAGCCTGTGTATACAATTTTTTTTTTTTTTTTTTTTTTTTTTTTACATCAAACTCGTCCTTCCACCGACTTCCCTTGCTCCCTCACCATTCGGCATCTCACCGTTCCTCCCGACCACAAACTCGCGATATATCGCCGCCAATCGTCTCCTCTCTTCGGGCGATATAGAACTCCTCGTCGTCGCCAGCGATTTCTCAACATGTCTCCATTCGATTATGACCTCTTCCTTAGCATTGCTTTCATCACCCGGGTTCGCGGGCTCAGCATCGTCGAACGAGAGTGAAGTTTTCGAGGTCTGACGCACATAGGAGCTGCGGAGGAGGGCCTTTTCACGCTTGCGTGCAAGTTTCAGCTCATCGAGCTTCGCGGCGACGGCCGCCTTGGAGTCCATGGCGGACGAGGTGGGGAGTTTCTTTGCCCGTGCGTCTTCCTCGGGAGAGTATAGGAATTGGATGAAGTCGTGCTTGTCGCCGCCATGCCGTTTGCGGCGTCGGCTACTACTGTAGTCTTTGTTGCCGTTGCCCATACTTTTTCGTTGATCCTTGTCCGTTGATCTGATGGCGTCACCGAGAAGGTCGTGGATAGCTTCGACGTGGGCGTTGTACATCAGCGCCTGCAAGTCGGCGCCACTGAAGCCCTCAGTACGCTGCGCCACACTTAGGAGGCGATTCTCCACTTCAGGCGTCAGGTGGAGCTTAGCACTAACAGCTCTCAGAATGTCGAGCCTGTCGTTCATGTCGGGCATATCACAGAGGAGGCTCTTGTCCAATCGGCCCGGACGTAAAAGGGCTGGGTCGATCAGATCAGGTCGTGATGTGGCTGCAAGGACGTAAACACCCTCTAAACCCTCCGCGCCGTCCATTTGCGTGAGCATCTGGTTCACCATACGGTCTGTGACGCCGGTGCTATCGTGTCCTCGCTTGGGTGCGATGCTGTCGAATTCATCGAAGAACAGAACGCATGGTTTTGCTGCTTGCGCACGCTCGAATAGGTCACGCACAGACTTCTCCGAGGCCCCAATGTATTTGTTGAGAATCTCGGGACCTTTCACAGAAATGAAATTGAGATTACATTCCCCGGCGACAGCCGAGGCAAGGAGCGTCTTGCCGCAACCGGGATAGCCATATAGGAGTAAACCTGACCGGAGACGGAGTGGGGAACGGGCAAAGATCGGGGCGTATTTTGTAGGATATAGGAGAGTCTCGAGCAAGGTATTTCGAGTACTGTGCAGTCCACCGATTGAGGAGAACGTGGTGGTCGAATGTGTCAAAGTGACGTTCCGTAGCGATGACGGAGTCAAGTTCTTCAATGCTGTGTCAAAATCAGCCTTGGTCAGCGTGGGGGGCCCATCTGAATTGTCATTTCCGGATATGATCCGTGTCAGAGTCTCGTTCCGGGCGCGGGAAACCAGGAGAACCAGGTCAGCAGGCATGTATCCATCAGTCTTCCCCGCAATATCGAGCAAATCGAGACTTGGGGAGATAGCGAAGCCCTCAATTCGAGATGATGAGGAAGATCCAGGTCTTGAAGATGGATTTGATGGATCCATCCACGAACTCTCCGACATGCTTTGAGTGTCACTGGGATTTCGTGAATGACCTCGTTTAGCTTGCGAGCTATCATTCGTCAAGGAGACGAGAATGTCGCGTCGGACCTCTTTCGTCGGAGCTGTTATACCGATGATGTCGCCCACGATGTGCCCTCCAATAATGATGTTGTTCAGAGCATCTTTGGACTGTGCGGTTGCCAGCAAAGCAACGCCAGAATGAATACTGCAATACTGGCGAACAATGGAACATAGAACTTCGGTGATCTGACGACTGCGGCCATTGTCGTTCCCAACTTGCAGTTCAGTCTCCACCGGACAGATCTTGTCCAAATCGTCCAGAACCACCACGGACTGTCCGCCCAGTCTTGCACACCAGGAGGCTGACATGAATAATCTCGTCAGAGTCTCCTTTACTGTCGAGACTCGGGTCTCATCGGTGACTAATTTCTGACAGGCGAAGTATGTCACGTTAAACGCGTAGTCCTCTCGAAGTCGGCTCGAGATATGATACGCCAACGAGGTTTTGCCAGATCCCACACCACCGGTCAACAAAACCGAAGAGCATAATGTCAAGCTTGATATGGACTGCTTCAAGATCCCGTCAACACCGACCAAGCTGGGTAGCCTAGCTGGGATCCCGTGGGCGAAGCAAGGAAATAAGGCCGTCAGTTCCAAAGGACGAGGCACTTCAGCTTTGACATCAAGTTCCCGCCCTTGCTCCTGTCCAAGCACCCATAAGCAGAGGTTGTCATGGTCTCCTTCGAATTCCGCTGGACGACGAAATCTCAAAATACCTCCGTCGAAGGATGTAGATGATGGGTCTCCGGATGGCGGCAAAACCATGCCATCGGTGAGAGGGCCTGAAAGCAAACTTTCATCACCAGCAAACGTCAATAGCAGTTTGTCGGCCGTGGCTTGTTTGGCGGCTCTGGAGTCTCCACCAAATTTGAGTTCCTCTTTCTTCTTGGAATTCAATGGGAGAAAAGGGTAGAATTGAAACTTGTCGATAGAATATCGGGGTAATGGAGGCGCAGCAACCTCGATCCGGACAATCATCCCAACCAAGCCTTCAGCTCCGAGCATCCTGCACAAAAGAGATGAAAGTACGACATGTCGATGATCTAGAGGATTCGGCCAGGGAAGAACTCGAGCTACAAGCTTCGACGCCGGTCTTCCAGCCTCGCTGTTCTCCTCCTCTTTGAGTTGGTTGATCTGAGTGGAGTCCAATTGAACTCGCAGGCCCGAAGGCTTGACGATGGCCACACTCACCCACGTGGCTGACTTCAGACTCTCCGATTCTAACACGTCGTTGCTCACCCAGATTGAAAGTTTATCGTGCCGAGACGAATTGGATGCGTCGTCGAAGAATCCATCTGCCGTAGCTCGATCAAGGGCACGCATGAAAATTGCAGATTTTGTAGACCCTCTCCTCGAAATTGACGATCGCGCATTGCTGACGCCACTTTTGCCACTGCGTCTGCTTGCAATGCTCCTTGAATCTCCCCTATGGCTTCGACCAGATCGTGGTCTTGTTTTAGGTGCCACGATGACTTCGGCGTCTGGAGCAATTTTCACAAATGGTGATGTACTGGATATGGGTGGTACGACCGAAGTGACAATAATGTTGGCTGTTGACGTGGGTGATAAGTGCAACGTCAGAGGGTGAGTATGTTCGGCTTGGACGGCAGCCTTGCTACTGAACGCGGGATTGGGAAGGGCGCGAATTTGCGAAAGAAGATTGAGCTCCAAGAACGTGGCATGCAATTCAATGGCCTCCCAATCGGCCGGAGTCAGTGGTTCAATGTTGATGCTATGGGCGACTGGCGGGTCGAGATGGATCAAAATGCCGACCTTCTGACCTTCGGAGAGCCCGAGTAACTTGGCAAAGGTCGCATCAATTTCGACCATTGGGACATCTTGCTCTCTGCTGCCGGGACGAGCGCGATCGTTGCTAATGATAGATGCTGGTCTCGTTCGACTCGGCATCCCGGTCCATCCAACATAAGCGGATCGTTGGAATCCAGCAGTGTTTCCGCTGGATATAGCGCTAGAAGAGAGAGTGGGAGACCGATACTGTAGTTCGACCACTACATTTTGAGCAGGCTATGGAAGAATGAGCACAGAGATAGGACCCTCCGAAGGATGCTTACTATATTAGTATTGCTGATTAAGGCAATCAAGCCTGGAGGCAAATTGACAAGACAATTCTTCAACGACACCAGGGCCACTTCAGCTCGAACAGCGGGCGCCATTTTTGGTAAATACTGGAAGCGGCGTGATGGATGTTGTTGGGAGGAAAACAGCCTTGGAGCCACTAGGTAGAAGTTATGCACCAAAAATTGAAATTACCAAACCTCGGCTGAAGTGGGTCCCACCACCACGTGATATGACTTCTTTGATTGGTTGCTGCAAGCTCTCAAAACCAGCCAATGAAATCTCCAGGCTCTAGTCTCAAAACGCGTCCCCGACGCGTTCGCGGATTGAGACAAGTCTCCAATTTACAGAAAATCACCCGAGGCACGACGTCTTATTGTTCTTTGAAGCTTGCAGCCGACAACCACTTCTTTGGATTCATAACTGCCTCCGGACGCCATGATGCTCCTACAACATAAGAAGCTCGCCGACTACGAACAGCAATTAGATGCCTTTCAATCGTTTCTGGAGAAATTCGAGACCTCCAAAACCTCTTCAGACGCAGCCACTGAAGCTATCGATGGGTTACACCTTGACGGCGACCACACCAGTGATGAATACGATTTTATGGACGATGTCGAAAATGGGCGAGGCGACACATCACGCCGGCGGCCTAAAAGAAAGTACATGGACATGCTACAAGAGGTTGCGGATCGAGAGAGACAAAATATCCTGATAGAGCTTGATGACCTCCAAGAGGTGCGCGCGATGGCCGACTCAAGCGCTCTCCACTGACGACATACCGCAGTTCGAAGACTCCCTCGGAAACGATGTCAACCTGAGACTAGTGGAATCAGTTACCAATAACACCAAACATTACGTTGACCTCTTCTCCGAGGCCGTGGACAGAATCATGCCTCAAGCAAGCAAAGAGATCTCGTGCGCCATGTCTTTCATCCCGCTACTTCCCAAATTCTGACCCCAACATAGGTTCAAGGACGATGTGTTGGATATTATTATGGCCCAGCGGGCCAAACGAAACGAGACGGTGGCTTCTGCCATGGAAGCAGATTCTGAAGCCGTGATACCGGTTTCAACGTTCCCGCCCGAATTGACGAGAAGATATACCTTGAACTTTAAACCTGTCACTCCCACGGGAACCGGCAGCGCAAAGAAAACACTCGCCGTGCGACAAGTCCGTGGAGAACACCTGGGCCATCTCATTACCGTGCGCGGTATCACGACCAGAGTGTCCGATGTGAAGCCCAGCGTACGGATTCAGGCCTACACGTGTGATCGATGTGGCTGTGAAATCTTCCAACCGGTCACAGCGAAACAATTTACACCGTTGCAAATTTGTCCCTCAGAGGAGTGCAAGGAAAATGACTCCAAGGGTCAATTGTTCGCATCCACACGCGCGTCGAAGTTCTTGCCTTTCCAGGAAGTCAAGATTCAAGAAATGGCAGATCAAGTTCCGGTCGGCCATATCCCAAGAACGTTAACTGTTCACTGCAATGGCAGCCTTGCTCGACAACTCAATCCAGGCGACGTGGTGGACATTGATGGCATCTTCCTTCCAACGCCTTATACTGGATTCCGAGCGATTCGAGCAGGTCTGTTGACCGACACGTACTTAGAAGCTCAGAACATCACTCAACACAAGAAGGCTTATCAAGATCTGACAATGGATCCTCAAACCATCCGACGGATCGAATCCGTCAAAGCACCTGGACATATGTACGAATACCTGGCTCGATCAATTGCCCCGGAAATCTATGGCCACCTGGACGTCAAGAAAGCGCTTCTTCTCCTCCTCGTTGGCGGTGTGACCAAAGAGATGGGCGACGGCATGCGTATTCGTGGCGATATCAACATCTGTCTGATGGGTGACCCCGGTGTAGCCAAATCCCAATTACTGAAATACATCACCAAAGTTGCTCCACGGGGTGTCTACACGACTGGTCGAGGATCCAGCGGGGTGGGTTTGACAGCAGCCGTGATGCGAGACCCGGTCACCGACGAAATGATCCTTGAAGGCGGCGCTCTAGTCCTTGCGGATAACGGGATCTGCTGCATCGACGAATTCGACAAGATGGACGACGGTGATCGAACGGCCATTCACGAAGTAATGGAACAGCAAACCATTTCCATCAGCAAGGCGGGCATCACCACAACGCTCAACGCTCGAACTTCGATCCTCGCAGCCGCAAACCCTCTCTATGGCAGGTACAACCCCCGCATCTCACCCGTGGACAATATCAACCTTCCGGCCGCCCTTCTATCGCGATTCGACGTGCTCTTTTTGATTCTAGACACACCATCCCGCGAAGCCGACGAGGAACTGGCCAGCCACGTCTGCCATGTGCACATGCATAACCATCACCCCGAGCGCGACGGTGAAGGCGCGGTCTTCACCCCCCACGAAGTCCGCCAATACGTCGCCCAAGCACGGACTTTCCGACCCAACGTCCCCAAATCTGTTTCCGACTACATGGTCGGCGCGTACGTACGGATGCGCCAACAACAGAAACGCGACGAAGGGTCCAAGAAGCAATTCACCCACACCTCTCCGCGTACGTTGCTGGGTGTGCTGCGTCTGTCCCAGGCGCTGGCCCGGCTGAGATTCAGCCGCGAAGTCGTCAACGAAGACGTCGACGAGGCGTTGCGGCTCACCGAAGTCTCCAAAGCAAGTCTGTACCACGACCAGCGCGCCCAAGGCGATCAGACGGTCAGCTCGCGCATTTACGACCTAATTCGCGCGATGAGGGAGTCCGGAGCCGCGAGTGTTGGGCGTGGAACAAGAGGTGAATTGAATCTCGCGCGTGTCAGAGACTTGGTTACCGCCAAAGGTTTCACGAGTGATCAGTTTTTGAGGACCATTGAGGAGTATGAACTTCTGGATGTGAGTTTTGGCCTTCTTTATGCGTGGCTTCTTTCGATTATGTCTCCCTTACTAATGAGGAATTCAGGTCTGGCAAGTCGCGAATAATGGTACGAGGCTCGTTTGGATCGAGGCCGGCGATAGCGACGAAGATGAAGACGAGGATATGGATGAGGGTGACGATGAGTGATGAGGGCCAACTCAATTTAATTGACTGGTATCGGACTCAAGGGTCCCCAGTTCAACTTGACGAAGTCTCCGTGGCATGATATCCGTCATCCCAGCAAGCGAATTTTTCGGGTTTGACATCTCCACCTCAGTTTCATCCTCGGGGGCTCGGAAGAAGCGAGACGGGATACTTTCCCACACCCGGCGTTAGGATGGGATGTGACTCTTTGGCGTGGCGTTGCGAATTTCCTATCACAGGATATTCGCCATCAACGATGTCGACTTTCTTGTCTTGTCTTTCGCGCTGGACCAAAACTCCACACGCAGAGAAAACGAAATGTGGTCTTTTATGCATGAGATGGAGAACTGAACTTTCAATCGGGTTAAAGGGAAAGACAAAGAGTAACTTGCACGGGGCCCTGAAGCTTGCGGCTTGCAGCTTAGACGCATGGGAATGAACTGGTCCTAGTGCGAAGGATTTGCCTGGCTAGAATGATAATGTTTTGTGATTCCTGTTTCTCTTTGCATGCCTGTCTCTATCGACAGTATTTAACTTATCGATCGTCGAGCATCAGATGTCTGCATAATTGAGAGACGCACATCTGAACTGTCTGGGACGAATGGATCGTAAAGACATGGGCCAAAGGGTGTACCAGGAAAGTCAGGACCAAGAGGCTCCTCCTCACCGCATTCATCCAAGTATTTTCAAGCCTTTTCTCCGGTTTCCATCCTTCTCTCTTTCTATTTCGTCAAGATTTCTCTGGTAAGCTCATTCCGTATTCTAACTGCCGTTCGTGTACTCCACACTCCAAACCATTTTTCCTGCGAGTGGGCTGCAAAAGAATCGAAACAAAGTGAAGAAACCAAAACACCGTACCATGAATGCGGGGCCGTGGCCTCACCATCACCGAACGTTGAAACCAGGACACGCACAATTGTCCAAATGTTGCTCATGCCGGGAGACTTTTGCGGCCGTATCAATTCGTCCCTTGCTCCAATGCTCGAAATGCCCATGCTGCGCCTGCCGCGTTAAACCACACACATACACGCCGTCAATACAGGTGTGAAAAAAAAGAGGAGAGGAAACATGGAGCGTTTGTAACCCGGCCATGAAATCAAGCCTCCAACCTTCCCGAATGCAAAGGCTTCCTCAACGCAATATCGTCCTCGTCTTCACTGGCAGCATGCTCACCTTGGTCCTGATGCGGATTCATTCCTGTGTGACCAGCTCTCATGCGACGATTGTGCTCTATCTGATCCCGAAAGGCATTCCCTGTACCCTGCGGCCTCACTGGGGTGGGCACTGGTAGTGGACCTGGAGGTGAATAGGGCTGTCTTGTCACACCACCGGTAGCATAACCAGTTTCGACATCCATATCCAGAGACGGGTTCGGAGAATGTGACGTCAAATCTTGCTTGTTAAGACGCGAGTGAAAACCTCGGCGATGAGAGGGGAAATCCATTTCGTATCCGGAGACTCCCTCCTCCTCATCGTCGGCCGAGACTCGGTCAACTAGGACCTCGAGCGTCTGGCTGTCGACCATGACTTTGCCTGGAATCGGTCGTTTGATGGGCGAACCCCATGCTCTCATCGGGTAGGCACGACCTTTCTCCCAGACATGGCTGATGGGAGGGAAATACTGGCGATATGCCCCCCAGGCACAGAGAATGCCCAGGGCGGAGCCGAACAGAACATCGAATGGATGGTGACGGGCGTCCATGATGCGGGACATGGCGACGCATGCGGCGGCGAGAGTGGGGATGAGGACGACGAAGGTGCGCCAGACCTCCCCTTTTTGATCGAGGACGTGAAGTTTAGCGGCAAGGTAGAGGGAGAGGAAGAAGAGACCGGCAAAAGAGGAGGAAGAGTGGCCCGACGGGAAAGACCGGAAGCCTGGGGGAATTAGTCGAAGAGGGGGGAAAAGAGACAGAGTGAGACTGACCATCTTGCATGATAGCCTCGTCCTCTTGAGTGCAAATTGCCTTGGTGGCAAGGCCATAAGGGACCCCGTCCGCCGCACCGGGTCGAGGTTGACATCGGTCAATGAGATCGGGACGAGGCTTGCCGCAGAGATTCTTCAGAGAACCAGTGATGACAAACGCGGCTCCCTGAGCGAGCAACAGGCCTAGCCAGCCACAGTTGAGTTCCCATAGCCGATCCCACAAGGAATATGGGGACCGAGTCGCGGCGGTTCGGCGGCGGTGGGAAAAGAACCCGTCGATAAAAAGCGTGTAGACGGCGATGACGACCGCGGGGAATCCGCCAGAGATCACAAGGGCGAGGTAAATGGGGATTCTCTCATGGACGGCGTAAGGGTATTGGATGGAGATGTTGGCGAGGGAGAAGTGCTGAGAGAAAGGAGTGATGAGTTTATCGAGGGCAGCATAGATGATGGCGAGGATTCTGTCGGGAAGTTAGACCGTGTGTTGGGGATACGGAAATATTGGCTGCTGGCGTCGACATACACGATAATCAAATAATCAATAGCGTACCTGGAAGAACAGAGATGCGATCAGCAAACATGGCTACACAGTTGGGCGGGTAGAATCCAAACATACGAGACGATGGCCCTGGTCGACATGCGACGATTGGACTTTGATGGAACGGGAATTTTATTCAGTAACTGATCCATCCTCGGACTGTCTGTCCCGCAATAACAGGATGAATATGGACAAAATGAGCGTAATCAGATGGGCGGTGTCATCTGGGAGCAAAAGAGGGAGAGAAAGGAATCCGATTCCGTCAATCCCTTTGTTTTTTTCTTTTGTGCTGATTCCTTTGTTGAAGTCCGACGACAAGCATAATTTCTGGACAGGTGTCGCGTGCTCCGGACGCAACATGAAACACAGCTGATGTCTGTGGCGCAGGGCGAGATCTTAGGTCGCAAGTTTAGGGGAGAAGCTGCCTGAGTGGCTCCAGCCCGGGGGGTGTGGGGGGTTGGTTTAGGCTCGTCGATGTGCCCTAAAGTCTTGGGAGCATCTTGGGCTTTTCTGGGCGCCAGTATTTCTTGGTAGGTAAGATGAGGCTGTGCGAGGAGATGCGTCAGGATTCAATTAAGTTAATCGACATCAGATTGAACGAGCATGTCTCTGTGATCCATGTAAACTACAGAGTTCCCTATTGGGCCTGGATGACCACGTAGTTAAATGGGAGGTAGCACTCCGTTCTCTATATACATAAAATCACAGGGCGCCTGGGAGGCCGGTACTTCGCTCTCCTAATATTCTGCTCATCTCGTGTCTCATCCTGGATCGTATCCCCTGGGCCACCGGTATCCTGATGCCCTCCTATCATGCATTTTCTGTGCCGTCCTCTTTCGGTATAGCCAACTGACACGGTCTGCTCCTCTCTTTCTCGTTCACATCCGCTTCATCAACTGCCCATCAGAGTTACTAACTTGTCACTCGCCATGCCTTGCCTTCGTCTATCTCAATTGGGTCAGCGACACCCCCCGCCTCCCTGCTTTTCCGAGTTTATCCTCTTTCCAGCACTTGATCCGAGGTTTGTCCCCTATTGAGGGGTCTCTCTTCTCCGACTCAGATTCTCAGTCCTGCCTTTTTACCCCGCCCTCCAACGTATTCCCGAGCTCCAGACCACGGCCGAGACGGTGGCTTCATCATGGCTTCGACTCTAGATGTCAGCGATAAAAGAGAAAATTCTATCCTGCTGTACGAACTCAGCTGGTCAGACACGGTGTCCTCGTCCACACTCCGTTGTGTTTCATCGTCCTTCGACTGGCCTTGAATACGTTGATCCATCTCAATCCATTATTTTGAAAACATGGCAGATTACTCCAATCTTCCCGATTTCGACTCCCTGCCCCCCGTCCAAGGCATGCCACAAGGCTGCGCCTGGGGCATCTTCGACCAGGATGGCAAGAAAGACCATCTGGGCTGCTTGAACCTCCTTACCCCCCAAGTCGTCCAGGAAGCATTCAAAGAAGCCCGAGACGGTATCTCCATCTCCTTGAACTGGCCCATCGGTGCCATCAACAAACCCGGTTTTGCTCGCAAAGGCCTCGAGCACAAGGTCATGTCCTTCAAAGAAGGCCCCTTTGACCTCTGGGGCTTCGATGATGAAGTCGAATTCAACACCCAATGTTCCTCTCAATGGGACAGTCTGGTACACTTCGCTCACCAGCCCACGGGACTGAGCTACAACGGTGTCCAACCCACCCGCGAATCCCTGGTCCAAGGCTTCGGCACATTTGATGTCGAAAAAGCCCTCCCCACCCTCAACCACTGGCATGACCGCGGCGGTCTCGTCGGTCGAGGCGTCCTCCTCGACTACCGTGCTTATGCCGAGGCGAAGGGGATCCAGTACGACTGCTTTGACTCCCACGCCATTTCCGTGCAAGACCTCGAAGCCGTGGCCCAGCACCAAGGCACCCAATTCAAGCATGGCGACATCTTGATCGTTCGCTCGGGCTTCACTGAGGAGCTAGGTACGGCATCGGCCGAGGAGCAGGAACGTATGCTCGGCACCCACAAGGCAGTCGGCGTCAAGGGATGCAAAGAAACCGCCCGATGGGTATGGAACCACCATTTTGCCGCTGTTGCAGGTGACGCTATCGCCTTTGAAGTCCTCCCGCCCACGCTGGAAGAGGAGAACAATCGAACGGGAACAATCGCGGAACTCGGTAAGTCATAATTCCACCCCCTTGTCGACCTAGAACTCAAACTCACTCCTCCCTCCTTATTTCCCTGGTCAAACAGTCCTGCACCAGTACTTCCTCTCGCTCTTCGGTCTGAATATTGGCGAGCTATGGGATCTCAAGGCTCTCGGGGCTCATTGCAAGAAAGTCGGCCGCTACGAATTTCTCCTCACCAGCGTCCCGCTGAATGTGCCCGGCGGTATTGGAAGTCCGCCAAATGCTTTGGCAATTTTCTAGTGGAGATTCATTGATGAGGGTTGCAAGGAGAGGGAAAGGGAGAAGAGACACGTGAAGTGGTCGAGTTTTAACGTAGCTATGTCGACGTCATCTACGTGAGGAAGTGTGCATGCCACATATGAGGACCTCAGATCTCGGGTCAACGAGCTAGTTGTCGAAGGGCAGAGGGAATGGATCGCGATGGATGGCAGAAGATAGGAGACGGAACTAGAACTCAGGAAAACTGTATCATCAATATCCATATCTCCTCAACAGTGTTCTATCTTCTTCCTGAACTCGATACCGCGAGAGACTGTTCGAGCGGTGAAAGGGGTGGTTGATCGGACCAGTGCCGTGATGTAGCCGACCCGGCCCGGTTCAAGAAGGAATTGACCAAAAAGGGGCGAAATCTGGGAACGTAGAACGCCAACTAAACGACTAACACACTGGCACTGCCACGTAGTTTGGAATCACGACTTGGGCTTTTCTTCGAGTAACAAGATCACAAAAGGCTACCTGGGACAGAAAAGCTTCCGGGACACGTATTCATACGAATGGCAATTTGGGGTCTACAGAGGAGCTTGTAATTTGAGGCCAAGATCTCGGTCTTCTGGCTTCGATATTCTTGTCTATCTGGCTAACAATTCCCTAGCCCTTTAACCCTTGGGTCTCGCAATAATACACATGGTCCGTTCAACTATACTCTGATCCGTCTTCCTAACTTGGCTAATTCGCCCATGATACCACCATTACTGAGACCTCGATACTCCGCAATGGCGGCCTCCGTCAGAGTCGTTTGCAACACGCCACTGCGGACGAAGTACTCGAGCAAGCCCTTCGATTCCAGGACACTTGACCCGTTCAGGTCCAAGAGCTTGATGCCCTCGGTTCGAGGCATGAGATCCATCACGTATGGGTCGGCTTTGCTGTAGGGTGCTGGGAGCGGGAAGTCTGGGGAGGTGGGCGAAATGCCTTTCGCCCGAGCCTGCATTTGATTGAGGAGCACGGTGAAGGTTGGATACGCTGGCGTGTTGGAGCCGGACGTGCAGAAGAACATCAGACCGCCGTTTGCCAATGGCGACGGCAAGGCGGCATCGTTGTTTGAGAATAGCAGATTGGTGAATTGCCGGATTAGGGTGAATTGATGGGCGTGGATGATTTTGAATTCAGCGCTGCGGTATTTCGTGGGGCCCATCCAGTGATCAAATCCATCAACAGTGAGGAGGACTGGTGGTCGTGGTTTCGTGCCCGGTTCGTGGAGTTCTCGCCAGAATGCTTGCCAGACGGGCCAAGCCAACGTGTGGTCTTCCACGGCAACTTGAGCGAGGTCTTTAAGAGTGGCGTGGGGTTTCAATGAAAACTCTTTTGGGACTGGATGGTTGAGTTTGAGCGTTTTCAAGACTGCTTCATTAGAATACATGGCTCGAGTGAGGAGGGCTTGCGTCAAGTGCGGGTGGATATAGAGTTGTTCAGACGTGGCATGTTCCGCTCCACCCTCTTTCACAGGCGCGTAGGATGATGTGTTGTTGACGAAATCTTTGGCTGGACGAAAATGTCAGCCGGAAGATGTTTGGGGAAAAGCTCAAGCTGGAGGATATCTTACCTTCTGGCACATTGATGACCACCCAGTTGTTCATGAAAGCCATACACATGGTTTGAAGCATTAACGTACTCTTGCCCGATGCTTTCTCCCCAATGACCAGGTGCTTGACAGTTGTCGGGCTCGGAGAATTGCTCAGCTTTTGAATGTCTTGACCAATTTTGAGAGTCTCGGATCGAATCAATGTCGCCGGTCTTCGAAACAAGCTCCAGTTTTGTGTCCTTTTGAATGCCTTGGAATCTCTCAATTGATCCAGCAATGCCCCATCTAGACCTAGCACTTGTCCAGCACAGGCCGGATCGACCATGTTCTCTTTACTCCAATTCTGCAGGTCAGAAACCGCAATGGCGTTGGTATTGCTGAGGACAATGCGCTGGCGTTGAGCTCTCCGTTCTCCAATCGGCGGAGGTTTGGGACGGTCTTTACCCTTCTTTTTCATCCGCATGGAGAGCGCTTGGCGATGTCTGACTTCGGGCCGTGGACCAGTTTTCTTCTTTACAGGATTTGCATATCGTGCCGCGGAACTATGAAAGGCGAATGACTGGGGAGTCTGGATAATTCCTGAGGCGACGGCGGTGGTTGTTTTTGACGAAATTCGTAGCTGTGAGAGGCAGTCGGCACATATTGACAGAGACATAGCGATCGAGGCCAAGGAGGCCGTAGCGTTACACACGTAGACTCGTAGGGGAGCAGAAGATTTCTAGTCAATGGAACGATCGAAAACAGTGAAAGGTGCTGCCCCGAAGTCCGCAAGCTCCGCCAAGATCTGTTGTGGAACCGGTTAAAGCGGCAACACAAAAAAAAAGTTGAGAATATTTGTGTCAATCACGCTGCAGAGAGGGTCATTCCCAAACATTTTTTTTTTTGTTTAATTGTTTTTAAAACGGCTGCCACAGATATGGCCACGCAGACCGCGGCAGACACTCCCATGGAGGAGGTATCAGCACCGACTCTTTCAAATAGGACAGCATCCAAGCCAGAAAGACTGTGAGTTTGCTCGGTCTACGGTCTTGCCATGAACAATTGAACTCATATTTTGAAGACCGACAACAGTGGACAAACCCACACCATACACCTATGAGCTAGGATATCTAACAGCCGTCGACCCGAACCCCCTCCCCAGCACAACAAGTCTCCTGGCTTCGTCATTAGCCGACCGCAATCAAACCCTACAAACCGTCGCCCGGGATGGCGCACAATCACTTCTCAACACCCTTTTGACCAGCTGTAACATAACCTCCACTTCCGACGGCCTTATAATGACTCTACCGCCACCCACAAACCCCCTACCACGGTGGAAACCGCTCCCGAAACCTAAAGCACCCACGAAGTGGGAGTTATTTGCTCGTAAAAAAGGCATTGGTAAATACGGCGGCAGCGTCAAGGGCGGAGCGGCACTCCAAGAGCGGAGAACGAACATGGTCTTCGACGAAGAGTCAGGCGAATGGGTGAAGAAGTGGGGTTACAAAGGGAGGAATAAAAACAGAGAGAGTGACTGGTTGGTGGAGCTAGATGATGACAAGGTGAGCAGAGAGAAAGATGGATTTGGCGGAGAAGGCAGGACTGTCAGAGGAGAAGGCAGGCGGGAACGAATGGAGAGGATCAAGAGACAGGAGAGACGGCAGAGAAATAATGAGCGGAGGAGTAGAAAGGCTGGGAAATTCGGTTAAAACAAAAGGCGTTTACCTCTTGCAATGGCAAAGCTGTCTGAAAAGCTTTGACTGTCAACCGTCATAAACCGGATGTGACGAATGTCTCATCTCTTTCATACACGGTCCGACATCGTAAGATCGAGGGTGAAGTTTTTCTACTCAACATGGGGCCAGATCAGGGCTATGATCCAAGAGAGCTGACATCAGGCCGACGAGGCCGGCGTCTACGAAGAATGTGACATTGGTAAGACCTCGAACTCGCGAGACAGCACTGTTTCTCCCCCCCCCCCCCAACCAATGAGACAAAATGAGACAGTGAGCCAGTCCAACCATAGGATTACCGCCAATGCTTGGGTCATCAGTGGAAAGCTACCGAAGGCTATCTATCCAATCTGGGCTTTCTTTCGAGCCTTTTCACCATATATCTCTTCTTCCTGGACTTAATCATACAAAGGAGGTGTTTTCACCATTCCCTCTTGCGCTTTGGCTCCTGTTTCTTTGTCTCTCCTCGTAAACTTCATAGTTTCCAGAAACAAAATGCAAAGACCATACAAGCGTAAAAACATCAGTTGTAATTCCAGATCAAATAGATAATACAAGATATGTTCTGGAGCCCCGCCGGTGTTGCAGTAGTGGCGGCAAGGCATCCAGAAATAAAGCCAAATCTTTCCAAACCGCCTCTTCTTAAGCTCTCGATGGTTTCCCAAGGGGTATCGTCGCAAGTGGCAAAAACATACCAGGTTACATCCTGATGGGAGAAAGTCCAGTCAACTCGGGCAGCTTTTGTTCGAGTGATAATTTAGGGGGCTCCGGAGTAACCATCCTCGGGACAGCAGGGACACTTTGACTGGTGGCATGCCCGCTATCCGATCTCTCTCTAACACCGGCTCCATAAGACAAGCTCCTTTGCTTTGTCTTGGGTGCCATCGACTTGCGTTGGGCCGCTGCGTCTGCACTTGGGGGGGGAGCCGGAGCTTGTTGTTGGCTGCTGCCACTTGAAGAGATAGCCCGGTCGTCCACAGCGAGATCTTCGCTCTCATTGATGGAGCCCTCACGCTCGTAACGATACTCTTCTTCTAGGTACTCTTTCTCTGTCCAACATCCCTGCCAGCAAGCCTTCCAATCCATGACGAGGAATTGGAAGCAAAAGGCATCAATTTTCAGACAGGGCTGGAAACAGATGCATAGGTTGCGATAATCCATCTTGTTCTTGTCGGCATAGCTGTGGAGAAGACTCAGGTGGCAAGTAATTGCAAAAAGGAGATAATAGTTGAACGGCGGCAAACGCGACAATTCATCCTTCAGAAGCTGGGGCGCTCTTGTTGCGCCCGCACATTCAGTGGCCACCTTGTTTTGAACAGACTTGGGAAGAATCTCATCGGGCAATTCTCGCAACCATGATTTGAACATAGATCCGATGGTGTTGATGTCGTACAATTCGGGTTCGTCAAAGAGATTGATATCGTATTCGGTGTCAAAGCGACGTTGCCAGTGTTTGACATCTTTACCACTACCAGGAATTCGATAAAGGCCTTCCTCTTCGGAACCATTCATGTTCAAGTAACTGCACGTCATAGTTAGCACGGCAAAAATTCCGCGAGGGAAAAGAAAAAAAATTCACATACTCGATGCATCGCCAGGGCAACGCCGGCATCCAATATTCCGTTTTGTCCTTGGACAATTCAAGTCGTCGGGCAATTCTGGTTTTTCGAGTTTGCTTGACCAGTGGGAGGTTGATTGTCGTACATACGTAATTGTCATCCGTGACAAGTTCGCGCTCGTTGCTACTCCCGCTTCGTGTGATCTTCCCGAATAAGCCCTTTCCGGCCTTACCCAGGCGATCACTCATCCCTTTGCCTGTTTGACCAATATTTGAAAGAATCTGAAGTGTCGATCCGTCACGGAACGATTGTGACAAAGGAACTCCCCCTGCTGGACGCTCTTTCTTGGCCACACTGGACTCGTCGCGAAGCTGACGATCGGCGGAGCGATTCCGAACGCCGGCACCATTTTCCGTTGTGAAGGCTCTTTCCCGGCGATCTGGTTTGACGGGAGCTGTCTTGGGGGATGGCTCAAGGTGCTCCGTTTTGGAATTTGTCGTGTCGAGTTGAAGATGGCTAGGGGGTGAACCCTTGAGCTTTGTCGTCGCATCGTCCATTTTGACCGTCTTAGTTCTTGAAAGTATTCCTCCAAACTTTGACTTTCCCTTCTTACTGACCGGGGCGGGCTCCGTGTGTGCTTGCGAGGCGGTAGATTCGGAAGAGGTGGGAGGATTGTTGCCATTGGAATTCCCATTACCAGATCCGAATCGAGGTAATTCTGGGGTGGAACCCTGCTTCTTAACTGAATGAAGAGACCTATCTTTCGAACTTGTCCGGCTCCTTGCATGGGGTTTCTCCACGGCTTCGGGTATGCTTGTTTCCGACGAATGGATTTTGTGGGAAGATTTGGAGGCCATCAAATTTGAAAAGAAATTTTTCGACGTGTCCCGACCATGCTTGGGAGATTGGGGCATAGGTGAAGGAGGAAACTCAGGCATCGCCGTGATTTTGGGGGAGTTCGGCTCCGTTCGAGATTCCTCATTCTGACTCTCTTGGGATGTAGATACCTGGTGCACCATGGAGGATGGTGGAGGCCCTTGCAGAAATGGGGAACTCGGTGCTGATGCTGGAGTGTGAGGGGAGCCAGTCGAGCGAGGACTCAAAGTAGCGGGTGTTAAGCCATTTAATTCCTCATTGTCTTTGGGAGACAAGTTGAGATATGGGACAGCCGAGGATTTAGGCATATCTGCAACTCCTTAAAATTGTTATTCACAGGGCCGACTGCAGGTAGCCGGCCGCGCGAGGTCAATGGGACCGCTGATATCTTCCGCTGGATGCCCTCCGTACCTTTACCACCTCTTTGAGACGACAGATGTAGTGATGATATTTATTCAATAGATTCGACAGAAGGGGGATGACAGGTTTTGGACCCAACGAGGTGCTGTCGTCGTAGGAGTATCGTGTTGTTTAGGCGTAGGAACATTGACTGATTCCTCCTCCTGACGGGGCCAGGGTTTGGAGGCGTTTCAGGGTCTCTTCTGGGTGAATAGACCGCGTAATCAGTCCTGAATTTATCCAACCAAAGTTGACACCAAGGTAGGTAAGGCTTCGTAGTTTGTATCCTTCAATGGGCCGATCGAGGCGAGATTGAACCAGCAAAGCCTCTGGAGGGGACGAAAAGGAATTGTTCGAAAAGGTCCCGAAGCTCTTGGATCAGACAACTTTCATTGCAGGATAGGATCGTGTGACAGGCAGGCTGTCAAGGTTGCGAGGTGGCTTAGGAGGAGAGCGGCTAACAAAGGAGGAATTTGTTAGGATTGAAGGAATGACAGAAACATAAAGAGGCGGGCAGCCAGGTTCGGGGGCCCAATGCTCAATGATCCGCGCAACAATGCAGGGACAAATTAGTCCCGTAGCAAAGGACAGATGTAAAAGCACTCCGCGCCGGCCCAGGAGAAGATGATGCGATGGTTATAGGTTGTAAGGGGAGGAGAATAGTAGTGGGTTGAGAGAGATTTGCAGCGCAGTGCGTAAATGGGTTTGGCAAGGTGCTTGTGGTTCGCGGAGGATGCAGTCGCCTGGTAGAGACGGGGCCGTGTCCAGGTGGACCGAGCGGTGAGATGGGATGGAGAGGCGGCGCCGAAACCCTGAACCAGCACCTGTGCCTGCACCTGGACCAGAACAGAAATCCGAGCGCTCCTGGTCTCGCACCAAGTGCTCACCGTCCTTTGCGGACTGTGAATTGAGCGACTCGTGGCTTCTGGCTTCTGATCGAGGGGACAATATGAGGACAATACAGGATACCAGATAGAATCGTATGTTTTGTGCCTCTGGTGAGAGTGGATGCAGATGGTATTTCTATCACGCTGGCCTCATTTGGTCCACCACCTGTCGTTCTAATGCCATGACATGCCGATGGCCCATCCAGCGTACAGCAAAGTTAGTCCCGGTACAGTATACTTCACACGGTTGCGAGTTATGCAGACAGGAGGGGGTTTGGAGATGTGCGTGGACTCTAGTTCTCCATACTATCTATGTACCAATACTGGTAACCGTACATTTCAAATGCGTTCAAAGTTGGTGCTTTGTAGAAGGCAGAAACAGTATGAGCGTGACCATTAACCACTGACAGCTTGCAGGCCCCTTGACTTTCCCCGGCTCTTGAGACGAGGCCTCGACAAAAATGTTTAGCAATATGTTTTGGCGCCGACCGAGTTGGGTTCGGCACTGCTGCAGGTTCATGGTTCTGAGGACATCGATGTCTTTAACTAGAAACTTTCGGGTATGCATGTGGGTGTGGGTTTTGGTTGAGTTTGGCAGGGGACGTGGCAGAGTCCAGGAGTAAGGGGAGCAAGCGTGGAGACAGGCCCATACCACTAGCAAAAGAGCACATGTCTGTGAAATATCTGGTAATAAGTTCCAATACGACGTCTTGCAAGCTAAATGTGCCCTCCAGGAGAACAGCTGAGTGAAGTCATTACCATCAACACTAGGTATATGCCCATGTCATCAAATGACGAGATGCACAGTTGCCCTACCGGTCAGATACAGGGCGCACTAGGCGTTAAGGCTATCGGAACACCTAATTCGTACAATAGAGCTACTGCCCGTAATCATGCCCCTGGTCGATGCTGGAGGCCTGGGACGATTTCAATAAATTACGCCAGATGGCGCCCTGGACGAAGCCACACTTTCTTTTAGGCTGAAACCTGGACTCGGGATGTGACTGCTAGTTACATCCCTGATTCTGATACGTACCTTTGCCAAGCAATGCCAGCAGGCCGTGGCCTAGTTTGTTCTGTCGCTGGCTTGTCTCCGCAAATTTGAATCGTACCATCACCATCATCAATTTGCTAATGACCAAATCATTCCTGACCTCTCTTGTACAAATAGTATTAATCAATAAAATCCCCTTTCCACGTGAAGGGCACTGACGCCGCGGCTGTCAAATCTCTTTTTTTTCTTTTTTGGCGCCATGGCATTGGTGGCTGGACCAGGGGTGGGAGGAACACCATCCTCGGTCGACAAACTTCCGGCCGACCTCAGCCTGGTCGTTGAGAAACATGTCAAATACATACAAGGCTTGGATACTGTGCGTTCATGTGAGTGGCTTTGCGCCGCAACATATTGATATCTCGCTAGCGAAAGGATGAACTCGACTACTGGTTGACCGAGCACCTAAGACTCAATGGCGTCTATTGGGGTTTGACTTCACTTTGTCTCCTTGGCCATCCAGATGCATTGCCACGCGATAAAACATTGGAGTTTGTCCTTGCATGTCAGAATCATGATGGAGGCTTCGGTGCCGCACCGGGTCACGATTCTCATATGCTGTATACAGTAAGCGCCGTTCAAATCCTGGCAACCATCAATGCGTTATCAGACCTGGACGAAGAGGGAAGAGGAGGAAAGGAGCGCATTGCAAGATGTAAGTGTCTGGAGCACACCCCCCTTATATCAGGAACTACATCCAACTCTTGACTTCCAGACATTGCTAGTCTGCAAGACCCCCAGACTGGCGCCTTTGCCGGAGATGAATGGGGTGAAACTGACACTCGCTTCCTCTGCGGAGCGTTTAACGCTCTCTCGATCCTCAATATGATGCATCTGGTCGACGTGGAAAAAGCGGTATCGCATGTTCACGCATGTACCAATTTCGACGGCGGCTTTGGCAGGTCTCCAGGCGCAGAATCTCACTCGGGCCAAATATTCACATGTGTTGCTGCCTTGACCATTGTGAGAAGACTCGATCTAGTGGATACTGACCGATTGGCTGCCTGGTTGAGCGAAAGACAACTCGCGAATGGTGGACTCAACGGCCGGCCGGAAAAGTTGGAAGATGTGTGCTACAGCTGGTGGGTCCTCAGTAGTCTTGCCATGCTTGGGAAACTACATTGGATCGATTCTACAGAATTGACAAAATTTATTCTGAGGTGTCAGGACCCTGAACAAGGGGGGATTTCCGACAGACCTGGAGACATGGTTGATGTTTTTCATACAGTCTTCGGGCTCGCAGGTTTGAGTTTACTGGGTTATCCAGGACTTGTCGAAGTCGATCCGGTCTAGTAAGTCAAAAGGAACAGGCTATCCCTGATATATCCAGCTAATAAATGATATTTGCAGCTGCATGCCCAAGGAAATCACCAGTGCATTGCCATACTATCGGTCGTGACCATACTCAACTGGGCATACACATCCTCTTGCGATCTAATAACCCACTTGATGCGCCTCCTGAGAGATGGGATACAAGGCAAGAGAAGAGTGAAGGCCACGGTGTACTATTTCCGCTTCCATCATTCTACCATCCTTGCTCTAGAGGAAACATAGACAGTGTGGCACAACAGTAAGGGTTTGATGCTTGACGAATGTGACGGAATGGCGTCTTGACCTATCCAAGCGTCGCGGTACATATTGCATACCCATCATGAGCCACGGCGGGCCCGGTAATGAGGTTAAAATGGCTGCATTTGATCGAGGTTGAGGCTAAAGGCAGGAGGTGCTTTCTACGCGAAGCTGCGATCGAGGATACTAATCGGACTTGCCTCTCTTTACATTGTGTGGTTCCCTGTCCCTCCCTCTCTTTCTCTTCTTCTGTTCTCCCCCATGCCACTTCTTGCTGATTTGTACCTCTATTTCCACCTTCACCTCACGCGACCACTACTCAGTCAACTTGCCGAGGATCTGCTTCCTGCATTGATTTTCCTCACCTCTTCCATCCTGCTTGTGTGACAAGAGGAAGGCAGTCTGTACTGTGTCTTGTTTGTTCTTGTGTTTTTCAAGTTTTGCAGTCACCACTTTGAGCGTCCTTTGCTATTCCTTCAAATTGTCTCTGAACTTGGTCTCCAGCACCATGGACCTGGAACGACTTAATTGCAGTATCTGTCCAAAACAGCCCTCGTTCAGTGATACCTCTCATCTACTCACCCATGTCAGTTCCAAAGGCCACTTATCTCATCTACACAAACTCCAGGTCCGAAGCCGTCAAGAAATTGCCGCCGGTGTTCAGCTGGCTACCTACAATCAATGGTATCAACAGCACGGCCTCGGTCAGCTCCTTTCCGAACGCATGGTCGTGAAGGAGTCTAAGAAGGCTGGAAGGAGAAAAGCCGCTACCAAAAGAGGTGCGTATGTGTCACAACAAAGCCCCATTGACAAATCCCTGTTGGATCAGCATTTGCCAGCAAAACGAACTGCCAGTGGTCGAAGTCAAAACCGGAGGGAGACAGCCCGGGGACAAAACTCCAGGAGAACTGATAGTGACCCCGACTTCAGTTCTGCCAAGAGATCAGCGTAATCTCTATGCCTGATTCAATTTTCCAGAAGAGCTAATCCACTGGTAGACGCAGACCATGTCGATCACAAATCATCTTCCCTGTCAAACGGTCTCCATCCACTGATAGCCCTCGCTCCGCCAATGACGACGGTCCAGTTGAAGATGAACACCAGATCCTCGTCACTTCTGAAAAGAGCAAGTTGAAAGGGACTATTTGGCCCGGCATGGATCTCTTTGACTCCGCCACGGAGGAAATGAAGAGAAAGAGAAACCAAAAGAAGGATAGATCCGTTCTGAGACGAATGCAAAGACTTTCTACTCTGGTGGAACCAACCGAGACTGTCTATTCTCCTGGAGGACATATCAAAAAATCGAGGCATATTGACGATCTCGAAGACGCCAGCAGCCTGATTGAGGGTGAATCTCCCCTTCCCAAGCCAAGGCAAGTTCGACCTCACAAGAGACAACCACTCGCCACCAGAGACGCCAATGCACCGCGACTAGTGAAACGCAAGACCAAAGGTGATATCTCGAAGAGACAAGCTGGACTCTCTGTTATGGATGGACTACCTCCTGTCCCATACCGGCTCAGTTCCACGGCAGGAGGTTTATATGGCCGAGGCTCTCGCTATCTCCCAACTGAAGAAGTTGAAGAGGACCTCAACCCATCGGTAACGGCTGCTTCCGGAAAACGCTCCGCTACCTTTTCAATCTTCAACGATGGCAGTCCAGACCATGTTCCAAATATCCCAACGGACGAAGGACAAAACCCACTCCGGTCTGAACATCAGATCTATACGAGGACCTCACGTCTCCAATTGCCCATGGCATCAGCAGCATGGCTTCAACCACAATATCAGTCCGCTTTGCAATACACAAACCCATATACCTCCTATCGACCGGGATATCGTGGGTACCAAAACTTTTACGATGCGTTCAATGGGAAAGAGAATGTTGCACCAGTGCCCGATCCACCACCAGAGTCACGAGGGCCAACTACAAATCCCTTACTGTGGAGGTCTTCCGTTCGTGAAGATCCGAGCCTCGTCCCTCGGGCCGACTCCCCTTTTGACGGCTATTTTGGCATGTTCCCTATCCGTGCTCATAATGATGATCCCTTCTTCACAACCAAAAACCTCCTAGCGGAGGCATTGGAGCAATTTGAGGAGGAAGAGGTTTCCGTGGCAATCAAGGAAGAAGCGTTGGGGTCCCCAGCTGGTACAGTGTCCGACTACGACACGGAAATTCCTTCTTGAACAAAACCCAGCCAAAGAGCGTATGAAACAGTCGAATGCGAGTCGAAATGTTTGAAGTAACAGCGTCCGTGGAGGTGATCTCGGCTTCAACAATTCCCCAATAAGCAGAAAATATGAGGCATAGATATGGCGAAATGGCTTACTCCCTCTTGGCAATTAGGTGAATCTCATGTATTGATTGCTTTCGAGCTCATGTCCACTAAAGTGAGACGATGGTGGGATGCGAAATGAATGGCTTATCAGATATTGGAATGTAACACTTTTCGAGGCATAGTTTGATGAGACCAAAGGAATATAGGTAGATAGTGATCGCAGGAAAGATTTCTTCGCAAAATTACTTGTACTCTGCCGTACTCGAGCGTGACGCGCTACGTTACTACGCGTTAAGGAGGTTTTCTCGTTGACTGAATACCTTCATTTGCATGATGATACTTGCCTTCCTTTTCTCCCGATTTCAGCCCAGTAAGATGAGATAGGCCTTGATGGCACCTTTACAAAAGAAGCAGCAGACCTTATCTGCTTTCTTCAAGAAGCCTCCGTCTTCTCCATCTGCCACGCCCGCTCAAGGAATACCCTCCGAAGAGGATGACGACGAGGTGTTGTTACCTACCGCAAAAAGGCGCAGAACTACTCCCGTCACTGGAGACGTGGACAGGTTTGGTGAGCACGAAAGAGATGGAATTGTCGAGAACCCGGGGGTGTTGAGACCGGTTGCGGCCGATGACCAGACGACTCCCCTAACCTCCAACGAAACCTCAGGGACTGGAAGAACGTCAAAATATCTATTCTCGTCATCGCCTCTCCAGGAAACCGAGGAATGTGGAGGCCCAGAAAAGAAGAGAAAGGACGAATTACATCGGAAATTTGTGAAGAAACTTGGAAATCCAGATAGCATTGCTGAAATCAAAAGGAGGAATCGAGCAATAGAAGAGGATACAGCAGACCCGGAAAATGAAGATGGAGAGGAAGAACTCCATGAAGAAGTGCCAAAATCGATGTCTCACGCTAGAGCAGGAGTCAAAAAGGGAGGAAGTAAATTGACGCCGATGGAAAAACAAGTCATAGAAATCAAAAGGGCTCACATGGACACCCTACTGGTTGTTGAGGTCGGTTACAAGTTTCGATTCTTTGGGGAAGATGCAAGAATTGCGGCGAAAGAGTTAAGCATTGTGTGCATACCGGGCAAGTACCGGTTTGACGAGCATCCGTCCGAAGCTCATCTGGATCGATTCGCTTCTGCTAGTATTCCTGTTCATCGATTACATGTCCATGTCAAACGGCTGGTCACCGCAGGCCATAAAGTCGGAGTTGTTCGCCAGCTTGAGACTGCTGCCCTCAAGGCTGTTGGTGACAACAGAAATGCACCATTCGTTCGAAAACTCACAAATCTCTACACCAAAGGCACTTATATCGATGATATTGAGGGTATCGAAGAGGATAGCAGAGGAAGCCCTTCACCACAATCACCGTCCACTGGCTTTCTGCTTTGCATGACCGAAGTCAACGTCAAGGGTTACGGAAATGACGAAAAGGTTCATGTTGGTCTAGTGGCTGTCCAACCTGCAACAGGGGATGTTATCTTTGATGATTTTGAAGACGGTTTCATGCGCAGCGAGATCGAAACAAGACTACTCCACATCGCTCCCTGCGAGTTTTTGATCGTGGGTGAACTCTCTAAAGCGACGGAAAAGCTTGTCCTTCACTTATCAGGGAGCAAGACAAATGTGTTCGGGGATAAGATCCGAGTTGAGCGAGTGGCGAAGCAGAAAACCATGGCGGCACAAGCACACAGCCATATATCGACGTTTTATGCTGGAAAGTTGAAAGAATCAGGTTCCGAGCAAGGCAAAGCAATCAAGACATTCGACAAGATTCTAGGTTTGCCCGAGAACGTTTCTATCTGTCTATCGGCCATGATCAATCACCTTTCTGAATATGGACTTGAACATGTCTTCCAACTCACCAAATATTTCCAGCCGTTTTCAGCCCGCTCTCATATGCTGTTGAATGGCAACACATTGACGAGTCTGGAGATATATCAGAATCAGACGGATCGTACCACTAAGGGAAGCCTTTGCTGGATGATGGATCGGACACAAACCAAATTCGGTGGGAGACTGCTTCGAAAATGGGTTGGCCGACCTCTTTTGGATCGGCAAGGCATCGAAGAACGACTGAACGCTGTTGCAGAACTGCTTGACCCAGAAAAAACCGCCAACGTTGAGAAACTGAGGCGTGTTCTGTCTAAAATCAGAACGGACCTGGAAAAGAGTTTGATAAGAATCTATTACGGCAAATGTTCGAGGCCTGAATTGTTGAATGTTTTGCAATCACTTCAATTCCTAGCCAGTGAATTCGCACACGTTACCGGTGCTGCATCTACCGGCTTCGATTCTACCATCATCTCATCCGCTATGACGTCTCTGCCACTGATCTTAACAGACGTAGTGGCATATCTTGACAAAATCAATCTTCAAGCGGCGAAATCTGACGACAAGTACGAGTTCTTCCGAGATGGTTCTGAAACAGACGCGATTGCAGAACATAAATTTGGCATTGCGGGCGTCGAGCACGACTTGGATGAATTTCGCACAACCGCCGCTGAGAAATTGGGGAAGAAGCGACCGGTCGATTATGTAACCGTGGCGGGAATAGGTTACTTGATTGAAGTCGAGAACAATTCTGCTACAATTAAAAAGGTCCCTGCTTCCTGGACGAAGATTTCAGGGACCAAAAAGGTCTCAAGATTCCATCCACCTGAAATTGTCAAGTTGTTGCGTGAACGCGATCAGCATAAAGAATCTCTCGCAGCGGCTTGTGACAAAGCATATAAGGACCTCCTTGCCGACATCAGCACGAAATACCAGCTATTTCGGGACACCATTCAAAGCCTAGCAATCCTGGATTGTCTTCTTTCGCTTGCGAATGTGGCGTCTCAACCAGGCTATGTCAGACCCGATTTCACTAACGGCACCCAGATTTGTGTCGAGGGAGCTCGCCATCCCATGGTTGAACAACTTCTAATCGACACATACGTCCCGAACAATATCTCCATCTCCCAAGAAGCAACGCGAGCTCTACTTGTGACAGGTCCAAACATGGGTGGCAAATCTTCCTACGTGCGCTCCGTCGCCCTCATCTCGATCATGGCGCAAATCGGCTCATTCATCCCGGCCACGTCCGCGACACTGGGCATTCTCGACGCCGTCTTCACGCGTATGGGCGCCTTCGACAACATGATGTCCGGCGAGAGTACTTTTATGGTGGAGCTGAGTGAGACAAGCGATATTCTCAAGCTGGCGACGGAACGCAGCCTCGTCGTCCTCGACGAACTCGGCCGGGGCACTAGCACGCACGATGGGGTCGCAATTGCAGCCGGCGTGCTCGATTACCTCGTTCGTGAACGCAAGTGTCTCACCCTTTTCATCACGCATTACCAGATGCTGGCGCACATGGCAAATGGCTTCCCACGTGGCGAGTTGAGGAATGTCCACGTGCGCTTCACGGAGGAGGACGACGAAAATGTCACATTCTTGTATGAAGTTGCCGAAGGCGTGGCCCATCGCAGTTACGGATTAAATGTGGCGAGGCTGGCAAATATTGGTCAGAGCGTCATTGATATGGCAAGAGAAAAGAGTGCAGAGCTCGAGACGACTACCAAAGCGAGGCAGATTGCTGCGATGGCGAGGATGCTAGCCGGCACGGATGTGCGAGAGGTAGGAACGGAGAGGCTCGATGCGCTCGTTGAAGGGATTGAGATGCTTTGAGCCTTAAAAGCGAGGCTGAGGCTAGTGACCGAAAAGGAGCATATGACCTCGGATGGTATGGGATTAAAACTACGGTGATGATCCCGACGGCCAGGTGTGTTTTGTGCTGCAAAAGCTGACGAGGCTGAGAAGCGCACAACCCCAACCTCCACGGAACTAGGAGACTGGTATGAATATCTCGTACAGACTTTGTTGTGACGGACGGAACTTTCAGACTAGTAAAGGAATCATCATAATTAACCATTCACTTGCATTGGAATTTTGTCAAGACCCGCGGCTATGCTAAGATTGGTCTCCTACGAGTGCGGGCGGGATACAATGCGTGCATGGCAAAGGGCTTTCTTCGTGTATTTTCATGCCATCGTCGTAACCTCATAGAAGTAACCCCAATTTGCTCTTCTCGGCTCAGCTCGCTTCCTTTCTCCGTAGCCACTCAAATTCATGCCACCAGCCTCAAGAGTTGCCGGGTTTGATTCGGGGTAATTTACAAGTCCATCACCACGTCACCTTCAACGACAATATTATCCTGCGCATTTGGTAGTCCAATCACCGCAACTCCAGCAGGGATGCGGGTCCCTCTGGCATTGAAACAAGCGAAGACAGCCAGCTTGGAGAGGGCCGGGCAGCTCTTGAAAATACCCGCCATAACGACCTCGTCAACTTGCGTCACGAACGACAGGTCCATGTCCTGCAGAAACGCGTATTTCTTCTCGCCATCAAAGACCTCCATCAGCGCTTCGTGAGAGATGTGTCGATTCGCTTTAAGATTCAGTCGTTGGAGGCGCTTGCCAGAGTGATTCATGAGGCTGGCCAATGCGGTCGAGCCGAAACCAATTGGGTCGTCAACGTCTCCGTCCGGATTCATGTTGTCAACGTCTCGGTTGTCGGACAGGTCGGCGTACACGAGCGGGGGAATAGGGGAGTTGTTGTCGAAGAGTTCGGCGAAGGCGCGGTCGGAACAGAGACTGCTTCCACGGATGCGAAGTTTGGTCAATTTATTACAGTGGTTCTTGATCGCCTCGAGTACGGCATCGTCCAGATTGGAGAAGTCTTCTAGACATAGTGTTCGTAGATTGTGGCCGAGAATCGAGATGAGCTGAACCAAAGTGACAAATGAAGTCTCTTGTTGAGCAACGCCGAGAGTCAAGTGCTCAAGTTTGGTCAGCGCGCAGAGAGAGTGAATTGACTCTTCTCCCATGTATGAACAAGATCTCAACTTGAGTCGTTTCAGGTTCTGGCAGTGCTTCGCCAATTCTTTCACCGTATCATCTTTCAAAGAGTCATTGAGCTCTGATAACTTCAGGCTTTCTAGCTGAGGACCCAGTTTGCGAAACAATTCCACCCATGCAGTGTCAGAGACAAGATTTGTCGCACCTAGTTGCAAATGACGGATCTTCTTGCATTTATCCACCATGTAGAGCAACGGTTTATCCTTCAGTTGGCCTGCAAACCGCAAGTTGACGATTTCTACCTGAGGCATGTATGCAAAGATCTTTTGGAAATCTTCCTCTTCGAGCTTGCCACAGTCGTAAATTGCAATACGATCGACGTCAGGGCGCAGGAAAAGCTCCAGAACTCGAGGTGTGAGCACTCGCTGTTTGGAAAGAATCTGGCTCAACCGGTCAAGCAGATTCTGGGGCATGTCACCAAATTCTTCGATGTCATGGACGACATTGGCAACTCGACGGACACAGACATCCACGAGACTTTTAGCACCGGGTTTGACATCTCCCATCAGTCGATCGCTTTCAGCTTGTCGACGACGACCTCGTGGAATGGAGGCCCTTTTCTTCTTGGCCTGCGCCTCCTTCTTCTCCTCATCCTTGAGCTCTTTGGAACATTTAGTGCACAGCAGACCACCATCTGGGCCCGTCTTGCTGTATGGCGTCACAGTGAATCTCTTTCCGCATATCTCACAGTTCTCAAGTTGGCCAGGTAGCGGTTTTGATTTTTCAAGCATGCCTCGAGCCAGAGCATCATCTTCTCCCTCGTCGTCTTCATAGTCACTTCCGCGGTTCTTTTGCTGAAGATACTTGCGGCGCTTGAATTCTTTGCTCTGCTTGATTTTCATCAAAGCCATCTCCTCTTTTCTCTTGCGCTTCGTGCGCTCGACTGGGTCTTCCTCAGCATCATCAGACTCATGCTCATTGTCTTGCGCGGCGTGGTTGGCATTTTCTTGCTCTTGCCGCTGAGCCTCTTCTAGACGACGTTGGTAGTCTTGTTGAATCTGGTGCGCCGAAATATTGTGAGATGCAAGGAAATCCGTGAGGGCCGATTGAGGCCCGCGAATGCGATTCGCGGCAGCAGCTCGTCGGGTCGACCTGAAGGTCCATGTCAGTGCAAGGCTCTGGCTTTCAGGAGAAGTCGAGTTACATTGTCAACGGGCTTTTTCAAGGATCTCAGGCGACGATGTGCTGTGTTGTTGACCCGGATCTTTGCTCAGGAGAAATTTATGATAAAGAGCAGGTAGGTTTGTTCACGGCTTTGACGAGGCAGGGATACGATCTCAATGGCAGTTGTTTTTCACCCATCAGCACTTGAAGTTCTCACTTCTGAGCGGCATCACGTGCCGTACAACCACTTAAAGTCGCCGGGGGACGCGATGGGGTTCAACGCGTCTCAGGCAGACGCGAGCTAAGGCCGTCATTTCACGTGCACCGCGCAGTTTGATTGGCCCTTAAGTCGAAGAACACCACTGTACCAGCCAAATTCTCCTTTTCCTTCCTTCTACGGTACCATCGCACTCGACAGATTGGGTCCAAGATGGGTGCTCGCAGACGTCCATCGAGGCCAGCAGCCTCAAAACATGTATCTGGTAAATTTCCTACCTGAGTCGCTCAAGAATCCATCCCTTCGTCGCTGACACTTTTTCGCAGCCTCGAAACTCGCCAAACCAGAACCATCCCTGTCGACATCTAAACGAACGTCCAAAAGGAGCACTAGAGCTTCACAACCCATAGAAATACCCGACTCCGACGATGTCGCCGACTTGACTTTATCAGAACCAGTCTCCAAGGGGACCTTTCAAAGAACTTTTGTTGACAATACTGGCTCTACTTCTGCGAGACGCCAACTTCGACGACGTCCTGACTCGACTGCCCCATCTTCGATTGCTGATTCCCTAGAATCGTCAAGCTACGAAACTCCTGGAACAAGCACAGTCCCAACACCCAATGTGGTCGACAACGGTCCCTTCAAATCCCGTGTTGGAGCCACAGCTCGGGCCTTGGAGTTGCAGTCCTCTGAGTTTGCCCTCCGCAGCCGCAAGACATCTGCAAGAAAACGAAATCGTGATGATCTGGATGATGGAAACTCCAGAGAGGACCGAGATGCGCAAATCGCGGCCGAATTTCAAGCAGAAGAGTACAACATGGTGAATGATTCCGAAGACTCTGATTCGATGCCCTTGGTAAAGAGACGCCGTCGCCCGTGGAATGGAGAAGAACTTGTCGAGCTGAACGATGACGACCTTCCAATTTCATCTCGTCAGCGACCCAGGCTCGCCATGCAACAGACACCCAACTCCTTTGGCCTCCCAGGTGCCTCACTCCAAGATTCAGAACTATCTTCGGTTGTTTCTCTTGACGAAACAGGCATTTCGGATTTTGACGTTGATTCTATGTCCGCTGCTCCATCGGAAGCCTCTGAGGAACCTATTGCCTCGGTCAATCTGTCGACGGGGCGTATGGTCACTAGAAGTCGGCCACGACTCAGAGGATTCCGCGACTTGCGATATGATGCCGTCAACCGCCGGAGAATTCGTGAACGCCAGAAACTTGAGATCGCTCACCCAGAAATCAAGACGATGTGGACGGACTTGGAGGCAATTGAACCAATTAAGCCCGTTCCGGCCGAACAACCAAGCGGCATCAATCGCAAGCTCAAGACCTTTCAGCTAGAGGGCCTCGACTGGATGACCAAACAGGAGAAATCCAGATGGAAAGGTGGTCTCTTGGGCGATGAAATGGGCATGGGCAAGACCATTCAAGCTGTGAGCTTGATCATGTCCGACTGGCCAGCCAAACAGCCAACCCTGGTAGTTGTTCCCCCCGTTGCTCTCATGCAATGGCAGGCGGAAATCAACGACTATACGAGTGGCAAGCTCAAAGTTCTTGTCTATCACGTTTCCGCCAATCCAAAATGTAAGCTTCTGACCACCAAAGACTTGAAGAAATACGACGTCATCATGGTTTCCTACTCCGGTCTAGAATCGATGTATCGAAAAGAACACAAAGGATGGAATCGTAACGATGGCGTCGTGAAGGAGGATAGTGTGTTGCATTCCATCACATACCACCGGTTGATTCTCGATGAAGCTCACAGCATCAAACAACGAACCACGAGTGTGGCTAAATCGTGTTTTGCCTTGAAAGCGAATTACAAATGGTGCTTGTCTGGCACTCCCGTTCAAAATCGCATCGGAGAGTTCTTCTCTCTTTTACGCTTTCTTGAAATCAAGCCATTTGCGTGCTATTTCTGCAAGAGTTGCAAATGTTCTCAACTCCATTGGAGCCAGGATGAGGCAAAGGCATGTATCAGTTGCAAGCACAGTGGTTTCAATCACGTTTCGGTCTTCAACCAGGAAATCCTCAATCCTATCACCCAGGGAGATGATAGGGAATTGAGAAAGAAAGGCCTTGATAAGCTGCGTTTGATCACCGATCGTATCATGCTACGTCGGATGAAGCGAGACCATACATCTTCGATGGAGCTGCCGCCCAAAGATGTTGTCATTCACAATGAGTTCTTTGGCGAGATTGAACGCGACTTTTCTCAGAGCATCATGTCTAACTCAACTCGGAAATTCGATACCTATGTTTCCCAAGGTGTTATGTTGAACAATTACGCCAACATCTTTGGTCTCATTATGCAAATGAGACAGGTGGCCAATCATCCCGATCTTATTCTTCGGAAGAATGCCGAAGGTGGACAGAATGTCTTGGTCTGCTGCATTTGTGATGAACCGGCCGAAGAAGCCATTCGATCACGTTGTCGTCATGAGTTCTGTCGACAATGTGCAAAATCATATGTCCAATCTTTTGCTGGTGGTGGCGGCGACGCAGACTGTCCGAGATGTCATATTCCTTTGGTCATTGATTGGGAGCAACCTGAAATTGAACAGGACGAGGACAACATCAAAAAGTCATCAATCATCAATCGTATCAAGATGGATGATTGGACTTCCTCGACCAAGATCGAAATGCTCGTATATGACCTATACAAACTTCGAAGCAAGAAACAAACACACAAGAGCATTGTCTTCTCGCAATTCACGTCCATGTTGCAGCTCGTTCAATGGCGACTTCAGAAATCCGGCTTCAGCACGGTTTTGCTTGATGGCAGCATGAGTCCGGCGCAGCGACAGAAGACCATTGATCATTTCATGAACAATGTCGATGTCGAGGTTTTCTTGGTCTCTCTCAAGGCTGGTGGTGTCGCTCTCAATCTGACTGAGGCTAGCAGAGTATTCATTGTTGATCCGTCAGTTTCTCTCTCTCCCCAACCTCTCCAAGCAATTCCTGAGTACTTCAACTAACCTTCCTCATCATGCAGATGGTGGAATCCCGCCGCAGAATGGCAATCCGCAGATCGATGCCACCGAATTGGTCAGCGCCGTCCCTGCGTCATCACTCGCCTTTGCATCGAAGATTCCGTTGAATCCAGGATGGTTCTGTTACAAGAGAAGAAGGCAAATATGATCAATGGCACCGTCAACAATGACCAAGTAGCGCTCGACAAGTTGACCCCAGAAGATATGCAATTCTTGTTCCGTGGTACTTGATTACAATAAATATCCTCCCAAGGCGGTAATTAGGGAACGTGTTAGTCGACCTACGACATGGGTAAACGGTGTCAGAATCGGTGGCGACGAGAAGCGAATGTTTATTCTTTCGTGATGGTTCCGTTGTTGTGTTTGTTACTGGCTTATCAAACCAATGTGCTATCGAGCTGGAACTGGAGTTGGACGAGTGCGGAGACACGGTACAGCAACGAATAGAGACGGAGCTTTTTCCTCACGGAGGTATCAACAGAAGACCAAAAACAGCAGAGCTGGATTGAAACCGTGGGCGAGAAAACCAGAAAACGACTAAATGCACAGCCAACATGCAGATACGTAGCTTCGTGCTTCATAGAGCCCACATACAGGTTAGAAGAATCGTGCAAATACTTGTACTTTGTGTCATGTAGACAGCTCAATGCATTGCGTTGTATTCGTTGCCTTCTAAGAAACTTATCCCCTTTCGTGTTATTCGAGAACACTCGCATTAACATCTCGCGTGCCTTATTCAACACTCCTTGCGAGGTCCCATTTGGTGAGCAAGAGGTGCCGTTGAGCATCGCTCATGTTAAATGTTGTCCTGTCCAGCATAACCCGCCCAGTTGACCAAAGGTCCTGCAATCACGGTGCAAGCAGTAGGCACATCGGGCGCCAATCCACTGAACACATTTGATCGTCTCGCGAACACCGACTCGTTGCTCTTGGAATGGTCTGGTCAAAGCTGCAACGGGTTGCGAGATGCTGACCGTCCGAAACATAGGCAGCAAGATGTGCCGGTCGTTTCTTCTTCCAAACCATCGTGCTCTCACAATAAAACACACACAGAATTTGTCCTTCTTTTTCGTGCGGGTTCAAGCATAGAGAGTTGCAACCAAGTCAGATTCTTTCCACGGGCGAATTGCATATTAGTGCAGAGCAGGCAAGACAAAGCACGTGTTTAGAACGGTGAATAATCCTGATGCTTTACAGGGTTGCGGAAAAATTCTGAGCATCGAGAAATGGAGGAGAAAGAAAGACAAGCGAAAGCTGCTGGCATGCTACAGTACACACCACGTGACTCCGCAAATGACTTTCTCTGATTGGGTTGGAGAACCCACACAGTTCTCGGTGCGTACTAACCACCTCAACAACACCATGACAGCGAGGTCTCCAGCATCGGCAAGGGTCTCTATCGATTGATACAGACTGGGGCTCAATTTGCTCAAAGGAAGACAATGTCTCAGCCCTGATAGGCTAGAAAGGCAAGGTGGTGCCATGGATGCTCTATAAACGCACAACGAGGTGCGAGCAAGAGACGACTGTGGAGAACAAGTACGAAGAGGAAGAAGCTGAGACTCCTGCACGAGCATCTTCTGCCGGTGTTCTGGAGATGGAGGTACAAGAATGGCCATCATCCTCAGGCGGCTATTTCTGGCATAACATTTTTTCCGGACACAGACGTGACATTGACGAGAAGGCGCAAAAGGATATACACCATCCGATCCCGTCTGAAATGATATGCAACCACGACAGGGGCTAATTTACAAGTTTTGAGTCTGTCTATTTTGTCAGAACCATAATATCAAGATCGACAAAGACTGACGGTTGGCATGCTATACAGTGATTACACCAAGTGTGAGACAGCGTTGGACTGTGGTCAATTGCACGCCACAACCCTCCATCGACTACTAGTAAGGTACATAGCAGCATCGTTATGTATATATAATATGGCCCCAGGCTGCTCTTCTGTTCTGGTATGTCCATTTGAGAGTCTTCTTCATCGTCTAAGGTTCAGCATCAAAACACAAATATGTTTCTATTTCTCATCCTAGTTAGGCAGATATGGGAAGTAGGCATAATTGCAGCAGCCTCGCCTTTCGTCGCTTCCAGTCCCCAACCGTAAAGTCCTCACTCCTCTATCTCGGCCATGCTTAATTGACTCATTATTCGTCAGTCCCATTCTGTCACCAACACCACTGTTTTCATCATCAATACATGCCAGGTGAGCTTTCTCCATCAATCATCTCTTTTCAACCTGTCGCCAATATATTATCCTCACCCCACACCAATGAGGCCAATGTACCAAAATGATTCGAACTACCAAGCTATGAATGAGCGCATGCGGTCTATGAATGCGAATATCTTGAGTGAGAGGCAAAGCCTTTCAGCTCGTTAAGGGAAAAAACAGATCATTGCGCCAGGACCAGTAACGAAGCGGAAGTGACCGAGGCCAAGAGCCAGGCGAGGAAAATCCTACGGCCGACGCCAAGCGGGAACATATCATAGCCTGGCGCTTGCAAGCATACATACATCGCTATGAATCATGCGAAGATGTCGTCTAAAAAGGAGGAGGTTAAAACCGTGACCCCGGGCGGTGAAAGATGAGGACGAGAAAAGGGAGGCGAGGAAGGAGGATGGTTTGTTCATGATCAATCTGATCGGAATCGGAGTGAATCGACGGAGGCCATGAGAAATCAGACAGGAAAATTGCGAATCCTCCTCCCCCTTTGACGATCCCAAGCCAAAATGTTTGTTTCCGCAAAGCTTGCAGAGATCTAGAGGGACTGTTTCGTCGTGAGAATTTGAATCATTTCGTGAAGTAGTTGCTGGTTTGTGTTAGAGAGGTCGTTGTTCATACCAGGAAACACTTACGGTGTCGTCGCCGCAGACGGTGGTCCCGACGCTCTTGACCCGGCCCCTGACCGCATATACATGCCGTCAGCAGAATGAGGTGATGAGACGGACTGTGCAGCCTGCTGCTGGGCGACTAATTCCCTCGCGTAGAATTCCACTAGCATGGTACCGTAGGCTTCAAGTTCCTCTACCGGTACCGAGAGTCTAAAATCATTAAGAAGTAAGAATTGGAGCTCGAGGTTGTTGAGCTCGGCTAGTGGAAGACCTCCGACCTGCAAAGCAAAAGTGGAGTGAGTAAATGATGTCGATATCAGCCTGGGGGGCTGGAGGGAGAGCAAACAATGGAACATACCTTGGCATATCTGGAATTCGTGTAGAATACATCCGAGAAGAATTTACTGGCGCAGGTGACACCGGCAATAACTAGCCGGTGAATATTGTAGCTATCAACTACGAAGAATTGCGACAAGTCACTTGGGATACCAGGGGGTGGAGAGGACGGGACTTGGGATTGGGCGTGTGAATCAGAAGATGCAGCAGCACCTGATGAAGGGGGTGTGCTGATGTCGTGGTGTTCTTGTGGACTATCCACGATCATCGGTATAGGAGAACGTGGTGTTGGAGTGGACGACTCAGGGGCTGTTGCGGGCGAATCATCGGGCCGCCTGTGAACATTTCCAAGAAGGCCTCGATTCACCATCTCTGTCATTCGGTCGAAGTAGACGAGCAGACTTAAGAAGACTTCGTAAGTTGTCGGACAGTACTTATGTATCCGACTTAAATAACTCAGGATAGTTATTCCTGGCACATTCTTGCCATGAAAAGCCAGCACACAAGAGGCGTGCGGATTCAGGTGGGATTGTTCCTCGGTGAGGGGGAGTGGTCGAAGATGTTCATGTTGTCTGTCGTTTGTAGTCGTGATTTTGGTCAGAAGTCCAGCGACCATCTCGATGATGTCCGTCACAGGCATAGAGCTGATCTCATATTGTCTTCCCGTATCGGCGACACCGCTGGTCGGCCGACCTCCAAGTCCAGGCTGGCTGATATACTCCTCACTTGCAAAGCTTCGTATATGTGATAAATCTCGGACTTTTATGCGACTCGGAGAGGTGGCTTCTGAGCCACCTAGAGATCTCGTTGAGCGATATGTGGGTTGTAGTCGGGGCGAAGGAGGGGATGCCGCTACCACGACTCGAGGGTCGCTGGATAGCGGAAAACCGGACTGATCAAAGCCCCGGCTGTGTTGACTAACATTTTGAGGATAGTAAGAGGTTTGTTGGTGGAACGTATCTGACGGAGCACTGCCTGGCTCATGCTCTGCAGGGTGTGATACTGGTGTGGTTGTATGTTCGGATCGCTTTTGAACGATAGGGGTTGTTGACTGAGTCCTTGCACCAGCAGTGTCCTGATTTCTTATTGTTGTCGATGTAGAGGCGCTCCTTCCTCTTGAAGATTGGGGCACAGCGCCAGAGGCCTCGTCAGGAGGACGATTGCTGTCGACCATCATGCGGTGATAGGGATGCTGACCGAGTCCCGGCGCCACTTGGCTTATCACCAACGAGCCCATCTCAGCCTGTCGCGTATAATATCTGCGATAAGGGTGTGTCAGTAACTTTCTCGGTGTTATTGTTCAACGCAGTATCCGAGGCAGTTTGATTCTCCCAGCCCAGCAGTCCACAGCCTGTATCTCTTGGTGGAGGCAGTGCGTCTGCAGAAAGCTGTGCCACACCGGAGGAGAAGAGCGGTTCGGAAGCGTGATAGGAAGATTCAAATCTGTGGCCACCGCCAACCGGATTCGAATTCGAGGGCTGCTTTGTTTAATGGATGTCCCGCAGGCGTGAAAGTGGACAGTCGATGGGCTGGGAGAGCTAGCATGTGCTGATGAACGGTGGGGGAACGAATCGCTGGTAACTTACCAAAGACATGCCGGAGTTTCGCTTGTGGTCTTGAAGGTCGCCTGGCGCGTCTATGCCTTCAATTTGAGACTACCAACTCGCACAGCGGGCTGGGGGGGGGGGGGGGGAAAGAAAAGTGGAAGATGGACTGGGGAGAGAAACTAAGAAGCACAAGGAGTGGGAACGGGGATCAAAGTTGAGCGCGAAGCGCAGCAGCGAGACAGAGACAAGGGCGAGAATCGGCCAGCGGGGATTGGTGAATTCATTTATTTTGCGCCGCAGGCAAACCGTACCGCAGACATTTCACACTTTCTTACGGGGGCTTCTGCTCTGCGTCATTTTGCATGCCGTGCCCGAATATGAGACTCTACCGTATCCACCAGTGGATGTCTGGTTTCCTGATATAGGCTCGGGCACGGCTACACATCAATTCTCTGATGAGATAGATGGTCCTCAGCAGTAAAGAAAAAAATAAGGCCGCGCTGTATATCTGGAGATGATTTTCAATGCCACAACGAAAATCTGTCAGGGGCCGCCCCCTTTCCTAAGCATAGCATATGTATCTGGACTTTCTTATGCCCCCGTGTGAATGCATGGCCCCTAATGTTCCTTTGACGCCCGCCAATGACACCTTTTTTATTTTGTCCCTGGTCCCCGGTAGCCCTGATCGGGAAGATATAGATGCCGCTGAGCGCCTTTCGCCGTCAAGACAACCATTCGGATCACACCACCAGAACTGCCGTCCCATTTGATCGCCTCTGCCAGGGCTTGCTTTACAAATTCCACTCCTTCTTCTTCAGTCATGCCTTCCTTCCAATGTGCATCGCAAAAGCCGTAGATATAGGTTGAGCCAGAACCTCCTATGGCATATGGTCCCTTGTGCAACGATCCACCCAGGGGTATTGAATAGACTTGACCACCGTTGCGTTTGTCATAACCTGCAATGATCATGCCAGCGCTGAGAAGAGAATCAGTAAGTCTGCATACAGCCACGACGAGCATCATAGAATTTACCTCAGTTGGTCCTTGTTTTCATAGCACAATTCTTGGAATAGAGCAGCGGCAGTCTGGGTTGTGGGAGCTTCGTTATTCATGATGCCGTAGATGCTCAAGTGATACTGAACGATGTCGGCGACAGCTTGAGTATCGGCAGCCGATCCTGACCGACAACACCAGATCGTGTCGTGTACTTGGGTAAGCTTGTCCGTCACTCGATTTGCAATATATGCGCCTGTGGTTGTCCGACTGTCCGCTCCGAGAATGACACCATCTTTGAAATTGATCGCCATAATTGATGTGCCCAGATTGACTTCTCCAGACTTTAGGTGGTTCATGTCGACGTGGATTCCGTCTTCCCCAAGCATGCCCGTCGCAGGGCCCATCATGATGGCAGAGGTAGTTTCGAGCAGGATACTGAAGGACGATTTCGATATGCCACTGATGGTGATGAGAAAAAGAGATCGATTTGGTTTACTTAATTGAAGCGGGAACAGCACTGGTGGTGATGGAATGAGCTGAACTGAAATGGAGATTTGAGCGAATCTGCGCAGGAAGGCATACACAGGGAAACGCCAGTGCAGCGTCTAGATCCGAAGTACTCTGCAGTAGTCGCAGGACGAAGTGGGTCCAGTGGCCTTAGAGGCTCGAAAACTTTAGAGGCACTCCACAGTTTGTGTTGCTCCGTTTCAAGCCTCGTCGTCTCCTATTAAGATCTCCCACCGACAAACAGAAACACCACTCCTTTTCCTAAGCGAAAGACTCCAGTTCATTCTTAGTTTCGTCCACCCACGTCCTCGATGCAAGCGCTCGTTCTTCTAGCGCCGTGCCCTCGTCACCCCGCATCTTGAAAGCTGTTCTTCTGACGCTTCAACTCACGATGGGTGTCACGCTGTCATATTTACGAATACCTGTCTTCATGACCTCTGGCCTCGCCGCTCTAGGAAGCGGTTTTCTCTACTTCAAACAAAACGACCTCATCTATCCCGCAAATCTCCCTGCCGGATCGAGAACCAACGTACCGACTCCCGAACAGTTTCATCTTAAGCAAGCCGAATCGATAAAGTTTCCTACCCCCGACGGCGAGACGCTCCACGGCTATCTCTTGCGACCTCCAACGCCTTCCCTAAAAAAAAACATCACACTTTTGACGTTCCATGGAAACGCTGGTAATGTCGGTCATCGGCTTCCCATAGGCAAGGTCTTGTCCGAGAGCTTGGGTTGCCATGTGTTCATGGTCGAATATCGAGGCTACGGCTTGTCTACCGGGTCGCCAGACGAGGACGGACTGTCTATCGACGGACAGACAGCTCTGGATTTTGTGCGAAACCATGAAGAGTTGAGAAAGACCAACATCGTACTGTATGGCCAAAGCCTGGGTGGGGCTGTTGCGATCAAACTTCTGCAAGCTAACGAGCGAGTCGGTGATATTGCGGCCGTGATTTTGGAGAACACCTTCTTGTCCATTCGCAAGCTGATCCCCACGGTCATGCCACCAGCCAAGTATCTCGTACCGCTCTGCCATCAATGTTGGAACTCAGAGGAATCCCTGGCAAAAGTGTCGGACCTAGATATCCCCATCCTGTTTCTTTCTGGCCTTCGGGATGAGATTGTGCCTCCGGCAATGATGAAGGCTCTGCACGATCAATGTCCCACGAGGAAAGTGTGGAAAGAATTCCCGAATGGGGACCATAACTCGACCGTTGCGGAGCCGGGGTACTTCGATGCTATTTGGGACTTCCTCGTTCAGGACGTACTAAGAGGCGCACGTCAAAATAGCCTGAAGAGAGGTGATGTTGACGTCGACCGGGACGAGTTATGGGGCTGAAGATGAGGCGGCTTTCAGTAAAGAGGGATCTTTCTTTATGAGATTCTTTCAGCCTCGTCGACCAGTTCTTCCAGGTTGAATCCCTGGTCACCTTTGCTGAATTTCTCCAACAGACCTTGCCGCTTCTCGCGCCCAATCCCTCGACCGTGACCTTCATAATCATAGAACTTTTGAAGGCACATCAACAACCACCTGCCTTCTTCGACACTGACGCCGCGGCCATCCACAACAGCCCCGTTCAGTAAAACGAGGCCATGTGAATCGGCGAGGTCGAGATGATGAGTTACGGTAGTATGTGGTTGCGCATATGTGCCGTGAAGCTTAAACGCAGCTAGATGCGTGAAGAGGACGGTACTTGTGTGGGTATTTGCCGTCTTGACATCTGGACTTGGGGGAGCACCAGCAGGAGGATGGAAACCCCATTGCAAGAAATGAATGTCCGCGGCCGACCTCTCGGCCCCTTCGAAACCTCGAGGAGAAGATTGCTTACCATCCCCGCTTCCATTCTCCGTTGTCGGGCGTGGGAGAGGGAGGACGAATTGAGGATGTATTCTAGCTGTGCGGTAGATTCGGTGGTATGTTTCTAGAGGAATTATGGCGCAGAGAGAAAGCGGGTCTTTGGCGTGCCGCAGCCTCCAAATGTATTCCACCTCTTTCTTTGGCAAGGTAGCCACCTTTTCTAGGTCGAGGTACGATGATAATGGCTTGATACCCGGGGTGCCCGAGGCTGATTTTGTTTGTCTCGGTGCACTGGATTGCTGTGTTGTAGGCATGGACTGTACCGTCGGTGGCGGAGGTGGAGGCTGTTGGAATGGGAAAGGCTTCGCTGGCGAGCTCGACGTCGAAGCCGAAGGTGCTGCAGGTAGAATACTAGCCGACCGCCTCAAGTCGGAGATCTTCTCCTTGTACGCCTCCTTTAGCGAGGAAACCGAGTCATGTCCTTCCCTTTGCATAAGGTCAGCTTGACACTCAAGCTTCATCCGCGAGATCTCACTCTTTGGCCTTCTGCTCCAATTTCTCCCTGTACCGGTCGAGAATGTGCTCATTGTCTCGATGGGTTGTGACGAAGCGGACATCATTGACCCTAGCCCAGCGCCGCTGAGAGCGGGGGAGCGTGGCAGATAGGTTGATTGTGCGACGAAGGGCGAAGTTCGATGCTGCGGACATGGTGATGCTGGGTCAAGGACTCAGGAAAATATGTTTGAATTGAAAGCTTTTGAGGTCATGAATGATCCCAGGCTCATGACTTACTCCGATTGGCCACTCGCGGGAGGAATTCTAGCTGCAGCGGAGTAAATGTGTCTGATGTGCAACATTGGAATGAAAGCCAGGCGCCAGTGTATGGATGGCCGAAATAGATTTTCATCGCGTAGGAGTGAAGCCTTCTTAGGTGTAGGAGGCATCCTTGTACCTGTTGGCTTCTCATAATGCAAATAATGAAGAAGATGTATGTGATGGCCTCTATGTTCACCGTGAGACCTTGATATCTTCTTTCCTGATCGACGCGTCTCTCACAATTCATAGAATCGTGAGTGCCCAACAGGAGAAGATTGAATTACGCCTGGAGATAAAAGATGATTCATATACTCCTGGGCTTCTCGCCCTTAACCCAATACAAAACCCAAGTTCTATGCAATTGTACAGAGTGCAGTCTGATCCCTGATAGACCTCAGCATCCCGCATTCTCTAAACGCCTCGCTAAATCCAAACCCACCAATGTGATCCATGTCCCAATGCAATAATGAGGATTGTGATAATTGATTATCCCGAAGAGTCTTCACTGTCAACCTTAAACGGGGGTCATTCAAATATCTCCAAATTTTAACCCAGGATATTCGAGACTGCGTTGTTCTTGTGCAGACTTCTTGAAAACTAGCGCACATCGAGTACATGCTCGCATTCGGATAGAGACGTGCAGTTTTGACTTTCGGACGTGGTTTGTCCATCTCATCATGCCAGAAAACTGCAAGGCTGGATGATCCCGGATTTCTCACCCCGAAGGAGAAGGTAGTGTTCCGACAGATCTTCTCAGTGGCTTCAATTATGTCTCTTCCCCATACATATCGCACCACCCAGCCACAATTAAGCATATCTTCGAAAAGCATACGTGGGAGTTTGCTTGTGTGATAGGCCTGAGGTCTATGGGTGTAATCCAGACGGGCGTGGTTTTAACATTAAATGGCAATTTCAATTTCATCTTCGGTAGGAATCCACGGCGTCACGGTAGTGACCAGCGGGTAGATGTTGGCCACTCAGTGGACGCTGAGACTGCTTTGCAACTTCGGCGGTAGGAGAAAAGAACAGACTAGGCACGCTTGAGAATGATTTTGGTAGTTTATTCAGATCGGCCATATCGTGTGCTGACTGTGAGGTGGGATTCTTCTTGAGGTCTGGGAGAGGGGTGTAGCTGGTGGTGCCGACTCCGACACCACTACTGGCATCGCGTTTAAAGCTGCGATTGATGGACCAGGACATGAGAATTCTCCATGCAAATATGAGTAGGGCCACAAAACCCAAAGCGGCACCCACAATAATGAACACGAAGTTTTCTGGAAGTTGAGAAGATGCGAGGTAAGGGGCGCCGGCCTTTGGAGGAACAGTGGGAGGAGGATAATTGTAACCGCCGGGAAGGGTGGGGAGTTTGCTGTCGGTTGCCGCGGCCATGATGTATATTGCCGGTGTATCTATGGTTGACGAAGAGGTGGAGGATGCAGACTGGTTGGAATATAAATGGTACAGAGTCAAGGGGGGCCAGGAGGGAAGGGGGTTGGAATTTCAAAATTGAAGGCCTGCAGAATGGAAGGGTGACGACGGAGGTGGTCTTCGGATTTTCGCTTGTGTCAGTTGAGAAGTTAAGGTTTTAGTAGCCCCTGCTGCCCATCTGGCTCGAGTAAGTTTGTTATTTTAGGGGTTTGGGGCTGTCTGCCCACTCATGCACGACGTGATCAATTGTGGCTGGACTACGTGCAAGCTTTTTCTTCGATTCACGAATCACCGCAGCCATACCATCCCAGTCCTCTTCTCCGTAGGCTGCTCTTGGCAAAAGGTAAGGAAGTTTATTTGGTGTGCAGTTATTGCGTCAAGCCTGAAGCCGAAGTCGCTCCAAAGATGGACCATCTCATGACGCCAATACTGAGTAGCCCAACGTGGCGCAAGCTCATCGCATAGCTTCCTCCCCATCACCTGTTTGAAGGTGTATAGATTGCTTGTCTGCCTACAACTACTTGTCCTGACTTTCCGCCTAAAATACATTGTGAATACGGCCGTTCCGTTACCCGCCTCGACCACATCTGCATGTCTCCGGGGTTGTCGTATTCTGACTATCGGGGGTATGCTCTAGATAGGACCGCACTCCCTGCGCAGTTGACAGGGTATTACCCCAATACTTTCGCTCGCAGGAAGGTCGACGCAAAAAACACTAGGTCAAAAACTTCTCACTGCACCGACTCGATGTCACGGGACCACATGCCAAGGGTCACGTGCCAAGGATTACGTTCAGGGGTTCTTCAGCACTTCCTGCGTAGCATTCTATCTTGACTCTCTTCGTGCTACGTCTTGTAGATGTTAGCTGGAACACATTGATTGAATCCTCGCCCTAGAACCCTCACACTCGACTTGTAATCCATGAACTAGGCCATCAACTATATTTAGACCACCCTACGAAACTGCTATCTCGGCTTGAGGTAGAAAAATTGACAACCGGGCGGGGGAGCCACTTGACCCTGACGCCCATTCAAGATACCACAGGAACCTATGGTCGTACCGCCCTTTACTCCATCATCTTCTTCAGTATTCCAAAATATCTACGCGTCCCATCAGCTGCTGGGGTCGAGAATAGGATCAGCGTGTTTTTGGGGCTAGGGGAGACGAACCTTCATTGGACAGCCAAGTTCAGTGGACTACCCTGCAAGGCTCACGACATGCCTCCTACACTACGGTGTCTCCACGGGTTATCGTTGTATGTATCCTATTCTCCGACACTTAGCGGGTTAGGCTCAATATGCCGGTGGAAGATATTGCCGCATTTCTGGCACCAACTGTCAGAGACGAAATGGGAGCCGCTGCTGGCTGGAGTGAGAAAAATGCTGTGTGCCGAAAGCTGGGGTAAGATGGTGACCGCTACGAGGGGCTACGGCAATGTCCGTGCAGATTTCCCTATTGGTGGAAAAATCGTCAATCGTTGGTGGAGCCTGTGTAATCCTCGTCGACACGTGTCTGAAAGAGGAGAATCTGGCAGCCGTAGATGGTGACTAGCCTAGGATCTGTCCAAGGAACAATTGTCAGTTTAGGTCTGGCCCAAAGTTAGTTGTCCTTGGAGCCGCAAAAGCTTCCTGCTGAAGCCAAAAATCCCTGACGAGCAGCCTCTCGCCTGCTGTCCCTAAGCTTGGACCGAGGGTTTCTGGCTCCAGGAATAGGTTGTATCATCTCTAATCTTAACAGTTTGTTTTCGGCTGGGCAGGAAGAGGGAAAGCACTGTGAAGCCATGCAACGACAGCAAAGTCCAAGAGAACTCATCAATGCCACGGGAGTGCAAAGCAACCCAAGGTCTACTCTATCGGATACATCTGAGAGAAAGTTTGTCATTTTTGACGAATCAGCAAGGAAGAAGGGAATCAAAACACCCCCGTCGATGCCCAAGACACCACCTCTCCCCTCGATGCGTATCAAGCGGTAAGTCGGTTCTCCAACTCGATTGAGAGCCCGCTCGACGCAACTATTGTGGCTGCAACAACTATCCTCTGCCACCGCGTGCATCTCGCCTGATTTTGTGAGCTGACGTCTGCTTTGGACCCCCGCCCTAAAGGCTAAGGTCGGCAGTAGAACCTTCCAAGCCCGCTGATCGATAGGATCACTCAAAAACCACACTAAAGCTGTGAATAATCACCGCAGTCCACAGCACGAAGCCCAGACAAGGTTACAGGGGTTTTTATGATTCCTCTTTGAACGCTCATCTATTCTTTCTCCTTCGTATTTTGGACATCAACGGATCTCTCTGTACGTCTGCACAATCCTTGTATGGGCAAAGAATTATGACGACTATTTGTTATCCAGATATACACCCTTGCCAAGTGAGCTACCTTGTAGCCATTCAGTTGCGGCGAGCAAACCTGCCGTCGTTGCAACTTTCAGATCTGCAACCTCATTGCCCACCACGTATCTTCCACCTTGGTAGATGGGGGATGCAAAGATTGAAATAGGCGAGCATCTGCTGCTTCGTTCGTCCTTGCCTTACCGCCTATTCGACTCTGTGAGTGGAAACAACCATGGACTCTAACTTCTTCCTTGTCCTTCTTAGCGGTATCGTCTTGGTCTTCATATGCCTAACTCTGTTCCTTCTGATAGCCATGATTGTCTTCGGACAGCCTCCCGACCGCCACCAATGGACAGGGAAAATGGCTGCTATAGCGCAGGTAGTTCACCTTGGTTTTGCCATTTCCCTGGTGTTACTGCTCAAACTGAGTTATCCGTCACACATCATGATCAAGCTCTTGCAGTCGGATATTCTCCTTGACTCTGTGGTGACCACCATTCAATCAGCTCTATTTTACGTGGGAATGGCGAAATTGGAGCTCGTGAAAAGGCGCTGGTTTCAAGCTCTGGCCGCTGGAACTTGGGTGCTTGTCAAGATTTCGTTCGCAATAGCATCGTTTGCCAAGTATGTCCACCTATTTCTACTTTTCATGTCTCTCACGCTTATTAGGACAGAGAAATACTTTATCGGCTGTGTGGTCTTTGACTATCCTGCAATCGCCTATTGGTACTGCCGTGAGCTGCCCCAGACAAAACAGGCCTTAAGCATTTTGTTTCCTCTCATATTGCGTGGTGCTGGAGAAATTACAGCTCCTGCCAATTGATGACATTGACAGAACAATGCGGGAAGCAGTCGCTGATGCGAGTGATTAATTCTTGAGACGCTTGCGAACCAGAGCAGAGTGACTACACATGAAGATGGTAGTTGGATTGGTCCAAGCAGGCTGGACAGAGAATCGAGCTACGATGCTGTCCTTTTTTTTTTTTTTTTTTTCAGTAAGTGCTTAGTCCCGATTACTGTGCCGCTGTTGGATGTGAACAATATTTAGGCAGGCCCCGACGGCCCTATGGATACGCCGACTTAAATCCTGACAGCCCCGAACCTATTGTTGCTCAATTAAAAGAAAAGCAGTACCTGGGCACTCCATCCGATAACATCTTTGTCAGTGACTTTTCTATCCCTCACTTTATTGTGGACACAGGACCGTGCACTCACCGGATCAGCCTTAATTCAGTACGCAATGTTTTCGGATATCCCAATGAGTGCCAGCCTGCTTTGCCGGTCCAAGTCCCACTGGAAAGGCCCCTTCTTCCACCAGTAGAGCCATCACAGCGACAGCCAGCTCTTGACCCCAGGCTCTCGACAAATGAATCTAGGAGGCTTAAAGAAGCCAACCTAGGTTGTCAGTATTTCGCCCTGGACAAAAGTCCTATGGAGGCTCAATCGACTCGGAACCATGGGCATTCAACCACAAATTCAAGGACTCTCCTACCGGAATCCTTCATCCCACCAATAATCTGCGCTGTGGGTGGTCATCTCCCTAAGTTCATGATCACCACTGCAATTTCTCTCCAAATTAGGAGGAATGAGAACGGCGAAATGTTTACGGTGGAACCGCACAACGCTATTCTCCCACAGGATCTGGTAAAGGTTCTCTTGGATTGCTCAATGCTGATGCAAGGTATCGAGGCACTGACTCGACTCTCAACAATCCAAGTGGAAGAATCCTCGGAAGAGATTGAGGAGTATGTTTGCCGATGCGAATCTGCACGCGTTTGTTATGGTCAAGATCCCGCATGCTGGCCTAATCAAGCTTTGGAATTGTGTTGTTATACCTTACCTCGAGAGATACTCCTTTCTATTCTACGTTTATGGTTTAATTCTGGCTAGGATGAACCATATCGAGACCAGAATGTTTTTTATATTCCAGCATCTCTTGTGGCAATTCTCTAATGCGAATATTAAAGTCCCTTCAAACGTCAATACTGTGGAAGCATTGCTAGCAACGGCTAGGGCAGGCAGCTTAAGGAGCAAGCGACATATCCTTGTACTTGCCATCAAGTTGGGAAAAGACCTCAAAGAAGCCCATTTGCAGGCCGAGATTGTCTACCACCAGAGTGTCCTGTTGCGCTTCGAAGGCAACGTGGAGGAGTCTGGACGCGTCGTCAAAGAATTCTACAACAAATCCTACCACACGGAGCAGCGAGAATCTCACCCAGTGCTTGGGTCGCTATGCTTATCGCAAGCTAATAACCTGGTGTACAATTTTCAATTTTCTTCTGCCCAACAAGGAGCTACAAACTTGGCAACTGGCTACCACATATCTGTCTCAGTGGCAGTCAGACACCCTGTGGGAGCAAGTCTTCTGCGCTGGACGGATTTTCAGAGGCGAAGGCCATTTCGAGAAAGCACAACACTGCTTTGAGCGCTGTCTCACCACCGCGCAACTCCCGGAAGTCGAGAGAATCCGCATTGCAAATCTGGCAGACCTCTACTGTGAGCTAGACTATCAGCATAAACAAAAGCTTCTGCATCCGAAAGTCGATTACTTAGTCAAAGAAGAGGCTATTATTGAGTCAGAGATTGTACGTTTGCGGACGTATGCCTATCACTCTGAAGGACTCCGGCGATTACTGTCGTCCTCAATTGAAATTGGAATTAGGCAGGGTTCCTATCCAGAAGAGAATTCGTTGACCGAGGAACTCTTGAAGGTCCACGATGAACTGGCTGACCCTGGCATAATCGACCGTCTCGGACATATTCGAGCGCTCATCGCTTCTGCACGACTATCTCCCCCTTCTCAGGTAGAGAAACAATGGGAAGCTGCATTGCGCCAAAACGTAATCTACAACCCTCTTGAAGATGAGGTCTTTACTTCCGTAGTGATTCATCTTTTTATTTCCCTGGCCCGTTTTTAAGTCGAGCGTTTCGACGAGAGTTGGAGAGTATTTATCTACGCTGGAAAGATCCTAGCACACAGGTGTCGGAACGTATTTATTTGATTTCGTCCGGGGTCAACTGTAGTCAATAGCTGGATATCAAATTGTGCTATGGAATGACTTTTCTGATTAGTCAGGTAAACCAATGAACTCGAAAGTTGAAAGCTATCCGGGGTTGGACCAATTGGTTGTTTCACTATTTGCCGAATCTTGGTTAGGCTCGGTCTTAGCCAACCCGCTCTGAAGGTTATACCCGTCATCCGCCATACATTTTTATCCTTCAAAAGAACTACTGTCTGCGGACTGCACGAGCGCACATCCCTGATTTCAAAATGGGCGCCTTCAAGAAAACTCGCAAGTTTGCCCAAGTCAAACGGATTATTGGCCAGCGGGATGCTCGACTCAAGAAAAATCAAGAGACGGGGAAAACAGCAGACGCCAGAAAGAAGGACGACGACGTGATTAGGGAAGCGTAGGTGGCAGCAACGTACACCTTGGACAAACTGACGAAGAGTAGACCGCAAGTCTCCTCTGCTCTGTTCTTCCAATACAACACTGCTTTGGTCCCTCCCTATCAAGTTCTCGTCGATACGAATTTTCTCTCCCACACGGTGCAGAAGAAACTCGAGTTATTGCCCACTATGATGGACTGTCTCTATGCCAAATGCATCCCTGTCATTACCGACTGTGTCATGGCTGAACTCGAAAAGTTGGGACAAAAATATAGGATTGCCCTGCGGATTGCAAGAGACGAAAGATGGGAACGGCTCAAATGTGGGCATAAAGGCACCTACGCGGATGACTGCATTGTCGACAGGGTCATGAGACATAAAATTTATATCGTGGCCACCAATGATCGAGATCTGAAGCGAAGAATTCGAAAAGTTCCTGGCGTGCCCATCATGAGTGTAGCAAGAGGGAAATATGTTATCGAGAGACTTCCAGGTAAGTTGACGCAACAGGCTCGTGCACCAAACCCGGGATCCTCACCCCTTGCTTCTGAATACCTGTGCCTAAATCAATTTCCAATCCTCGCTCTCGCGAGCGGGATCAAAGTGTTGCAAACCGCCACACAGATAGAGACCGGTTGCTGATGAATTTTCCTTCCACAGATGCGCCTGAAAAATGAGTATTCATTCCAAAAGATTCGAACATTTTAGAGCAAAAACAAAACCACCGTCGAATCGACAGTCACGCCCTGACTCGCCATAAGGTCCATACGGACTCGATTCCCCATGCAATAAAGGCCAATGATACCGCGGTAAGCATGCACATGGCGGCAATTACTTTCCGACGCATTCGGAAAGCCTCGTCCATTTCCTGCTTGGCCAATTTGCGCTGGTGGGAATGGTAATATCCATCCTTGCTTCCAGACCTGGCGAAAATACCGCTATAGTTGTGACGATCAATGAGGAACAATGATATCAGAAATGATACGAAGAGTATTGGCGCCACCAGGAGTCGGCTGAAGAGAGACTCGGCGGCAGGAGCCGATTCTGATATAGCTGGGGCTTTTTTGGACGGCATGATATGGAACGTGTGGAATGGTGTTGTGACGGAATTCTTAGGAATCTGGCGATGGGTAGCGATCGCCTGGATATTGCCCTGGCCCTAGCTATGGTGAAGACTTTCGAGATCTGACAGCCTGTGCGAATAGCTAAATGTTCGAGAGTGATGTCTGGATATCGTGTGGGTATGGTGGATGAAAGCGGAGATCAATTGTCGAGGCAGTCTGGGTGTGATCTCAGTGTAACTTGAAGCTTTTGACTGTCGACTCTGCGCACTGGATAGAGGTCTGAACAAGTCCAGCGACCAAACGATGTTTTCCCACGTTCCTTAAGCCCCTGAATTATTTTCAGGAGGAGGGGAATAAGGCAGTAATCGTCATTGAAATAAATGCCAGATACAGGCTCCCTTGTTTCGGGATCGGGCAGGTTATTTTGGTAGTTGATATGCTCTCGCATAACATGCTCCGTTCCGACCCCGCCTCAAGGGCTGTGCCTGAAATCGGAAACTGAGTTGCATTAGGCGCCTGTTTGAACATGATCTACAAATACCCGCAGTCTAGGTACTGGTAGACATTGTTGCGCGTTTGGCCATGGCTTGTTCTGTGGCTCAGCACTGCGGTTTCGGATTCGCTGCTTGTTTGCGTCTCTATTTTCATCTTTATTCCAGCTATGCAATCCTCAAATATTCTCCTGATGCTGCAAACCACTATTCGCCGTCTCCTGACAGCTACGTCCTCAGGCTGATCACTTTAGAGAAATCCTATTGCGTCCTTCTTTGATATCCTGCTAGGATGGTGGGACAAATGGCAAGGAGAATATATCGACGAAATGATAGTGCCGCAAGAACTTAGGGCGCTTACGCATGAGGGAAAAATTATGGCTTGGAATGAGCCGACCCAGTTTCAAATGTCTCTTGCTTTGGTCTACGCGGGGAGAAAGCATATTTCCATCACGAAGCACAGCAGTGTAGAACCATCCCAGGACAACTGGACATTTCACTCAGCCCGTCCGCGAGTTGGCAATGTCTAACACCAAAATATCCGTCGCCCCCACAGCCGTCAACGCATCCATGACCGTTGCAATGTCTTTCTTCTCTACCATCGAACTGACAGCAACCCAATCCGGTTCTTCCAGCGCAGTGACCGTGGGCGCTCGCTTGCCCGGTGTGATTTTTGCAGCTTCGAGCAATTTCGCGCGCGGAACATTGTATTGGCACAAGATATATTTTTGCGCCGTGATGACTCCCCGTATCCGGGCCGCGATCAGATTGACCAGTTTCTCGTCCGAGACAGACTTCGACTTGATCAGGACTGCCGTACTCTCAACCACAGTATCAATTGCTTTGAGGCCGGCTGCTCTCATGGTTTCGCCAGATTCGACCAAATCGACAATTCCATCTGCGACTCCCAATGCACAAGCTGCCTCGACACTTCCGCCCACGAACTTGATCTTGGTTTTTAACTTTGGTACCGGACTAATCGTGCCGTTGACGCTCTCCTTTCGACTGCCCATGCCTTCTAATCGTGCAAAATAGTCTTCGGCCAGCCCTGTGAAGCTCGTCACGATGTTTTTGCCCACGAGATCTTTGACGTCCTGGAGACTGCCCTTCTCAGGAACTTGAACTTGCAGTTTACACTTCCCAAAGCCCAAGTCCATTATCTCTTCTACACCGGACTCTTCGCCGAGTGCCAGGTGAGCGTCATGTTCAGCAACTTGATCTCTTCCAGTGATTCCCAGATCGACTCGACCTTCCCCGACGAACGTTGGAATGTCCGCCGCGGGCAGGAAGATCAGTGCCAGTGCGAGATTCTTGACGACGGCGATATCTAGTCTGGTTTCTCGCCGGAATTGAATGTCGGATCCTGCAAGGAGGTCGAGTGTTGCGGCATGTAGTCGACCTTTCTTCGGAACCGCGAAAAGCAGCCTGTCAGAGAGGTGATTGACAAGGTCCATCTTGGACGGCGGAGTTTCTAGGAATTGAGCTTAGGATTCTTTCTTTCTTTTATAGCTTCCCACGAAAAATTTCTAAATGAACGTTCCCCTCCTCTAACCCTGCCGTTGGTCTGCCCCCGCCAAGCAAATGGAAAGTTTTCCAAAAACAGCGAATCAATTGTTGCACGCAGAGTAGAAAGGGAAAGAAATTTAAGTGTAGAGACAGGATAGCAGCGGATTTGAGGAGGCCCAGTCAATCAAGACCATTAGGAAAACAAGCCTGTATTAACTTACCTGGAGCAATCCCTCCAAAGAAGAATTGACATACGGTTTGACTCACTCCGACGCCGGCAACCTTTGTCCGTGGCAGGAAAATATTTTCTTGGCGTTCAAACTTTGGTTTTGCAAGTCTTGGCGATCTTTTCGCGCACAACTGGCGCCTTCGCCTGGACTTCGCCGTTAACACGATCTCATCTCTGCCAGATAATTGTCTCCTCACATAGTCCCGGTACTGCAAGTGGCATCTACTCGTCGAGACACATTTTAGTCCATCGAAAACCGTCGATATGGATGCTGGCAAAGTCCCCGTCAAGCTCGTCAAGGTCACCCGAGTTCTCGGCCGAACAGGTCATGCGCACCCCTCTATAGAGTCTATATTGGACATTGGACTGATTCTCTACGTTTTCAGGCTCCCGAGGAGGCGTCACACAGGTCAGAGTCGAATTCATGGACGACACGAGCCGAAGCATTATTCGAAACGTCAAGGGACCAGGTACGAACTTCAATTCCGCCAAACAATCCCAGGGAGAAAAGGAGGACCAAAACTAATAAATGTTGCACGAATAGTGAAAGTTGATGACATCTTATGTCTGCTCGAATCCGAAAGAGAAGCAAGAAGACTGCGATAAGTGGATGAATTCGGGGTGCCTTTCACCGGGGGGTATGCATGTGGTTGAGCATTGAGGAAATGACCATTCCATAAAGAGAACATGAAACCGGTGGCAATGGGTTATCGGTGTCCCAAAAATTAAGGGCGAGTTGATCAAGACCTCGCTGTTTCTGCAGGCGGGTGTTGAACCTGGTATCCTCAAAATCCCCGGCCGACCATTTTTGTCTGACACGCATATTCACAAATTCGAGAATACCTTCAGAACGTCTCCCTTTTTCAGCTGCCAATAATTCCCAGTCATAGAAATTGTGAATTACTGTGGAGTCACATCTTTCGTTTCGCCGGAGCGCTGGAAGAACACGAATTGCAAGATTTTCCTGATTGTTGCAATCGTTCGTTCCGCCTTGCCCTTCCACAACAAGAATTAAAAATACAAGGGGGCAAAATATCTTCACCAGAAGAACCTATCCTAGATTCGAACCCAGGAGGGGGGAGGGTCTTTTTTTCTTTCTTTTTTCAGTGGTGGCTAGAATGCCGCTCCAACTTCCGTTCTACAAGTATTTTCAACCAGAGGTCATTTCCCCAGTGGCCAAACAGGGGATGTTAGATACAGGAAAGAATCGTCTAAAGCCACCACACAATCTGACATGTCTCCTCACTGAGTAGGCCGTCGACCCTGAAGCATCGTGTCTGAGATTGGTGGCAGAAATTCGAGATTTCAAGTATCTGTCGAAAACCTGTTTCGGGTTCCAAAGCATACAACTTGGCGTTGTCTATATTGGGCTTATCCGTATTCTGGATCTCTTCTACTTCCCATCCTCCTTCATTTTATGAATTGAACACTCTGAGCTCACATAAATTGCTCTGAGAACTATTTTGTTCAGCTTTGCACGTGACCGTTCAAGCCATCGCTCCAATTGTAGGCCATATCTTCTATATCACATCAGGGCCGGAGCCTGAACCAGATATCCTAATTACGTAGCCATGCTCCGGGACGTACATTGCAGGCGGTTTTCAGCCTTGTCACCGCATTCCCGAGGTCAGCAACGAATCACAGTCGGGCTTGGCATCTTTGCCGCCCTAGAAGGCTTCCCTCGACGACGTGGCGATTCCTTGGATAGTCGCTTGATGACGAACACATTGTTGCCTCTTCCTTTAAGGTGACGACTCCGCCTCGAGCTCGACACGGTCAAGAAAGAAGGAACAGTCTTTGAGATAAGAAATCTCGGTCCCGATCAAATTGGGATTGTAATTCTTGTCACGGCAGCAGCCTCTCCCAACATCTTTCACGCCCTTGAAGATCTTTCTCGATCGGGGTCATCTTTTGCAGCTACTCTCTCTCGATGCCGTCAGCCCAGAAGACCCTCGGATACTGAGATGGCATCACAACCGACCGCTCCCGATCCAGAGCGGGAGTACAACCTGATATCTCAACTGGAACTGCGAATAGCCTCGGCCTCGACAGATTCCAAACTCGAATCTATTCTTCAGAAATTTTTGCCGGCTTTGCTTCTCAAGCTCGCCTCTCCGACGCCCAAGAACCGGAACCTCGCCATCAAAGTCAGCCAGTACATCAGCCAAAGATTGAAAATCAACCCCGATATCAAATTGCCGGTGGCCGCCCTTGTCAAGACATTCCGCGAGGTTGAGAATGCTTTCGTCAGGCGATTCGCCCTCATATTCATCGAGCAAGGGCTGCCAAGGTTGGATGTTGATCAAGGCATTGAGACTCTGCCGGGGGTATTGCAATTCGCCATTCCACAATCAGAGGGCTACGATGCTGCCGACGGGAAGATGTGGGCTATAGCATTCGATTTCCTTCTCGAAGTGCTTCGGAGATGGAAGATCCCCGAAAGGGGCAGCAAGGAAGATCTCGCATTGAAGGATACTTTCTCACTATCACAAGCGCAATCTGATATCCTGGTCAGCCGATTTTGTGAATTTTTACTCCACGATCCTAAGGACTCCAGAACCCAGTCACAAGATGAAGATTTCCAACCGGTTTTTGACAAGAATTTCAAACGACGGCCCGAAGTCGTACGACCGATTGCTAAGTACCTATTTAGTTCGATCTTCGGTGACAGACAACGCCTCATCCCTGCTGTTATCATGGCAGTTGACGCAAACGCCTCGGCATCGAATATGAGCGACATCATGTTCAAACAATGTGACTTCGATCTCGAGGCCGAAGAAACTGTTGATGCTCTCTTTGCATTGTACAAACGCTCGAGACCCAAACTCCAGACACGGATTTTATCACTTCTGGCGCGAAGCCAGAAATCCACTAGTCGCACAGCGGAGATTATGGCCATGGTGGAGACGCAGCTCAACACGTCTAACACGGGCCTTGAGGCCGCAAAGCTCCGCACAGCTCTGTTCACCTATCTCACTTGGACGGTCCGTGTGGGCAAAGACTTGGGTCAGATCAGCAACCGCGTACAGGACATGCTGAAAGAGTACATTGAGATGCAAGGATGGCCGACGATGAACGATCGCTCAGCTGCAGAGGTCGAACTACGTGCGAAAGCGTATGAAAGCATTGGCCTCCTGGCAGCCATCAAGGATACCGCCGAAACTAATAGTCGCACGATGGATCTGACCACCTGGCTATTCACCAGTCTCCGATGCGATACGGCCCGAGAGATCAGGGCTAGTATTGAAGAATCGATCGGCCGAGTCATGAACGCTGTCTCGAAACTGGACGAATCGACCACACAGCGACTGAAAGACTTGTTGCTGTGGAACGTCCTGGCAACTCCCGGGCAAGAAGATCCCGTCTATTTCCTGCCGACTGTCAACAGTACGAAATATCCTGCTCTCAAATTCGCCAATAAGTGTTTACCCTTCCAAGACGTCGATGCAAGGTTCATCAATGTTCTTGCTCTCACTCCCTCCGACCGGAAAGAGGTGGCGGAGGAGGGCATCCGTGGTCTCGATCCATACTGGCATGCCTCCAACATACGACTTACCAGGACGTCGTTGTCAGATAAAAAACTCGACCTACCCAACCTCGAAGCCCTGGTGAAGCGATTCTTCGAAACTGAACCCGCACAGATGAGATACTACGACAACATCACGGTGCTAGCAGCCGCGATCACGTTCTGCCGCAATGTGTTCGTCTGTGATGCGCTGAGAGGCACACGGCTGATTCCTGACGAATCGGCGGACTGGAAACAGAGCATTGACGCCCTGGTCAACAACGACCAGGATGCTCGACAAAGGATACGGGACCATCTACGCCGACTTGACATTGAGACAAAACTGACACTGATCAACGTAGCGTTGGCAGGTTTGGAAAAGGGCTCCGAAGACTGTCTGGACTTATCCCTGGAAATACTTTCTCTTGCTCCAAATGATCTACTGTCCCTTGTCCAGCAGGCCGCTATGAACGGTGCTTCACGTGTCGCGTCTAACGCAGTATTGCAACTTCGAGCCGCCAGAGTCTTTGGCATCCTGGCCTCGGCATCCGAGAGTGCAGAAATCTTGGCCAGAGCCGAATGGGACGAGACGTCAAACTGGAAAATTGCAGTCGGAGAGGGAATGGTCAAAATCCAAGGCCATCTGCTGCGAGCTTGTTTCTGCCTCTCGAGGAAGTCGCTTCGAGGTATTCAAACATCTGCTGACGACACCCTGCAACTCTTGACGCGGCGGCTTGTTGAAATAGTCAACACTTCCTCCGATAAGTCGCTCAAGGAAACCGCGTACAGATGTCTACGCCAACTTGCTCTGTGCACGCCGACTGGAAACAGCCCTGAACCAGATAAAGAATTATTGAATCAAATGATTTCGGACGGCAAAAAAGGAAGCGAAACTGCCATTGCGGCCGTTGGTCCTCTCCTAGGTGTCTTGTGTGCGAAAGGGACGCCTTCCCAATTTAACTCGTTCCTAGACCGCTTTTTAGCTCTTCACGAGGTCAAGAGGGCGGAGTTCCACTTTGCATTGGGAGAGTCACTTGCCGTTGCGGGTGCTGGGTTCCAATCGTCGTCCACCATGACGGAATTTGATATTGACGGGCCTCTGCCCAGTTGGGGCTTCAACGGAGAATTGATGTCGACGATCGTGGATAGAGTCATTGAAGATTGCCAAACAACGAAGCCCTCGCTAAAGAAAGCTGCCGCCATTTGGCTCTTGTGCATGATGCAATACTGTGGTGAAGTCGGCGCGGTCAAATCAAGACTGAGAGACGCTCAAGCTGCGTTTGCGAGGCTTCTGAACGACCGCGATGAAATCGTCCAGGAAACTGGTTCCAGAGGACTCAGCGTGGTGTATGAACGAGGCGACAAGCAACTCCAAGATGATTTGGTCAGAGATCTGGTACAAACGTTTACCGGGTCCGATGCGAAGATGTCTGGCACCGTCAATGAAGACACTCAGCTCTTTGAAGCAGGCGCCCTGCCCACCGAAAATGGCCAGTCGGTCACAACGTATAAAGACATTGTTCGCCTCGCCACAGAAATGGGGGACCCAAGTTTGGTGTACAGATTCATGAACCTTGCTTCGAACAATGCCATTTGGACCAGTCGCGCCGCATTTGGTCGGTTTGGACTCGGCCGTGTGCTGGCTGACTCAACGTATCTTACTGAGAACAAAAGATTTTATCCCAAGCTCTTTCGATATCGATTCGACCCCAATCCGCATGTTCAGCGATCGATGAATGAGATTTGGAGGGCGCTCGTGAAAGATCCAAATGCCGTGATCAACGGCAATTTCGACCCGATCATGCAGGATTTGTTGAAGAGCATCGTGTCGGGCAAGGAATGGCGAGCTCGCGAAGCCAGCTGTGCGGCGATATCTGATCTCGTGCAAGGCCGAGACATCGATATGTTCGAAAAATATCTCGATGAAATTTGGAATGTAGCGTTCAAGGTTCTGGACGATGTCAAAGAAAGTGTCCGGATAGCTGCGATGAAGTTGTGCAGAACACTCACTAGTATGCTGATTCGCAATCTCGAAGGGGGGAAAGGCGACGGCAAGCGAGCGGCTACCATGCTCAATCATGCCATGCCGTTCTTGCTACGGCAGATGGACTCTGGTGGAGCAAAGGAAGTCCAGCAATATGCCATTGTGACTTTGTTGGATGTCGTCAAGAAGAGCCCACCCAAATCCCTGCGCCCCTTTGCTCCACTAGTATTAGAGACACTAGTGCTTTCGCTCAGCTCACTGGAACATGAGAGTATCAACTACCTGCACCTGAACGCCGACAAGTATGGACTGACGGCTGAAGAACTCGACAAGATGAGGGTGTCGAGTATCAATGCATCGCCAGTGACAGAAGCAATCGAGAGTTGTTTGGACAGCATCACGATGCCATTGGTCACGTCCCGTGTGGCCGACGCCATGCAAGGCGTGGTTTCAACTTCCAACGCAGAAGAAAGTCACTCCCCCATGGAAGATGCAATGCAGAGACTCATGAACGCATATCGGGCTGCAATCGGGCTGCCATCCAAAGTTGGCCTCAGCAGGGTGATGACGACCCTTGTTGTTCGCCACCAAACAGCATTCCGACCCTACGCGGACAAGTTTATACAACTGACCAGGAAACACATCCTTGATCGCAACGCCACTATCAGTGTCGCTTTCAGCACCTCCCTGGGGTACCTGATGAGACTTGCCTCAGCTAAGGAGATTCAAAGCACGAGCAACTATGCCCAGAAATTATATTTCGAGTCACAGGAATTGGTTCATCGCTCAGTGGCGGGTGAGATCATCCAGGCTATCTCCCAGGCCGCGAATGACGTCTTTATGAATTCTGCGTCAGCCTTCCTCCCTTTCGTATTTATCGGACGTCGAGATACGGACAAGGAAGTCCGAGAACGATTTGACATCCCCTGGAAAGAAAACATTGGCGGTTCTCGCGCCATCAATCTGTACCTTACCGAGATAGTGGGGCTGATATTGACCCACATCAAATCACCTCTATGGCCCGTTAGACACGCATGTTGTTTCGCGGTCGCCGAACTGATTGGGTCCATGGAAGTGCAAGAAAAGTACACTGATCGTGAGGCGTTGCTTATTTGGGAGGCGATCCAGGAGGCCCTGGATGGTAAAACCTGGGATGGCAAAGAAGAAATTATCAAAATGTACCCAAAGTTCGTGCGTCAGGCCGAGGGTCTCTGGTCTAACAGCCAGACGAGCCAACAAATGAGAAAGATTGCAATCCGGGAGGCAAAAAGGACTAATGCTGCATACCGACCTCATGCCATTAAAGCCCTGGGGGAGTTCGCAGTCATCCGAAAAGACCTGGACTTGACCCTTGAATTGGTGCCCTATTTGGCGTCTCTCATGGATGATCTGACGGACCAGGATGCCATGGATGTTGATGAAACTAGCGGCAAGCCCCTTTCCAACGGGTAAGAAAACTCCATTTGACACATTTCCTTACTCCTAACAGACAAAGTAGGACGATGGTGGAATCCACGGCCAGTGCGACCGTTTGGTGCTTGTTCAAGCTCCTCGCAACCCATGCCAACGCCCAGGTTCTGGACTCCGCAACCCAAATCGTGCAGAAGGCACGTGCCACTCATGCGAGCGCAGTGGATGGCGCCCTCTACGAGAGTGCAAAATTTTTCGTGGTAAATGTATCGCCAATGAAAAAGGATGAAGGCGTTCGCTTCGGTACGGAAAATCCCTCAGCCTCAAATGGCGCAGCACCCTCGCTACGGCTGAGAACGGGGGAAAAATCGGAGCGGCGTGCCGGGGGAGAGGGACCAAGTGGCTTTTGGGAGACATTTGAGCCACTGGTGTTGGCGGTGCTCTCCTCCGATACTGCCCGCCAAGCATCCGAACCCGAAAATCAGCGCAAATCACGTGTTTCCCTGGCCCTGGCGATTGCTGAGCGAGGTGTGCAGCAGCCCGCAGCGCTAGCGGCGATCCTGGACACCTGGCTGCAAGCAGAACGGTCGAGGCCTTTACGTGAAGACATTGAACGTGCTCGACTGGCGAATCGACGTCCCTAGTGCCATTGCGTAAGGGCGATACTAGCCCGAATCCTGGGTGGACCCTCATCCTTGGGGAGTTGCGGACCTCTTAGACCTTTACAGGCCTTTCGCTTATTTGAAAGTCTGCCAGGTCCTTTGGGTACCCAAAACAAAAACGGTGGTGGACACTCGTAGGGCTGCTGCATGGGAATGGGGCACCAGGCGCACGGGCCACCGAATATCTTAGCGCTGTGGAAAATCTTGATGGGTGATGCTGGAGTTGGATTTCCGATACCAGGGATAGAGAGGAACCGGGGTGGTTCCAATGCCTGGGCTGTTTTTGTTTCTTTTGGTCCCTGCGTCCGCCACCTCTGGCATGTGGTTCCGTGGCCTGGTGACGACATCAAGGTCCATCCAACAAGTGTTTCTGACTTTTTGAGCTAATCATGTTCAAAGCTTTTTTTCAAGACACATTGCCGGCGCGCATCAACGGATGCAAGCTCGGTGGATCAGGGTCTGTGCTAGGAATTGAAGCCCGTATTTACGGACACCCCACAAAACTCAATCTCGAACTCGAAATGCCAAATTTTTTTTTTTTTTTTTTTTTTTTTTTTTTTTTTTTTTTCCAGCTCGGTTGGGCATTAGACTTTGTGTTCACAAACAAATCGAGAATATGCCAAGGGCTATCAGGGTGGTGGGGAGGCAAAAAGAGTCAACAGGGACGGTTCGGGAAAGGTTGTCTCCTAACCTCGGAAGTGGAAGCCGATTCCAAGAGGTTTGAAAAGGAGAGACCAATGTGGCAACTCCAAGACGGGTAACTGCAAGCCCTGGACTGTTGAGGCGGACATCCCCCGAGTGAGAGTGATCCTAAATGACGCAAATGCGATTGGAAAGATGACTGTTACGGTTACGTGAGACGGAGATGAAGGAAGCAAAATTTTGTACCTAAGCGACGAGAAGCAGGGGCGAGCAGGGAGGCGACAAGGGAATGAGACGCTCGACAAGATGGTGAACGGGCAAAGCCGCGAGTCAGAGACAAGACTAGGCTACTGACGGGCCAATGGGACAAAATCCTCGGTATAACAGATTTTCCGTTCCGTGGTGGGATTACCTGCTTTTGCTCTCTTCCATCCTCGAGCCCGAGTCATGGCAAGACGGCGGCAACAGCGGCTGGCAGGGTGCTATTCCGGGTACTTTGAGAAGGGCATTGCTAGTCAGTATGTGATTTCGTACCAGAAATTCAGTACCCGACGCCCTGGCCTGCTCCTTTCCTGGACCATCAACACCATCAAACTCTCTACCACCAAGACGTACCTCCATACCTCCAACACCCATCACTCCCACCTGGATCACCGCTCCCGGCCCAAAAATACCCCCTGCTTTCTTTGGTCCTTTTCCTTTTCCTCTCCACTCCACTCCCCTCCTCCATCTTTTCTTTTCTACGCTAGTTCCGCGCCCACCCTCTCTCTGACCATTCGACCCTCCCTGCTTCTAGGCTAAAACCACATCCCACGAGTCTGGCATCTGCATCTCTTGATCCACGGCCCTTGTTCACGCTTCCCTGTCCTTCACAATGCGGTTGTTTAGCTGCAGAGGGGCTGGTTCTTAATGTCGGAAGATTCGTATGGATCTGGGTGGCACTCCAATCAATGCCTCCGACCAATCTGCTGGTGCGCACACAATGACATCTTGATTGCTTCGAACTAATCAAGCCTGGGGATTGACTTCCTGCAGACACATTAGCTCTTCAATCTTCTGAAAATCTGTCTTCCTCTTTCCTCACCTCTCATTGCCTCTTCAGCCTTTCTCTTTAAGCATTGATTCTGGCCTGGACGTGCAAAAGCCTCTCCTTCCATCACGTCGACTCCTGCTTTCCGACGCGACCATTGTCAACCACTATCTATTTCACCGCAGCCGCCGCATATCCTTCTATCCAGCCCTGTTCCTGTCCTCCCGTCCTCCAATCTGAGTCCTCGCCGTGCTCTCCCTCCCGCCTAGCCGCATGGCGGCAAGATTGAACCCGGAAATACCTGTATCTGTCTGCAGCTGATACATGCGATCTGGCATGTGCATTTGAAACAATCATCCGTCCCGCCTTCGTTGTTTTCTGGCCAGATATCTCTCCTCATGACCTCCGTCAGTACCATTGTAATGCAAGACGACAAACGAGGAGAATCCTCGAAGAAACAACCACTTCGGCTACCGATCATTGCACCCAAGGATGACCTGTCTTCTTCGGCAAGTTCCAGTCGCAGCAGCCGTGTCGGGCCTGGCGTCCTTCCACGCGCTCGACTGCCTCCGCGGTCAAGAACCGGTTGCTGGACCTGTCGCACTCGCAAAGTAAAATGTGATGAAGGACGCCCCGTTTGTGGACAATGTGAACGCCTCGGCCACAATTGCGATTATAGTCCCCGTTTAGCCTTTCGCGATGATACGCCACGCGTCCTGGAACGCATGCAGGATGTGACCAATGTCGCCAGCTCCGTGTGGGATTGTGAGTACCGTGAGCCCCTCATCGCGCAACGCCACCGCTAACGTTCTTCTTAGCGACCTCACCTGCCATGACTGACACCAGCATTGGATCTGCCGCGGTGGATGATCTACCACCCTTCGCTTCACTAACAACAGATGATGACCGTGAGAGAAAGGCCGAGAGGTCCAGCCCCGGAACATACAATGTGGTGGTCAATCAAGATAGCTTCCAACACCTACCCGAGTACTGTGACGATCCCGACGTAAAGAAAGAACTCCCGCCGCCGTTACGTCGAGGCTCTGTTGCTACGTCCCTCGCCAGTAGCGCCGGTCGCGAATCCGCTGTCGAAGGCGTTCCCATTGCAGGAGACCCTAACATTGTTGTATTACCTAGATTCGAAGATGTTGCCCGTCGCGGGATATTCAGTTCCCGAGAACCACGATCACCGGTTTCACCCAGAGCAAAACACATAATCATCAAGGACGAAGACCATGACGAAGTCACCATGACAGAAGAACCAGACGCAATAGACGACAAGAGCAAGACAGGCCAAGATGCCAGGTATCTCCAACGATTTCGCCAGGTCGTTTGGAATCAGCTCGTACCAGCCGAGCCCGATGTGAGAGACGGGATGATGCGATCGAGTGTCAATGTCCTGGAAATGGCCGCAACCACTTTCCCTCCGGTATGCCTCCTTCCAACAGTTCTGCTATCCGCTAACGTATACTCAGTTGCATCACGCCATGATGGCCGTCGCAGCCTTGAGTTTGGCCGCACAAGATGGAAACGAGAGACTCGATGCATTACAACATTATCAGCAAGCTTTGCCGGCATTGCAAAGTAGCCTCAAAAGCCCGACCGATTTATCCTCCGACGGCGCCTTTTTGACACATTTCCTCTTGCTGGTCTACGAGGTAGGTTGAATTCAAGCGACCGTGGAGTTTCTCCCTGACGAGAAAGCAGATTGCGGCAGCCGAAGCCGGACATTCGAACCTCTGGTCCCAACATTTGTCGACACTTTTGCGGATTTCTCTCCTGCGACGTGACGTCTTTGGGGGTGAAAGATTCCCATTTGTGGTGTGGTGGATTTGCAACATTGATTTGGATGCACTTTTCAGCGGAGCAGGCAGTGGTGAATTCGTGGGATCCATGTTGAGCAACGATCTCATTCCTCCTCCGAGTTTTCATTTATATCCACTGGGTCTGGACGGCTCCAGCGTGGTCTATGCTGATGAGTTGGAATCCTTGCCTCCAGTCCTACAGCTGGATTACGAAGTCACAATTCTGGCAATCCGGTTGGCGCTGCTCGCACATGAATTCAGAAACGATAGCAACTTCAACGATGCGGATATGATTCAGAGGAACCAAGCCACCAGAATACGCCAGAGTCGAATTTTCGAACTACAAGAATCTTTGCGTCAACTGTGGGTTACCCCTGTGGCGGTGATGATCAGTCAAAGGGTCGAAGATCTCCCCGAACGTCCACATCGGTTGTACGAACATGCAGCTGCCCTTTATCGAGCCTGTATTATCTATTCGCATACGTCCATGTGGCCAGGGCAAAGACTAGACACATCTCCGGACTATAACACCGAAATTGCGGTGGCGTCGAATCAGATCATCTATATGGCGAGGAAGGCGCTGGAAGAAGATCGATTAGACAGTCGATATTTGGTCTTCCCTGTTTTTATCGCAGGGTTTGCCAGCACCGACGGGGGTCAACGAATGCAAGCGTTGGATTTGATTCGCAGCATGGAAATGAACAGTATCGGGCGAAACACGACCGTTACACGCAAAGCTCTGGCGGCCGTGTACGAGAAGCAGAATGAGCGATTCATGAACACCGGGCAGAGTTTGGACGTGGACTGGATGGAGGTCATGGCGGAGCGAGAGTTCATGGTGGTGAATTTTGGTCTGTGATGGATGGATTCAGCGAGGTGGAAAGTGCACATGAAGTTATGACTTTTCTTGGTTGTTTCATATTTGATGAGCGTCATGTTACATGCTTCAAATCTAGCTCGCACAGCTATGTTGTCAAGCGTTCACCAACCGACCTGGAGGATTCGTTGATTGAGCGACTGAACGGTCACGCAGAGCTCTCCACTGTAGCACCGCAACTGGGGATTCCCACGATGGAAAGTTTTTGCCAAATTTCGGCCCTTGTCGACGTTATGTTTTGCGATCGAAAATTTCTTTCTTGGCCATACGTGTCTGGCCATGATCTTGGTTAGTTAGGCGATCTCCAAACTCCGCGGACAGTGCCGCGTCCGGATTATCGAGTGATGAAGTCCAGACGGATTTCGCCAGGTCAGGTATTGCCATGATCGTGGTTGCTATCACATCATAACTCAAGGACGACGGGACCCTCATTAGAGATGGTCTGCTGGCAGCAATAGTCGGATTCGCCTCCAGTGCATCGACTCTTATTCAGCTGGCCCATATGAATCGGTCGGTTCATCACCCCCGCTTTGCCAGAATAGGGATGAATTAGCGCGTGGGTAAAACCCTAATGGGTCCCCCATGTCATCATCAAACGAAGGTTTGTGAGAAGGCTTTCCATTTTCGCATCTGCAAAATCCGATCGGCTGCTTTCTTGTCGACAAGGATGACCATGCCTGTCGTGAGACGTCGGACAAGAGGTAACTGCAGGCCGCTAGAGATGCAAGATCCGGGGACAAGGGTCGGTGGGTTTAGCGTGTTGTGATGATTGACAATTCTTTCATATGGGGTCTGCGTCTCGGCCGTCGTGGGTGGGATGCAAAAGTACTGCTGGGGTTACTTGGCTCTGGGAACGATGGCCTGCAATTCAGCTCGAATGAGCCGAAAACAGCTCGAGGAATAAAAAGAGGGAAAAGGCAAGGCCCGGCTACGAGGCCGCAACCGATTCCAGGACCAATCTCGTTGAATGGTTGAACTTGAATTTGGGGTTTAATCTCACCAGCGAATCCCCGCATCTCACCGCCCGAAGTTTTTCGGAGGTTAACGCCACAGTCCAAGCCTTTGCATCGACCCGAGGGATAATCTGAATATGGTGATTGGCGGCCGTCGTCGGCTTTCAAGAAAGCGGCGCCAAAATATACTTCAAGCCACGGCATTAGCCGTTTGTGTCACCAGAAGTGGGATTTTGGCCACTTCCTGATTCATGTGACTGCCATTTGAGCCCAAACGAATGAAGTTTCTTCTTCCTCCTTCAACTTGAACGCTATCGCATTCTCACCATTGAAATACTCAACCCTCCACAGAAATAACCCAGCCAAAATTTAGTCGCCGTCTGGCAGTCGACGGCCTAGCATCTCAAGACAAATTCGCCTCCAAAAAAAAAAAAAGAAAAACCCCCTATCTACTTGAAGATGCATCCTTGATTCTTCATCCCAATGTCACTTGAGGCGGCGCCGCTGAATTCCCATCGACCGTTCGAGAACGTCAGCCTCGGTCGATCTCTTGGACAAATGGGGTGGGTCAAAAAATAGGAGGATTTTCCCCATGCCAATATCAGTCCTCCCGCTCTGCGTTAGTGAGCCTCATGTTTCAGCCCTGAGGAGACATGTCGAATAATCGAGATTACCGATTTGAATATTCGTTCTGAATACACCGTGAGAGACTTCTTGTCCACCCAGATTGATGCAGCCTGGCCTGCTTTACGTTCCAAGAATGAATATTGTCACGGTCCTCGGGGAATTGTCACCTCACCTCACCTCATCTCATGACTCTGCTGAGCCAAGGTTGGTGGTGTCGACAATGAATGTCTCGTATCCCGGGCTCCTTCACCAATCACTTCACGAAGTATCGGTGGTGAGGCTTGATCTGCAGCAGCTGAACCACACGTTATTTGTGTCTCCATTTGGGTGATTCGTGTGAGCTCAACCTGCCCTTCGCCTACCCACTACCTACCACAAAAGACTAATATTTGTTCAATGAACTTGCATTCCATCTCTTCCTTTTCAGTTCATGGAGCGTCTTGATACAAACGAGACCAGGCTGCATCTCATGTTTAAACATGTGGCCAGGTTGACAGCGCGAATCCCCTCCTACCCATCGAACAAGGACTTCACGCAAATCATAATCAGGCTTCTGAATATCCTGGTGCAGGGTGGCCGAGAATGCCAGGCAAATATTGAGGCACCCTGATGTCCACGTAAGGTGTATCAAGGAATGCCAAGGAACGGAAAGACAAGCGTGATTCAATAGGGAATTGATGGAATTGACAGTCCTATATGATATCGACTCGATCGCTTGAGGAGTCAAGCGATGATGGGGTGAGATGAGCAGGTTATAAGCCTGCGTCTCGCCCGGTATCTAGTGTCTTGGCAGGGGCCGCCCTGTAATTCGGACGATGACGGAAATGAGTTTCGTAACGTTATAGCACGACCGATTTCAAAGAGTCGTCCATCCGTTGCGGCAATTGACCAAGCGGATAATTCCTGAGCAGACAGTGAACTGCGTTTTGACCAAATAGCAATATAGACGTATCACATAACGTACAGCGATGCTCGAAGCAGCAAAAGACAACTCAGATTGACGGATTTCCAGCTGGATGGCGTGCATTGGGTTACCGAAAGCGGTAAGGACGCACTAGGCATCACTCATCGCCCGATTCGCACCAGACGTTACGGACGAAACTTCGTATAAATACTGACTATCTCTCTGCAGCAACGATAAGGTCCTAGTTCTGGCCCCGTAAACACCAATCTTGCAGGCCATGCCTCTTCTCGGCTTTCTGAATGCCTTGGACAATGTCCACCACTTCGACCCAGACAAACACATTCCAAATCTTGCGGGAAGGGTGATTGTGGTGACGGGAGGAAATTCCGGGGTGGGAAAAGAAACTGTCCTACAACTGGCAAAACATAGTCCCCGGTGTATCTATCTGGCTGCTCGCACCAAGGCCAAATATGACGATGCCATGAAAGATATCGCGGCTGCGGCACCTGATGCGAATGTGAAGTATGTGGAACTGGACCTTGCCTCGCTGGCCTCGGTCAAGAAGGCTGCAGACCAGGTGTTGGACGAGACCGACAGGCTGGACATCCTGGTGAACAATGCTGGAATCATGGCGCATCCGCACGGCCTGACCAAAGACGGATACGAGATCCAATTCGGCACAAACCACATGGGCCACGCCCTGTTGACCCGACAACTTCTTCCGCTGATGCAGAAGACCACCTCACAGCCCGGCGCGGACGTTCGGATCGTCAACCTCTCTTCCGGTGCCCACTTGTTCGCCCCCCGCGCCGGCATTTGTTTCGACGGGCTCAAGACAGAAATGAAATCCTACAACCCGGGCACGCTCTACGGACAGACCAAACTCGCCAACATTCTCCATGCACGGGAGTTGGCGAAACGGTACCCGGACATCCGGAGCACGTCCGTCCACCCCGGCCGCGTCGAAACCAACATCGACAATGTCATGATGGAGCTAAACAACCTCAACGCGCGCGTGCAAAGAATCTTCGACTTCCTGGCGGGTCCCATGAATGTGCAGCAAGGTGCTCTGACGCAGATCTGGGCCGCGGTATGGAAGAAGGACGAGATCAAGAATGGCGCGTATTACGTTCCCGTAGGCAAAGAGAATCAGGGGTCAACGTTGAGTGGGAATGCAGAGCTGGCGGAGAAGTTGTGGGATTGGACTGAAAAGGAACTCGTGGAAAAGGGATATTGATAGCGCAGAGCCCCTTCCAGAACAGGGAACGCAGACTCACTTCGGACAGATAGACCTCCAGGCAATTTCATAAGAATGGAATGTTCGTCGTATGCCGTCAAATGCACATAGTTTTCAGAGTCCCGTGAATTTCGATCCGTTGGCTCGAGAGACAGGCTTCGCTTAGCAGGTAGGGGAAGCTTTCAGGCGCTGTCAGAATAGAGATAAGAATGAGTTGCTGCCCAAAATTAAGCGGCCTTAGGGAGGTGGAATGCCGGTGTGGCGAAATTGGGACGGGCGTAAATTGCCTCACGTGACCTTGAAAAAAATCAGCAGATATATTTTTTCCACAGAAAATTGGTGTCCTTCGGGACATTTGGTCAATTTGAAACGATACAGAGAAGATTAGCATGGCCCCTGCACTAAGGATGACACGCTTCTCAAAGAGTGCTACAAGTTTTTTTTTTTCTTTTTCCCCTTCACTTCCCGTGTTCGACCCTAGCTTGCTACCTCCTGACTTTTTGCTCGACATACGGAGCAGATTTTCGATTCTGATTTTTATGTGTGGCCAATATTATTCTTGGCAACTCCGGCACAAAACTACAGTAAGTGACGCAACTTTTAATCCACTCTGGAGTGAGATAAAAGCGTTGCAGCAGGTGAACAAAGAACAGCAGTGCAGTCTAATCTTGGAGGGTGTATATCGAAAAGACTGTCTCATACACAAACAAGAGGGACATACTGGGCCATTTTTGGATTAGCACAGCCTCGTCGCGAGTATGTACTGAGTAGTGGAGAGGTGTTCCTGTCCTTCCGTCGTCGGCCCAAGGGAATTACCTTGTGGATCTTCACAAGCATTGAAAAGAATAGTTGGACGGATAAAGTGCTGCATTCCCGGCAAGTTCAAATCATTCGCCAGCCCTTTGAGTGGTCCGAGAGTACTGTCACGGCTTGGATCTCCAATAGCACGGCTCCTTAGCACGAGCAAACAATGGCCTCTAGAATGGGACTGACTACGGAGGCGGACTTGCCACCAGAACCATCATTCTCCTGCACCACCCTGTCTGTGTTACTGCCTACAACACGATCTACCACGCGTTCAATTCAGACGGCGACTAGATTCTCTCTGTGAATAGCAGAGTTTGTACCTGTCAAACCAGGTATGCCAAGAGAATACGAATTGAATGCTGTCCGTCTTGCAACTGGTCCTACCAGGTTGTCGGTATTTATACACGTTTGGTTGACCCCTTTTCTTCTCCTATTTCTACCCCTATATCCTCCACAGGAGTAATAACCCCTTTTCCCAGTAAAGGGGCACTTACTACTGTCCAACCGTTCAACAGTACCTCGTCAACGCATGGACCATGAGCAAACAGGACAGAAAATACTGCAAGATGCAGGCACTTTTTCGATCATATCATGAATTGAAAACTCAGGGATTCTTGGAAGGTATTATCGACGAGACAGACGGCGTACATCTCTTCAGACAACGTGTGCTGACCCCTGAGACGCGAGCACAAGACAAAGCTTCCCAACAATATCAACCAGACGCAACATGATCATTGCATTGGCCACAGGGAAAAATTTTCAGACAAGAATGTTCACTTTCTGTACTGCCTAGACAGCCATCCAAACAAGGCTGTGGAATGTTTTGCTCCAGGCCAATACTCTATGCGCGACTATGAACGCATATTTCATCCGTTGCACTCATTGTGTGCGACATCACTAGATCACCGCCTTCTATTTCCAAGGCAATGATTGATGAGGGCGGCAATCGTGCTGAATCCTGCCATGCAGAAATATTTGCTCCAGCTGCACTCTCCCTCACATTCAAACTCCTTACTCTCACCCAAGATTGGTCACACGGATGCTATTGCAGCGAGTTTGGCTCGGCATCTATCGAGTCTTCATTGACATGGATTATGTCAAGCCAGAAGACATAAGATGGCTTCCTCATAATGCTCGAGAACTCCACACCATGATCAAATTCCTCCACAAGATTCCCTGCGCCATGGCCGGTTCTGCCGACTTCATCTCAGATTCCGAGATGACTGATTTCTCCAAATGAATATAGTGTTCAAGTATCGCGGTTTCAAACTCCAGCGAATCAGCTCAATATCCAAGATTCAGCCAATATCCATGGGAGTGTGTTGTCGTTGACCACTCGCGAGGACTCCGGAATCGTATTAGTGGTGAATGTCACTCGTGGAAAGTACACCCTGGACCTAGTTTGTCATCTGTGCGCCTTGCCGCTAACGTATCTCCTGTTCTAGGTCCTATTCGAAATTCAACGGCTCTTGGGATCTCTTCCTCCAAGAGGAGGAAACAGCATGTGACTTCCCTGATAAGTTTGGCAACGATACTACACCTTCTCCTCTTGATCTCGCCATTTTTCAACCGCATCGGCCACGGCCACCCATGCCACCAAGTGATGCCCTTTTCAACCTGTAAGTCTTCACATGTCCCATGCTGCAAGCTCGAAAGACAGAAAAGAAATGACTAATTGCCAACTAGATGCATGTCGTTGTGAATCACCCGCCACGATGCCGTCAGAAACACTGACTATGTCTCCAGGTGGTCTGAATTTTTGGCAAACAGCGATTTAAAGAAACTGTAGCCCGGAACCTAGGGGAATTTCACCTCAATTCAGACTCTGAAAACCGGCGATGATGTGGAAGGCTAAGAGGCGGAAGGTCAAGACCGGGATCACCATCAGGATTATGGGGCAAGTGAAGAAGAAGCAGATTCGGGCGACTCTGGCTCCGAACGCAACGATGATGGTGGTGGCGGTGTTTCTGTTTCCGAATGCAGGTGCTACAGGTGAAGTTGGATTCGTTTCTTTAGGAACGCCGTTTGCGCACCAAATATGACCATCACTTTGCGACGAATCCTGGCCGAGTTCCATTTTATGGGCTTCACATTATCCTGCGGTCGCCATGGCAGCCTAGTAGGTTTTCACAAGGCAAATTTTTTCGTCTTTCTGCTTTTCATTTCTCTGAGCCGCCCGTGGACTAATTCTGCTAGGGGTGCTGTGCCAACCTGGGTAGCCGTGAAAAATACTGAGGCTAGGCACCAGTTGGGCATCATTTCACGCCGTACATCAAGTTTATTGACTCAACGAAGCTATCTGACTGCATTCTCGACAGAAATGCTTACTAAAAGCGGGCATCCTCGTTGCATTTGCACAAGGCTGACAGCCAAAAGTGGCCCGGCAGGGGCCATCTCAGCCTCGCCGCTCTTGGCGGCGTACCATGTAACCTTTTGTTATGCGCCTGACTGCGCCTCTGATTCCAAGTTTCGGACTTTTTGAGAGAGCTCGGCCATAGCCTTCATTCTCTGCTAACGCCAATTCCTTTCTCAAGGTGCGTCACTTATGGTCACCATGGAGGAGAGTACATATTGGATTGGATATGTTGCCCTCCGTCAAAATCGACACAGCGTGATTGGTTAAACAAGGCAACCATAGACTCCACCGTACCTAGAACAGCTTGAGTTCGGTTACTCTGGGGGCCTCGGGCAATGCTACACGGTATCAGCAGATCAATGACGGATAAGTTTTCAAAAGCCACTATCTCATTACTCGAAGGTAAGCATGTGCCCGATTTGATCTCCAAGGTGGTTAAATATCTTGACAGTACATCGCCATACCTTTCGTCCCCTCGACTGGAACTTTTCTTCTCTAACATCGGTCTAGCCTATCACTCTGCCTTTGCTGAAACCGACATCATGAGCACTCTCAATCGTTTCAGCTGGTTCTCCCAGCAAAGTGACCCTCCAGCATATACCCCACAACCGATATCTGCAACCTCGCCGCGGAATATTCGGTCTTCTGGTTCCTCTGTTGCGGATCAAGACCGAATTCCGGAGATATCAAATCCGGCACAAGATAGAGTTCTGGATGCAAAATCTGTCGGGTCAGACAGAAGAAGGCTAGAGCTCGAGAAAGGGATCTTGGAGAAAAAAAAAGGCTCGATCGAATCAGCTTCTGCCTATAGCGAAAAGAACACGCCTGAAAGATTACAGAAAATATCACCTCCGAAGGAGGGAAACGGCTCCTTTTCTTCAAACTTGACGCAAGAACGACCCAAGCGACGGACTTGCTGTGGATGTGCCTGGATATTTCAGTCATCTCGACCTTGCTGTCTGGCTGCATTCTTTCTTATTACGGCAGCCTTGGTGGCGGGGATAATCGTGACTGCCGTTCTTTTGACCAGGTAAGTTTGAGCATCTTTCAAGAGGTTTAAGCTCTTCGCCGTACTCGAACATGATGCCGGGCCAATAGTGTCAATAAATCCACATGAGGCTTACTGACAAGGTACCAGGCGTGACAATCCAGCCAGTGCAAGCTCCAGCTCCACCACGACCTTCACCTCGATTGTCCAGTCTACTCAGACACTGCCATTCACAGTGACCAGCACCACCACTAGCATAACTACTTCGGTGGTAATAGCTACAACGACCTCTTCGTCCACCCAACCGACATCCGCATTCTACCTCGGTGGATTTGACGCAGTAGAGCAAGATGACGATAACCACATGTTCTATACAGACCAAGACGGTTCAATCCAACACATCATCAACGATGGATATGGAGATTGGTACCGAGCAACCGAAACAACCATGGGGTCGAACGTCAAACCAGGCAGTCCTATTGCAGCTTCCCTGGCAATAGATAGTTCAGGAGACTATACAGCGGTACAGTTGCACTCTTACACACTCATACGTGTCCTGCTGGCAAGCTAACATTGTTCAAGATCCATGTCTACTACATCGACAACGAGAGCACGATTCAAGGGATGATCAAGAGATGCGACTACACCTCCTTAGAAGCCTGGAATATCGACCCGATCGGGTCACTGGCCCTGAAAGTCGGGCCCTCTATGTTCATACGCAGCTGCGTTCCCGACAGTCACAACTATACATACGGGGAGGACGCCGATTTATACATGTACTTCGCTTCTCCGGGAGGGAAGATTAGGAAATTTGGCTGGTGGTACTCCACTGGCCCAGCCGTTGACGGTTGGAAAGAGCTCTTTGATTTACCACCCGTCACGCTCGGACGAGAAGTCGAATGCGAATTAGCCGGTGGCATCGAGTCGCTTTGGATAGTCAATAACGAGACCAAACTCGTGGAGCAGTGGTGGCGGTCAGCCGCAGATGGTAAAAATTGGACACTTGGTACGCAACTACCGAACTATCTGACATTCGCGGTGATATATCCACCATCGTTGCCTCTTGAGGGCTAGGACAACTGACAAAAACATACAGGAATCAGCGGCGTCGACCAAGTCCACCCACAAACATCTCTCCTTTCGTTATCATCAAGCGAAACCAACCGCTCACACATCATCTTCCAAGCCGCCAATCTAGACATTGCCCGCTACGACATCTCCGGCCTCGGGTCTAACGCCGTGCTTGAAAACAGCGTGGTCATCCACTCATCGTCCGCCACACCCGGCACCCGTCTAACGACGTGGGCCAATTCGGGGTACTGTGGCATGTACGTCTCGGTTTACTATCAGCAAAGCAATACCTCGGACCTTTACTACAATGAATTCTCGGACTTGTGTGATTACGAAGGGAATTGCTATGTGAGTCCATCATATAGCAGTGGTGATGATGACGATGAGAGGATGCCATTGGTGAGGACGTATGGGAAGAATGTCAGTCATAAGAAGAAGTTTACGGGATGGAAGGGGTTCGCGATGTTCATTGCTGCGAGTGCGGCTGTGTTTGCACTCGTGTGCTGTCTGTGTGCTTGCTGCACTCGATCTTGAAACCCCAGATGTAGCCTTACGGTTCTCGCCATTGTGCTAGTAGCTACCATGCCGGGTACGGGCTATGCATGCCCCTCAAGAAGGTGAAGCCCCTTGCTGCACAGAAGATCATTCCCATTGTCTGCGTGGATTCTATGGACAAACCCGATCCTTTGATAAATGCGATTCGAAATTCGGGGTTGAACGCCGTCATTGACTGTACGGCGGCCTGTAATGACAGCCACAACTTCCTTCCCGGGGGGAGGTAGTCAAAAGGGTTGAGGGAAACCGTCTTGATGCTCTCAAAACAGAAGGGATAGCCAAAAGTCTAGAGATCGGATTCATAAACACGTCTGGTTCTTGGGTGCGTGGAGATTCAAGCGAGTAGGTAACTGATGTCGATTCAGTCGGTACGGAGTCTGCTCCAGCGCCGGTGCTAGATCTTGTTGGATGGTGACCTGCCCTGGAGTGGTGAATTCTGGTGGTGAACGGTGTGCTGGATGTGCCCGTCTTCCAACCTGGATTTCTACATGGCCGTAGCTCATCTGCTTGGAGTGGAATCTACGGTTCAATTGCTCAAACTGTGGCAGAAGGGAAAGCTCAACTGCAAGTGCAGGTCGTGGTCTCCTCCTAGTCACCACTGCCGATGTTGCAGAGGCGATTGCTTGTGGGATGGGCAAGATCTCGTTGTTGGAAGAACTTCCCTCTATCCTGTTTTCGACTCGTGTTGACGACAGAGAACATCCACGACATTCTGGAAGTATTCGCGGAGGCTCCCAGCCAGGCAGGTGGGAAGAAGGCTAAGCTGGCACTTGAACTGGTTTGGGCTGGTGATAATGCTTGCCTCTAGGTCATTAGGTTCAACCATTAAAATTAGTAGCGCTAGAGCACGCGATTTACTAGAATGGGAACCACTGAGAGACGGACTGACGTTGGGAATGGAGGTGTACGCTCAAGCTTGGAAGGCGGGTCAGTAGATGATCAGTGACTGTGAGACCGAGACTTGAAGACGAAGAAGGATCTCTCTGATATACTGGATCAATAGTCACACGGCTTCCGGTGATGTGACCCTGGGGTGTAACATTTTATCCATTTCGATAGCCTTGTCTCTCTCTTTTGGAAGCCGACGACCCGATGATTCAATGACACTGCGAGTTCACATCTTCGCGATTACTTGTCTTTGCTCTGGAGGAGTTAGCCCAATCTCTAGCGACCGAGTCTTTCTCTCATTCAAAATCCACTGTCTAACACGCGCAACGAACCGATCGATTTGAACCTCTGTATTCCCCGAGTGTAGACATACCCTTACCCGCTCAGTTCCTTTGGGTACTGTTGGTGAGACCACAGGACGAACAATGAATCCTGCAGACTGGCAATGGGCCGCCAGAGATCGAGGGTGGGGGCTGAGTAAGGCGAAAATAGGCGATTCCGGACACGTGGTGGGAAGCGTAATGAGAGGAATGCCTGAGCTATTCGAGCTATGTCGGATAACACCCTCGAGGGACTGTAGTTTGGCGTAGAGATGATTGATTAAGTGGTACAATTTTGCGGCAAGCTAAGGGTTTTGATGTCAGACAATGATTCCAGCGCGCAGGAAATCGTTTACCAGATTCGTTTTTCCCATTCGGAGCCACGTGTACGCTGTTCTAATGCCAACAAGAGTGGGATAGGACATGAAGGTTGTGTAAATCAAAGGTCGCGCGTAGTTGATAAGATAGAGGCGAATGGTCGGAGAGCATAGGATGATGGCTTGGAGAATATTAGGACGACTGAACAATAGGGTGTGGAATTGTCGATTGGGCAGCTTACCTCCATTGGTGGTAAGGGCCTTGCCGAAAGTGTGAAGGCGGACAGAAACTCGTTTCTCAAGACCGAGTTCACAGACTCTTCCTGATCCATTAGGTCCATAGATACCGGTGGCATGAGCTTCGTCGATGATGAGGTGAGCATTTTTGTGAGAAAACACCGACTCTATCAATTCGACGATTTCAGTCAATGGAGCAAGGTCCCCATCCATACTGTAAACAGTCTCCACCGCAACAAAAACAGTTCGGGTCGAACCGGAAGAGTTAACAATCTGCTTTAATATGCGGTGCAGATCTTGGACGTCATTGTGCTTGAATGATATCTGATCTTTGGCTCTCGATTGTCTCATGCCATCGTGAACACTGGCATGAATCAGCTCGTCGTAAACAATGACATCTCCGTGTGCAGGAAGATAGGCAAAAATGCTGACGTTGGCATCAAAGCCGGAATTGGTCAGGAGGCCAGTTTCGGCACCATGGAAGGAAGCAATCTCTCGTTCGAGAGTTTCGGCGTATTCTGAATTGCCGTCGAGAAGTCTGGATCCTGTTGAGCCCAGAGGAGTCTGGGTTTCCCTCAAAGTGTCCAGATAGTCTCGCATAAATTCGTTGTTGGTTGACAGGGATAAGAAGTCATTGGATGAAAGATCCACTGATCCCAGAGGACTAGACTTCAGATCTCGTAGTTTAAACTGAGCCCGTCTTTTCTCCAGGGCAGCATCGAGACGTCGCTCAAGGTGAGAAGCTGGCATGGGAGAGTCAGAAGGGAGGGCATCCTCGCTGGAATCACGGGAAGTTCTCATGGCAACAATCTCTTTGTGCATATGTCAAGAAAGGATCTGCTCAAGCTCCAACCTCGTCGAATTCTCATATTGAAAAGTGTTGAGTCTGAAGCTGTAAAAGGAGAAATGATGGGGTCGGTGTATTTGGAATAAGGCAGGTTGGCCGAGGGGAACTTCCTCGGCCGCCGAATCCACCAATCGGAGAGCTGGAACATGCCGAGGCTGGGTATTTAGCGGCTTGGCATAAGACAAGCTTAGCCGTGGACTCCAGTTTTTAACATCTTCTTACATCCCTCCCATTGCTCCCTCGTCATTACTCTTGTCGGCATGCTCTGGCGTGACCTGAAGGCATGGCAGGTCTACGGCGCCAACACAGATGTCGGCAAGACGATTGTCTCAACGATACTGTGTCGGGCTCTTCGACGGCGAGCATCTTCTCAAGGCCTTCTATACCTGAAACCAGTCTCGACCGGCCCTCAGACCGAAGCAGATGACAGGTATGTCTCAACCCCTGGATTTCTGTCTGGCTAAGAATGAGACTGAGTGAAGCCTAGGCATATAACACGATTTGTGCCGGGAGTAATCTCGAAATGCATCTCGGAGTTCTCACAGCCATTGAGTCCACACTTGGCTGCTCAGCGGGACGGAAATAGTTCGGTATTTAGTCCTCATGAGCACCGATGGGATTTTCCTGGCTAACGAATATGCAGATACCAACATCCGACAAATCAATAATAGCACGAATCAAAGATGCTCTTGCGAAGCATAGTCAAGCAGGAGGGAGATATGCTGTGCTGGAAACCGCTGGAGGTGTCCTCTCTCCAGGACCGTCTGGCTCGGTCCAAGCCGATCTGTACCGACCATTGAGACTTCCAACCCTTCTCATTGGAGAGAGCAAGCTCGGTGGCATAGGTACAACCATTTCTGCCTTTGAATCGTTGTACCTGCGAGGCTATGACATCGACTCGGTCGTTCTGTTCGATGATCCGAAATGGGGAAACTACGGATATCTCGAGAAACACTTCTTGAAGCATGATATCCCAACACTGGCTCTACCCATGCCACCTGCCAGACGGAAGAATCCCAAAGATGATGAGTTGGCGCTTTCAGACTACTATCAAGAATGTTCTGAGTCTACAGAGATCATCGGTCTGATCGACCTCTTGCAGCAAAAACATTTCTCTCGGATCTCAAAGCTCACATCGATGCCTTCCCAAGCTGATGCAGTGATATGGCATCCCTTTCGCCAACATGGCATATCACATAACATTATTGCCATTGACTCGGCATATGGCGACAATTTCCAAGCTTACAACCAAGAGGCCGATCCTGCACTGAGTACGCCGCCGCCATCGCCTTCGGGACTCACACCGCTTGCATCCCCAACCCCAGCCCAGCCCCTGTTGACGTCTCTATTCGACGCATCCGCATCATGGTGGACTCAAGGCCTCGGCCACGGCAACCCCAACGTCGCGCTCACGGCTGCCCATGCCGCCGGTCGCTACGGCCACGTCATGTTCGCACACGCGGTGCACGAACCGGCCCTCGACATCTCCTATAACCTTCTGTCATCTCTCCAAAATCCACGTCTCAGCCGTGTCTTCTTCACCGACAACGGCAGCACCGGCATGGAAGTTGCCGTCAAGATGGCTCTCAGAGCCTCCTGCCAACGATACGGCTGGAGTAAAGATGACGGCAAGAGCCCTGTTGCCATCCTGGGCTTGAAAGGCAGCTATCACGGGGACACGATCGGTGTCATGAACTGCTCTGAGCCCAGCGTCTTCAATGAAAAAGTCGACTGGCATCAGCCTTGGGGTCATTGGTTCGAACCACCTTCGCTTCTCATGCGGAATGGCATATGGGAAGTCTCGGTCCCCGACGAAGTGCAAACTACATCTCCATCCGAGAGAATCCAGAAATTTGATTCTTTAGATTCCATTTTCGACTTTGAGTCTCGTCGCGATGACGCTGCACGATATGAAGCACACATCAAAACCACTCTCGACACTTTGGTTCGCGGTCAAGGCCGGCGTTTCGGAGCTTTGATTCTAGAACCCCTTCTCATGGGTGCAGGAGGTATGGTCTTCGTCGACCCGCTGTTTCAGCGGATGTTGATCAAAGTCATCAGATCAAACCCTCAACTAATGGGGGTGAATACGTTGACTTCTGGCCATAACAGTGAGACCAGCACGTCCTCCTGGTCAGGCCTACCCGTAATCGCCGACGAAGTTTTCACTGGCCTCTATCGACTGGGACGCGTCAGCTCATCATCCTTTCTCTCGTCTCCCGCAGATTTCACCTCTAGACCTCGACCCGGACCCCAGCCATCGCTCCCCAGCGCGATCGCGCCCGACATCTCCGTGCACGCGAAACTACTGACAGCCGGCTTGCTTCCTCTCGCCATCACAACGGCCAGCGAATCCATCTTCCAGACATTCCTGTCGTCGTCGAAGACCGACGCCCTGCTTCATGGCCACAGCTACACGGCTCACCCGATCGGCTGCATGGTTGCCCACAAGGCCCTGAATGAATACCGCCGAATGGACACGGATGGAACCTGGGACAGATTTAAGCAATCCTGGATCTCACCTTCAACGCTGACTTCATTCACTCTAGCGTCCTCTCCGGCACCTTCGTCTTCATCGAACGTCTACTCCTTCTTCCCTCCCTCGCTCCTAAGAGCGCTTTCGCATCATCCGCGTCTCAACGGGTGTTTCGCACTCGGCACCGTGCTAGTGCTTAAAGTCGTCTCCGAGGGATCCGGGTATACCTCGACGGCGTCGTCCTCATTGCAATCACGACTCCTGACCCTGCTTGATTCGGACGGCTGTGGAATTCATTCTAGAGTGCTGGGCGATGTCATTTACTTCATGACGAGTTTGACTACGGCCGAGGAGCAGGTTGATAAGTTAGGCGAGACATTATTGCGTGCTTTGGACATGGAATGATCAATTCCTGCCATCGCGCAGCGTCGGAGGCTTTGTCCACTGTGGTAGAGTAAAAAGAATCAACGTTAAAAAAAAAAAAAAAAAAAAAAAAAATAATCAAGAGCTGTAAAAAGGCTTATGGATGAGAATGGATGATAGACTGTCACTATGGTCGCAAATGCTAGCTGACTCAAGTGGCGAGCTTTGTATATAATCTAGCTTCGTCCATCCACTCAGGCTTTGCAGATTTCTCGTATCTTTATACGAAGCACCATTTCAATTGCATCTTGTCCATCAAGAGAACCTCCCCAACTTAGACACTGAAGGTGCTTATTCTACCCCAAGAGGCATTGATTCACATGTGCATCTGGAACAATGGAATCTCCCCAACAGGTGACACATGAGAGAAAAGGTCGTGAAGTGCCATATGCGGTGGTCGAGTTGGGGCGATTGATGGAATAAAGCATTGTCGGTTTGTAGTCGTGAGTGGAAGCAGTTCCTCGAAATACGAGGATATCGTAAGCCATTTTGGGGATGAACTAGGCTATCTAGTGAGGATGAATTAAAGAAATGCGAGAATGGCTGTAGAGATGGGACTAAAGATGCGGGAACGAGAGCAGGGAGGAATGATAGATTGGTAAGAAGGGTGTATGACCCGGCCAACCTGGCCACGCGCTGGACGTGCCTGCTCGATCTTGAATAGCTGACTGAGAAAATTAGAACGAGAAGGGTAGCGAAAGTTGGCATAAAAGGTTGAATCCTGAGGATCAATCGGAATTTGCAATTCTTCCCCAGTCTCCATGGGTGACGAGCGTCAACGCCTGGCTGGTGATCCTTTTGGTAGAAATAATTGTGACCGGCTAGCGTGCTCGGGCAATGTTGAACGGTTGTGTGCATGGGGTATCTCTGTAAAGAAGAATCAAAAAAAGGAGTCGCTCCGCTTGCTATGCTTAAATCACAATTAGAAAATATGAGTCAAATTCACCAATCCTAAGCCGGTTGCCGATGTCTATGATCAAGCTTCCCTATCCATAGGGTCTCCAACGGACACACTAAATTTGGATTGATGTAACAGAGCCCGGTATCTGGATCTGTATCAACGGTCTGTCTATCCCAAGCAGACTCGGGGGGTGTTGGGATATCCGAGAAATAGTTGCGGTCAATGCTTCGGAGCGCAATAAATCGCATCAGAGGAACATAAGTTCGGTGAAAGTATACAGTGAACCAAATCGTGGCAGGCAATAGTGGAGACAAGAACAATGAAGCAGTCAACGCGCCTCTGAGTGCCAGAATACCAGTCATTGCGACTTGGAAGAGAATCAAGCCAGTGACAATTCGATCGCATATCATCGGCCAAGCTCGACCCGTCGAGTGTTGACGATGCTCCATGGCGTAGAGTAGTTGATATTTGTAGATGAAGCCACCAATCAGGAAATAGATCAAGCCAAATAAGGTGATCATCCAAGAAGATGGGAGCACGCTGTACACAATGCAAATGATGAATATGAGCATGGTCTGTGGCAGGTAGAAGCCATAGCTGAAGATTGGTGGCTTCGCTAGTTCGGCATAGTCGCGAGGAGTCTTTGCTCTGATAAGATAGAATGGATACAAAACCATCGAGCCGAATTCGAGCAGCCTGAAAGGAAAGAGACCAAAACCTTGCAGAACGATCAGATTGACGTAGAAGGGTGACAATTGTTCCAGAGCTTTGGCGATAGCATAGGCAATTCCTGCCGTGTCGCGAAGAATGTCTCGAAGGCCCTGCCAGAATTCGTAGAAGGTGGAAGCGGACCCCCAGATCGTGAATACAATGAACAGGTTGAAGAAGGTGAAGAAGAAGTTCTTGGAAATCACAGACAACTCAACATCTCCCTGGGAAGTCATACCCTGTTGATTTGCAAGCCAGTCGTATAGATAAGGGACTGCTAGGGCCAACAGCGAGAACAACAGTGTTGGAAGGCCGGTCTGGACAAGGGACCGGACGATCTCGTGCCTCTCGAGTGCCTCCGCAAGGCCGGGGAGAACTTTGTCGATGACCTCAATGCTGAGCAGACCAGCCAGTGGGGCCAGGGCGGCGGCCCAGAAGACCGTCAACAGGCCAATAAAGATCATAATGCTCCAGGATCGTATCATTCGGTGATTTCGAGAGAGATAGGTGTTCTTCCAGACGACATCCGCAGGTGGAGGAGCCAAGCTGGCGAGGAGTTGTCCTGGTTTCGGATCGAGAATGGCTTGGACTGCCATCTGACAGGCTGCGGTCGATTCCATGGTGACAAAAGCGAGCGGTGTCGGTGTGAACTCGCTTTCCCTCAAGACGCGTATCCTTTCGTCCAAGATCTTCAATTTCTCCTCATAGTAGTCAATTGCATCAATTTTCTTGCTGTAAATTCGGAGGAATCCATATCGAAGGGTTATGGTAGGACGTGGTCGGTCCGCTGGAGTCACATGAGCCTGCTCCATTTCGGATCTGGAAAGAAGGGCTCCATTCTCTTCTTCATCTCCGTCCCCGAGAAGATCATGTCGTCGGCGTCGCGCGCGAGAATGGCGAAAGGAATGGTGGTGGCCAAGATAGACGGCCCATGATTCTTCGAGTTTCCGAAGACATGCCATGCGCGTGGACATCATGTTGTCCAAAGCCCGCCAGTTTCGACACAGCATGACACGGTCCACCTTGCCAATCTGTAAATCTTCAATGAAATTCTTGATTGCTTCTTCTGATCTCATCTCTTTGGGAATACCCGACAAGCGCAGTGTTCTGTCTGTGATGGACGATTGAGTACCGAGATACGCCTGTCTGACGCGGATGATGTTCGTCGTCTCTTGGATCAAGAGATATATCGCGACGGAGGTGAAGAAGTACACGAAGACCACATACATCCACAAGTAGCTATCGTCTTTTTCAATGGCCGGTTTCTTCGGTTTCTTGGACCCATCAGAAAAGAATGCGTCACGTCCATGGTCAGGGTCGGTCCCGTTTCTCGGAGGGACCATGAGGGGCGGTTGACCCGTGAATTGGTAGTTTACGGGCAAGATGATGGTGAGGGAGAAGAATAGGGTGACAGAGAGATATTTGATCGCATATCGGAAGAAGGACAGAAAGGCGTAAGCATCCAGGCCTGCAGATGCGAGAACCTCCTCTTGAGAAATCCTGTAGAGAACGGGAATCCATCCAAACAAGGTCTTTGGCAAATCTGGCAGACGCGATGCTGCACCCGACTGCTTCTTCCGCGCATGATAGAGGCTGGTCCATTTTGGTCGAAGTACCTGACCTAGGTTAGAACGAGTCGAGTCCTGGGAGATGGATGCGATCGCATACACAGAAGGACAGAAATGCGCCCAAACCGAAGGCTACCGAGATGATGACTTGGGTTGTGAAATCGCGCTGGTTGCTGCTCTTGAATTGGTCACCCCAATTGACATTCTTGAAGACATTCAGCGACATCACGGACGTCGTGGGACGCGGGCGTGCTCTAGAGAAAGTCCGTGTCTCAAGACTGACTGGTGTTTGTATGACCATCGTAGACCTGCGGATGGCAGGGAGCGCGATGAGATCTGGCCAATCAGCGACCAACTAATAAGGCTCGCTAAAATGTGCATCGAGCTTGAAGCTTCAACTCCCGTCCCTCTGCCATTGTGCCCTTCCACACTCTTTTTTCAGCTCCACACAAGAGCATTACCAACCCCTCTACTCCATTGCGCGACTTACCCAACATCTGTCGAGGGCGTTCACGGCTTCTGGACAAGATGTTGGCCGTGTCGGCAATCCGCAGGACCTCGTTGAGGTTAGCTGCACGAAACATTGTTCGGAAGACGACCACAGTCAGTTTTTGCTCCAGAATCCCTTTCCAATGGGAAGGAACTGAATCTCTGGATCTGCTACTGACATCTGATGCCAGCGTGCTGCATCTTCGAGCTCCACCGAGACCACCACGTCCTCTCCCTTTTACATTACCGCAACCGCTTCTGCCGCCACGGCAGCTGCAATAGGCTCAATTGCCTGGTATTACCATCTTTATGGTCAAGAGGTCTTCGCGATGACACCGGCGGAAGAAGGGTGAGCGTCAGAAATGAAGATTCAAGGTCGTGGGAGGCTGATAAGGCCCAGGTTACATCCGGCACAATATCCTTGGGAGCACCAAAAATGGACCAAGACATTCGACCATGCAGCGTAAGCCACTGCCAGACCATGTTCAAGGAGAAGAAGAAGATGAAGATGGAGAAGTCCAAAGTTAACACCTTGCAGGTTACGAAGGGGTTTCCAGGTCTACCGTGAAGTTTGCGCCGCATGTCACTCACTCTCACGAGTCCCCTACCGGTCATTTGTCGGAGTTATGATGACGGCCGATGAAGCCAAGGCCCTCGCTGAGGAAAATGAGTATGACACCGAACCCAATGACGAAGGCGAGATTGAGAAACGCCCCGGGAAACTGTCCGATTACATGCCAGCGCCATACAAGAACGATGAAGCCGCTCGAGCTGCCAACAATGGTGCTCTACCCCCAGATTTATCACTGATGGTGAAGGCTCGTCACGGCGGATGCAACTATGTCTTCAGCTTGCTGACCGGATATCCGGAAGAACCACCGGCTGGCGCGGTCGTTCAGTCTGGTTTGAACTTCAACCCTTATTTTCCTGGCACCGGCATTGCCATGGCTCGTGTCTTGTATGATGGATTGGTCGAATACGAAGATGGCACGCCTGCTACAACGTCCCAGATGGCCAAGGATGTGGTTGAATTTTTGAACTGGGCCGCCGAACCGGAGATGGACGAGCGCAAGAAAATGGGCATCAAGGTTCTGATCATCACCACCGCTTTGTTTGCCTTGAGTGGTTGGATCAAGCGTTACAAGTGGGCTCCTATCAAGACTCGAAAGATAATCTACAACCCGCCTGTAGGAACCGGCAAGCCTAGGCTTTGAAAAATGAAAAGAAAAGGGAGAGAGTCCAAGGGGGGGGAGAGAGACGGAGTCGTGGTTTTGCAAGGAGATCCACCTCCCAAGCGTGGACGGATTGCTGTTATTTGTAACAATGAATCCATACCAATTTCATACACATCGAACGTGCATACTTTCCCAAACCGAGCCTGGTCTTCTATTTCCCAAACGTAAATTTCCGGGTATCTCAATGATCTCGTGCCATGGACATGGCGCCAATCATGGCTCTCGACCATCATTAAAACAATTACCATTCCGTGATCATGCGGTCATTTATCCATGAATCAATCAATGCTTCCAAAGCTTCACCTGCTTGTCCTTGCCACCACTTGCCACACACTTGCCATCCTGGCTCCAATCGAGGGCAAACACTTCGTCCTTATGGCCTGGGAGATCCTCCTTCAATTTTCCAGTCCGGATATCCCATATTTTGACCGTGGTGTCCTTTGAAGCGCTCGCTAAAAGCCTGGAGTCGCTGGACCATGCCACCATGTACACGGCACCGACATGTCCACGCAGAGTAGCAATGAATTTGCCATCTCGCGCATTCCACAATTTCACGCTATTGTCGAAAGACGCCGAAGCAATGTATCGGCCATCCGGAGAGAACGAGACGTTCAAAACTTGTTTCTGATGTCCGAGGAGTCGGGCAATGGGTTTGACAGAAGTATTTGAGTCTGCAGGAATAGCGGATGGGTCCCAAAGAAAGATCGTGTTGTCGTCAGATGCCGATATCAATCTCTCTACGAGTTTTCCCTCTTGTTTTGCCGCGGTTTCGAACCGGGCTTTGGTTTTGTTCAGCTTTCCTTCGACAGTCTCTGGAACTTTGCTGCCGTGTTCATGATATGAGGTTCGTAGGACAAAGTCGGTGGATAGAGCCAAGTGGTTGATCCAGTGTGTGTGGCTGGACAAAGTATGTAAGCAATTCCAAGTCTTCGAGTTCCATATTTTAATGGTTTTGTCCTGTGAGGCAGTGAATACGCGGTTCAGCCCACCCCAACGGACACAGGTGACCGAACTTTTGTGTCCAGAAAGAGTTTGTTCGACTCTGCGAAGTGGGGCATTCCATATCCTCACGGTCCCATCTTTAGAGGCGGATGCAATTCGAGGTTTCCCGGGTTCCTGGTTGTGATATGGTTCCCAAGTAAGGCTTGTTATCCATTTTGTGTGACTCTTTAATGGCCCTCCTAATGCCTCACCAGTCTTTGGATCCCATATTCGCACCGTATTGTCCATGCTACCGGTCGCAAGGAGGTTACCATCAGGAGACCACGAAACCGCAAGGACCCAACTCGTGTGTCCTTTCAAGGTGTGCAGCGGTGTTCCGGTGTCGCAGTCCCATATCCGTGCAGTATTGTCTCCGCTTCCCGTGGCCATCCTGGAAGCTGACACAGGGGAGAAAGCCGTTGCCAGAATGGCTTCTCCATGTCCTGATATGGAGGCGGAGCATCTTGTAACCGCCCGTACACGGAAGACAGCTTGCGGAATAAACTGGAGGGTGATATTGTCCTCGGTGGTCTTGAAACCAGGCCGGAGGACTGAGTTGTACAGGTCGGTCTGAATATCGAGTATGTCTGAGTCTGGGCCGGTAGGAGAACGATCATTGCGGAAAAAGAATCTGTAGGGAAGTCGCTCGTCGGGTTCCTGGATGGCCTGTTAGAATCGGGCATTCGCGTTGCTTCGACTGTTCTAAATCCCCATACATGTCCTTGTAGAGTATTCAGAAGAGCTTCAAGGTTTTTCACAGTCGTATCTTTAACAGGAACTGCCACCACTGGGCCTGATGTTTTCCCGGTGCTTTGATCAACAAACTGTAACCGCACGCTGCCCAAGTCATCAGGTATCCTTGAGTCTTCGACAGCCTTTTGCCATTTTTCGGCAGCGGCGAGCTTCTGCCGTTTGCTCGGAGGAGGTACTAGAGTAGCCATCACATGGTCAGCTTCGTGAATATGTGCTGTTCACTTCGAATCACCTCGCAGGCGCACTCCAAAGAAAGAAGCATTCGGCATACTTTCCGCTTCCGATTTTAGTCGACGCCTATCATGTTAGAGCTTCGCTAGGAGCGATTCACAAAGGAACCTCTAACCATGTCATGTCGCACGAAGTCGGCTTATTCGAGGCCCCATACGGGCAAGTCGTGTCCAAAGACTCGAACGACCTCGACTGGATATTACAAAATGGAGATCATTTGCGCTATGAGCAAATCTTGTGGAATCTCTCCTGCCGTTGGATTTTCTTTGCCAATGTTTCATAAGAGTCTCCAGCCTTTTTATCTTGAATCTTGCTATCAATTGCCCATATCTGACCTGTGCCTTTGCAGCTTGTTATCGCTTCCACTGGGCTTGATATTCATTGTATGGAGCAATCAGTCAACTATGAACTCATGCTCGAGAATTTTATGGATCTTATCAAGCCCCTTTGGGAAGCTCTTGTTGGTGTACGTTAGTGGAGAGTTGTAGACGGCCCGGCTATGGCGCGCGTCGCAGACCTGCCTGATCAAGTACTCAATGTTGCCATGCGCGTAAACGCAACCTGCGCGCCACGGCCGTCTTCAGGTGCAGGAAACTGATCATGAATCTCCGTGAGCGATTGGTGCAAGCAAGGGAAAGCTGTGTGAGCAATACAGAAATGTCAGCGGAGGAGTTGAGGGAATGGCCACGCAAGTTAAAGGATGAATTCATCGTTCGGCTGACGGCTACCGAAGCTGAGGCTGAGGCGTATGATGAGGTCGAGACTGGAGGTATAGGTGAAATCGGGTACCAGGACGAAACCGAGAACTAAGAAGAGGGAGAGAGTTTTGATACTGAGATGACGGTCGAGCAGGGTGGGGAGGATGAGATGGATTAGTGTTTCGTGGATTTAAGAGGAGTGTTGTACACGCAGTGAACATTGCAGGGAAAGAAGACTGAACAAAGACTAGATCCGGGACACTGGGCCACGGCAAGGAGCATTTCGAGAGTTATTGGAAGTGTTACAAATGTCGCTTCATTGCTTGATTTCTCTCACTTTTCAGACGCCTCAGAATCTCTATGTCCGAGATCTGATCTCTACTAGCACTACATCTATGTGGACCAAATGACCACTCTCCCATCGACGCCACTGGTACTAAACTTTCTGACGGTGGCAGGGGTGCCCTCAAAGACGCGAATCGTGTTGATTGTATTCTGATGCGTCGTGCTCAGCTGAGTATCATCCTTGACTTTGCCTTTGAGATCCATCTGTCGGAACATGTTCAGGGCTGACTCCTCCCTGGCGCTCTCCATAGCATGACGGCCTTTGGCTTCGACGCCGCCGATCATCTGCCAGCCAGCCTCATTGCCTTGGAAGCGGATGGATTCGCAATCGAAGCCGGCAGCGATGATCTCGCTCTCGCCGTTCCAAATCAGGCTAGTGAATGGGAGTATATGGGTCGAGATGTTCAACATCGCTCTGGGTGGCTGCTCGGGCCCGTTTGGGTAAACTACGGTGATGCTGCTGTCATGGGCGGCGAATGCCAGGGCATTACCGCTGGGTGAAAAGGAGACAGCATGTATCCAGCCAGCAGAGTCGTTGAGGTACTCGCCACAGACGGTATTGAACGGCAGACGTTCACCCCAGACGCTGCCCTCTGGACGTTCGTCAATGCCCTTGATGAAGCCCGAAAACACCCTCGCATGGGAGTCGGTGGATCCGGCAGCCAGCAAAACCGAATTTGGATGCCATGCCAGCGTGGTAATTGTGCTCCGAATGGGTTTCTTCAGATGCTTCGAGACCCACCAGTCATTCTCCTCTTCAAAGTAGCAGACGGCGATGACGCGAGCACCCGATCCCACAGCGAACTTCTTCTCGGACGGTGACCAGCGGACAAAGGTGGCGGCTCGGTTGATTCGGAGGAGAACAAGGGTAGGTTTCCAGCCTGTGGGCGAAGGTTCCCAGACGTAGGCGTTTCGGTCTGAAATTCGCGATGGACATTAGCGAGGAAGTAGTGGATGGCTGTGGAGCGGAAGCACAAAACTCTGACCTTGAGAGCAAGTGACGATCATCCCACTGTTGGGGGCAATGTCAACGCCGGTAACAGTCTTGTCGTGTCCCTTGAGCTCATCTTTCAGAACGAATTTGGGTCCGGATCTGTGGTAGAGCTCGACATTGTTGTCTCGTGCGACCGCGAGAGTCTGCCGGTCGGCGGAGAAGGAATGGTCGGCAATGGGGCTGTGGAAGAGATGGTGCACTTCCGGGCCAGACATGGTGAGTACGAGCGATAGGAGTAGCTCTCTACTATCGCGATGGAGAGTCAGACGAGGTAAAAGGGAAAGTGAAGAATGACTTTGGATTCGAGGTGGGAAGATGACATAGAAGTAAATGTCTCGGCAATTCAGGGCCCCACCTCAGCCTTGGGCTGACAAGGTTACCATGTCGATAAGAGGTTCGGTGATTGATTTATGAGCTCACGAGGTGCTGTTCTTGATGACCGTAGACATACTGAAAATTCGGTTGGTGAATGATGTATATCTGTGATTCTAATGGTCTGGATACGAAACTTCCAAATGCAAAACCTGACGTTGCTCAATCTTATCGGCAAGTTCAACCCAACTAGTAGCTCATTTCTTCTGCTAATTGCTTCCTGAACGCCTCTGCATGCTTGGTCAGGACCTTGCGCCGAATAAAACTCGTCTTGACGATAAAAGAATACCTATATCTCGACCACTGCCATTCCTTGATTGTCCCCCCATATTTCGCATGCATTTCGTCCAAAACACTCTCCGCATACCACCAACACATTTCCCGGCTGAACTTATAATCCGGTTGTCGCCGCGTTGTCGCCGCCAGCACTTGAGACAGCGACAGCATATCCGGTCTCGTCGCAGGATCGTCAAAAGTCACCGTCAGCAAGGGAAGAGGGAGATTGTAATGGTCGGACGGGGTATCTCCAGACGCCCAATTCCATCCAACCAGGACCCAGTCTCCATTTTCTTCTCGACCAGCAGCAATTCGTGTCCGTTGACCGCTGGCAAAGTCCTCGACAATGAATTGGATGAATTCATGAGAAAAAGGAGAGGCCAGCGCTTTTACCCAAGTGATGGAACAAACTTTCCAGTGTTGGAAATGGTTGGGGTGCCCCAGCAAGGCTGCTAACCAGTCGTGGGTCGACAATTTTTTATACGACGTGAGAAGGATCGGTAGGTCGGAGCTGGTACTATTTCTTGCTGCGTCGTTCCGATTGGCGTCGATCGGTCTGATGGCAGGTTCCTTCAAGGGGCTCGGACCGTGAAGACCATCGTCAGCCGCGGCCTGGGTCAACTCGAAGGAAGATGCGTGATAAAATAGGCGTAGGAAGAGCAGAATCAGTGTATTAAATCGACTCGAGCCGAATCTGTGTCGGGGAAGAACCAGGCAGAGGGAAAGTTGTCTGGAGTGTTGCTTGCCACAGTTGCACTGTCTGGATATTCCTCGAGAGAAACCGACTCCTGATATCCATCTCTGGCGTTTGAGGTTCCTCGGACGGCGAAGAGGGAGCAACGAGTAAGCGAAGTGAGCCATTCTTTCCAACAAAAGAAAACGAGTCTCTGTATACTTAACGATCCCACCTTGGTTGAATCTCAGGCATTTGCGAGAGGAGACATTGCTGAGAATATATGTCCCATGAAGGAACAGGAAGAGAGTCAGCGAGGAAGAGAGGGTCACTGGCGGTATGAGCCTGAAGTGTCTTCGGTACCTCAGGTGCCTCCATTTGTGTGCACGGGATCGCAATGCTCAACATAAGGGGGCGCCGAGTCTGACCAGTCAGGTGGGCGAATCAAGTCTCGTGGAACGGCCTCAGTCGCTCGCGTCTTCACGGCGGACGCCAGTTCCACGTTCGCATCTTCACCACCCTTTGCCATCATCTCAAGCCCCATTCGTGCCCATCAAACGCCAACGAGTAAGAAGAAGGGATGGCGGCCGAAATCCAAGGGGTTGAAGCCGGGTACCTGACGCTGGCTCGTTCTGCACGGTCCGGTGCACCTGGCGACTCGCAGAAAAACCCTGAGCCTATCAGAAATCCTGAAACAGGCTGAATAGAGTTGCCGCACGTCCTCTGGGCCGTTCTCATTGATGTCGTCTTGTCCGTGAGGCAGCATGGTCGGATCTGAGGTACTCGGTGGTAGACCTCGGGTCCCAGGAGGATAGAAAATGCCAAGACCGGATAGGAAAAACTTTGTCCTCGTCAGCCTTGCCAGGCTCGGCCTTTTGCCGTCTACAAGTGTGATGATAACTCTTCTCTGGACAGTCTTGGATGAAATACGTTTCGTGCCGTCCGAGTAGAACAACATCTGCATTCGATTCAAGATATTCGGGTATCATCCTTTTGAGATCATAACGTCGTGCATGCAAAGTAGTCATACGATCAAGCCTCGAAGATCACGTCTGGTGCCATCTCCTCCAACAAAGCCCATTCTGATCTCTAAAAGCTGGCCATCTCTAGCCATGTGCCCACAAATGCTAGTCTTCCAAGATCATTACTGCTCTCCCATGTATCTGGATTGTTTTGCCCGTCATTCTCTTTTCTACCCAGCGCTTTGCTGACTTCATCCCCTTGTACCATAAGCCGACGGAATTCAGAGAAGCTGAGTTTTCCGTACCCGCCTCGTTGTTCTGCTTCGGTGTCGATCTCATCATGCCGAAGCCAGGCGTCATACGTCATTCGAGCGCTTGTTGGGTCGCCAGAAAATGGATCCGCTCCGGGTTCCTCATCAGGTCGGAATTGTGGAAGAGTCGGATCACGATCTGGCGGCGCCGACGCATCTAGTACGACGGATACGGGTCCTCGAGTCACACCGTCCACCACGGAGTCGTTTCTTTCAGTATCCGACGCCACCACGGCATGGGAATCGTGTGGTCCATGGGACTGTCCCGCGACATCGGTCTTCCCTGACGGGATGTGTGACCCCGAGCCTTGCAGCAGCTCCTCGGTCCTGAGACGGTCGGCCTCCCTCAAGGCTTCTTCTTGAGTTTGTTCGGCCGCTTCAAGAGCTTCCTTGAACTTCTGTCTTTCCTTTCGAAACTTACGACGATCACTTCGCGTAAGGCTCGACTGGATGAAATCATTTTCTTTGTCTTTGAATAAAACGTCCAATAGCTCGTTGAATCCTTGCTGAACGGCTTGGTACAGGATGTCCTTCCCCAGATCGGCCTCTGCCTGGCTAAGCTCCAGGCCGCCCCATCTTTCATTGACAGGTATGCTGCGAGATGATGTGTTCGAGCGTGTTTCATAGTCTGTATCGATGGCACTATCGTCAAATCGAACTTTCGACGATGATCTTGATTGCATCGACGCTCTTCGTGGACTGTTCTCGGCATCATGGTCCTTCTTTTTGAGCGCGGATGAAGTCACTTCGTCGTCATAACCATCACGCTCTGTGTAACCCGGCGGCTTGCTTAAGCCTTCTTCCTCATCAAGATAAAATTGCCTTCGACGCCATCGTTCTTCCACAGCTTGTGTTCTCCTGAACTCTTCCTCCCGGTCCCCTTCGGCATCAAGACGTTGAGATTGTGCATACAATACTCGAGACCGGTCCACGGGATCTGTGATGTCTTCCAGCGCCACTTCCTGTCCCAGTGCATCAATAATATCTTGAGGTTCTGGGGTTCGGACGGGAGGCCAACCATATGTTTGTAGCGGTGGATCAGGGCCAGCCAGCTCGTCCTCAGAGGCGTCGTCTTGATCATGCAGCCCCGACTGCATAAAATTGCTTCCGACTGGGAGAAGCATTAATGGTTCATCTTCCACCGGCTGTGTTCTGAACGATCGAAATGGATGATTTCTGGTCCGATCCCCAATCGCGGCATTTCCAATGGCCCGGGCACGATCTCCTCGCATGTCAGTGTCAGGTTGCAACACTCCATTTGATCCACTGGACAACTGTAGATCGCCGTCCGCTTGACGTTGTTTATCCTGCCCTGTTCGTGATTCATGGCCATACAATGTGCCGCCACCAAACGCTGCACTGATCGGTTGGCTACCTTGAACAACATCTCGGATCTCTTCCTCGACATAGCCGAAGTCGTCCTGGCTATTGATCATTTCGCGACTCAGCTCTTTGCTCAGGGCATAGTACGCGCGGAACATGCGTAGAAAGTCCCTACGGTCAACGTAGCCATCCGAATCCAAGTCATAACCATCGAAGATCCGCCGAAGTCGGGCTAGCCGAGACTTGTCTTGCAGCCGAGCGAGGCCTCGTATATATTCGTCGAAGCCGATGAGGCCATCGTTGTTCGTGTCGTAGAAGGCAAAAATCCGATCATAGATTAAGTTTGCCGGAGATGGTTCATCTTCTTTTTGCGGAATGAAGTATGCGTCGAACCCTTTGCGGTCAATCGCAACTCCCAATCCAGTGGGATCTGTCGGCCAATAATGTCCGGCAAGACACTTGAACTGCTCGTAGAGAGCATCCATCTCCGTTCGGTCCATACCGGTTTGTTCTAATAATGGTTTGGACACATTCTTGGGCAGAGAGTTGGGAAAGGCGTTGGGGTTTCCGGGATACCATTTCGGAGTGACTTGTTTGATCTTCCCCCGCGAAGGGGCAGGTATGCGAATCTTGAAGAAAACATGGCTTTTGATGTGAGCAGAGCTAGCTTCGCAGCCTTCACAGAGATCAAAGTCGAAGCAATTGGCACAATGATAGCGGATGCCTTGAATCGGATGAACCCCACAGCTGTTGCATTCGACACCCCGATGAATGTAGCCTTCTCTTCGTGCCTGTTCGCCAGCAATGTGATAGAGTAGATTGAGCATGTTTTGGCTTCCCGCTGGATCCTCATCATGATTACTGAACGACATCTCGCTGTCGTCTTCCTCATCCCTGGTCGGATCTGCCAATGCTTGAAGAGCATCCTGTGGACCCAAATCGTCCACCAGACCATCTGCCTGGCCAGGAGGCACGACGGCCGGCAGTGCTGGACTTTGTTCCGGTGCCTCGAGAGGACTCCATTCTTCGCTAAGGTGGAACTCGCCTTCATCGAACGCTTTGATCACTTCATAGACAATTTCTTCTGCGACTTCGAGTAGTTCCAAGCCTCTTGCGACCACATACGCATCTTCTCCAATGATATAACCCTCGGGGTACTCCTCACGCAGAAAGTTCTGAGCAAAAACTCCATGAACGTGCAATCGCAGGCAGTCTTGTTGATACGAAGAGAGTGGTGCTGGAGAGTGCTGGAGCAAATAGGTATGGACAGATTTCAGATTGCAAGGAAGTAACGTCAAATCCACTCCCTGTGCGTCTTCTGGATTGGGAAAAAACCATGTATTCTGATATTCTCCGTAGCCTTGTCCGGTCTCATTACGCCTTGCCAGATGATTGATCGCCCGTTCGGTAGGATCGTAGTCAAGTGTAATGGGTTCGAAGCCCCGACGCCATCGTCGTCTACTCCGAGGTCGTCGAATAGCGTTGCTGCGATGGAGGGAGGTGTGGTAACCTGGCTCGGGTTTGGACTGGCTGGTGTAATAGGTGTAGGAACAGAAAACTGCAGACAGGACTACAGCACCGGCCAAAGCCAGAAGCAACGGTTTTCGATAGGTATGGTCGGACATGTTGATAACATGGTTATCAGACTCTCCAAGAAAGATCTGATGGCAATGGTTCAAGATTGTTGTTATGAAGGCAAAAAAGTTTCCCGCACCAGTCGCGTTGATGTTTGGAGAAGTGCGCTACTTGTTTGTATGCTGCGACAAACATACCAGTTACGTCGATCTCCCCTTGTTCTTCTCATCCTCCCAGTGTCGGCGGTTTGCATTTAAAAGAGCGATTGCAGTGTATGAAAAATGCTGTGCCCAACAGTGGCAAAAGCACGCGTCTACTTACAGAATCGAGAGCTGATGTGGCAGAATGAGAGACGTCCTCCTGTACATGGCTGGCGGTGACCCGGGATCTGAGATGAAGTTTCGCATCGCTTACGCAGTCACCTCATCTCTCTTGTGGAACGCGATACAGTACCTTGCTTGCGCGGATGGTACACAACAACATCCCTCGTCAGCCTTGATCGGTAGTGATTCCTTTCCCCGTCCTTTCTCGGCATTCCCTGAGAGATTAGGGACAAATCTACCGCTTCTTGGTTCCGACACTCCCTCGACCTAACGATGAACGAAAGGGTTCGATTTTCTTTACCGTCGCCCTCTTTGCCGTCTGTCACCAGATTCGGGATAGTTTCATCTGGCCCAACGGGTACCACATCTGGAGCTGCCATTCATTCTACAGAAGCCATTTGAGAAAGGTCACGGTCCTCAAGCATTTTCAAAGAAGCGAATACTTCAGCACGGCCCGACTGCCATCTACGACACCTCGATCATCCTGGCACGGACGGCAACTTGTTCCGACCCATCTGATGCCTGAGTGGCTGTCCACAGCCAAAGGAAATCAACATCGACATCTCGATCTGGAATTATTCACAGCAGGACAGAATTACTGAAGAAACCTAGGAAGCTTGAAGATACCTGGATACTAAGCACGCTTGCACATGGCCGTCAAACAGTGTGCCGAGTGCGATTCGATCAAACATGGCTTTAACATTCCTCTACCATAGTCCCAAGCACCACACCCTAAGATTGTATGCCCCCACGGCGGCCAATACGCTACTTCTGGGAATGCATCTGTGAGGCTGGAACCAACCTTTGGGGGATTGAACGCTTTGTATATACCGGAGGTCCCAAGACACAGGTCGTGACTGACCGAGATTCTCGCCAAATATAGGAAGGCCGAGAAGTCAATGGCGCTGACGAAGCCTTAGCACGCTTGATGTCTATTGGTACGGAATTGCAACAAACAAACTGTCCAATCTGCGGAGACCCGTGCCGGTCGCTGCCTGCCGACCTGCGCTACTCCCGCCCATTCTAGTGTCGACACTGCGAATCCACGTCACGTGTGGCGCACCATGATGTAGTATTACCATCTCGCGCGTACACCAGCATCTCCGCCACCGTATTCCCGGTGAATACACCTTTGTGCCACCGACTCCACATCCAGTTTAGGCATCCAGTATCATTCCTATCAACGTACGAGAACACTGGATGAGGGGGACGAAATTGCTCGGGCGACTTGGGCTTGGACCCCTTACCCTCTTCAACCGAGAAATTGAAAGCAGACAGGTCTCTTCGGTCCCTTCCCCCTAAAATTCTTCAGCACAAACGAGCATGGGACGAAACTGATGGATGGCGTTGAGTGTCGACACATGAACGAGAGACCTCAAAAGGGCAGGCTTTCATTTCTCCTGCTTTGGTAATTCTTGGTGTAGACAGGAAAATGAAATGATTGAACCGAAACAATGAACCAAAGCTTTTCCATATAAAGGATGGGTCCTGTGTACCTAACTTCATTCTTTCTCTGTGTTCTGCCCACGTTGTCTAAGCTGTCAATTGGCATTGACCAATTCCTCAGCAGCCTCGCTTGGCACGATAGATATCCTCGAGAAGCGCTTGAAGTTCATCATCCCTCTGACCCGAGTGTAATCTCTAGTGAGCTATGCTGCGATTACCTCTGGGGCCAACGATAAACATGCGAAAGCGTCTCAATACAAAACAGCCATGCGTCCAGATGATGAAATAGAAGCAGAAGAACACTGAAATGAGGAGACCATAACTGTCATGAGTGGAAAAAGAGTGATTTGGCTTGGACCCAGTGTATCAGGATCCTCTGATCGGCGGTAGTGTGATGAAGAGGGCAGGCAAATTTCTACTGACCTGTGGTATGCTCTTCATCTTCCTCTTTACCAACCTAGTGCTCAACAACACCCACGTTATTACCCTAGGCACAATGAAAATGATGTGCGGCTTTGGAAAAGGCATGGCCATGACCACTTCCCTCGTCATCCTCATCTCCAACGCCGCGCCTGAACGACCAAGCTGTTGCAACGGCGCGTTCATATATCCCCACTCGCGGGGATCCGTGATTGGCATCTCGCTGAGCGTAACAATTACTCAGTAGCGGCTGCGGATGGCGTTGGCGAGAAGGTTGGAATGGCAAGGATGCGGCGAAGATGGTGGAAGGGGTCCGTCGAAGCCCGGACTATGTCAGGAAATTGGATCCCGCGCCGGTGAGGACAGCGGCGAAAGAAGCATACGGTGATTGCCCGTCACGCACGCTTTCGCCCTAATGTTGGGTATTGTCTTTGGTGCGACCATTGCTAGTGGGTTCATGCGAGAGAAAAGACCGAGCAAATAGAGCATTAGAAAAGGAAATGAACACCAATATAGACTTGATAGGAATATAGATCTGTGGAATTCGGAGGAACTCCCTCGTTTTTGGTTGTTCGTGGAGCAGGAGAATCTCTCACCCCAACCTCATAGTCTCGTTGGTGTTACTGATTCAAGCCCTCCATTAACACCCATCTCCCAGGATCCCTAGGTTAGACATGCCAATTCAAGATTTGGGAGCGTCCCCATTCGTGACCGCAGGCATCGGCACAGGCCCACCGGGCGAGCCGGGTAACCGTGCCGTTAGAACCTCAACGCCATCCTCCGTAACGAGCAGGGTGTGCTCGAATTGGGCTGATCTGGCTCCATCAATGGTCACTGCCGTCCAGTCATCTGGCCACGTCTTATCCTTGTAGCTGCCCAGACAAATCATCGGTTCAATCGTGAAGGTCATTCCAGGTTTGCATTTCCCGACCGCCTTGTTCTTCGCGTAATGCGGCACGCTAGGCGCACAGTGGAACAGGGAATTGACGCCATGACCACAGTACGTTTTCACAACGCTGAGGTTCTGCGTCTTTGCGTGTTTCTCGATGATGTCGCCGAAATCGCCAATTTTCACTCCGGGTTTGACATGTTCGATGGCTTTCTGGAGACATTGTCGGGTGGTCTCAACGAGTCGAACGTTGTTTGGGTCTGCTTTTGCTTTGTCGCCAATGTAGTATGTTTCGTTTAGATCACCGTGGTAGCCTCCGTGGTAGAGCGAGACGTCGATATTCAAGATATCTCCATCTTGGAGGACTCTCTGGTCGGGGATTCCGTGGCAGATTACTTCGTTAGGGGACGTGCACACCGACTTGGGGAAATGATTGTAATTTAAGGGGGAAGGATATGCCTAGGCTCGTGGTCAGTGCGCACCAATGAACAAGGCTGCCACACATACGTTTCGCTCTATACAAGCATTGTGAACAACCTCATCGATATAGTCTGTTGTTACACCGGGTTTGGCGGCCGCCGCAGCAATGTCTAGTACTTCTCTTGATAGTCTGCAGACTTTCCGCATCCCCGCGATGCCTTTCTCGTCTAGGATCTGGACGTTGTTCTTGCGGATGTGTGGATATCTCGGTATACCATCTTGCCACCATTCGGGATGCCGTATTGACTTGGGAATCTCGCGTTTGGGTGAGAGGGGGTAGACAGGTCTTAAGGGGCCCGTGAATAGGTACGTAGGGAATGGATTGTAATGGCCGCTTTCTGGATCAACTTTAGAAACGACACTGGGAGGAAAATAGTTGCGGAAAAGGTTCGTACTTTTGTGAAGGACTTTGTGTTCGGCCTGATGGAGAGGAAATTAGCAAGCAAGTCCCCAGAAGGCGCAGGGGATTCTAGTCTTTCTTACAAAAGACAGAAGGACAGCCTACCCAACTCCGTTTGAAACAGTCTTGTGAACAGAAGAAACTGTCAACGCCCATTTCCTTGCACTTGGGACACTGTAGGGTAGACGCATCATTTTCACAGTTCAGTCCCGGGCATTTCCGGGGCTGTGCAGCGGCTTGATCCATCCTGAATGGTCAAGAACAAGAAAGATATCGGACTCGGGGCTGATCGAGCCAGTGTCGAGATGGTTGGAGTGTCGCTTCAAATCGCACGTCAAGGGGACAAGTGACAGACCGGTACGAAGGAAACTGGTACCGTGGAAGAACTTACACAGACCCTCGAGCAGACGCGGAACTGCGGGTTGAGTCGAACAAAAGATGATAAAGAAATTACATATTGGAGCCTCACGCAATCTAAAAACCACCCCCGAGCGTCACGTACTGGGGGGCCGGTGCCCTGACGTTAAAACAAACATGCCAAGCCAACCCCCCTGCACCCTTCTCTAGAGCACGTGATTAAATCACGTGATTCCACGTGCCGGCCAACCTGCGGATAGATGGGTATACGTAGAACCCGACCAGCAAACATCGCTTGCAAAGAGCACGCTCCTTTCAAAGCGCGATGAGTCAATGTTATATTGACCCCCTCGCAGTCATTTAGATTATCGCCTAACTCCCATGCCGGTATGTCATTACGATTTCCCCCAAGGCACTTTCGCACAAGCGGATAATTACATCGGATACACGATGAGTGGAGTAACTAATGTACTTACTCCGCGTGAGCGACAGAAGCAAGCTCCTTACAAGATGCCAATGCTTCTCCAACCAGTGTTATCACATTAATTGCCTATCAGAAACTCGATGGCTGGCGCCCAAGGCAGGGAACGGGCAAATTACAGAACCACGAAAATCCGGCCAAAAAGGAACTGCGGTGGGCAGCCTCGTCCATCCGGATCTGGCGGCCTAGAGCATCCATATGTTCTCGCTCTCTTGATTCTCCAGACTCATAAAAGATGCCTTCAGCATGGAATTAGGTCGTGACTGGCCCGGGATCAGCAGAGAGCTCGTCATGTGGCATGTTGATCCCCCGTTCCTGGCTCTTGTCCATCCTGCTTTTTGGAAAGTTGAGACAGTGTCAGTTGACACATTTCCGTCGACAGCTTCCCGGGTTCCGGGTTCCAAATTGCTCTCCTGACTTATGGCCTTGTTCCCTTTCGACTCTATAACACGAAGGCTTCCTCCCCCTTCGATATCCCACGAACTCAACACCAATATCCGCAGACGGCACATGAGAGGAACTGACTAGGATTGTCTCCACGCTCCATTCTTCATTCCCATCTCTGTTCTGTTCATTGCTCCAAGAAGGAAGTGGCACAATGGGTGGCAACAACGCACTCCATACAAACCCTTTCATAGTGAATGGCAGGACGGTGGATATCCATATCACCACCCGTGGGTCGGACTGGTATTGGGCAGTCATGTCAACCATGGGCACGACCATGCTGGGTGCGCTGGGTAGCGGTTTTCTGAAACCCGCAAGCAATCGGCTCTTCCATTACATTCTCGCTCTCGCAGCCTTTGTGGCGATGGTCGAACACTACAGCATGGCATCCAATCTTGGCTGGGTCCCGATTGATGTTGAGTGGCAACGGAGCAGTCATCTTGTCTCGGGCATCAACCGTCAGATCTGGTGGGTTCGCTACTGCGGCTGGTAAGTTTGACGCTCCGAGGGAGAGACGTCGACAAATGCTTCATACGACTAATTTCTCCTCAGGTTTCTCATCTGGCCGCTACTGACCGTCTCGATCCTCCTGACCTCAGTCGTCCCCACGGTCTATGTCTTGTGGACTTGCTTCCTGAGCTGTGCCATGGCGGTGATGGCTGTGGTTGGGGCACTTGTTCGGACGGACTACAAGTGGGGTGAGATTCCTTAGAAGTGACGCGATCAGGGAACGATTCTCTAATCCTTTCATCACAGGCTACTACGGGTTCTGGATCTGGTGCTGGCTTCTTATCGGTTATCACCTGGTCTGGCTTCCGAGAAGGTTTGCTTCGGCCCTGGGCAAAGACATCGTGTTCACGCACAACATGGCCTCCGCCTGGGTATGGCTCCTCTGGATGCTGTACCCTGTTTGCTGGGGCGTCTCTGAAGGCGGAAACGTCATTGCCCCTGACAGTGAATTCATATTCTACGGCATTCTTGACTGCATGTTGATACCGGTTACGAGTGCATTTCTCCTCTTCCGACACTGGAACATCGACCCTGCACGTCTAGGTTTGAGGATGCGAACTTACGACGACCCTCTTAATACGCATGGGACATTCCAGCCAGAGAAGCCTGTGCCACAAGGTCAATCTGATGGAGTGGCCCATGATAGTGCCGGTGCTGTCCAGACTTCTGTCGACGACGGCCAGGCCCCTGCGACCGTCTAGTTCACCACCTATTTTGTCGACATGTCCCAGAGAAACGAAATGATATTGATGTCCCCACATGGGGTTGGAACCGCCATGTCTGAGAGGCATCCTCTGGCGCGGTTGTTCAATCAACGAACACATGCTTCGTGGAGATCATCGACGCCAGAATGCTTCAAATTAATGCATGACTTGGAACAATTTTTTTCCTTTTCGATATCCACTCCCCATAGCAAATAATGATAATATCGTCTCCCCTTTCTCCGAAGAGCAATTCTCATTTAGATCGGCACTGTTATTATACAACTGTAGGGTCCAAAGTCATGCTGCTTGAGGTTCCTCGTGCCTAAGTGAGAAATGTTGAATTGACGTACTAGCAACAACCAGCTCTACGTGACACTTAGAGAGCCATAGAAGTCTTTGAAATTTCTTTCCCAGCATGCAAATGACTTCCTCAATCTGTCAACCGCGCTTTTTGGGCGCTCCTTTCCTCTGTACTACTGGTTTTAAAATTTGATCCATGCAGGCAAGCATCAAATCGATTAAGGTCCGTTGAATTAACCACTGCCCATGGGCCTCTCGACATTAATAGATGTGGCAAAAATTTGGGATGAGAATTGTTTAAAAAAAATTCAATGTGTGTCTCTAGATCCTCTCCCTCTCCTTGCGCAACAGGATCCGTTCTTCACATTCTCTGAGACTGTCCCCCGATTACTTCAGCCGGGCCGTGCTTTCTGTGTGCGTACCCTAGTTAGCGTGAAATGAAAGGCAGATTTCTAACTGATAAGTTCGAAATGTGTCATGCTTATCTACTCCAAAGCCTTGACGAGCCGCAAGGGTTTCGACATGTCGTTGGCCCTTTTGGGTTTTATTTGCACATGATCTCCATTTAGCGAGGATATGTAGTCTTCAATGCTTCTTTGTACTTTCCGAACCAAAGTTAGATAGTTGATCTCGCATTTTCCGAGCGCTGCTAGGATCTTTGCACTAGGCGAGTTCCATCTCAGGATCGTATTTTCCTCACTGGTGGCGGTCCGAACCGTAGGTTTCTTGACAAGGCCAGGCGAGATGCCCAGCTGTTAAAGAATTGGGACGTGCGGCTTCGAAATGGTCTTTACTCGGCATCGTCAGCAGATGAGTGCATTGTGGATGAGTCTTGATATCTGAATTTTCATTATACTTCCAGCATTCTTACTATCTCATGTAGTGCTGGAGCACTGGACCTCCCGCAGGTTTCAAAGAGGCCAGAGTTGAGATCACTGTACAGAAAGTCGTTATGTCGCCTCAAGACCAACACGAAATTTCACCCATCCGCCAGCTTTCTCCACATGCTTTTTGCGTCGTATCGAGTTTCTCGCTAACTTTCCACTCTTCCGGTAGTCCTACTCGCTTGAATGCTTCCTTTCCGCCTTCTGAACCACTCTCTCGCTGGCGCCTTTGACGAAAGAGCTAAGATCGCCAACGGGGACGTTAAGGGGGAAGTCGACGGCGGCCAAAAGTTGGGCTCCCAGGAGGTACCATCCAAGAAGACATACCGCAAAGACCAGACCGCCGGCCGCATGTTGACACTTTAGAGCTACCGCAGCCTCGCCTTCTGCGAGCTTCCAGTACGAGGCGGCCAACAAACCAAACGCCGGTACAAGAGACAGAAAGATGAGGACGAAGCAGATGTTGGTTCGGAGTGCGCACACCAGGTAGAGGAAACAGAGGACGCCCATGTACAGGTGGAAAAAGGCAAATGTACTGGCGAAGGTTGGGTCGGTGCTGCTGGCCGTTGGGTGGCTCGGGTCATAGGCAATTGAGGCATTGTAAAAGGGCGTCAATGTTGCCGCCCAGCTGAGCCAGAAAGCTCCGAAGGACCCAAAAACCACAAATGGGAATGTATTGCCCAGGATGAACTCGAGAACAGACCCAATAGTCATGAGTAAACCCCCGAAGAAGTAGTATACTCCACTGTTCCGCAGAGGGGAGATCAGCTTTCCCTAATCTTCTGGAAGTGAACTGCAATTGAACTTAACATACACTTCTGCGGCTCCAGAGCCACCAGACCCTCTCCAACCGAGGAGGATATTGGAGAGTGGAGAGAGCGACAGAAGAAAGCCACAAAGAGCCCTGGAAGTATTAAACGACGGTCCTTCTCAACATCGATAGAAGGACGCACTTACAACGGTGTAGGGTTGCCCACGGTCGAGCGAAGATTGTTCGATACCTGATTCTTTGGTGACAGGTAGATCTTTTCGAAAAGCTCGGGGGTGATCGTAATGCTTCCTGCGGTTCTCAGCCGGTGTATGGCCGTGTCGCGATCGTAGTCGTCGTGGTGCATGTCATATTGCCTAACGTCCGGTTTGTTGTTGACGTTCTTGTGACTGCCGGTTGTACTGTCCGCCATTCTAACACGGTGTGTGCGGTTAAATTAACTGTCTCCGGGGAGTAGCGCCGACGAGATTTTGCGTGTTCGAAAGCAATAAGTGCCACGTCAAGTCCAGAAGCAAGAATCTTGCATGCTTGGGGGTCTTATGTGCCGGTTTTTATGTTATATTTCACAGGTAAACCCCGCCCGGCAGTCGAAGTGAAGGATAGGATGAGATGGTTTCAGGTCGTGTCCGATTTGTAGGAGAGTCCTCCTGCACCGAGTCTGTCCCTTTTTGTTTCGCAGGACAAGGGCGACTCCCACTTTGGAAGATCGGCAAGCTGGACGCGTTGGACATTGTTCCGGGAAGTCGGTAAAGAAGCTGCTCTGCTCCCCATAGAAGAACGCCTGTCCGTTCGGACCGGTGCTGCCCGGAAGTGCAAACTTGTAACGAAACGATTTTATGAAATCATAATAGCCAAAAAGGTTAGCCTAAGCAGTGACTTTTTTACAATAGTCATAATGTACTTCGTTCATACAGCATCGGAGCAAATCCGCCCGGTTCTGTAGGAGGTCTTCAAAGAGCAGCGACGATTTGGGCTTCATTTCTGGAACACGAGACATCCAATTGGGAGGTAACACAGGTACTGCTATTCGGCATAAGACTTTGAGAGGGACTTTCCGACGACCATCAGTACGAAAAGGGGGTTATCACATGAAGCTGGTACACGTACAGTCCTCTTGTCATACCCTGAGCGCCTTGCACGTCCCAAATCACGCCAAACCTCCAAAAACCAGCCAGAGTTTGACGACTCCTTTCGTTGGAAACATGACATTTCCAATGAGTGATCTCTTTGCGTCCACAACTGCAATTTCCACTTTCACTCATGAGTGCGACTCTTGGGTCTTGGGAGTGCGCTGGTTATGATCAATAGAGCGGCCGATCAGGTGTATGGCGGCAGGGTCTCCGTGGCCCAGGCGGAGACAACGTCATCATCGTCATCGTTGTCATCGTCGATATCGTCCTCTGATGGCGGGGGTCTGATCCAAACCTCGTCCGATATTGACTGGTTGGCCCATCGCTCCATCGGGTGAATAACGCCCTGATCGACTGTTCCGCACTCCTGCGACAGGACTTGGAGTGGTACCTTCCCGAAGTTACATTTGAACCTCTTGTTCTCGTACTCCATGTTGAACAGCACTTCCAGTGAATGACACCCAGCGATGTTGTACGTAGAAAAGTCTGGAACGAGAGCTGCCATTGGGACCCTAAGATCTGCCATGTCTGCCAAGTTGACAAAACGAGCTGGCCGACTATCCTGACTGGTATTTCCGGATTGGCTTGGCTCCAGCGAAGAATCTCCTGAGAGCGGCAATATACACGATCCTCTTCGAACGAGAATTTTCTTCTCAGACGATGAACGATGACAACCAGTGCGCACTCGAGTATGCTGAAATAGAGACAACTTGAAAGATCTAATTCTGAGATTGGTGGGTTGAACATGGTCGTTGCTAAGGTTCCGTTTTGTTGCGTTATCTGGGCCTGTGGAGCGAGAAGTCATCGCTACCAGCACTGACAATGTGACCTGGCCGTTGAGGATGATTCTTTTGGGTATCCAAACAGACATCCGAAGCTCCACTTCCGGCGGCGTAATAGATTTGAAGCGTCGCCGACCTTCGCATAGAATCGAACAGAGAAGCTTCGGTATAATCCGGGGGAAATTATCAAGCGTGCACCGGAGATTGTGCTGATAGTTGATGTAAAGCCCATCACCGCTGACATCTAAATCCTTCTGACTCGGGAGATTTTGAATTCGTACCCGTTCCATGGCGCTTAGCGTTTTGTTCAATGATATTGGACCCCGAGATGGCCCTGCTAGAGTCGCATGGAGCATATACTCGACAGAACAAATGAAAGGGCCTCTGTGACTCATGCTCGGTGGAAGAGGGTGAAGTTCCACGCTATAGTCGTTCTTCCACGGGCGCTCTGGGCCGAAGAAATCCCTCGATCCAGAAGGCAGTGCTCGTGGAGCCGCGTATAAGGGGATGCGGAACGCGAAAGGCCACATGTAGCTCCCCTTCCGATGTGTGTATTTCCCTTGGTAGAGGCTTAGGCGCTGGGAGAAAAGATAGCCGACTGACTTGTAATCCCTCCGGGAAGTTGTCATGTCGCCATAGGAGTGAATCAGCCGGACGTTGGCACACCCGCTGAAATTAATCGTCAGCTCGCCGATGTTTTGATCATCGTATATGACGAGCTTGACGACACCGAGAACCAACGATCCTGGCAGAAAAGGCTTCCCATCGTCGTTGGAGATTGTGACGGAGAGCGCCATGTTGAGAATTTCGAGTCATGGGAGGTATTCCTGGCAGAGTAGCTGCGAGGACTCCAGGGGTTGGAAAAACGCTGAATCCTTCGTCGTATGTGTTGAGAAATATTCTCGAGAGAACTCCCGCCCAGGAGCCTAGTCATTGAATCATCCCGGACGCAATTCGGAGGGGCAGCCAAACTTGCGGGATACTTGTGGTTCTATGAGTGCCTTATGACTTGCCCACTTTTTGTTTCGAGAAGGCAGAGAGAGAGCCTCGCTGATTGGTGTGAGGTCGAAGCTGGGAACAAAATCCTGGAAGAAGAAAAAAACAGAGCCGCCCGGGCCGGGTTAGCTGCGACCAGGACTGGCGGGTTGGGATGCGCTGCACCCCCAGAAGCCATGTTAGGAAACCGAAAAGCCAGATTGAAGGGGTCCATGTTATCTCTTCTTTACGGTTGATTCATTGAACCGGGGTTGTGACTGATAGGTTCTGGTAGAGAGTCACGAATTTGCTGACAAGGTGTGTCATTTTATGCTTCAGTCCTGGTCGCCATGTTCGGTTAGTACGAAGAGGGACTGGTTACGAGAGCATTACCAGGGTCCGTCATTTCCCTTCAGTATCCTCATCCTTCTCTGTTTCACTCTCGTGTCGATAAGAGTTTGCGGTTCACGAGACACGGGGGAAGATCCAACCGTTCAAACTGTGGCTGCACAATCGTTTCATCCAGACCATCAAGATTGTGGACGATGTATGGTCGGATTCCTGGGTAGATCCGGATCGGCCCCCCTTAAGATTTGCTTGGTTGAATGATACTGTAGGTCCACCTGATGATTGCTCTCGTCCTGCTCACCACGGGTGGCAATTGAAGGCACTCTAAGTCCCGTTAAATACTCACTGTTGGATGTGATCTCGCCTCGTCCCCTCGATCTTCGGGCTGCAAACTCTCGTTCCAAATTGTCCTGGTCAGGATCCTTTCGAGATCAAGGCTTATGAGCACCATTTTTGATAAGCTCACACTTGCTAGAGGAGTGATAGCTTTTAGCAATACAACACACGAGTCATCCTCCAAGATCAAAGACAAAGATAATATTGTCGCAACAACCCATCGCGTTCTGCATCCGTTGGCCGAGATCTACGTGGTGGGCCACTTCATCTTTTTCGCCATTCTTAGGACGTTAAGTCGGCTACGAGTCGAGGCCATCAATATTTATCCCGATAGTCCTGTTGTATCGCCTGTGCCGTGGGAAAACGTGGGTGGTTCTTTCGTCGTCGGATTTCTCGCTGAAGACCGTCGATTGTTCAAGGATGATTGGGGAAGACATCTAGAACCATGGTCACTTCAGTCTCTTCAGGATGAATAACAACACGACAGCATCGTTCATTGAGGTCGCTAGAAAACATGTGGTGGTCAAGAGGACAATGCCATTATCCAATTGGACTCTCAACGGGCTTCTGTGCGCCTTCCACATCGTTCTCAATATTCCTGCGAGCCATGTTCATGGGGCTTCGTGGTCAATTCGCGCTGTTAACGCGACCTGAGGCACAGGTTCCAGGGAACCACTCCTCCATTTAGCCTGATCGGTAAACTCTTGGATCCGATCTTCGTGTTTCACGGACTAAGCTGCTGGCGGGGGATAGTATTACTTGCAATCTAGCCTCCAATGATGTCTGGAGGGATCAAATTGCATTTTCACTGATCTTCGCGCCCGTGGAGTGTCTCTTTCGATTTTACTTTCCAAGCACCTAAATCAACGCATTCCATCATTTCCCAGAAGGTATGTCTTTGGCCAACCCCTCTGGCACCGCTGCCCTTGGAACCTGCTCTATCGTATAGCTTCCTGAACATCGGAGTGTGCCGCCTGGTCAGATACCTGGTGGAATCATGGACGGATGTGGCAGTTGTGCTTCCACGCTGAACATTTGGTGGGAGAGCTGGCGATCTCCGACTGAAGCATGCCTATGCCTATGGGAGGAAGAGATACATTGAATAGGCACTAGATTTCACTTGGACTGAGAAATGAGAAATACTTACACGGCCACATGAGCAATTCACCCGTTGGGGGCTGAAGAAATGAAGGAATGTGAAAATTATCCCCTCGCTCACATAGGTACGCCGATCGATATCCACACATCTTCAAACAAAGGCCAGACAAGGCGGCGAGCAGCAGGATTTCATCCCTCAAGAAGAAAAAGCCGGGGATATGTATGGATGGGTAATACCCTCTACAAGTTCAATTGCGCTCCTCAGCTTTAAACCAACGTCTGCTGTCCGTCTTCCATCCCCCAAATCCCCTCCGTCGATGAAAATAGTCGACCATCAGGTCAGAATGGGCCGCAACGGTGCTATACGCGTCATCCTGCGCTTTCGGCAAAAAAGGTCAACGTGTCAGATCGGACGCGAGATGATCACAATATAGCATCGGAAGCTGATCGCTGCTGGTTCGGCTCATGGGTTCTGTGCCCACGTCAGGGCGTCAACGTCAGCGAAAACTCCACATCATCTGCGGAGCTGTCGTCGCGGCTGTCTGATCTGCCTGGAATATTCAAAGAACTCCATCGTGGTATGTCTCAGCGTCAAGTCAGACCCAGCAGTCAAAACCATGAACATCATCATGGTCCTCATGCACTCTTTCTCCCATTCCACGATGTCGAACCCTGGCTTGTCGCCAATATGGTTATCCACGTCCGTCAGAATTCGGTAGCATATCCCCGGCGTCGTGCCGGGCAGAGGATCCGGGTCCCTCTCGGATTGTTCGTACCCCTGCACAGATTGCAGCCACTTGTCATAAGACTCCGGCGTATTATACTGCGAGAGGATCCATTGAATCTCGCTCCTCAGCGCGTCCAGCGTGAAAAGGATTCTTGGTTTTTCAGGAGCACCGTTCACCATGACACGGTGCCTGCAAGCCAGAACCTGATCATAGCCATGTTCCAACTTGGGCACGGCTTTCGCTTTTTTCACAGCAGGCGGGTCCGCATCATCAGAGGGTTCCAGCTTGGTGTCCTTCAAGGTCTCAGGATCAGGCGGGAACCCGGCGACCATTCCCTGGACGAAGAAGTTGGCCAGCGCGTCACTGGCAAGTGCCTTGCGAGACTGTTGGGCAATCTTCATCGCGCTCAGAATGTGCATCATGGCACTTTTGAATTTACCGGACATCAGGTCCAGCGACCAGAAGGTATGCGCCGTCAAGACGACCTCGAGCAGTGGCCGTTCATGCATGGACAGCTCGCGGAACGCCCTGGTCGCATGCACCACGATGGTGGTTGTCGACCTGTCGAAGGCATCACCAAGTTCCTTTCGCTGCATTGCTTGGATCATGGTGCCGCAGGCGATCATGGCGTGCCGTAGCGCAACCGAGTGGTATGCAATTTGCGGGATCACGATTGACCATACATCGGGGCTTTGGCCAACAAAGGAGGATCTTGGCTCGACATAGTTGGTGAGGAAGAACACCCAGCTCTTGAAGGCGTCGTGCTCATGTTGCGATTGGTAGAGGTTTTCGTCTAAACGGGCAATAGAGCTACCAGAAGGTGCTGAGGCGGAGGAGTGGACTGGTCGATTGGTGCTAGTAGTAGTGGTGGTGGTGTTGATTAGCGACTGCCTCGTTTGCTGGTCGTTTTTCGGGTCAAAGAGCCATGTTTTGGGAGGGTCATAATAGCACACGATGCCATATGTGATGCACCTTTGATTGTCGTGAGCTTTTTACACGACCCGCCCGATGAGACCCAAGCGAGGACACAACGAGATACGAAGGGACGTACCTGCAACAAGACGGCTTGGCCTCGTCACATTTTATGCGACGCTTTCTGCTCAACGTTAGTAACAGGAACACGTTGTCACTCGGCATTTACATCCGTGATGTAGTATATCGCAGGGAATCCGGTAATGTGTACACCTACTTGCAATTGACACAACCGCTGCGAGTTTTGGGCGCGAACTTCTTGCGCCGCACCTCCCGTTTTTCGCCTTCGACGACTTCTGGCATGGTCGATATCACGAATACATGTCTTCTAGATCGAATGTGACCCGAGTTTCCGAATTGTCACTTCGGTGTACGATAGCTTCGCCCTTTTATGTTTCAGCCCAACGCCTGCTATTGTTCTACGACCAAGTCGAATCGTTGCGCATAGAGCTTTAGGGCCGTCGAACAGGCGACTGAATATGCATGCTATAAAAAGCTTACTACACAGGGCTGACACCCTCTTACTTTGATTTCCAGACGGTTCCCGAATCCGTGCTTGTCGAATCTTGGGCAGGTGAGGCCTCCCACGGTAGATCCGCCAGGATAAAATTTTCGTTCCGTTGACCCTCTTCGGAAGCGGCTGGCGATAGCCCCTATCATGGGCCAGGGTGATCAATAAATTCCATGTGCCGCCGTAACATTTTGCAGTCCGCGTAGAACTCTGTCGATTTTTGCGTTTAGTTTGTCCCTCAAGAAATAGACACGAGATTGTTTGATTGGATGAGTGACATGATTTGGCTCACGCGATCTGCCGATAAAGTTATCTTCAAAAACTATGTATGGTGGACGAGCGGACGGAATTCGGTCTTTTCCTTAGAGCTAACCATGGCATTCAACTGTCACAGGGGGCTGAATAAATGCCCATCGCGGCATAACCATGATTCAAGCGGTGAACGAAAGTGTCGGACAATGTCAAACCTTTCCCCCTTCTCAAGATGAGTTGTCTTCTGCTCAGCATACCTTACGGCATTTATTTCGAGGACGTGTCTGTTCATTTTACTGTTGCATGCGTCTATCATGGTCGTTGATCTCGCCGATAGAATTTGATTTCTTTCCCTATTAGATAACCATACCAATATATGGGACGTATTCGACCAACAAATAAGCCGCAATCCAAGAAGCAGCTATATTCAGAAGGCCCACGCTCAATGTCATCAAAATCGGCCCCAAGATGCGAATCATTGAAGCCGACTCGGGTGATGAACAACCCATGATATTTTCGAGGCTTAACTCGATAATCAGACTGACCAGTGGATGGAGGAGAAAAGCGGCATAAGAGTACCTGGGAAGGTTCACAACTTTGTTGTTCCCGATTTTCAGTGTCCAGGAGCTGTTGAAGCGCTGGGAGAATAAAGTGATCAACGCTGGCATGATAGCGGCAAAACTGACCTCGTTCCAAATCGCATAAAGTAAAGCAGGTAGGCTGAAACCACCAGCAAGAGAGTGAACGGCGGCCATAGGGTCCGGGTCGGGTGTAAGAGCTGCTGAAATATACAGGACCAGGCCCAATGACATTGCGCTGCAGCTCAACGAGCGGAAAAGGTGAGTCAAGGGTCGCCTGGAGACTCGGAAGGGAAGGTATATATAGGGATTTTGAGCGGCTTGAGACGCCTGGCCTAGGACATACGCCAGAATATATTGTGGAACAAACGCAGGTTGGACATTCAGTGGCCAGAACTTTGTACCTACAGGATAAGGGAGTCGAATGACAAAGCTCAAAAGGATACTGGCAAGCCATGGGCCAAGGTTCGAGGAGGTATTTCTGAAAAGGTCGGACCATTTACTCGTCGGCGTGGAAGAGAGCAATGAGGCGATGACATCAAAGCAGGCCAGGAGGGCCGAGTACCAGACAGGGCCTCGGATCCCCGTGAAATTGATCCAGCTCGTCCAGAATATTGACGTAGAGAGCGCAAGAGAGTGAGACCATTCGTTCTCCCCCACGAATCCGTCTGGTCCGAACCCGTCTAATATAACATTTATCAGAGGATCGATGAAAATAGTATACACAAGGGCCGGGACCGTCAACCTGACCAGCCTCGAGCGGAGGAAAGGCTTCTGACTCCCACGTTGAACACCGTGAGAAATACCCAGGCCGGAAAACCAGCCTGATAGGAAGAAAAAGGCGCCCATGAAGAACGTCTGATCGATGCCATTGAAAGCGACGAGGGCCAGGGACAATGGGGGGAAGCATTTGGAGTGGAATTTCCATGACCCCAAACCACCGTATGGAATGGCGGTATGATGGACCACGACGAGGGCAGTCAGGAATGTGCGCAGGTTGTCGAGGTCTGCTCTTCGAGCTGGCTGGCCGCGGCGCCGGATATCAGAGTGTTTGCTTCTCTGCATCCCCACGTCATCTAATTCGCCGAGAGCCGACTCATCATGTTTGGTAGGTAATGACTGAATGGCCTTCGATCTGTACATTATGGATTTATTGGTGATCTGTTTTGGTGCATAGTCAAGAATTGGAAAAGTCGGGTTGAGAATCGGGATGAGGATTCAGTTATCTAGTGCTCACGCAGGCAGCAACGGATGCGAGCGTCACGTGTCACAAAGTTCCCTTCCGGCCAGGCAGATGAATTTCTTCCACAGATCCCGGGACACCAGTTCCCGGGCGGGTCTTTGGCTGTATATTGCAGTTTATGCACAATGTCTATGTAAGGGATCGGAATTCTGGGTTGACGAGGCTGTGATACCCCCATACGGTAACTAGAAAGTGACTAGCTCAAGGAGAATCGCTGACGCTGGGAACCAATCATGATGAGTTTCCGCAATACGATCGAGAGAGCTGCGACTGAATCAGGCGTAAGAATTAGTCGAGAGGGGATCTAATGACTTTGGCCAGGTGGCGCTTGTTCGTCTTGGGTTGTCCTGGGGCTAATCGAGGAAATGATATGCCGCAGAAGGTATCATGTTTGAGTAGCTTGGTCACTTAGATCGTTGGCGTGAGCGACACAGTTGAGCTCGAAGCGGAGCAAATGACGTGCCAGCATCGATTGATAGAAGCCGAAATCCTCTGCAGCCCAAGCACCAGGATGACTCGGTATTTGATAGGCCTGGTTCGTGTCTAGCCTTTTGTGCCGAGTCCTAGTCCGGACAGGCGGATCCGAGCGCGAGCTCATGTTCTCATTCACAGCTTCTGGGACTGCTGCTGTTGATGTGTCATTATCATAAAGCGCCCGGCCTTGACGGTAAGTCTTGAGTTTAAACTTCAGGTGGCGGGCGGTTCCTGTTTGTCGCCTTGTTTCCATTCGAATTCTGCGTCAGTTAGTAATTGAGGAATTTGTAAAGTCGGTGGAGCTCACTTTGGCGACACATTGGACAAAGTCCTTTTGATGATTCTTGTTGGATCCATGTCAAGAGACAGTGCTGTTCGTGTTAACGTGGCCACCTCACCGTGTTGGATGATCATTACACACCATATGAAAAGAGTGGCCACATTTCCCCATCAACAAGGTACAGTCGTCGCCAGGGAACTTGCATGTAGGACATGTTCCATCAAATTGCACTCGACAGATGCCGCATACTTCATCCTCGGGCATATCCCAGCGCCAGGTAGCCACCGCGTGCCATTTCTTTATTTTTACCTTCATCTTGAGACCACTGTCGACGGGCAAGTCGGAGAGGATGGTTCAACAGGATTGCAGCAAGGCAGGGTCAGGAACACGATGAACGATGAGTTGCAAGTTCTGGAATAGCAGATCGAGCCGTGGGCCTTTGTATGATAAGGCGAGTGAAATGTAAAGTAGCGTTTTCACGAGGGCCAGCTTCGACCAGGGTCACGTGAATCGCATTTTCAGAAGGTATCACGTGCAAAGACGAATTCAAAGCTACTGGACTATTTTCGTTCGACATCAGAAGTTTGATCAAAAAGGAAATAGATATTAATGGACTCGCCAAGTGTGGCTCCATGTTCCACGTTGGCTGCTATGTTCTGTCCTCGTCCGCCGGCTGAATTACAAGTTCTATTCCAGCCGTGGCCATGGCGAAATGATGACTTTCGCGAACCGTCCATACCCGACCGTGATAGATCAGAAAGAGAAAACCAACAGGGACAAGGACGAATAGCCACACCACCCTACCGTCTGGTGTGCTTTGCGTCAAAGCACGATGCTATAGGCGTCCTTTCCTTCCTCGTTCCTCCATTCTATAAACGATGTCAATCTCAGCAATATGCGTGGGTCTATGTGGCCCAGTAACGTAATGAATCCAACGGGGTGTAAGGACGTAACATTCTCCTCCAGAACGTTGAGCTGGGTTATTCCTCTGCACCGCCACCGGGGCCACCGAGAGCAGTCGTGTCCATCATCTGTCTGATATCATCCAGACGTCTCTGAAATCTTTCGATCATTTCCTCCGTGGACTCTTTCTCTGCACTCGGTGGCGCATCGCCAGGGCTATTCCCACGACCTTCGATACGGAGCATGAGTCCGTCGTCTTCGGCGTCAGCATCGTTGCCGATCGTCGGGGCAGTTGTGATCGTGGAGCGGAGAACTTGCCACTCCGCACTCAGGCTGCGGGCGGAGGTGACTTCGAATGAGCGTGCGGAGCCTTCGTCGGCTGATGTGTTGCGTGGTTGCACGTCGAGGATCAGATAGTGCTCACGGACGCCGGCGATCGGAGGGGGCAGGCGAGACTCTCCCTCATCATGGTGGTGCTCACGAGACGGGACGTGCCTGCTCGCACGCTGGGAAGGATCAAGAGTCTCGAGGCTGCGACAAGCCGCTTCTGCTATGATATCCGAGTCATCGTCGGCAAAGATGTAGTGAACTGTCGGATGATGGTGTTCGTTGGTCACGCTATCTTCGATCAAGGTGAAAAAGGGCTGGAAGGGCGGAATCGGCTCTGAATGGCCGTACTGGTCGGATTCGGCGCCCGCAATGGCGTGCTCATGCTCTGATGATGCCGAGTTCGGTGTAGGTTGATGCGAGGCTACGATGGGATCGTCTTCAAAGTGCGGAGAGGGCAAGAGATTGCGGGCGGAAGGGTTCTGAGGGCCACTGGTACGCCGTAACGAGGACTTTGACGGCGATGACGAGTGCGTGGGGACTTGACGGGGCTGGGACATGTCCAGGGATGTTGGTGAAAGGCTACATCGTGAGAGCCATAGTGGGTGATGAAAAGTCGAGAGGGGGTGGTTGAGTAAACGGGCGCATGAAAGGCAAACATCCAAGAGTTTGGTTCCCCCAAAAGATAAGATAAGATCGAGCCTGACAATGGGGGGACAAGGCTGAACGGACTGCCTCAGTTCTGTACTGATTACGACACATTTCAAAGGAGGTTATTATCCAGCTGCTATACCCCGAACCAATGTAGGTGCTTGGGAGGCAAGGAGCAGCGGTAGAGAATGCCCATCTATCCGCAGCGCTGGCCGTCACGTTGTATCACGTGAGAGCATCACGTGCCCTGGCTGCTACACTCCGAATATCACTTTTGCTGACTCATGATTCCTATCTCGTTCCTCTCGATCTTCCCCCTCCGCCCCGGCTTCAGGACATCCATAATCTCTACTTTAATGGAAGGGAAGAAAGTTATCGTCGTCGGTGCTGGGCCTGTCGGATCACTGGCCGCACTCTATGCGTCGTCACGCGGCGCAAATGTCGAAATATATGAGCTTCGGAATGGTAAGTGAGCCCTCATAATCCGATAATTTCAACCGTCTATGAATCCTACGTCAACATTGTGTCTTCCATGTCCCTTCTGATCTGTCCTGACATCCCCAGATCTACGGAATCTTGAAACGACTCCTCTCAATTTCACCAAATCCATCAATCTTGCCCTCTCGGAACGTGGTATCAATGCCCTGCGATCGACCGGAAATAAAGAGCTTCTGGACGGTGTTCTAGCACAAACAATCCCAATGTATGGTCGCATGATCCACACCCGCTCACCCACTGGGTCACTGTCGCAACAGTCACAAGCATATGATGTTCATGGTCGCTTCCAACGCTCCGTTGATCGCGGTCAACTCAATCATGTGTTGCTCGACCATTTGGATTCGTTACCCAATGTCGAATTCTTCTTTCAGCACAAGATGACGGGCGCCGACTTCCGAAAGAAAAAGGCTTGGTTTGAGGTCATGAACCAGACCAGTTCCGACTCGAACCGGCCCGACGAGATTGAAGTTCATTTCGACCTCTTGATTGGAGCTGATGGAGCCCATTCCGCAACCAGGCATCACATGATGAAGTACGCTCGAATGGACTATCATCAAGAATATATTGACTGCCTTTGGTGCGAGTTTACCATGCCCCCGACGAAATCGGGGGACTTTGCCATCTCTCCGAATCACCTGCATATTTGGCCTGCTGGCAGTTTTATGTTCATTGCTCTCCCTAACCTGGACAAGTCTTTTGTCTGCACATTATTTGGGCCCGTGGATTTATACACCAAGCTCGAAGAAGGCTCGGATGCTGAACTCATCTCAACTTTCGACAAGTACTTTCCCGGCGTCACCACTTACATTGAACCTTCCGACCTCGTTGCTCAATTTAAACGCAACCCGCACCTGCCACTGATAAATATCAAGTGCTCACCACATCACTTCAGCGACAGTGTTGTCATCGTTGGCGACGCAGCGAATGCCATGGTGCCATTCTACGGACAAGGCATGAACGCGGGTTTGGAGTCCGTCCGAGTCTTGTTCTCCAAACTCGATGAATCGTCCAATGTTGCAGAGGCACTCGCTAACTATGCCGGCGAACGAACAAAGGACGTGCATACCATCGCTGACCTGGCGATTGCGAACTATACGGAGATGCGGTCTTCAGTCACCTCTCCTCTGTACAAAATGCGAAAATACATTGAGGAGCAGCTCGACAAATACGTCCCGAGTCTGGGTTGGGCCACTCAATACTCACGAGTTAGCTTCAGCAATATGAGATACAGCGATGTGATCAAGAAATCCAAGAGTCAGAAGCGCATCTTGACCGGGCTGTTTCTAGCTGTGGCAATGACAGCATTGACCGGTCCCGCTGCTGGTCTCTGGATGTACTTGCTGCGGTTCCATCGCCGACAAGAACTTCAATCTCGCATGGTCGCGAAGGTGAATATGCTTCTCTTCTAGACCAGTTTCCTCTCAACCCCATATGCTCTCCTCGATGAAAGAGTCCATCTCTGTGCGCTGGTCTCCCTCCCTTCCAGATAAAACAATCCCCAATTAACACCACATGTCGTTCGAAGCGAAACAGTGTACCCATGTGAAAGGAGGCCAACCTTTCACTTCTCTCTTCGTCTTCTTTGTCCTCAGTCTGTCGCCCACTCTTACACCACTCACCTCCCCACCATCCTGCTTCACGTTGCCTCACCGGCCCTCCCATTACAACATGGCTGTGTTTTCTCGAAGACACCATCCAGCCATCCCTCGGCTCCGCTCGAGATCGACCGACCAAACCGCCGCTCTCAAAACCGAACGTCACCCTAGAAGTGGCCACTCGCTCAAAGTTGCTACTTCGGTATGCCATCACTTCCGACTTCAAATCACAATGCACTGAAGCATTTGCAGATCCTGGCCAACATTCGCCGTATTCCCCAGCGGCGAACCAGAAGAAACGCGATTGTCGACGACGGGAGCCAGCTCACGCTACAGAAACTCCCCAACGATGTCATGTTGATGGTCATGAAAGAGCTGGACGTTCCCTCTCGCATCAGTCTCAGCCTCACCAACAAGTTATTTGCGGAGAGAGTCCAGATGGTCTCCACAGTTCTTAACGATCGAGCATCTATCGTGAAGTTCCACGCACGATGTCCCAGTGGCGCGTGCTTGTACGCAAATCATATATCCGACCGACGCATTCTACTGCTTCAGCTGCACAAATGGATGCCGCGCGGTTATCGGTTGTGTTGGAAATGTCAGCGATACTCGAAGATCAAGGGGACGAAATGGCACTGCACAACAAGAGTGAATTTCGCCGGACTCGGCCGTCTCAACATTCATGCCATCAACCAACTGGGCCTTTGGAAAGTATTTTGTCATGACAAATGCTTGCCTTCTGGAAGAGAGCTTTCCAAGTGGGTCTGGGAGACCAAGGGTGCGTCCGGTGGCTTTGCTAGGTTTACCGGCAGCCCTGAGCGACCAAGTGGCGGCGAATTGTACGATGCAGGCTTCTAAACTCACTTGTTCTCCCGTTGGGACTACCAACTGTGCGAATGACTTCCACTTCGGGAGATTCCTGTGGTGAATCGTGAGACAGAAAGATTGGTGAAAAAATGGAAAGGCGAGCCGGCGGGATTGGACATAGCAAATCGTCTCCATGGTGAATAGGAGGAAAGACTGTGAACAACTGAGGGAATCAGAGAGACCAAACGTCGTCGATGAAAGTGCCGTCAAACTACGAGCATGTCAAGAACGAGACTACATGATGAGTCTATCCTGATTTCAAAAGAGGTCCAAAAGCTCCTGGGATTGCTGTTATGCTGTTGGTGGAATGACCGCTCTGCGGTCGATCGACCGATTGAACGAGACCAAACAAGAAAAGCCATGCAAGAGACTCTCGCGAGATCCACGAAATGCAAATGAGATTGAATTATGATTTTCTCTCTTCATTCGTAATCTCATACTCGTCGTAGCCAAAGGCTGTAAGCTTCTATCTCGGACAGGCCCCGTAATACCGTGTATCATAGTAGCACCCCAAACCAACGCCAATCGCTATACGGATATTCCTTGAGTTTCCTCGCTTGTACTTCCCTTCCTGTTACCAGCCGTCTCATAAGCCTGAGCTTCCCACCGTCACCCTGTTAAGAAAGAATCTGAACCTCGTTCTCGCCTTTATCGCCATCCTTGTCACCATCAATCTTGAGAATACGTTTCTCAATCTTCAACGGCTTGAATTGATGCCAGCAGTTCGGTGCTTCGAGAACATACCGATTCATCGCCTCCCGGAATCTCTTCTTATATTCCTTCGGACTCGTGACTGTGGGTCTATTTTTTCCGCCGCGTGCGAATCCGCGGTCTTTGATCCAACTCTCCAACTTCTTATCCCATGTATATGTGCGAATGCAATCGATAATGCCCACCACGAGCTCCTTACGATTCTCATCAATGGCCACCATGAGACTGTAATCCATGACATTTTGACGAGCAAGGAATAGTGTATCGTTGTGGACAGACGAACGGAGAAGTTTCTTACTGTGATCCCGAGTAAAGAGAGGTGATTCGTAGATGAATTCCACCATGTTTTCGTCAAGAAGAACTTCATTCTTTTCGCCAGTGGCGTTGATTTTCCGGTTTCGCATACTACCCTTCAGGTCGAAAATTCGAGTCGGGACTCTGTCATAGAAAAGGTTTTCCATGACCACCAGAAACCAATTGTACTCCAAACCAGTCACAGGATTCTTGATGATGATTTGATAGAAGCCCAGCATCTTGGCAATGACCGATGGCAGCTCGTGGAAGAACGCCTCCGACATAATTCGGAAGTAATTGGGTGCAAATTTGAGGAAGGACTGTGTCTCGATAGGTGACAAAGATTTCAAAATGAATCGATCGTCCAATGTCTTCAAAAAGAGCGACTTGGTCTTGCCGCCCTTCGAATCCCATTTCATGCATCTCGACAACGATTCCACAATTCTATCGGCGACACCACATTTGCGGCGTACGGCGTCGAACTGTTCGGCGAAGAAAATTTTGCACAACATTTTCGCTGGGCCTTCTTGGAACTGATATCGGAGATGTGTCCCAGTCTTTCGTAAAAGGGAATGCATGACGTCCGCCTGTCGGCTATCCGGGTGGTCATGTCCACCAAGGCCCGTCGAAACGTGGTCGGCGGTAGGACGTGTCTGCATATCATGTAGCATCGTTTTATAGTCTTGGGAATCCAAGGCAAAGGCAATGATGGAGCTCGGTTCATCTTCACGGACAATGATATCGCAGTCTGCGAATATGTGTTCGGATGCGCCGAGGGGATATTCTAAGGGTGTCCAACCACTGGAAGAGCGTTCGGCCCAAAAGTTGGTCAACATCTTCATCAGCGAGGTTCGTTCATGTTTCGGAAGTTCCTTGAGGTCCACGTCGTCCTGAGACAATCGCAGTAAATCTTCGGGGGAATCTGGGAGATGAATCTCCTCTGAGACATCATCCACATCACTTCGATCCTCGGCTTCAGATGGCGCGTGGCTGGAGACTTGGATATCCGCCTCATTTTCTGTTGTATCTGCCAGTCTCTCTTCGACGCGAAGCGAAGAGTCTCCATTTTGAGAAACATCCATATTCTTCACGGCTTCATCAGCATCCGTTGTCTTTCCAGAATTCTCGACAGGAAGGTGGTCTACTCCGAAAACATCACCGGAGTCACCCTTCTCATCAACAGCCTCGTCGACATTTTGGTACACCTCGACAATGGGATTTGAGACTGCGAGGGGATAAATTCGGGATTGCCGATTCCGAGCGGCACGTAACTTCCTTTCCCGGATTCGCTCCCTTTCGAATTCCCGGCTCAATTGCTCGAAATGTTTGGCCAGACTGGACACCCGAGATTCTTTGCGGTTTGCAATTGCTCGTGGTATTAAAGAATGGCCCTTGGCAAGCGTATTCTTCTTCAATTGGGAGAGCCCGAATCGCTCTGAGAGCTTCTTATCGGGAGCCTGGAGGTTGGGATCGCCGCTCACGGGGGACAACACGGGACTCTGTTTTGAATGAGCTCCAGCAAACCCATTAAGAGCATTAACAACGGACAGTGTGCTCGAATTCGCTGGTATTGCATTCGGACGTGATGCAACAGAGCCGACAGGCTGAGAATGTGCGCGAGCTAATGTCGGCGACGCCGACTTGCCATCTTGACTTCGCCGCATTGTTCGGGGTGTGTGAGGGGGATGATGTACTCCAATTTGAGGTAAGTCAACAGGCTGAGTTCGTGGAACCGGGACATCGTCCCCGGATTTGTCGGGGAGCTCCCTGCCGGTAGTTGCTGGAGTGATAGTATCATCTTGCTTGGGGCGGCGCTCTTCGCCTTCATTCCGATGCAAAATTCGAGAGCTTTGAGCCGCAATCTCATCCTCAGGTCGAGTCGCTTGTTGACTCGGTGAGACTATCGCCAGATCGAGATGTTTTACACCATCAACGTTCCGCGGCCTCTCCAAAACGGAAGCGAGGTGTTGCACATCAGATCTCTTCCTTTCCGACGGTGCTGTAGAGTCTTCTTCGGTGGCTGGAGCGCTCGAATGCTCCTCGAGAACAGATTGAAGAACATTTTGTGTCTTCTCAGGGGAAAGTTTGGCACCCTTTTCGAATTCCGATATTGAATGTCGAATCTCCGGTGAATCTTCTTTCTCGTCAGCTGCCTCGTCAATCGATGGAGTGGTAACACCTTCATCAATCGATGTTAGAGACGTCACCGAGACATCCCGGTCAAGGAAGATCTTCTTGAGTTGCAGGGTAGCAAGCCTTCGAATATCTTTTTCCGACGGGAAATAATTCCTCTCGAAATCTGCAAAGGCAGTATCCCACTCCGAGACTTTTTCTTGGGTGGCTCGCACAATCCCATTGAGAGGTATGGTCTCCCAATATCTCGAGTTCGTATACCTCTCTTGAAGTTGCTTGATGAGACTTGCATGCTCTTCCGTGGCTCTCTTGGTCATGCGGTCAATCTCCGCACGACATGCCTCTGCAGTTTCCGGGAGGGCAGCATCGACGTTGATATTCTTGAGACGAAGCTTGACAGAAACCATGAATCGAGTGATCCGATGTTCCAAACGAGTATAGACCTCATTACGGAATTTCAAATCATTATCCACCTTCCAGGTGATCCTCAATCTTGGAACAATAATCTCAAGGAGGTCAATGGTATCATAGTGCACCCGTAGAGCAAAATCTTTGTAGCCAAAATAGCGGAGATGGTCCCTATGCAGGTCATGGGGACATATACCGGCTCGAGCATGAAGGTCAGCACTCCAGAACGACAACTCGAGATATTTGCCGAATGAATACTTCCATGTACTCGTGGACATGGGAGTGACCGTGGTTTCGACGCCACAGATTTTGCATTGACTCCACATCAAAATCACATCCTGGAAGCCTCGCATTTTAGCGGGATGTGGCTGAACGAAGACTGTAATTTGTGCTTCTCCGTGGACATACTGTCGATGATGTTCATGCATTTTCTTCTCACAGGCGTCTGACCGACAAGTTTCGTTCGCTTGATAGCACAGATCTTCGACGTATTGGCCGAGCGTGCAATCTGCTTCGAATTCGGCTTCGGTTTCGTGTTCATTGTAGAAGCTGAAAGCCAGGAGATCCGGTCCCGAACAGGGGACGGACGTCTCTGTTGAAACTTGGCTGAACAAAACGACGATATTTTGATGAGCGAAGGGATCAAAGAGATTGCGATTTCCGGAGAGATAAGACTCCCATTGCTTCTTCTGGGTTTCATAATTATGGGCTGCCTTGTCATATTCGGCATCGTGAACTGCATGAATGATCTCTCTAACCTTCTTGCTCGCCCCAGCAAGTGGTTGATGGACCATTTCCGGCTGAATCAGGGTGAATTTGGCGGCTTTGCCCTTGTCGTCCATTGCTTGTTCGGTAGATAAATCTTGGTCACGCAGTCTCTTGAGATACGCCACTCGTCGTTCAAGCTCCCGGGCGCGCATCAAGAGATACGGTTGCATAAACTTGACATATGGTGATGCAGAGAGGATCCGGGTTTCGTGCTTAAGCACAAGGTCTTCATAAAACGTGGGCACAGGAATGTCATCCGGAATATGCACCGTGTCCGTGCCATCCATGCTGACTGCCTGAACACGATGTGCTTCTTTTTCGGCGGAAATGACATCTAGATTCGAAACATCACCATTTACCTTGACTTGGCCGTCGACTTTACCTGTCTGCTCGTCGGTGTCGTTGAGAGTTGTCTCGCTTTCGTTTCCGGTCGCCATGGGTTGGGCGGGCGTGGTGGCGGTGTCCGAAGGCTTTGCCGATGGTGCACTCGGTATCAAAGCCCATTCGTCCCTCATTAGACAAGTTTCAAGTTTCAGGTTGTAGACGACATATACCATGAACTCGGTAACATGTTTGATCTTTGCTAGAGTCTCTCGATCGGCACCCCGAAGGGCAATGGTACAGCCCAATTGTGGAGGACAACCGGAGAGGTAGACATAGGTCTTCTTCCGTCCATCAGCCACGTACGTCTTGACTTCAAAGGAGTCGCATCGGCCAAGAGGATCTGACTCGGGCGAGAGTTTGTCCATGGAATGGGCAACACGAGCCTGTGTACACCGGGAAACAGCCTCAAGAACGGAGGATTTCACGTTGAAGATTGTGGTGATCTTGGCCCTCTCAAGGAGCTCAAGAGCGAGACCCGAGATATTTCGTTGGGCCAACAGGACGTCGGGTTTCAGAGCAGCAATACGACCAACGAGATTGGCCAGATACTCTCTTTCCTGCCTGATGACGGGATCCAGGCTCATGAAATGTTGCTCGTGTCTTGCGTATTCGAGGGCGAATGTGATGATCAGTATCTTGGGATTTGTGTGGGATCGAGCCATGCTTTTCAAGGCGACGTTCTTGGTGAATACCAATCCCGATATGTACGCGGTGTCTCCCGGTTTTCCTCCAGGAATTTTCTTCAATTTGACATAGTTGCGAATATCAATATCGTCGCCACCTTGGACGTCAGGGTCGACATCATCAGTAGCCCGGAGCAAGATGGGAATAAGCGCATCCTCCCAGCTGGAAACCTTGGGGATGTTGGCATCTCGCAGAAGCTGCTGAAGGAGCTTATGCACATGTTGGATGCTTGCTCGATTAAGCTCCATTGCCGGTGCAGCCACACCGCGCATTGACGCACTTCTAATCATCCTTGATCCCCCTCGACATATACTCGGAGTCTCCGCCGCACTGTCTGGAACGTCCTCATGGCCATCCGGAATGACTATTTGTAGCCGCTCTCTGGTTGTCCTTGGCGTACCCCGCTGGTGAATGCTGCTGGACACACTCAAATTTCGCTTCCGAGAGCCTCTGAGAGCATCGACGTTGCGCGAGCTGATGACGCTGGCCTCGTCGGTGTCCTTTCCTAAACTCAGAAATCCAGCAATGCTACGATCTCCGATTCGGGAACGACCTTTTCGGACTGCGGCCAGAAGTCCCCCTATGGCGGTTCTGTCACTATCAGGTCCACTCCGAGACAGTTTCCCTGGGCCCAGACCGTCGTTGAGAGATTGCTCGTCTTCGCTTGAAGGGTCATCTGAAAGATATTGAGCCAGATCAGGATCGACAATGCTGTCGCGGTGAAAAGCGGAGGATTTGCCGTCTTCGGCCGCACGGCGCTGAAAAGGTGCTCGATCTTCATGATAGGCTTTGTAATTTCGTATGTGCTGATGCCGAGAGTGGTGTCGTTTATGGCCATGGCCGATCGAGTGGCTGGCCTTCAATGACCTTGATGAACTAGGTCGAGGGAGGGGGCGGTCCGTCGTGTCAAATTCAAGGACAGCGGACGTTCGATTAGCCCCTTCGAAAGCTCGTCGTACAGGGAAACTCATTGTGGGAGTTTTGGCCATCTGCTCGAGCGATTGGGACGTGATAGAAGCATTGTCGTCGTCCAAACGAGCCAGTTGACGATTGAGGGGCTGTGGCTCCGGAGTCCGTGGACGTGTAGCTGGTTCGGTCCAAGCCAGATCGTCAATGGAATAATCGGAAGAATCATCGTCATGAGATGTGATAATAGATTCACAAGGCTTGCAGACCCGGACGGCAGAATTGGATCCAAAATGACTTCCACTGGTGAGCACGGTACATTTGTTGTCAAAGATCTGACCGCACGTGCGACAGTGATGTTTTCGGCGAAATGTCGTAAATTGTTCACCACAGTGGAAACAGTCCTTCGCATTCTCATCTCGCATCCAGAACTCCTTGCTCAAGAGCTTACTCCGGAGTTTATTGATCGGTCTGGTCTGGGGAGGATATCCCGGTGCATATTCACTACCGCCATCGCCAGGATTCTCCTGATGAGACCGCTGCACGCCAGTGGGAATTGTGGAGTCGGATGAAGATGTGCGGGAGGCTCGAAACCCCGGCAGCCTTGACTGGCTTATCTTGGGAGCAAGTTTGTCTGTGGATCGCTGATCCAGCTGAGTCAAGAGAGGGGATTTGAGAGCAGCGCTTTCACTACCCTTCCCATGAGAAGCGGCAGCATTTTCTGCCAGAAGCTCCAGGGGGTTTGGATGGTGTTTCTGGTCCTGCCTATTCGAGACGGCCCGTGCTACTGTCCTCTCGTCCTGGGATAACCCCATCTGCTGCGGCGGACTTGTCACACTATCCGCATGGCTGAGTTGACTTTGTATAGAGGTTGATGATAAGCCCCGGTCGTGAGAAACCGGGAGCACTCGAGCACTGGATCTTTGCGAAGCTGAGGTCCGAGGAGACGTCACATGCCGGGTTCCTCTCTCCGTCGTGGAGCCTTCGTTGCCGGGCTTGGACGATATCTTCTGCAAACCGTCACCGTCACCAGAAGCAGCCAAACTCCGATCGTGAGCCGGAGGATCAACTTCAAAACCGGAGCCTGTTCTCGAATGATTTGTGGATCCTACCGCATGTATGTTGACCGACGTGACTGAAGGGTCGGCCAAATGAGAAGCTGGCTGTGGGGGACCAGTGGGAGATCTGAGCGCCGGCGTTGAAGGGACGGAAATCTTGCTCACACTGGCTGCTTTCGATGAAATCTTGGACTGCAAGGGAGGGTCGGTAGCGAGAGGAGAATCAAAAGGGTTCAATCCGGGCGAATGCACATTCGAGGTAAAGCCGGAGCTCGCTTTGGAATTGGGGGGATTGTCGAATGTCGTCTCTTGAGGATCTTCGACGTCCTTGGTGGGTACCACACTCGCCTTCAATGTATTGTAAAGCCCAGATATGCCCCCTTGGATCTCTCCCGCCAACGACTTATTATTCTCCGCGTTCGACCCGGCCGTTGGAGGATCGGTATATTCGTTGAAGACGGTCAAATTGTTCGATTGCGATGCCGCGTTATGGATGCTATTTAGAGCTTCATTGAGAGCATCTTGATCCAGTTCATGAGCCAGAGAAGACTTGGAGTCTCGCCGTGCTCTCCGGCCTAGTGGAAGGAAGATGGAAGAGGCGGAAGGGCTTGAATTGTCTTGCGTTGTAGAGGGCATGGCCATCAGTCTGCTGGCCTGTCGGCCACAGAGTAGTTGTGATGATATTCAAATAGCTTCATACTCGAGAGAGCATTTCAAACAAAATTCGTATTAATAGCTGAAGAAAATGGGTGCCGGTTCTGAAAACTGTGTTGATCGTTGGCACCTGCTGAGTGCCTGGGTTAAAAAAGAATCTCGCCGCAGGCGGCCATCCGCCACTTGGTGACAAGCCTCATCAGGCTTGGCCGTCGCGCGTTGTCGACGCGGCTTCAGAACTACGTGCCTCAGGGCCTTGGCTCTCGAAACGCAGTCCACGATTTTCACAATGGCGAGGATCCTACAGTACCGGTGTACTTACCACCATATAGCTCTTACTCATGCCTGAGAAAATTCCATGGAATGCCACGAGCCGTGGTTGGTGGAATTCCTCTGTTCCAGCCTAGCCGAATACCTAAAGTCGGAGCAAGAAGGCCAACAGAGTCTGAACTATATTTTTCGCCGGATCTCTGGTGCCCTGCAGATATCCTCGACAACAAGGTGGGCCAGGACTGCGCGGCTCTTAGAGGTATTTGTCTAGTTCTATCAATTTTGCACCTATTAACCCCATTCTCCCAGCTTCATCGGAGATGCCCTCTCAAAGGAAGCGTCTCTGATGGCAAACATCGATTGCGTACGAGCTTTTCAAAAGAAGCGGAGGCACAAATCTCAAAGTGCAGCGCGAAGCCATCTGAAATCCCCCGTCAAAGAATCCTTCTGAGAATCAACGACCCTCAAATTCACGTTACGGAGTCGTCCGAGGTCGAATTACATATCGAATCCTTTGAGATAGTAAACATTGCCACCTCTCCAGACAAAGCCTTGTCCATCGGCTGGCCCGCAGTCAATGAAAAAGCAGTCTCTGAGAAGATATTTGAGTATAAGCAATTAAAAGCAAAGGAAGTTGGAACTCCCGCACCAAATGGTAGCCCGCTATCCGTCAGATCACAAGCGGGATATGACCCAACCCGAACTGATGGAGCCATCGGTCATGAGGAGGAGGAAGTCTCTCAACAGGAATTTCTGACGCAGCCACCTGCTGATACCCGCCTCCATCAGCCGACTTGGACGAAGGATGGTGGACCGAGCCGAACTCTTTTGGAGCTTCTGCGAGCCCGAGGACAGGCTAAAAAGGCCGTGGTAGACACTGATAGGAAATCAACGCCTTCTGCGGATTTGGGGAACGGTTCAGTCCCGGCTCCTATTCGAAAGATTGTCAAAGCCTCTCCTGGCCCGGTGGCAACAGATGGCAGTTCTGATTTGACGCCAGAGCGCGATGCAAACATAAAACTGCCGGGAGCAACACCCTCCCGTCCCACAAGTCTGCCTGCTTGTTCATATACGCCGAGGAAAACCGAAAATCGCTCGATAGAGCGTCACGAATCAGAAGACAACGACATTTCTACGCAAGCGAATACCGAGCAAACCGACAAAGTCGTCTCTCCGGATACATCAAGGATCTCGAATCATCTCGAGCAGGTAATTGCTCCGCCACTTCCGGACACGGTGGTTCAACGCTTCCGACGCTGGCGGCAAGAATCTCAAAAGTATTTGCCAAGATACATTCAAAAGATTCCTCGAGAGCAACAAAAGCTTCTGGAATCTGATGAAAGTTGGCAACCACCTCTTGTTGGTCGTCCAGAAAGACCAGGACAAGTACCCCTATCACTCCTTGAGGAACTCTCGAATGCGGCCGATAATGTTGTGGAAAATGAGTTATTGAGATCGCGCAATGAGGATCAGCATGAAACGATTGACCGTGCTCACGATCAAGAGACAGTAAAAGTGAACGGGAATGAACAAGATCATTCGAACGATTCAGATGATTCAGAGGTTACTTGGGATTTAAGCCCACCTACCCAACAACGCCGGCAACAACGGCCCGCACCTCTGCCGCCCAACAGCCCACCAGTTGATCTATTGCAGCCAAAAGAACCTATCCACCCGGAGAATAGTGATCGTTCGACTGAAAATCAGAGTCCCGAACAATCCCCCTTGTCTGCTAGAGCTATAGTCCACGCCCACCAAAATTCCCAGATACATATTTTCTCCAACCCTGGTGACCAAAGTTACAATTCGACCGCCATCTCTAACGCGCCTATTGAACAAGAGAGCAACAGTTCAATGTCGTCTATCGCCCCAAACACCGCCTCCGAACAATATGTGAGGGAGGACCGAGGGGGAACCGGATCAATACAATGTCCAATCCCATCGACAGCTTTTGAACACCCGGCTAGCTCTGGCGCAAAGCATGTGCAGGTCCAGAAGACTCCGTCGCCTAGGAAAGAGCCGCATTCTCGAGATCTTCTGTCCGCTCAAGCCATATATCGATCATCGAAGGCCATGGTTGATGACGGAGATCCTGTGTCTATTCCTGGCAGATTGTCGCAGAATGATATGAACACCATCCCCGACCAGACGGTTGAAGGACCCAAAATGACAAGGGAGCAAAATTCAAGGACCACGAATTCAATTGTTGTTAAATATCACGATCGAGCCCGCTCTCCGCCCGTTGAAGGTCCGCATGGGAATATCAATCACGCTGTGAATCCCCCAAATAAGCCAAACCTGGGTGCCACCGCATCTTCCGATGCTCAAGATTTTCGATTGCCATTAACGACAGGTGGTCTTCCTCAATCATCAACCACAGAAGAACTCCATAGTGATACACGTCAACCAGTCAAGCCGGTCCTAAACGTCGAAAATGGCCCTCTGGATACGGTCTCGTTCCCGATAGTTCTAAATGAGAGGTCTGAACAGGTGGGATCGATGACGGGAATCGCACAAAGAGGTCCACCTCTGTCTGACACACACCCCCTCCGGAGCAATTCTGAATATCTGGGGAAGAGAACAAATCGGGCGGAAAATAGCCATCCACGCAAGAGACAGCGAATGACTTCTGATGGAGAGACTTTTCAAAATCATCGGCAGGCCTTGTCAAATTCGACCGGACCGGAAGTCTCAGGACGACACTCTTCCTCTTCGTCAATGAAGGACGCTGATAGTATCAATGTGGGCCCGGAAAAATCAGCACATACGCCAATCACTCGTGTGTCCACATACGATGGGATTGAAGACGATGATAACATTCGACCAAGTGACTCGGTCTCTACCACATCAGATTCGGTAGATGCAGAGAAACTGTTTTCCAGTTTCCAAATCGCCTACCCAGATTATGACGGAACAACAAATCAATTCATCACGTCATGTCAATTTCTCAAGGATCTGTTGAGCAAGGGCCAAGAACACCATCCCTTCCTTTTCGATGATATGATCTTTCACCACCATCACAGCTTTCGTCCATATCTAATGGAAGAGGGAATGATTGCTACCGTCCCACTATTATTTTCGGAGTTTTATCGCCAACGCATCACAAAGCCCACCCACCTTGAGGGGATTGTGACAGAATCAGCTCTCAAAAAGCTACCCAATCGGACTCCGTCGACTGTATCTGGAATCAACAATTCTAAGCGACACCCCAATACTGATTCATCAACATTCGCAAGACCGATAACCGTCAGAGAAGAGAGCAAGAACGGGTCAAACTGTCGCTCTTGGGATCAATTCCATGCTGAGAATGATTTATATGCTCACTCTGACAATGGCGTTGAAAATTGTGGCCCGAGAGCCTCTGGTATGCCATCACCAGAGTTGGGGACTCCAAATATTGATCGGAGTCTCAGTGACATCAATCCTTTGGACATATCACCCAACGACACCCCAATATTCGTGTCGACAATGAAGGAAACCGTATCACGGTCCCAGGAGAGAATTCCACCCCGAACGCAAAAATGGCAAAATTCGCAACCAAGGCAGGAGAGCTCGACCGAATCCCCCATGACTCGGGTTCAAAAACGTCCAAGACCATCAGCCAGCCCATTTGTCCGACCACCCAAATCGACTCCTACTTCTGCGCCGAAGCCGAATCCGGATGTCTTACGGTTAGAGTCTCCCAATTCATCATCTTTGGGAACGAGCCCATTCGCGAAACTACGAAAGCGGATATCTGATGCCTTACAAAGAGAATCTACGGCTGCAGGGTCAGCAGTCATCGCACGATATCATGAGCGAGAGAAAGAGAAAGAAATCAGACCAGCATTTGAGCTATTCGCGGAGGATTACTCACTCCTGAACAGTGAAAAACTAGCAAGGGTTGGCACAACTTCAAAACGAAGCGGTGGTGGAATTAACATATTCTCTTGGAGGACTTGAATAAACAGCTATTCCATGCTTGATGACGGTCCATTTGGGCGGACTGACTGAATGAACAATCGAATCCCATGATCTCATCCCATCTTTTCTTGACCACTCGATTTTCTTGGAGATGGTCCCGGAACATTCATCCATCCCAGCCACCTTCCCCCTTTTTCACGGCTTCACTCAGTCTTATCGCGCTGCCAGTTCTCCACATATCCTTCATCCTACAAGGTCAAACACAAAGCCTGCAACATACCTGCGACCCCGACTACTGCCCCTGTACTTTTGTCCCCATGCTTCAAGTACCACGCACAACTCCCCCAGTACAGCGCGACCGTCAATGCCGAAATCGCCCGATCAATGGCCGTCCAAGTCGTGGGGTCACGTCGGGAGAGTTGATATGTGAATAGGCCTGTCTCCGTCAGATCTTACCGCCCAAAACCAATGCAAAGGCAGACGAGAGTAGAGGTGACAGGCATACCTGAAATGGCGAAGAACACGCTCCCCTGATACCATCCGGCACGGGCATAGCAATTTAGTATCGGGGGAAGGGACTTCCACGCTGGTAAAGAGAAGGCATGGAGGCCGTGTATCTATCACGCACATGCGAGAGGTAAGAATACGCCCTGTCATAATTCTGTGATACCAGGTAAGGGTTGCGTACCGTATGTCCGGCGGCGACAAGGACGTGCGCAATGCTGGTGGCCAAAACGAGTCGGGGCATTGTTTTGGTGATTGCTGGTGCCGTTGCTGTCGGTGAAGATGTCGTGGATGCCGTGGATATTGAGGTATGTGTCAATGCTTGTGAACGATCGGCTTTCTCTTTGGTAGGACAGCCTTGCGGAGGAAAGTTCTAGCCGTGATCTTGCGGACAATGCCTCTGAGGATCAATTCCAGAATGTGGGGCGCGTTGTAAGGAGAGGGGAATGATCTCGTCGGGATATAAAATCGTCCGAAAAGTTCCAGGGCAAGTCGACTAGAATTGTGTATAAAGTAAAACCAGGGCTTTGGTTCAGTCCATCTCAGTTAATTCCGTGACATTTGTTGTCGTTTCCTGTTGCTTCAATCCTCCTCTATATGATGGGTACAGTTGAAAGAATAGTCCGAGCTGACGACCTGAAGCCATTGCCGAGGTATTAAAGTGTGCATGCGGTCAAGCCATACACGCACAAGACGGGGCCGGGGAGCGAGGGACTTCGTATTCTCGCAATTTTGAGATCTACTCGTACGTATCTGATCATTTCTCTTCACTTCACGTCACCTTTCTCGCAGGGAGATTGAGGGTTGCGGCCCGAATAGGACCATGAATCCATCTCGTCAAATATTCAATATCGAATATCAGCATCACCGTGGCCAAAAAGCAGGCTCGTCAGGAATCCCTCGTCCATGTTTCCCTCCGATCAGACTAAGCAGAACCTCTAGGCCCATATTACTCGGTGCACCATGGACTATTGTCATTCCGGGATGCTCGTGCTTAGAACCATCCTCTTCGCATCTTGATCTTCGTCGAATTTCGCTTTAGCCGCCTCTGCCGCCTCGTCTATAACAGGGACTGTGTAGTTAAGGGCTCCCATTAATCCACTAGAGACCAGCGCCACCAGGAGGAACTTTCCGGATTGCAGACAATAAGGCGCAGACGAATTTGCTGTGGTGTTGGGATCGGGACGTGTTCGGATGCTGAATTGCTTTTGTGCTGGAACTCGGCCCATAGACTGAGATGAGTCGCAGATCAATCTCCTGGAGCAGTCGCGTTGATTTTCAGCTACGAAAGCCGCGAGTAGGGCGCGAAGGGTCTCGAGATCAGTTAACGAAGTATCCACAGATACATTGACAGTGAGTTGTTCCTTGAGTTCCTTCGAACGCGCCGTGTTCTTGATCCGCAATCCATTAATGAAACTGTTGGGATTCTGGGCCGTTTGTCTCTACTGGACTTTCCCAAAAGATTGAATGCAAGAGATATATCTTGGCCACGTCCGTTTCGCTATCGTTGACTTTGATCCAAGCTCCCACGTCGTAAGGGTATTTGATGGAGACTGTAATACAGGTGGCAATAAATTCTCCAACAGTGCTGACGATGAGGAACGAACAGGCCATAAATGTGGACCAGATTTGTGTGTGTAAGGCGTGGCAAGGGAATTGGAGAAGAAGGCCGCGCAGATAAGGATCAAGAGAAGAACACTCAACACACCGTCGAGGACTTTAACGGCGTCTCTGACGTTGCATGTTCCTTCCCAGATACTCTTTCTCTCGGCTGCGACTCTTTTCACCAGAATAACCACTCTCTTCTAGAGTTATGTCGCCGCCCCCATCCGTGTCGACTTTGTAGTAGATGTGGAGGGCTTGCTTTTCACAACCGGTCCGAGCAGGGTCGTGATGGCAGTCTGGTCCAGACTTATCGGGCGAGGGTTTCGGCCCTGACAGGACATTCAAGTGCTGCTTCCATAGCTGGACTGGGTGCTGTGGGTAGGAGAACTTGTTTTCTCGCAATGTCGCTGACTAGATATCCAAGGAGCAAAGTGACTCGATCTGCCGTATTGCCCAGATTGGCCATGAACACGGCTGTGGACTCACCCGGAGTTCTCAGTCTACCATAGTAGTTGATGCCGGTTATTTGAATGGCCATCTTCTCCACGAGACAGAGGGCTGTGACACCGATGGCTAGAATTGACAATGGAAGTGGAACTTGGTGTGAATGTTCGATAGAAAATCATGGCAAGGCCCTGCTTGATTCTGGCGCGAAAGTCCAGCTCTCCTTCCGCTCCGTGGAGCGATGCGACTTTCCCTTTACCATAATTACACTTGGGGATGTGTCACTGGATGAGATAGAAGAGTTGGAACAATGTCTGAAAGGAACAAAGCCGCCTCGGTTTGGAGACCCACCCCTAGAAGCCGTCAGCGAATGATGTTGGGGTTTGTGATATTGGCTCTCCACCGTCGAGATATTCAGCCCTTTTTTTCTGGGGTCAGGCCTCACGAGGCTGATGTTAGCCTGTTCCTCAAGATCTACTATAGACAACGCTTCTTCAACCGGCAAGTTATCCATTTTGACTCTCAAACATTTCTTGAATCCCTCGTAATCGGTCATAGTGCAAAACCGGCGCTTCACCAGTGCATTATGTGTTTCGCGGACATTTGACTACAGCGTCGCGTCCAGCTCGACTTATGGTGTCGGCGTCGATGTGGTTTTTCAGTAGATCCCCAAGACGAGCGACGGGTCTGGATACATTATCGGAGCGTTCTTGTTGAGCACTCTTGCCACTATTAAGCATTGCACGTTTTACTACTCGACTCACATACACAGAGCGCATATAGAGTGCCTCAAATAGAGTGAGAACGTATAATCCACCCGTTCGATGAAATGCCCTTGAACAAGCTCTGAAAAAAAGCGGTCATCGAGTTTCGTCATTTCCCGGTATTCATAGCTTCTCCACAGCACACATTTGCCTTCCCCAGTATCACAACTTCAATTTGGGGGGCTAGTGTCCGTTTTATCCTCCACATCCTTCCACATCTCCAGACAAGTCTGATTGAACTCGTCCGGGAACTCCCAATTACACGCATGTCCGCCCTTGGTCGTCCGCCACTGCGCACCGGGTATAAGCGAATGCAACTCCCGCGACAGAATCACCGGGATAAGAATGTCACTCTCGCCCGCAAGCACAATGATTCTCGGTTTGCCCGCTGTCACTGCCAATTTCCCAACTTCCTCTCTCGTATCAAACGTCGTGATAACATTCAACTGCGCCAGATATGCTTTCAGGCCCATCGCGGAATCAATCTGCGCCATCTCGTCCTCCATGGCTTTCAGCTCAGACTGACGGCCCGGGTCCGCAAAGAACGACGGCGAAAAGCACCACAATGCAACGTCGCGCATGACATCGGCAACGGACATTGTGCGCGCCATGTCGCCCCAGAGTGAAAACATGCGGGAACAAAATGGGCCGGGAAACGCGTATGTGCACGCGAAAGTAGCGCTAGTGAGGTCTTCGGGGTATGTGAGTGCGTAGGTCTGCGAGATCATGCCGCCCATACTCAGGCCCAGCAGGTGGAAAGGGGTGGGGACGCCGACAGCGTGAACTAGACTGTGTAGATCCGAGGCCATGTCGTGCACGGTGTAGAGTTCATCGTCGCTTTGGGGGCGCGAAGACATGCCGATGCCGCGGTTGTCGTAGGTTAAAACCGTGTGGCCTGCGGCCGTGAAGGCGGGAGTCTGTGTCGCCCAGGTGGATTGAGGGTCGGCGAGGCCATTGACTAGGATGACCCAGGGTCTGGGCTTGGATGCCGACAAGGTTGCCCGGTGGATAGTATAGTTGATGCGAAGAGAAAATGAGATCTCATGGTAAGGCATTTCAGGCACCAAGTCTTTCCTTCTCAGGTGCCGGACTCAGAGTGGAAGGTCTTCTCTCGCTTTATCGCGAACCTGGTAGTCGCCTTGGATTGAAGGTGGTTTGAAATATCGTAGGCTGGAAAATGAGGCCTCTCTCTTCGGATGATGGAGATACGATGGTTCGGACGAAGAGCTCCCCCACGGTCTGGATTCGTCTGGCGGGAAGGTGATACAACAGTTTTGAGATTTGCGCGCTCGTTTCTCCGTGCAATCACTGGGTCGTGATTTCGGCTCACGGAAAATAGTTTCTTTCGATCGATTCACCAGATGAGAATCTCAGCTCTTCGATATTTGATATGGACGTCGAAGATCAGCTGAAAGAGGAAATTCAGACACCACGACTGGTACTCGCTGAAGGGTTGCCAAGGGAGCCGCGGAGGTCCGCACCCACAGTGAGACCATTCCACAGCCGCTTCTTCGTCTAAGGGGCTTGAATCAAACGGATTCTACGGTACTCCTGATATCGATTTTATAACCCAGATGACTGGGAATCGGACGAAGCTGTCACGGACACTGTCCGTCGTGAAAGGCTGCGAAATAACCAACATGGTTGGCGCGCAGCACAACAGCGGATTCGTCGGGGCCTCTTTCACACGTGACATGGACTGGGTGTGGTTGTAGCGGCGGGAAGAGAATGTATGAACTAACTAAAACTATCTGCTGGGGTGGCCGCTTTACTTACATATGTTTCGTAAACGAATGTAGTTTAGCGTAAGCCAGAATCCTTGGCAGAAATCCACATGGGTTGGATTTCTTGATCGACGATTGTCGTATCGGCCGATCGAGTCCAAGATCAAATATGCGCCTCACAAATCCCGGTCCTAGTAGTCTTCTTCAGGCCGCAAATATCTTGAAGAGCCTCCTTACCCAACAGGACCAGTTTCCCACCTGGTTGGAGTCAGTAGAAGGGAGCCTAAAGGGCGAGCGCCAGAACTTGGAGACGATCAACGAATCTCCTCCAAGCTTCAGGTGTCTCTATAGAGGACCTGACCAGACTGAAGGACAGCAAGGACGACCTCCGACGCTTATTTCCCGACTCCAGCAGAGGGCCGATGGCCCTGGGGGCCCGCGAGGATGAGGATCTCTCCAAAGCCATTAAATCATCCTTGACAGACCCGCGGAAGGAACCGAAGAAGGCCGAAAGAATGTGACAGTCGAGAAGTAATCGAGGAGAAAATCCCAGTCAACCTTCACGATCCGAGTAATGCTATGTCCGAGAACCTGGTTCTTCTTTTGAGCAATGAATTCACGCTAATCTCGGACCCGCCCGCGACACGCTGGTGTATTTTGGTGGTCCTCCTCAATTTCAAGGCCAATCCAAGGGCGAGTACGGGTATATTACCGAGCATTTCGACAAGGTCTTTCTCCTCCAGAGCTCCGAGTTCACGACGCTGGATTCCAGTAAATTTGAGAGACTTTTCCGACCTGACGCCTCCATTTAAGAAGTTGTATGCATACTGCAGACCGGGTCAGCAAGCAATAGATCAAATCAAGTACCATGTCGACTTGCGCCCACCGAATGAAGGCGAGGAAGCCGTCGGCTTGATCAATGATCTCAGCTGCACGCATGGAGTGCGCGCGTGGCTGAGAAGCAGATCGTCCAGTCCGCGAAAGACGCGCAACCACTTCCTATGTTAAAACCAACTGTTGTCACTCAAGACTACCTTCATCAATTTTCCACATCACGCAAGACCATCGACTACTTACGGGATAGCGGCCCAGAAGCTTTGCTTTTGACGAAGAGCCTGATCCCGACATGATGGTCGTACACGCCAATTCTTCGAGCGTCGGGAAATTTTGAGAATTAGCGAGAACACATTCTCCATAGTATATACTCAACGTTTCACATTCGGAGTTCGGTAGAGGGGGCCGCGTGGGCGGAAGTTTATATATTAGTTCCTTGGTCGTCTCCGTGAAAGGTAGTCGGATGAACCTGATCAGGGAGCCTTGACTCAGCAACACTACCAAGGAGCCATGTAGTTTTACTAGATAGATCCAGTACTGTTAGAGATGCTATGTGGGTGGTGGGTTGACGGCGGTGAAATGTCCTCCCTGCTGAGTAATAGAGGGTAGCATGGATCATCAGTGAAGGATGATGGGAGGGTGTAGCAATCCTAGTATGATACTTCAATACTTCTCCCCCCTTCTTCTTTCATCAATTGAAAATATGATGGAGACAAAGAGTTGCCTGATTTTGACTTTCGTGCTCGTTGTAGACCGATAGAATAAACCATGAATAACGTGCCTCTGGGTATCCAACCATTCGGAGACCTGTAGCCAAATAAAATTCCAACTTGTAGGAACCTCTAAAATCGCACCCACGCCTGATAATTCAATCCAACCCATATCTAGAATATTCATCAAATGCATACATAGTGGTAAGACATCTCTTTTAGCGCGCCTGAAGAGGACTCAAAAAAAATTTTTTTTTTCCCACCTGTTTATTCCTTCGTTGAATCTCGGCTTTATGCGTTCACCGATCATCAAGATTGCGGACGTTTCCCTCGTCATGACCGTCGCCGGTCCATGTATGACTCCAATAGGTAATGGCATAACTTGGCCAACGATCCGTGGCCAACAACTGCTTACACCGGTCGGCGTCGAAACTCTTCTTTGCGGCCCAACAGATATCACGGACAATTTCACCATCTCTCTCCCATGAGTATGGATAGATGTAGCTGAAATGAAGAACCTCAATGGAATGGCCTAGACCTTTTCGAGGCGTGAATTGTTTAGCAGTGGGGTTTTTTGCGACATGCTTGTCGATCTTCTCTCCTTCGTATCTGCTCTCTGGTTCTTGATATATTTTGATCATGTCGTACAGCCTTCCAGGGCCGGTGACCGACTCGGGGGATTGACCTTCTGCGGACCCATCCGCAAGACTCCTCATGACGGATTCGAGGACAACAAGGAAAAAAGGGTGTCCGGGAGTGGAGGCCATCCAAGCATTGGGAATGGAATTTGAAGATCCCGTGTCCACTCCCATTCTTCCAAAGAAAGCCTTTCGACCGCTCTTTTGCATGTGGGGTTGGGATTGATGTCGGGGTTTGGCATGGGAAATCGTGGACACGTTGAATTTGGTGAACATCTCGTCAGAAGGTCGTAGGCATTCGACATCCAAATCGGCGTAGACCCTGCAGCAAAGCTTGTCCTTAGTCATGAACGTCCCCATTCAGGAACACGCGCCATATCTTACCCTCCAAACATGTACAGGTATAAATTCCGCACCAAATCCACTCGGTAGATAACACTGGGAAGACTTTGATATGTCTTCAACAGCCAGGGGAAATGTGTCTTGACCAACAAATCATTATCTTCATCTGTCCATAATACCCACTCCCAGTCAGGGTGCTGCTGTCTGCAAGTGGTACTCCAACGTTCAAATTTGGCGGGGAGCTCCGTCGATGACCAACTCTGGTGAATCAATTTGGGTATTGTTTGAAGGTCTTTCGATATGGGTCTTTTCATTAATTCAGCAGGCGTCAGGTATTTTGCTTTTCGCGAGGTTGTCACTGGTCCGTAGTTTTGGCCGGTCATGTATAGAGTAGCCAGGGCAGCAATCACCAGGAAAGCCACCCATCGCAATGACTTTCGAGAGCCATAAAACTGTTGTAGAGGGTTATTGTTTCGAGGTGAGGGATTCGACTCCATGATCAGGGGAGACGCGCGGAGAGGGAGGAAGCCGGGATCCGGAGGACAATTCGTGGCTTGTCTATCGCAGGGAGGAGGGAGATGGAGATGGCGGAAGACTGCCGCCAGAATTCAGTAACATCTAGACCCTAGAGGAGGAAAATTGAGAATACGGCCGGAGGAGGGAATTTGTAGATAGTAGGTGGATGCAGGTTGGAACCAGAACCCAGGGCAGAATGGCAAGAATATGGGGGCTTGATAAAACTGGCAAATTGAGGATCAAATTCCTCCTTAAGTTGGACAAGCTCAGGGGCTAAAGACATTGGGGCTTCTCGTTGCAGTTGATAGTGCATGACCAGGTTCAAAATGGTATCTGAGCACCAGATGTGGCTTCTGCTGGTTTTCTTTCTCAAATTGATTCATGCGGAGGGACTTGGCTGGTCGACAATATTTCTTATTCCAATGGCTTATCACCGAGAATTGTGCGTCTAAAGCTGTTCCTGCGTCTTTCATCCCCTTAATCCTGGTGTCACTATCGTTAGCCTTCCGCCGAGGCGAATCAAAGGAGAAGCGAGCCATTCAGAGGAGGGGGACCTTTTCTCTTTTGGTATGGGGAATCAAGCCAAAAAGACTGGGTCATTCATTTCCTATCGATAGATTTGATCACTCTTGCAACGCGTCTGCTGCGCGTCTCCAGTTTCTCGGCCGGATTTTTTGTGCTATGGACTTTGGTGCACTCATGGAGTTGTCTCCATTTCGTCGTTTGATAGCTAGCATCATCACAATGAAAATGTTTCATTGCTCGTGTAGACACAATCGAATTCAGCGGATAGAAGAGAATGAATCGCTCCATGGGTATCATCCAAACTATCGAAGCATCTCATCTCCTACATCAAAAGGCATCAATTCCACACCCACACATTTCATTCATGCCACAACAAATTCATTTCCAGTACATCCAGAGCCCAAACATCTTTAGAACTTGCGTGAGACCCATATTTGCCGCGGATATTCAGCTCCGGCAGATGAGGCCAGCGGCAGCGTCCCTACCCTGAATTCCTGAGACCGGGATTATCCGACTTTATGTCTCCTTCCCTCAGCCCGATCGAAGCGGATCTGCTGTAGTTCGTGTCAATTCCTGCAAAATTGAATCGGTTGCTGGGCAAAGGCGGGGGACCCAACCCAACCCGGACGAGATTTTTCTCCGTGGTGGGTGAACTGCTGGAATCGTTCGTTCCCAGCGCTGAATGGGGACAGTCTTCCTCAAAGGCTGTCCGAGTCCTGTCACGGTACCTGGCAGTGGTTGAGGTCCTTCCTTCATTCAGGCACATTTTTCAGAGCTCACAACTTCAGCGTGACCAACAGCTCGACCAATATCTTTGATATCCATCTGTGCTAGTGTCACGTCCGGGTTCTGGCTATCGATGACGAGTTTTCCTCCCGGCAGATTTTTCCATGTTGAGTCGAGTCGAATAGACTAGACGCATTGAGCTGGCCGGTTCAATGGTTCTCTCTGGGCTATCATACCCAATATCGCTCCCTTTACGGGAAATGGCCTTATTGGCCGGGAGACTCCAACCAGTTGAGGAAACATTGGCACACCAGTAAAATCGTAGGCTTTGTCCTTGCAGAGATTGGCCAATCACCAGTCAATGGGGTTGTTGTAGGGTCTCATACTCATATGATAAAGTGCCTTTCTTGATCCTTTGTCGAGATGGCGTACGTCGCTGTATGGAAGATTATTTGTGTTTGGTTGTTGCCGTTAGGACCCCCTTCCCAAAAAGACATATCAGGAACGTCCACATTCTGGCCGTCTTGGGGTGGTTCAACCGTGGGATTCTCAGGGACAACGAAGAATCGGCGGTCGTCTTCAGGATAGAACCCAGCTGCCGCAATGACCGAGCCAGTGGAGATCCCAATCATCACCATAAGGAGTATCAGGAGTTTCGTATTCCGGAGTCTTCAGGATGGACCTTGACCCTCGAGTAAATTGGACCCATTGTTGTTTAAAGGAGACATCCCAATCCACATCGTTCTCGAAAATGAGGGCCGTTGAGACCTTGTCGTGGACGATCTTCTGAACCACATTGAGATGAGCGCGCCAACAACCAATGCATTGGGGCTCTGGTCCATGAGCTATGGCAGGCTTTCTCGGGGACGTGGTGGCCATCAATTCCATCCGTTTGGATGTATGCGACTTCCGAAAGGGCAGCCTGCATAGCAAAGGCATCTCTCCAGTCGGTGCGCGAAGACCAGGAAATCATATATATACCTCTTGGAATCCCAGGGACTCATTTTGAACCAGGAAGAGGGACGGATCCCTGTGGTGAGAAAGAAAGTGGCCTACGCCCCTTTCGAGTCATATCGAAGCCATCAAAGGATGATTATCAATGGTGCAAAAGCTGAGGGAGGGAGTTAGCACTGGCGCAGGAATGTTCTAGGCTTTTGGGTTCTCCTTCCAATCCGGTACCATGTCGTCGGTAAGTCACCCTCTCGCAGAACGAATCGTTGGAGCAATTCGTCCGTCATGTCGGTCAGGTATCCGAATTGGCTAATCTAGCCGTATTATTCGGCCATGGCCTTGGTTTCCAAGTCTCGACACAATGTTAAACGTGCACTCGCAGCGACACGATTTTCTCCAAGAGGTGTATCACAGTGCTCCATATTCCATAGGCCCACAAAATACGATTCAGCTCCCGGTCAAGTCCGTCCCGGTCCATCGTCAATTCTCCTTTCTTGTCCCCAATGGAGTATTGCATGCTGACGACATCCGGTGAGACTTCCAAGCAAAACCCTCAGCAAATCATGAGACAGATACGTAAATCTGGGGATGCAATAGCCCCTCGGCCGTTAATCAGGGGCTGATCCAAGCAGCTTTCACCAAACAGAATTCGACTTACAGGCGGTGCTTAACTAAACCAAGCCTAGCCTTAAGCAGGTAGGCGGATCAGCCCGGCGCCAAGGGAGTCTAGGCAACCTGAGAATTGCTTAACCACTCCGTAATCCGACGCTACTTTCACCACTCTCTGATCAATCTTCTTGTTCTCCCCCTCAATTCTCCTGCATTTGATCGGCTCCTTGTTTCAGGAGAATGCCATCTACGATCTTCCATGCTCACTTTTCCTTCTTTTACGGCCTCACCATTGCCTAGGCCCCCGTATTCACCATTGACCAGGATAGTTTTCTAGCTGAAACACCAACAATCCTTCACACCTGGGCCCCCTCGCCATGCCCAATTGTCCTTCGTCCTCAACATCAAACATTTCCATTGAATCTGGATAGCGCCATTTGGCCCCAGAAAAAACATCCTTAGACTCGCAGCCCACTAAATGAACTTGTCCAAGCGTAAGCAGCATGCTGAGACCAGGGTACCGCGTACAAGACCCTGAAGCATGCGTTGTCCACCCCCTTCACCATGTTTTGTTATTTTTTTATTTTTTTTTATTTTTTTTCTTCCTTATATCTTTTTTGGTCCCTGTCGATCCTCAACCTCGCCGTCCTCATGATTCAGTGTTCGATATTATTCTCCTAATCTTCTTCAGGTGTTGACCACCGTCACATTTGACTCATATTTGCTTCCTCACGCCAGATCGCTCACTGCCCACCTTCTCTTGGTCATCACTCAATTCCACCACCGCGGCTTTCCCATATGGAAGAACAAAAGAACAATCTCAGACTTAATGTCACCGACTTTGCCTCCTCTCATGGCTCGACCGGCTCCAACCCCCATGCCGTCCCTTCTCCAAGCCGAAATGCTCCATTCAAACCCGTCGCACTGCGAGCACCTACTCATACCTCCATCGACCTCGACGACTACTTCGTGGGCCCTCGAGACATGAATCATCATTCCAAATGGCCATATTTCCTTCGTCTACACGGCAGTGTCCTCCCGAAGATGATCCTACCCCTCGGCTTTGTCGCCGTATGGGCTACCGCCATTACCTGCATATCCAAATTTGTATATGATTTGGGCATTGATTCGGTTCTCTTGACCATCACCGGTTTCGTGGTCGGTTTGGCTCTGTCATTCCGGTCCTCGACGGCATATGAACGATACACTGAAGGTCGAAAATACTGGGCACAGCTGATTGTCACATCGCGAAACTTGGCCAGACTGATCTGGGTCCATACCGAAGAACGACATCATGTGAGCGAAGAACGAGGGAAAGCCGACCTTTTGGCCAAACTCACCGCACTAAATCTGGTCAATGCATTTGCTGTCGCATTGAAACACCATCTTCGATTCGAACCATCGGTGGACTACCCCGATCTTCACCCGTTGATTGCAAATATTCGCACTCTGGCCAGTGAAGCAGACCAGGAAAAGCTGAAGCAGAAAAAGCCTTCGGCCTGGAAAGCGGCAGGCGAATATCTCGGCGTCACATTTGCACAGTCAAACCCCAGAAAATTGGTGAAACGCTCTCGCGAGAACCTCGGAAACATCCCTCTTGAGATCCTCACATATCTGTCTGCGTACTTGGACGAAGTCATTAATAACGATCAACTGAAAATCCCCATTCACCAAGCCAACGCGGCGAACAGCATTACAGCCCTGGCCGACATCCTGACCAATGTCGAACGAGTGCTCAACACTCCAGTGCCCATTGCCTACTCGATTTCCATCTCGCAAATCACCTGGGTCTACATCTTGGTCCTGCCTTTCCAACTCCACAAGGTGCTCGGTTGGGTGACCATCTTTGGAACCGTTTTGGCCGCCTACATTATCCTGGGACTTGCCGCCATTGGGTATGAGATCGAGAACCCATTTGGCAACGATGTCAATGATCTCCCTCTCGACGAATACTGTCGCGAACTTGCGAGTGACATTGATGTCTTGACGAGTATGCCTGTCCCCAGAACGGAGAACTTCGTCTCGGCTGCCGAGAATAAAGTTCTCTTCCCGTTGAGCATGAGCGATTATGAGAGCTGGAATGCCCGATCCCTGGCTGAGATCCGACATGCCCTAAAAGCCAAAGCCACCACGGCAGCGACATCGGTGGATCTTGATCGTGCAATCGCCCAGTCGGAGATCCAACCCAAAAATGTCGAAGCCCCGCCGGCTCAGGAGAACAAGAATCGACCGGAGGGTGACGTCGTTTAAGCGCTTTGAAGTTGATATCCTGAATCCCACTCAGTTTGCGGGCTTTTGGTGGGGAGGGGAACTTGGTTTTTGTTCTTTGCTGCATATTAGCGAGAGAAAGGAGTTCAGGACATTGTACGATACCGTTTACTTCCACCAATGTAACCCTGCCCCGCCAGGCAATATCCCAGGATGAATATGGAATATGTGATATTCGATATTTGATGTTCGATCTATGATATGGCATTTATTCACGCATCCGCACTCTTCCCCCCCAGTTCCCTCTCCATCTCTCCCTTCTCCGCCATCTCATTCAACACCTTTTCCGCGACCTTCATCGCATCCACGCCAGCCGGCACCCCACAATACGTCGTCGCGTGCAAAATCGCCTCTCTTATCTCCGTCTCCGACAAACCATTCCGCCGGGCCCCTCTTACATGCACCGCCAGTTCTGGCGCCCGGTTCAACGCCATCAACATGCCGATATTCAGCAGGGAGCGGTCGCGGCGCGCCAGACCGGGCCGCGTCCACGCATACCCCCAGCACCATTCGGTTACCAGTTCTTGGCCGGGCCGTGAGAACTCGGTCGAGCCGTTGGCCAGTGCGCGGTCGACGTACGAATCGCCTACCACGGCGCGGCGGACGGCCAGGCCGGCATTGAAAAGGGCGTGGTGGAAAGGTTGTAGGGATGGGTCGGTGGAGGAGGTCGGTGCCGAAGTGTTGTTGTCGGTGGACATGATGGAAGAGCAAGTGAGTCCGGCGTCGAAGCTGCAGATGGCCTGTTCTCTGTTTTCGGTTCTTGTTTCGTTCGATGTTTCAGGGACAGCACAATGTCTAGGATGGAGATTGGTCGCCGATAGTCGTCATTCAGTGCGGGTCAGAACAGCGTGACACTTAGAGCAGGAAGAGGCTTCAAAGAATTTCTTGATGAAGAAGCTACAGATTTCCAAACTCCCTCTCCGACGAAATATATTTATTTGTCTACCCCTCGAACCCCCTCCACCAGCCAGACATTCTCGTCATGTTTTCGCTCCGCAATTCGGAGAGCGAGCAGGCCCCCCGTGTGTGATTTTTCTTGTTCTTGTTGCTCCGCATCTTTTATATGAGGTTCTCCAACTTCGGTTGATATTATTTCTCCAATTTTGTGGGACCACGATCATGATAGGCGTGGAGTGTGGGCAGGCATGTCACCAGGCCATCGTTTTTACCATCGGGACCATCTTGAGGGGCGTTGAGATAGGTTTTGAACGATCACAAGGCTGTCCATTCGTGCCTGGAAAGGTGCTCCCGGTGCTCGGTGTTGAATGTTCTATTGGGAATTATATCAGATTCTGTCAGCTTACTGGCCGTTCGCCTCGTCCACGTCCTTCTGCCAATCCTCATTCCCTCCCAGATACCTGTACACGACTCTGGAGTCTAAATCCCTACATCGAGGATCTTTACTCGCACCGTCATACGTCTGTAATCCCACCTCGCCCATCACATTGTTCGCCCCCACGCGTTTTGCCATTTCTAATGCCAAAGAGAAATCCTTGCGCATCAATTGCACTTTGAAGCCGTTGGTGTAGCCTTTCGAAGACGGTGCCTCAGGGTACACACCCGGCACGGGACAGAATCTGTCACAGATGGCGTTCTGCGCTGTGCCGGCCGCGTAGACTTTGGCCAGGACTCGAGGATCTAGCCCCGATCTCATGCCCATATCCATGGCTTCCGCTACCGCGATGGTGATTATCCCGGATAAGTAATTGTTGGACAGCTTCGCCGCCAAACCCTTTGACGGTCCACCACATGGAATAACATCTTTTCCCATCAGTCCCAATAGCTGGGTGACATGAGGAAGATTTGCATCACTCCCGTCACAGCCGAGGAAGAAAGCTATCGTGCCTTTCTGGGCCCCTACTACACCCCCGCTCACGGGGGCGTCGTAAAAGGATGCCGTGGGGAATTTCTGGTGGATGTAATCCTTGACCGTAAGACTGCTGGCGGTGTCGATAGTTGAACAGTCAATGAGTAGTTTGCCGGAAACGTCGCTGGAGCAGAGAGCGTCAGATCCCCCTTCCATGTATACCGATCGTACATGTTTCCCTTCCGGGAGCATGGTCAGGACAATTTCCTGTCAGCCTCGTCAGCAAATGTATCCTTCTTGAACGCGGCTGAGGAATCATTACTGATTGGTCGGCCACATCCTTTGCGCTGGAACATCTGACCACCCTATTTGGGTATTCGCTGCGTAGACGCTCCACACTGGACGGGTTGATGTCAAAGACATAGACGGTGATGTTTTCCGGGAGCTTTGCAGCAAGGTGGCCGGCCATGGGTAGTCCCATGGCCCCCAATCCCACGAACCCAAGCCCTGAGATCTTTGATAGATCCATTTCTAATAGTGCCAACGTGCAATGTGGAGTGATCTTCCCAAAATCTCGGTAGAATGTTATAGACGCATGGAGTCAGAGATCTCTGGTCCTTTTCTCGTGCTGCAGCGATTAGTCGAAGCGAAGCTGGACTGGCGCCATACATAGAAATCTAGCAGAGTGAGATGCACGGTAATTCAGATACCTATATCCCGTATCTGAACTCGAAGTTGGTTCCGTACCGAGTTCACAGATACCCATCGACTTGAGGAATCAATCCCAAGAGGTAGGATTGGGGTAAAATGGCGAACTGCCCAGAAAGGGCCATTTCCGAAGGGTTGGAGAAGGACAAGGAAGACTCTTTCCGATCATGCCTTTACCATATCGCCCAGGCCGAAACCTGTCCCTCTTTGAGCTGGGACGAACGGCCATGTTGAAGGAGACATTTATAGTCCCAATATCGGAGCATTTTCCTATTGATCGAGTGGCTCGTGTCTGTACAACGCCACCCATACCTTATGCCGTCGGTCTTTTCAGCTAAAGGATGACTAACCCAGGGAGCATAAGGCGAAACTAAACACGAAGCTGAAGGGCGAAACGAGCTATCATTTCACCACGAGGATCTGTTTCTGTGTCACATTTGAGCGGCTTCTAAAAACAAACCGATGAATAGGCGCTCCCAGAGCAAGGTTCAAGCGAATGCCCAAACTCGGAGAGTGTAACCGTTCATTTCGCTCACCACTCCGAGTTTCTTTCGTTCTTTTACAGGAAAGCTGACAGCCTCCATAAAATCTTCCCCAGGTACATATTCTGTAAGCCGATACTCGCCATCAGCAAATCATGACGTTTTCATTTTTCATCTCTCCCATCAGTGCCATCACCCACTTTTGCCAAAGATATTTCCTTGCCCTTTTGTATATTAGCGAACTCTTCCTTGTCATTTCCATGTCGCCGCCATCGGTATTTTGTTTGGCCACTCACCATGCGATTGGCCCTCACCTCGGACCACCTTAGGTAAGAAATCTGTCATTGCCGGAGTCCGTAGTCCACGTAATCCATTTGCGGGTTTATGGAACCTCGTGTTTATGGAAATACGGCAGGATTATCGTGTCATGCGACTAAGAACCTCATTCTTACTTCTATGCCTTTGAAACGATCGACATGGGAGGGATTTCAGACCCTGCGCCAACAGGCTTTTTTTGTTCTTGATTACGCAGTACCGTCCAGATCGGGCCAATGAGGCCGCTATGAAAGCCTCGTCTTACCGCGCTCTAACAAGGAAATGGTCTGGGTCCAAGGGTGGTGAAGCCCGAGCCATTAATCTCCCCGCTCAGAAAGCAATCCCAGGATATGCGCCACCGCAGGGTATCCGGTACGAACGACGAAATGCTGACTTCTAATGGGACCTGGAATCCTGGGCTTGTTCAGCCTAGACCTTTGTGTCGTATTGTATCCCTTTCCTATTTGGTTTTAATCTCTAGGTTTCGGGTATTAGACGATCCCGACCACCCACCAGTGTCACCCGGACGTCCCACGGTGGTGAGAGACGAAAGGCCACACTACCTTGATCGGCCCAATGAATAGGCGAACCTAAAGTGTTCAAGTGTGGACAAGCGTTGCATCACCAATTATAGCTGAATTCCTTGTTCAGGCGCTCCCTTGTCTGATTGTTCTGTTGTCGAATCGTTTTCAATTTCCCGCTTGACCATCAGCGTCAATATATGTGGATAATGTATCAGGTAAGGCGGGCGCCGGTAAGTGATCCTCATAAGAAGTAGAGCCAGGCGTGGTGAGATGTAAAATTCCACTCGTCGCCCTCATGGTGGATTGCTTTCTCGCCTTTCTCCTCCTGAATCAAACGTTGAACCGCGCGGGCAAAACATGGCCGTGTTGTCAGTAGTGACACTTCTCCCTGCTCTGGGAACAGGGACTGTTCTCTACGTGAGTACCTGTTGCATCATTTTGATACGAAGATTCTTCTCACGCTTTTACGCAGTTTTTCGCACTCGCGATCTACCGAATCTTTTTCCATCCTTTGGCCAAATATCCAGGACCTCTTCTCTGGAAAGTGACACAATGGCCTGAAGCCAAATCAGCCTGGCAAGGAAGAAGACACATTGATCTTCATCTTCTACACGAAAAATATGGTGTGATTAATTTGATCGACGGAGTCGTTCAACGTATGCTGACAGCAATTTCCTACAGGCGACATCGTTCGATTCGCGCCCAACAAACTCTCCTTCCGAACAGCAGGCGCTGTACGTGACGTGTACACAGACCGAAAAGCCAACATGGTGAAAACAGGCTGGACGGCTGCTGGCCTGAGAATCAACCCCGGTATCACCACTCACGTGCTTGCCGACCGTCAACTCCATGCGGCCCGGAGGAGATTACTCAACAATGCTTTCTCAGAGGGTGCCCTGAAGAACCTGGAGACGTATGTCCTCGAGAATATTCGAATCTGGTGCAATCAGTTGGCAGAATCAAAGGATGGGGCTGAGAAGTCTGGATGGGGCAAAGAACGAGACATGAGCCTCTGGTCGACGCTCTTGACGGTCGACGTCTTGGGAGAACTTTGTTTCGGTGCCAGCTTCGGTGCTATGAAAGCCGGCTATAGCTATATCATGGAGCTGCTCCTGTCAAGCGCCAGGTTCCAAACCATGGTGAGTATATATACAGATATATCATCACGTGGCTCCGCTTTGCATTAACCGATCGAAATTCATAGGTGGCCTTCCTCCCCATCCGCGAATTCGTTTTTCCTTTGATGAAACCTCAAATCCTTATGGCCATAGGAAACAAGAAAGTGAAGCAAAAGGTCATGTTTCGACGAGACGTGGGCAAGTTGGTCGAGAAACGATTCGCGCTCGAAAAAGCCAACGCCGAGAAGCCGGACAGTGAGAAACGCAAGGATTTCTTCCATTACCTTCTCCATGCCACGGACCCGCAGACCGGCGACAAGTTTCTTCCCAAGGACCTCGTGGGAGAAGCGGCCCTCCTCGTGGGTGCGGGTGCCGATACCTCATCGACCGCCATGTCCGCGTGCTTTTTCTATTTGATGCGGCATCCCCGTGCGCTGAAGAAGTTGCAGGATGAAGTCCGCTCGGCCTTTTCCGACGTCGAAGAAATCCGATATGGCGCCAAATTGAACAACCTCCCCTACCTACGCGCCTGCATCGACGAGGCCATGCGCATGTCGCCGCCCGTTCCCGGCTTGCTCGATCGCGAATTGTTACCGGGCGGCGCCGTGATCGACGGCATCCAGGTACCCTACGGTACTATCGTCGGTGTGTCTTGCTACGCCCTGCACCACTCAGAGACATACTTTCCGCGCTCCTTCGAATTCATTCCCGAACGCTGGATTGCCGGGTCCGACAAATCCGACGCAAACGGTCTCACCGTGACACCTGCCAGCGTCGAAATCGCGAAGTCGGCTTTCCACCCCTTCTCCTCCGGCCCGCGCGGCTGTGTGGGCAAGAACATGGCATACATGGAGCTGCTGATCGCCATCGGACGGGCCGTGTACTTGTTCGATATGCGTTTGAAGGACGGGGATGACAGGGGCGCAGGACGAAGTGGGTGGGAAGATGGACGTGAGAATCCCGACGAGTATCAGTTGCATGATTGGTTGATTTCGAGTCGTGATGGGCCGGTGTTGGAGTTCAAGCCCAGAGAGGAGCGGGAGGTATTGGCGAATTGAATGAAAGACTCGTGCGAAGAATTGGTGCGAGAGTGAGCGGTTGAATTTGAAGTATTTTGAGTGAGCGAACTTGTCTTCCCTTTGTCTTTTGGGTGGTTGATATTCTACCGAGCCTCAAGATGTGCCCAGAAAGCCTCGACTCATCGTACCAAGTCTCAGTTCATGCGACAGGGCCGCGGTCATTACGAAGAGCCTCAGGTTTAGTGGTGTCAATAACAATGGCGGGTTACGTATCGCTATGGTATGATAATCACACGAACCTTCAACTCATCGCCCTATTTGGGAATTTTATAGCAGACTTCGGTCATAGCCGACCCATGCCATACTCTCGTCAATCGTATTGCTGGTGGTAATGGGAGACTTATCACGCTGACTGTGAACCTGAATGGCAGAACGTGAGATGTAGATAGTATAGCCCACCAATACATGTCCTATTGGCTTTTGCTCTCCACCGGCCCTTCTCCGTCCTTGTCCTAAAGGGTCCGCTTGAAGTCTGCTCTCTCGCTCTCTCAACGGTCGTGAAGGATCCTTCTCGTATTGTTATTTTGATTCTGATCTTCACTCTAATTATGGTGAATATACTATGGACCTGATGATTAGGGGTTCGCGTTCATCTGCATTTTGCTCTTCTCCGTCAATAATGCCCAGTTCAAGCCAGCTGAGCTGCACACATTCCGTCGTGATGTATATGTCGTGTTACTCAACCCTTGGAATGTCCTTGTCGTCGACATCTTTAATCCACTTCATGAAAGAACCGACATCCTTGACCACCGCACCAGGAATGCCCAGTTTCTGCATGCACATGGGCAAATTCCCCTTTGCATCGCTGGCGGTTGCCATGATCCATTCGACTTCTCCCTTCGCGAGGTCCCTCCTCACTGTCTCCACGGCCGCGTACACGCCCATGACGACTTGCTTGCGTTGCTGTGCGTCTTTTCCCTCTTTCACATTCCGCCCATTACTGTAGAACGCGGCGGGGACGTTCATGCCGAGTGTCACGGGTATCGTGACGACTATGAACGCGTTCTCGTCCATGCTGGCCGTGACGACCAAGACCGGAAAACACCGCCGACTCAGCGGGGCCGGAAGGGCATGGCACATCTCCCAAACGCCCATCGTACAACCGGTATATGCAGTGCGTGACTTTCCCACCAGTTTTCCCTGTAATTCCAAATCACGGACGGAGTCGTTCCAATTCACCACATTCAGTGCGTCGAATAGTGTCGGCGTGAACTCGGATTCGTGCTTACTGTGCTCATCACGCAGGCCGTAGATGAATTCCGCCCAGCTCGCGTTCCCGGGCTGCTGACCACTCTTGCTCGAGATGTCCTTGTGGATGCTCTTGCGGGCGACCCAATACTCTGCGCCCAGAGAGCGGGGTTTGCTCCTTGACACCCCCCTGGTGCCGTCGTGGCCTTGGCTGGTGTCTGACCATGGAATCTGGGCGATCGAGGACGCCGGGATCGAGTGGGTAAGGACTTCTACGTGAGCGGCTGATGGAGGGGATGATTTTCTTGAGTGATGTTTGAAAGAGCGAGACAAAGTAGATGGATCGAGAAATGAAGCTCCGTCGTCGAGGATGGCCGTGATAAAGGCAGCGAGGTCAGGTCGCTGGCTTGGTGAATCTGAGTCTAACATTGGCAGATCCGGATGTGCCGGAAGGTCTCCGATTTGTAGGGGAGCAAGACGGACGAGGTTGCTTGGTATACTTTGTTCTTGGGCCATAGTGGCAACTTTGGATTCCGACTTTTTGGATGGATTGCACAGGCGGCCAGCGGTGATTCTCAACGCTCTCGTGTACAGAATATCACATGGCGGCGGGTTTTCTGCTCTGCGAGTGTTTCACCTTTGTTCGAAGCCCATCATCATCAAACAATATGACTCGGATGTCACGCCAAGACCTATCACAACGAGTCAGGCCAGGCTGATGTACGAAATACTCGTACTCACACTAGGCGACGGAATGGATACCATCGTTTCAATACACTACTACCCAGAGTATCATCTCCTGTACTTATTACACCCAGTCGGCGCATCAGAGTCTTCCTTACCCTGTATGAATATACATAGACCCACGTCATGAAGATCGTTCCAGATCATATCATGCCTTTCTCGGACTCGACGGTTCATCTGCCGCTTCAACTCTTACCAGGATTTCTTCCAAAAACCCTTCCAAGAATTCAGTGACTCCTCCACCCATGCCAACTGGGCATTCTTCATCACATTTCTGGATCTCATGAAACACTCCGGCTGCTTTTGCTGCTAATCGTCTGACCTTCTCGTGAGTCTGGACTCTCTGTTGTTGTATTTCTGCCGCAGTTGACGGACTCAATTTACTTGTTCGTGCAAGTTCCTTCAACATATATGTCCGACGATGCATGGCAGCCTCGAGAGCTGGGATCAGCACCGAGTCCAAAGCAGTAAGATCTTGGTTGGGATCCTGATTTGTGGGGTTGGTGGTACTGCTCGGAGTCGCCGGAGTTGAAGATAGTTGTTGATTGGTTGGATTTATCAATGGTGGTAGAGGCTGCTGGGTGGTCCTGGCCGCGGTAGCCGATGCTGGTGGAATTGATGGAAGATCTTTCGGGGAAAATGACGGGAGAGGCTGCTGGCCCGCGGGTTTGGAGGGCGCTGACGCTTGACCTTTCTGCAGGGGCTGACCTCTTCCTGGATTTCCTCGAAAGGGGGGAATTTCTGGAATGATCATTTGGGGTTTCTTCCCCGGAGGGGTTTTTCCCGTTGACGACCGAGGTTTAGGACTGTCACCATCAATCTTTAAAAACCCCATCTCCTTTGCCAGTTGAGCTTGAAATGCTTTGTTATACTCGTTGGATTCGGGGCTATCCGTGTGTAGCTGAGACATGGAGACTTTGGCTGCCACTGGGCCGACTGGTGTTTTCGGAGGGACTGTTTCTGGTCCTGTCCGGGAGGAAGGCCTGGATGGACCGGCCGCTTCGGCCGGCGCTGCGACATTCGCTTTCGTGGGAGATGGTGGTAATGCTACTTTTGCCGGAGTTGGGAATGCAGATCTTACTGGGGACTTTTGAGGGGAGGATGGGACTTTCGCAGTCTGATCCCACTCCGGCTTGCTTTTCACAAGAGCCGGATCGGCTGATGCTCTTGCATTCGTCGCAGAGTCGTTCATTGGACGGAGTCCAGCTCCACGACCTCCTACGGGTCTCACGGTACCAAAATCCCAAAGATCTTCAGTCTCGGGGTCATGAGGAGCTGGTCGGGCAGGTTCTTGCTCTTCCTCCCCATCCTCCTCCTGATCGGATGATCGATTGCCGTGAGTGGCCATATATCTCTCATTCCTCTCAATCAATTCCGTCAGATATGTCGTCTTCTTCGCCTTGCGCACAAAAGGATGTTTTAACAATTCCTTTGCTGACGGTCGTTCTCGTGGATCTCTTCTCAGACAAAGTTCAACAAAATCCTTGAAGGGACGAGAGAAGTTTCCCTGGAGAGTCGGGGGTGGGTTTTTTGGAATGAGGAAAAGGACCTTCATTGGATGAATGTCGGCGTAAGGAGGTTCTCCTTTGGCAAGTTCGATAGCCGTGATTCCGAGAGACCAGATGTCGGCTTTGTGATCATAACCGGATTGTTTGATGACTTCGGGTGCCATCCAGAAGGGTGTACCCACGAACGTGTTCTTCTTTGTCATGGTCGCTGATAATTGTCCCGACACACCAAAGTCGGCCAATTTGACCTGTCCATTTTGTCCCAGAAGAACATTCGCCGCTTTGATGTCACGATGGAGCTTCTTGTCTCCATGGAGATAGTCCAGACCCATGAGAAGTTCTCGAATAATGATGCAGATATAATCTTCATGAATGAGGCCCGGTCTCATGAGGTCGGCGCAACTCCCCCCGGAGCAAAACTCCATGATAATCCATAGATCGGATCCTTTTAAGTATGACCCATGGTATTTGGTGACATAGGAAGACTGCAATTCCGAAAGAATTGATATTTCCTGTATGATATCTTCAACCTCGTCTTCCGCATTTTCCACATCAATGACCTTGATGGCCACTGCTTGCCCCGTGCGCTTGTCGACTCCTTTGTACACTTTTCCGAAGCTTCCACCGCCAATGCAGTTTTGCTTGGTGTAAAGTTCCTCGGGATCCATGGCTCTTTAAGGCCGGTCATACACAGGGAGGAATCCGATGGGGAGATAGAGTTTCGTTTTGACGCTCGCGGCGCGATCAAATTCCTACCTCAATCGCTTGGGATGGACGGGTGAAAGGAACAGACGCATGTGACAGTTTGGTTCTATCAAAGAATTTGTATCGGTGGACCAGGAGCAGCAACTGCATTCAAAAACACGCGGAAATCCTGCCGGTGTCAAGTTGCATCAATGCACACTTGTCAATGCCTCAGCGCATTGGGCTCGTCCTGCCACAGGAATTCTTAAAGGCGGGGATTGTCCTCGTCAAAAAAGGGGGTCGTAAAATCGTGGTTCATGTCAGGTCGTCTCACGTACGCGTAGATGGTGTTCATGCGATTGATGTTAAAATGTCATGGACAATAAGCGCAAGGTGGGTTGCTGTGAAGATGAAACAAAATATTACCCTTGCTGTTTATTTTCTTCCCGCTTAGGGCGCGCATCCTGTCTCTTGCACTCCGATAGGTCAACATGTCGCCGCCAATCTGGGGAACTCTTTTCAAGCTTTTTTGTCATTGTTTTGTGTAGTCCACGTACAACTCGTGTACACTGGTGGACTACGTCCATGGTGCATAGGCAACAGCCAGGTGGTATCTCTAGGCAGCTATTTTGAAACACCTTGCAATGCATCCCTGCCAATGAAAAGCCCCCTCCGCCAGGGCATTACTCCACGAATTCCACCATCACCGTTCCGTTCTTCAATCCTGCGCTCTCAATCGAATCCTGTCGAGCATCCATAAGATTCTTGCCCATAGAAACCAACTCAAAATCCATCCCCTCCTTGCCTTCAAGTGGTTCAGCCTTGAGGTATTCGTAAATTCGCTGCACGGGGTCATCTTGAGCAAAACGTCGAACAATTCTTCCGCCTGGATGTCGAATTTGGATTCTTGTCACACCGGGTCCGGCCGCTGGTTCGACGTGAGGACGATTCGAGGGAATTTGTGAAAATGCGCTTGACTCCGCGGTTGTATTTCGTCCATTCTCCTCAACATCCATGACATTGTCGATGGTTGGGCCTTCTGCTTCTCGCAAGTCGCCTATACTTCGCGTGAGATCATCAGGATCTTCAGCTGGCGGCGGGTTTTCTTGACTCTGTGATGCCAGACTGGCCTGCAACGCCCTCTCCAACATCTCTTCTTCAGTAAGCTGATCCACCGGTTTCACTTTTTTGGCTTCGGATTTTCGTTTGGCCACGGGGTTTCGTGCATTGTTGTCCAGACTATATCGATCCAAGAATTCGTGTAGTTGCATCAAAAATTCTGCAGCTGACGGCACTTTTCGAGACCAAAGTTTGATTTGTTCACCCGTCCGTGGATCGACAATGGCAACATGAGGGTATTCGTTCGGGTTGTCGTGGGCTGGGAAATAGTACTGGATGTATTGCATCGCTCTCGGATCGTTTTTGTTGTACTGGAGAAAGACAAAGTTTTCCTTGACTGTTTCCACGATGCCCTCGTTTTTCCAGAGATCACGATTGAGAGCCTGGCAATCAAATATCGACGGATCCTGAATGTCGACCAGCAACCACTTCTTGGAGTCCTTTCCGGCCTCTCTTGCGCCTTCCCATTCTCCCTTGAACATCAAATCCCATGGAGGTTGGAATAGCCTGGCAAGCCGATTTGATCTGGACGAAGCCTCGGATGCCCCACCTGTCGACTCTGCAAGTACATCTCGGTTGGGCTCATCGTCCGTGTCCATGTCCCAGATGCTAGATTGAGGTTGGTATTGGTTGAAGATTCCAGCGCGCTCTGCCAAAAGATTAGCCATGTACCTTGTAAATTGATGGATATGCTGACGTTGCATGCGCCTTCTTTCAAATGCTTGTATCCGGTCTTGAATGGCATCATAACCAGAGCCAGACATCGGCATCGGTTCTGCTCCAGGCCCGACCAAGGTCTCTGCTTGTCTAGCGATTGGCGCGCGTATCGAGTCCTCCATGCCCCCTTCACCATACATTTCCTCTTGTAATCGTCTTGCCATGGCCTCATCGTCTTCAAATTGCGATGGTCCTGTTGGGTGGGACGGAACATGGTTCTGAGATGGTTTTCGGTAGCCGGTAATTTCTGGATCATTATCGTCGGATATGTTTTCGTCGTCGTCGAGGTCGATAGGATTTTGAGCGCCACCAGTTTGATGTGAGGATGTTGTCGGAGGGGGAGGAGGAGGATGAGACGTGGATGAACCGGCTAGATCTGCGCCGCCATTTTCGAAAAACAGTTGAACTGCCTGATTGGCATCGCCATCTGCAAGCTGAACATATTGAGCAGCCAACTCAGGTGTGCTTCCCGTCACGGCGACGACGGTGGCGATCGCGTCATCCATTTGGAAGGTATTTGTCTGGTGGGAGAAACAGTCGGTTTGGCAATCGTGATCAGATCAGTCAAAGACGAATGGTGGAAGTGTGACACTGGCTCCTTTGAGAGCCTTCAAGTAATTGGAGGATTCATGGAAGAAGTTGAGGATGAAACGTTGCAGGCGAAGGTGAAGAAGCAAAGAGCAAGCAATGGAAGGTCACTCTGTCAATCAAGAATCACCGGGTTTGTAGGCAATCATACTGAGTTTATCACGAGGCGAAGGCGACAGTGGGTATGACGCCTTTCAGCGGAGATTCACTGCGGTGCCCATTGGTGGCGAACACCAACAAACTGCGCCAAGCTCACGTGTTACCCAGCCGCTGGCTCTCCTGCCACTGTCACCATCTTTTCACACCTCTTCATGAGCTCGACTCTCTCGACTATCGCCATGGGCGGGCGAGATGTCACGACCGATGAACTGTGGGCTCGAGCTGAGGCAAACGGTTGCAAGAAAGGAGCACATACAGAAGTCGACAAAGCCCGCAACGTTGGAGAAATACGGTCTTCAAGATAAAAGAAGGTACAAGAGTTTTTGACATCTGAAAAGTCATGTTGTCATTCTCCTAGTCCAAAGACTCGAGCAGTTCGACGGTCATACAAGTCCAAGTCACGCGTCTAAGAAGATTCACCGGCCTACAGGAACCTTTTCGGAACTCGCGGCCATACAATCACAAATATAATTTGTTTCAAAAGTTCCCTTCGATAAATGGAACCGTGTTGAGATCCGTGAGCAGAAAACAGGGGAACTATTCGTGTACTGGAACCGACGGCGGCGAGATTTCAAAATATCTGACAATTGGATGTCTGCTGCAAGCAGGACGACCTACCCGATTACCTGTGTGGAAATCAACACAATGGTTGTAGAGTTATCCGTTTATGCTTCGGATCTATACGCAGTAGACCAAGAAGCCGGTTATTCGGACAGCCCAAAAGCCGAGTTCGCCCAGCCAAATTATAAACTAATCTAGGCGCTGCACATACACAAGGTCATGGTTCTCTAGACAACAGAAGGAAGCGTCAATGACAGACATAGTAGATCGTTGGCCTTGCTTTTGGCGTGGCTATTTCTCCGTTGACGCTGAATGCTTGACTTTGTTCGCTGCTTCCACAGCGATTCTAAAGTCCTCGAGTAGAGTGTCGGTGTCTTCAAATTTGAGTAGGCTCTAAGCCATATGTTGCTGCCCAATCCAACATTTGTGCATATGTACACATGGTGTATGCAAATGCGAGGGTGAATGGCGCCCCAAGATGCACGTTGTTGTGGACATTGAGGCTGTCGTAGAACGCAATGGTTGTCGGAAGATCCTCGAGTTCAACACTGAAGAGGCAGCCATAACCTGGAGTGAAGTCTGGTGTGGTGTGACGCATGAATTGTCGATAATGAACACCAGAATCAATGACGGAGGGATAGTGAACTTTGTGGACGGCACTATGTAAATAGTCAGCCAGGGAACTAGCATTGTGGTTGAGCCTGATCATTCGTGTCAGATAGTCACGACTGTTTCAGAGTTCTGGGACGTAATGTTCGTCGAGGAGAAATTTCAATTTTCCATATTGTCGAGAAGCAGGATTTAGGACAACACTCCCTGCGATGACATCTGCATAGCCATTGAAAGATTTGGTGAGGGAAGTGACAAGCATGTCAGTCATGTCCATGACATCTATATTCGCAAAACCGCCGATAGTGTCGTCGACGGCGAGAACTATGTCGTACTCATCTACTCGCGTACGAAGTCGCGCCAGATTCGGGGTGACAAGTATCGGATTCGCTGGGAACTCCGCCCAGATTGCTTGTACTTTTCGGCCATGATGGCGTTCTTCGTCGAGAAAGACTTCCAGCGCAGCCAGGTCGTCATCGCCACCAAGGCCAAAAAATTTGTAATTCGAGCCAAATTCTTGAAACACTGTTATCGTATTCATGAATGCCATACCGAAAAGAACGGTCGTGCCTTCGCATGACTGACTTAGATAGGAGTGCGGCTTGTAGATCGAGGCCATGCCATGGGAAGGAAATAGATGTCCTTCGTTGAAGGGAGGAGCTGCGAGTCCCGGATGCAATGCCGCTCGTCCAAGGTAATGGATGATTCTCTGTCGTAAGATGTCATGCGCAGACGTCTCAAACTCGATCGGGATTGGCTGTCCTCGGAGAGTTCGACTTCCACGAGCTGACCGATGAACGCCAGATTTGCTTCCGCAAATCGAGATGACACGCCAACACCCGGCGTGCTCCAAAATCCGGAGACGACTGATAGACTTTCTGAAGGGAACACGACGATATAGATGCGATCTTTCGCGCGGAAGGCTCGGATCTGAATCTGATGATACGCGACTGGCTTCTTGTTCGCCCCACTGTTGCGCCTCGGCGATGTGGAATAATCATCGCATTCTTGAGCCGACTGCAGCGATGTAAACAGAAGGCATGCCTGATTGTCCAGATCCAAATGTCCCAGAATGGCCGAAGTGAGCTGAAATCCATGTTAGCCCATTCACCCTGGGAAGGATTCCGGTCAACCGCTCACACAAGCGATATCTCGGTGTGGTTTCATTCGAGGATAAGCATTCTGGAAAGTGGCAATCACGGAACGTGAATCGGCACCATATCTCTCCACATTTTCCCAGGTGGGCATGTGGACAGTGACTGAATGTCGAGACGCAGGGGGAACGGCGTGACCGTAGGGAGTGGTGATTTTGGCTGACATGATTGGCGTCCGGCTGGGTGCGTCCAGCGATGGTCAGGTCGGTAATTGTTTCATCTCAGCAATGAAGAAGCAGAAACTCGAAGGGGGTGCTCGTAGTATCATTGTCCGGTCACCGGCAGGATTGACGGATGATAACTTGTGAGATCCATACGATGCCCCTTCCTAGGTAGATAGGACTGCTAAGGCGCCGTCAGGGGCGTCTGCAGAGAGTCGAGTTCAAATTCCTCTGGGACTCAATTGGTCAGTCTTTTGATACTTCTATTACTGAGATGACAAGTCCGGCCTCGCCAGGACGTGGGTAGGGCGTATTTTGACAACTACCAAGCGCCCAAAAGGGACTAGACTAACGCGGAGCATCATTCTACGATGGTGGACACCTTGGGTCGCTGGCGTCGCCTACTGACTTTCGAATCCATGAAGCTCGTTGCTATTCAACACGAAAGCTCTGAACAAGACATCTGCAAAACTATACTATGCAGAAATGGTGGCATTGCCTCCCGCTGCTGTTTTGGATGCTCGCCAACCATCTCCCCGGCTTACATCTGGTATTTCCACTGCACCACGCCGGTCAAAATTGATTTGCCCCTCTTCGTCCACGAAGAATACATTTACTTCAAGGGGCTTAGACGCCAAACGGGGCAACTCATAGGTTCAAAGTGCACTATTCGAGGGGGAGATTCTCCCCGTCCCTCCTCACTCCCATCACCTTCCTTTCTCTAGGATCTTCTGGACTTACGGCCTCCCCGAAAGATGGCTTCGAGAACACCTCAAGACTACTGTGCCTCCTGGACTGATGACGACGCTCCGCTCGCGACAACCACGCACCGTGATGGAATCGATCTGTCCCGAAAGTCCGCCGCGCGACTTCCTCGGCTCGCGACCAAGGCCTTGCAGCGGTGGTTTGCGGCGCACTCATCCCACCCTTATCCGACAGAACAAGAGAAGAAGATGTTGCACGAGCAGACGAATCTCAGTGCTCGTCAGATATCCAACTGGTTTGCCAACGCGCGCCGTCGGCGTCCTGCGAGCCCGATCGACAAGCCTGGGATGCCGTGTGCCGGGTCCATGTCTGTCCCCAATCTGGCGAGCACGGCAAAGTGGCAACACATGAATCCCATGGATCGCTGGCGTAACTCTCCCCCGGACCAGGAACCTGCACCGCTGGACGCCATCGCAGCCGCAGTTCGTGATTCACACGACTTCGAGGACATGGGCCCCCCGATGCGACCTGATCGATTTAAGGACCCCGGTGGTCCTCGCGCGTATTCGGATATGTCGTTCGAATCTACAAGCTCTGTGGGGACCAGTCAATCGTCACACTCTACAGGGAGTGCCTATTCATTCGTGTCCGGCGGCTCCATTTCGAATTTGGGCCACTCCTGGCACCTTTCACGTCGACGCCGACGTCGTCCTCTCAAGCAGATTCCACGACCGTCAATGAACCCCCAAAATGATTGCAACGCACGACGGTTTCAGTGTACATTTTGCACTGACACATTCAAGTCAAAATATGACTGGACACGACATGAAAGCACCTTGCACCTCCTCCTGGAGAAATGGGTTTGCTGTGCTCAAGGCCCGATCTCCTTTGACCAATTTCCGCGTTGTGCTTTCTGCGAATCCCCCAATCCCACCACCTCCCATCTCCAATCACATAATTACGATGAGTGTGCAGCGAAGCCTCCAGCTCTACGAATTTTTGGCCGGAAAGACCACCTGCGGCAACACCTCCGTCTGGTCCATGGAGTTGAGCGTATGACCGATTCCATGGCCGCATGGAAAAGCAAGATTACTTCGGTGAATTGCCGGTGTGGTTTCTGTGAGGAGCGATTTGTCAGGTGGTCTGACCGCAACGACCACATTGCAGAGCATTTCCGGGAGGGTGCGTCGATGAAAGAATGGAAAGGCTGTCGCGGGTTAGATCCGGAGATAGCCTTGCTGGTCGAGAATGCCATGCCACCATATTTAATTGGCAGCGAGAGGAATGAGTTCGAGCCATTCAGCGCCTCACGCAACGTCGACAGGGTGACAGGCTCTGATCCATGTGTGCGGAGACCTCCGACAAGCTTCGAGTCGCTGACTACACGCCTTGGCGACTATGTCTTGCGAGCCATGAGAGACAACGTCGTCGTCACTGACGAGACCGTCCGAAGACAGGCACGAATCATCATGTTCGGTGACAGCGACGCTTGGAACCAAACGCCAGCCGACAATGCCGAATGGCTGCGACTGTTCAAAGAAGGAGTCCGTCTGCAATCGGCCACCATCCCGCCCTCCACGCAATTTGACCAAAGCACTCGGCTCCCTTCACAACCCGCTAGGGTGTTGCAGGAGCCTGCCCTTGGCGTTGCAGATCCATTAATACCAGGCCCCCTTGATTGTGCATTTCCACTTGCAGAGGCCTCGCCGCCTTTCAGAGGGGCCGACAACAGCAATGATTGGTTCTCAGCATATGAGGTCAACGAAGAACTGGGTTTTACCAACCTACCTTTGGGCTGGCAGACACCCGAGTGTTTGGCTGAGTTCAGCCAGATGTTCCCCATGAATCTTTGTACGGGGAACACCAGTAATTGTTCACCCAGTGTATTTTGGCCCGGAATACAACCATCAGATACCCTAGGTGTTTTGATTCCCACTTCAACACATCCTATTGACCCTGGGACGCAAGATCCCCCCCTTTCGAACACGGGTGCCCGTGGCTCTGGATTGTCCAAATGCACCGGCTTGGATGGGCTGGCCTTCCCTTCTGATTTGAACCGGTCTGAGAAACCTAAGCGATCGACGCACGTTTGAGTACCGTAGCAAGAGAGCCAATCCAGTCCAGGCCCCTTACCGTCGAACTCCTCCTGCTAACTGCCCCAATGCCACCACGAGATCGCCTTTTAAGTCGTGTACATGTTCCACGCTGACGCTGAAGGGAATCAGATCGTCAAAACACTCCGGTCGACTCTCTCACCTCCTCTAGGGTGGTTGCATTGATCATCTGAAGGAACCTCACGCGGGCACTCTACGCCACGGAGACTCCGCCAAGATGAAGAGCCGAGTTGATTTACAATATCCCGTTGTAGTTGGGCCATCACGAATTCGAGAGGATGGCATGATTCTCTCTGGTCTATCTCTGTATTGCATTAAAATGCGAGACGACCCTGGGTACGATCATCCAGCCAAAGATAACGTCCCTTCAGAACATGAAGAAGACCCCGGGGGGGGTGGTGCTGATGAAGCATTCTCGCAGGGAATTTGGGCAGTTTATGATGCAGCTCGGGACTCGAAAGTAGAGGCTTTTGAGTCCTCGTAGGGCCAACCGCGGTGAAATGATCTCGGAATGCTTCTGATCGCATTTTACAAGAAACAAAATTTCTACCTCAATTCCGCCCAGTTGAATGAGGCTATTCCCATCGAAGCGGCTTATTCGGGACCAATATTTAGGTTGGTTTACTTTTGGTTTTGGTCTTCTTTTGCCTTGTCAAGTTGGGAACCCCTACACTACGACCGTTGATGTTCTTCGTCACGGAACGGAGCACGATGTCCAACCCTAGTTCTGGGAACCAATTAAGGAATTAAGGAGAAACGCGTGTCATGTCCACGACCAGGAGAACCTCCCCCTCTTTTCCCCTTTCACGGCCAAATTTCGCAGACTGCCAGAATGCTCACAAGCATCAGGATATGGTTGCTAGTACCCCGATCAATTTTGATTCTTTGACGAGGCATTTGACATCATGGTCAATGACCGGCATGAATGTGACAGGTACATTGTATGAGGTCGCAATCTGAGTTCGACATTGGTGAGTTCCACCTTACAAGGCGGTAATGGACATGACGCGGCTATGTGAGGCCAACCTTTACATGACCCTAGCGGTCGACGAGAGGTTAGAGGGGGGGAGAATGACATATACGGCCCTCTCCACTAACGCAATGAAGAGTTCCAACTTTCTCTGTGTTGGAGTTCTTCGTCCTGGAGTCCACATGTGGGTCCAACGGTCGATCGATATCTTTTGGGGCCGAAACTTTGTGGACAAGGTATATCGACTGACATGGTCAGCAGTGCGCCTCTTCCACTCAGCCTTCACGCATCAATCCAGCCTCCTGGCTGATACTGTGCTAGCATTGTGAGGCAGCCCCGAGCAAACTGCAATAGCACCGACGCCGGGGTGTTTAGGTCTGACGAGACCATTTCCATTCATTGTTGACGCTACCGTTTTCATGGAACATTCACAAAATGGGAGGATCATACACTTTTGGAGCGCCCAAATCTTGCCAGGGACCGGCTTCGGGATTTAGTATATCGGAGCAAGAGATCACCACGGCTTATCAAGAAATGGGCCCAAATACCGATCATTGAATACGCAACAGCGTGGCCGACAACTTCTTTGGCTCCATGTGGGCCCCGAATGCGGGGTCTCAATTACCTACATGCTTTTCTTGTCCAATTTGTATGGATTGCAGTTACCCTTTCTTGGTAGAAGCAACGCAGCTCGTCAAGAGACATGTCTATTATGCCACTGCCTCCCCGGACAAACTCAGTCCCTGAGCACATTTGCAATCCCATTTTGTCCGCTTGAACAAGATCCTATGGGTGTTGGGCCTGAGGCCGAAGTGGAGAAGTACAATGCTGCCAGATCCATCAAAAGATCGAATTGCGAAAGCGATCCGAAGGATCCCATCAAGCCTGGAGAAAAATCGATCGAAGCGACAAGGGGGGGACGTATGAGCATTTCAGATTCCATTCCCATAGTCTCACCATTTGTAATGATGATGGTCACTGGCTCATGGACCGTCTCGGCACGGCCGCGCATGGCCACCGTGCTGATTACAACTATGAAGAGATACGAATGTATCGTAACAATCTCTTAGGAAACATCCGAATAGAAAGGTTCTTGTGCTAAAGGCACCCGGAACAAAATTCGTTAGAATTTCTGCAGGTGTGCCCATCGAATCGTCCGATGTCGCTTGATGCCTGCAAGCGGAGATTCGGGGACTCGCACATTGGCCCAATATCTCAATCCGAACAACCCTTATGCTCACGAAGTCGGCAACAGCTCAGGAAACATGACCTCAGTGTTGCAGACGCATAGATGCGTTGATCCCTGGTGCCAGAACCTGGGGTACGCTAGCTGGCATCGCTCAAGGTCGGGTAATGTTATTCTGTACACCACATTTTGTTATTCTGTACACCGCTTTTGATTGGTCCGGATTTTTATTTTTCCGGTTATCTGCGCAGTTCGAAGATACGTGATGTCACAACACCTAAGTCTGCCTATATAGAATGCAGAAATGATGGTTAACGATGGTATCCTCTGCACGGTCGATACCTCGTGCTGACTAAGGTAACAAACCAGCGCCCATAGGCTTGGGAGGACCGCTCATAAGCCGGAGGGGGAAACCGCCCATGAACCGGGGGGAAACCGCCCATAAGCCGGGGGGCAACTGCCCCGCTTATGGGCGGTTCCCACCCAAGCCTATGGGCGCTGGTTTGTTACCTTAGTCAGCACGAGGTATCGACCGTGCAGGGGATCTCTACACAAATCCGGCTGTGTAGGCCACAATAATTTACAAAGTATACAGAGAAGCTCAAAATGCACGGTACTTATCTACCAAGGAAAAGGGAATCAAATGTGTTTATTGCTTCGCAACCACCTATAACGGGGAGAGTTTAACGCGTCACCCCTCCACAGCTACGCCACTTACTAGTGTTTTCTCGCCATCGCCGGGCCAACGGCAACAAGCTCTGTTAGCGCGGTGTACAGAATAACAGGATGAGAGCGTTAAGTGTACAGAATAAGGCGAGAGAGAGGTGGTGGTGTACAGAATAAGGAGAGTTGAGGCATGGTGTACAGAATAAGCAGGTTTTCCGGTGTACAGAATAACAAAAGTTGGTGTACAGAATAATACCCCCCCTCAAGGTCTGCGTAAAACGTCACGTTGATCCGACGGGCTCCGTCCTCGCGAAACCTCCTCCACGACAACCGTCTAAAGGGAATCCAGCGTAGAGGGCTGGGTACGATGTTGTATGTCCACAACCAGAATGTGGCAGATCTCTGAATCAAAGCTAGCGACAAGAATTTCGTTTCACTTAGCCCGCCGACTGATTCGAGAGCAAGGTCTGCTCTGTGACGGGTCTCCAGGTGCGACCAAGTTCGTAGATGGCAATTGGATGCTGCGGCCGCGCTCCAGCATAAGCTGAAAATCTACTTAAAAATTTACGCTGAGGCTCTTGGATACTCCATGCACCACCCGAATTACCAAGTTACAACCTCAGTTGGTGCCCGGAAACTTTTACTCTGGCCCAATCGGTATGTAGCCTCTGCCTACAGGACACGGAACAGAAATTCGCCAATCGTGCCCCCGACATGTTAAAAGCTTCACGCATCGTCAACAGCTGGGGATCCTTGCACAGCCAACCACATCTGTTGTCGTGGGAGTCCCACATGTCAATGAGCGCCCTATTTGCACATCCTAGGTGTTAATAGTCCTGGTGTAGAAGCTAAACTTGGACCTATCTCCATGATAGGGAAGATTACTCACAGATCGCTGGCGTTTACCTCTTCTCAAAAGAGATAAAAAGTTCAAGTTTCAAAACTAGCCTCGAGCATAGCCACTCTCTCAAGCATGACCGAACCGAAGCCAGGAAGCTCAGAGACACCCGGCCGCCTGATATCTCATTTTCAGAAGAGGTGATCAGCGTTCGATATCATGTTTCCAACGGCTTCTCCAGGGCTGACCTGAAACAACAGAGACCAGAAAAATCTGTCGGACCAGAACGCAGGCTGGTCGGAGCTATGGGACACGGACCAAAGCGACCTCTGGGACCGAGGAAAGCCCTCGCCTGCCCTTGTCGATTTCGTCGAACAGCAACTTCACCAGGTCCTGCCGCAGAAACCTGATGGACGGCGTTTGACAGCGCTGGTACCAGTACGTTTGAATCCGTGTCATCCTTGAGGCACTACGGTCACTCTCTTCACCAGATCAGAGTAGTTCTTGATGCTGAATAGAAAACTTTGAGTATTAGGGATGCGGACGGGGGTATGACGTTGTCATGCTCGCCCTACATTCCTTCGATGCTTATGGCCTTGAAGTTTCCAGGGCCGCTGTGTCTGCCGGGAATACATACGCAAATGCCGAGACGGCAAATCCATCAGCACAAAACTTCTCAGACCCAGAGAAGCGACCTTCCTTCGAGCCGGGCAATGTCAAGTTTATCGTTGGCGACTTTTTCAAGTCGGATTGGGTGAGAGAATGTCAGCACGACCAAAGTACGTTTGATGGGTTTGACTTGATCTATGACTATACGGTAGGTTTCTTTCCTTCCTTTTTTTTCTCGCCCGAGCCAAAATATACGAAAAAGGACCTGACGGTCAGGATTAATGACTGATCTACTGAAATCTTGAACTTCCAGTTCTTATGTGCAATCCCGCCTAACATGCGACAAGCCTGGGCGCAACGGATGCAGGAGCTGTTATCACCCATGGGGATCTTGATCTGCTTGGAGTTTCCATTGTACAAAGATCTCGATTTTGTAGGGCCACCTTGGGGACTCAAAGATGTCTACTGGAATTTGCTTGCCGAGGGTGGAACCGGGATTCTGCGTAATTCCGACTCAACTGGTGAAGAAAAGTCCACACAACAAGGCCCGTGCAAGAGATTGCTTTATTTTAAACCAGAACGGTCGTATGAGCAAGGTCGGGGAACAGACATGATCAGCGCCTGGAGGATCTCTTAGAGTGTTGAGGTCCAATGGACCTAACACAGAAGCATGTTTGAATCTACAATTAACCACGAATTCTGAGAACTGGTTGAAACCTACTTTCTTTTTGCGCACTTTGACCTCTAATATCATATGGTGGATTAGATCAATGCTCCCCAGCACCGTGTCTGTCGGGAAGCCTCACAGGGAGAGATGCCATCACTGTCCGCAATGTCTTCATTGGCTCCTGCCGACAGGAGGAACTCGGCTATTTCTGTATATCCATAACGATATGAGAGGTATAATGCCGTCCAACCGTGAAATCCTCTATAGTTCACGTCTGCTCCTGATCTCGTCAGACGTGTGACGATATTGAGGTGGCCATATCTGGCTGCCAACATGGTCGGCGTCCACCCAAGCGCAGACTGCTCATTTGCATCTGCCCCCGAATGAAGAAGAAGATTAATCGACTCGAGGCAGTTTTCCCGGGCTGCGGCGTGGAGCGCTGTCTCCCCCACAGGATCTCGAGTGTCCACTGCGACGCCCAAGGCCAATAGCCACCGCACACGGGCGTGTAAACACATTCTTGCCGCTCGGTGGAGGTAGAATGGACATGTCGGTTTTCCAAGATTGTCCAACACCAGCTGTTGGAAAGCATCCGTACATAACTTGTTACTCTGCCGAGAAGTTAACCGTAGAGCGAATAGATCGAGTCTGCTTAGATTCTGGTACCACGTCAGTGAGGAAAGAATCTAGGAGGGTGTTGGTCGACTGTACATGAAGGATCTGATCTATGATCTCTTGCGGCAGATCGAAAAGGCCATCGTCCCTCATTTCACCGTGAGACTATGGATGCTGGTCTGAGAAGGAGATCTCACTTCTGCGGATGAACAAACTCATGGTGTAGGAGGGTAGTTGTGCTGGGATGTCAGGCGCTACTCAGCAAAATGTCAAGGTGCGCCCTAATGCCGTTCGGCGCCCCATCCGTCTTCTCCGGATGCCTTGCGGCTTCTTTTTTGTGGGATGTCCTTTCGTAATCATGCGGAAGGGGAAAGGGGGAGGAAATCAAGCTCCCTAGCTGTGCGATGGAGTTATCATTAAACAAGCGGCTCTAGTCATGTACGTCATGTATCAGTCTCAGGCTGGAATTTCAGCCGTCTTCCCGTCTCTGAGGGAAATTGGGAGAAAATACTGTACTTCATTCGGTGTTTTCATTCCTCGATGGCGAAAGATACTTGGTAAGACCTTCAGGGAGGGTTCCAAACTCCAAGATCGGAGGCTAGGCCTCAGGAATTGAATGGTTGGAACGGCGACTCGAGCTAAAGAGACCCATTGCTCACCGTGCCGAGCTTCCCCTTCTTCCTGCTGTGCTGAGAGAGTTGAGATGCACCACCATTCTCTTGGGAGAATTCAAGTTGTTCCAGCATTCTGGAATTGAGGAACCGCAGGGAGGAATAGAGGAGCAGAGACCTCGAGGAAATGTTCACATCAAGGGACCTACCCACAGAACACCAGCGGGTGCCGTGCTGTTGTCAGCGGTTTTCTGGGATGCCCCTGCCACTCTCATTTTTCACCTTGACTATCTTGTCTCCCGTCCCGTGCCTCATGGGCAGCCCCAGTATGTGCATCAACCTTATTTCCCATTCCGGGGAGAGTTGCATATAGGTCCTTGCCTAAGCAGGTACGACAAGTGCGCGGCAGCGCACCCGACAAACTTGCCAAGAAAGTACCAGCGGATGGAGCTCTCAGCCTTAGCGCGCCAACAGCCGCGGGCCTTTTCAAATGACGAGCTGGCGGCAATAAGAGTACGGCGGATCATAAACACCCCTCGTGCGCGTGGCTGGTAGTCCCGCAACGCGAGTTCTTGGCAATGGGTGAAGGAAGGTGCGGCCTGACTCGCGCCTTCCACGTCCTGAGTCGTGCTTTCTCCAACTCGACACCCAGCAGCAAAAGCAGCAACAACCACCTCCATGGCTGCTGCAGTACTGGGAAAGCGGTCCCGAAGGATTCTGGATGAAGAGGGTATGTTCAGTATCTTCCCCGAACTCTTTGGAATCTCATTTGACCAAGGCTTCGCAGACATCTCGACCTCTCGGCCCGTCTCGAAACGGCGAACGCGACGCACTACACCTCAGATACACGAAGATATAGTCGAGCACGATCGATTGGAGAAGCCATGTGCTCGTTCTGTCAGGAATCGTAACGGACGAGCGAATGGTACCGTTCAAGACAAGTCGGTAACAAACCAGACGAACACCACTCAGCCAATTGAGGATCAGTCACTTCAGGTTTCAGGTGTGGAACTTTGAGAACAAGATCGATCTTTGAGCTCACCATAGAACTTCAGATGAAAATGTTCCACCCTTGACAGTTTCGACTCCGTCAACAGCCCGCTTCAAGGATGCTCTTGCAGCATTCAGTCCCAGCACACCGAAGCATCGTGTACGGCTTGCGGGTCGATTGCTCACTCCTCGGTCACCGTGTTCATCCACACCATCAAGATCACAAAACGTCTACTCTCAAGCGAGGCAATTGTTCACCCAAGCTAGCCACGGGAAGGTCATTGGCCGGGATGCCGAACGAAGCCAACTGACAAAATTTATTTCCTCCGCTATTGAAAATAGAGTTGGTGGCTGCACATATGTCAGTGGACCGCCAGGAACCGGAAAGAGTGCACTGGTTCAGGAGATCATACAGGAATTTCAAGGCCAATCGGTCAAGGTTGCCACGATCAACTGTGTCGCTCTTAAAAGTTCCTCGGAAGTTCTGACGAAGGTGACCGAAGAATTCTGTTCCGATGGCGGCAATCGCAAACCGACAAAGGCAAGCCTCACGAAACTGTTCACGACCAAGACGGCGGACTCGGAGATGTACCTTGTCCTGCTTGACGAAATCGATACCCTGATCGGAGGAAATTGTGAGGTGTTGTACAGCATCTTTGAATGGGCGATGCATCCATCATCGTCTCTCGTCTTGATTGGAATTGCCAACGCGCTTGATTTCACGGATCGCTTCTTGCCTCGATTGAAGATGAGGAATGTGAAGCCGCATTTGTTGCCCTTTCTTCCATATTCGGCCCAGCAAGTTTCAACAGTCATTTCAGAGAAGCTTCGATCACTGCTGCCAGCCGAGTCAACGGCTGGTTCGGATTTTGTTCCTCTTATGCATCCCGCCGCGATCCAATTGAGTGGGAAGAAAATTGCAGCGCAGACGGGTGATCTGCGTAAAGCTTTCAGTCTCGTCCGACGTGCTCTTGACCAGATTGAGCACGAAACCCTTTTGAAAATGAGTCGAGAGCAGAGCATGACTCCCGCTAAGCAACCATTGACGGCAGTTCCGAACTCGGGAATGAATCGGGGTCCTCCTGTCAAGACAGATCATCACCGGTCCATTCTCTGCCAGCTCACCGTGGAAACCGCACCCAGAGCCAGTATCGGTCATGTTGCCAAAATTGCGGCGGGCATCTTCAACAACGGTACACTCTCTCGCCTGGGTGGACTGAACCTCCAGCAAAAGGCTGTTCTGTGTTCTTTGGTTGCCTCTGAAAATCGGCAGTACCAGCGAGATCCTTACACAACGCCATCGAAGTCTTGGTCGAAAATACCTACGATCAAAGAGCTTTTTGAAAAATACGCCATATTGTGCAAACGGGATGAGGGTTTATTGCAGCCATTGAAGAACACCGAATTTCGAGATGTTGTTGCCAGCCTTGAAACCTTGGGCCTGGTGCAGGAGACTTTGGGACGTAACTCGAGTGTGCTGACCCCGACACCGACCCCGTCGAGAACAGGAAGAGGAATGGATGATAAACAGGTCGTGAGTGCTGTGACTGAGAAGGAGATGAGAGATAGTTTAAGTGGGCCAGGCTCGGATTTGCTGCTCAGATTACTGGACGACGATTGATGAACCGGATTTTGTTGCATGGGCGACGGGAGTTTGATTTTGACTGCTTAGGTTGAACATGCTCAACGTCCGGAAGAGCTCGATTATACAAAGCTTTGAATATTCGTTATTGATGGTGTTAGTGTGTAATAATAGACTGTAAACTCAGATATTTGATTTGAGCCGTATTCATGGGCTGGGCGAGTTATCAAATCTGATTTGGAGATGATGTCAACTGATAAGAGGATAGAGGTTACCCAGGATGTGTGGAAATCGATCTTCGTCTCCAAGCTTTGACCAAGCTTTTGCTTCAGGCCCGTACCAGCCCCTTGGCCTCCAATTCGGCTTGAAGCTTGGGGGTTGGGGGTCACTCGCCAGCCCTCCCTTATTGACTAAACTTTAAAGTAGGTTTGGCTAGGAATCCTGGATCCCCACCTGTTGGAGCTACTTCATCAGTAAACCAGCTTGTCACCTCGCGCAATCTTTAGCCTGCGCCAGAAACTTGAACCCGGCCCTTGCTTCCTAATCTTCCATGTGAATCCTGCGCTGTCGAATCTATTGTCTCCTCCCATGCGATTCCACCGATCGATTGATTCCCAAATATTCGCACATGCATGCGCCATCAACGCGGGGTAGCACGACGGCTTGATTCTTGACTTTCCACTCCGATGGTGGACAACGATTCCGAGGCGTCTGTGTTGCGCCATCAACGTTTTCAACAAGCCGATCGAATAGCTCCGAAATTGGTCGACCGGACAGAAAAGCTGCAACAGAAATATCAAGGACAAAATGGTGCCGGAAACGTCATGAAAAAAGATCCTGCTGGAGGTTTCGATGACACACCTATCCCTCAAGCTCCTCCCGGATATACGATCAAGATCACATTCCATCGGGCAGAGAATCTTCCATTCGCTGATATAGGAACTCTGTCGTCGGATCCCTACATTCTTGCCGTTCTCCGCACGGATTTGCCTAAGAGGCATAAACAAGATCCCGATCTGAGACTCAGGGTACCAACCATACATCGAAACACCAACCCGGAATGGAATGTCGAATGGATAGTCGCGAACGTGCCCCAATCTGGCTTCTTCCTCAAGTGTCGATTGTACGATGAAGATCCCCGCGACCACGACGATCGACTGGGAAATGCCCACATCATTGTTGACAATATTGATGACCATTGGGCCGGATTTTCGCATCACAAGTTCGAACTGAAAAAACGAATGGCAAGCAAAAGGGCATACACTCTTCGCGGTTGTGCCGTTCTGCTTTCATCACGTGTCAAAATGGGCGGTGGTCTGATTGTCAGTGTTGAGAATCTGGGTCGGACCCCAGGAGAAGACGGTGGACGCATATATACTGTCGGCCCATTACCTTGGAGTCGGCACTACTCTCCATTGATCGGTCGACTTGCTGGGACCAAGGATACCGAGCAGGGTAAAGACGGAAAGGAGATCCGGAGATATAAGTGAGTTCGGGTCATGCTCCGGGAGGAACATTCCGACTGACCGCTTTCAGTTTTCAGGCAGTTCAAATGCAGCTTCGGGGCCCGGTTCCAGCCGATCTCTATCATCGATATGTCGAGTTCAAACCGTTCGTCGCGGGCATGTTCACCTCTCACACTCTCCGTGGTCGCCTCCTGAATCGAGCTCTGCACCATCAACATGCTCGAATTTACAACTACGATCGAGCAACCAAATATGGAGTCTTCCAGGAACCAAGCATCGAAATGACCAAACAGTTTCTCGACTTTGTACATTACGACGAAGGGGGTCGAATCTTTACTTATGTCCTGACCCTCGACGCTCAACTACGATTTACCGAAACTGGAAAAGAGTTCGGTATTGACTTGCTCAGCAAACATACCATGCATAGCGACGTCAGCATTTATATTGCGTTCAGTGGAGAGTTTTTCATTCGACGAATCAAACATGGCCATCTTCATAAGAAGGAGAGCAGCGTCGATCCTACTAAGGACACGCATCCCACGGCACCTGGACCGAGCGAGAGGGAGGGACATGACAACACTGCCAACGATAAGGACGAAGGCCCACAATCAGTCCCAATCACCGGGTTTGGACCCAGCAAAGGCCCCTCCCACTACGAATTGATCATCGACAATGACAGCGGCACTTACCGACCCAACGCGAAGAAACTACCCGTGCTTCGTGAATATTTGTCCGAAAATCTGCCCGGCTTGAAGATCGTGACATTGGATTGCCAGGAGGACGAGGAGAAGATGCAGAAGTTGAAATCAGAGCAACGCGAAAGGAAGAAAAAATCGGGGAAACAAATCATGTATCTCCAAAACAGCAGCATGAGCAGCATCAGCTCAAGCGATGAAGAGAACTTGGAAGCGAGAGCTACCGGTGGAGAGCTAAAAGAGCATAGATATAAGCGTGAGATGCATAAATTCATGGGTGGAGGGAGAGATGAACATCATTATCCCGATGTGGAAAGACCGAATTGAGGCGGAGAAAGAGTGGAAATACTGAAAAGGGCCGAAGTCAACGGAAATCCTGTTCGACAAAGAAACATCTATCCAGTGCTGTCAAGTCAATTCTTGAACCGTGGAGACTCAAAGAATGGCTTTTGTGTTTCGTTGCACGCATGGGCGATGATGACTTCGCTTCTATCCAATCTGGGGATCAACGTCGATGACGAACTATGTGCTAATACACGATTCCGACATTCTGTCTTTGACAAGGGCAACATCGCACAACCGGACACAAGAATGTTCCTATTCTACCTACGCACTTTTGGACCTCTTTCAACCTCATCGGCAGCAAACCTCAGACGACCTCCCGATGTCAAACCTGGTTCATATGTCCCAGTGGGCGACGCGGAAGACGAATGAAGCACTAGCAGGGGAATCAAACCACCCCACGGCTCCGTCGACGGTATAATGCGGGTGTTCCATGATGAAATTTTCTGATAATGTCGCATTAATGTAACGTCTTAATTCAACCAAGCAGTTTAGACACTGAAACCTGCGGCTTCACATGTCCGTGGATCCACAATCTTTGACTCCCATGAGGACTCACTTCCAGAATCCCCGGCAACCTCGACTTCTTTGTCAGCCTCAACCGGGTGTCGGAAATGGTGTCCAATCCTTGGGCGGCCAGGGGAGGCTTTTGCAGAGAGATAATACGCCTCAAGGGGCAGTGGCTCGTGTTGGCGTATGTAGTACGCCAGATCTCCAGGCTCTGCACTGTCGGATGTCTCTACCCTGGCAAATCCCTGACCCCAATACGAAAATCGATTGCCTTGGTATTGCCACACGAAGTCCTCCCATCGGTTGGACTCCAAAATTTCCCGATAGTGTAACGAGCTCCCTGGCCACAGAGCAGTCACCTTGCCGCTCTTGTTCTTGTACCAGGATCGGCAGGTTCCAGTCCAAACCATGTCCTCCATCAGATTTTGCGTATGAGCGTCAAAGTCTGCCTGAACCTCACACCGCACATTGAACGACATGGCCTTCTCGTGGATGAATTTCTCAATCAGCCGAACGAAATAGTCCGCTGTCGCCTCCAGAGTGCCCATCAGACTACCATTCGAGATGGGGGTATTTGGTCCTAAGAACATCAGATAATTTGGGAATCCCGACACGGCTAGGCCAAAGTACGCCACGGGATCGTCCTTCCACCGTTCTCGGAGATCGATATCTTTCTGGCCGATGATTGGAAATCTCGGTCTGAAGGAGGTGTCAAAGCCCGTCGCCGCGATAATGATGTCGGCGAGTCGAAGCTTTTCGGCCGCCACAATGCCGTGGGGCGTTACTTCGTCGATGGAATCAAAAATTGGTTGAACGTTCGGTTTCTGCAGAGCTTCCAAGTAGGGCTCTCCTGGATTTACTCTCCGGCAGCCCACCTCGAATGTAGGGATCAGGTTTTCCTGCAGCTCGGCGTCGGCTAGCAGCGATTTCATGCTTTCCTCCAGTTTCCTCCGAATGTCACGTTGCTCATCACTGCTCTTGATGAATGCTTTGTACAATTTGTTGCAACTCGACTCCATTTCTTTCCGGATTTTGACCGAGTATTCTGGGTCGTCCCGAAACTTTTGCTTCTCTCCTGAGGTATAATCATGGCCTCTTGCAGGCCTCATGGTCTCAAGCGGCGGAGGGGTTATCCAAGACGGTGTTCGGATGTAGATGTCAACGTGTTCCACATCTTTTTGAATCGCAGGGAGAAGTTGTATGGCACTGGCTCCGGCCCCGATGATAGCCACCCGTTTGCCACGGAGATCTGTATCCTCATTCCAGGCCGCGCTGTGCAAAACCAAACCTTGGAAATCACCCAGATTCTTGAGATTTGGGTGTTGGATATGATTTAAGATGCCACTGGCGTTTATGAGAATATCACACTCGAAAGCTCCTTGGCCTGCCACTGAGACGGTCCATTTGCCTCGATTTTCATTCCACACGGCTTTGTTGACCGAGTGTTTGAAACTGATATACTCGTTGATCCCATAGTGGTATACTACGGCTTTCAAGTATGATCGGATCTCTGCAGAAGATGCATAGCTGTGACTTGGGTCAGCTTTACCAAAGAAAGGAGTGGCGCAGCATAATCTCACAAGGTTGACCAATACGGGTTTGGACAGAAGCTGTACTGATATATATGACTCGGTACGTCGCAGGCACAACCTTGACCACATCAATATTGTCTTGGGTCGTCAGCCACGATACACATTACCTGGATATCTGTTCTCAAACCAAGTCCCACCCACATCCTCGTTCTTCTCCAAAATCCAGAAGTCAACCTTGTCTTTGAGTGTCTCTCGTAATTTTATTGCTGCGATGTGAGTTAACGTCTGCTCTCGAGCCCACCAAACTTTGAGAAAGTCACCTATCAAAATGCCTGATACACTGAATTCGTTAGTTGAACAGCTCCGGGTTATATTGAAGCAGAAGTGGCATGAAAATACCCTGCACCGATGATTATGCAACGCAGTCTCCTCTGAGGTTGCGGACCCGCCATTTCAAATTCGCGTCAAGCGATCCGAATGTCAGGATCTCCCTTTCCATAGCCGAAACTATGAGCCTGGGCACCGCGTTTTGAGATACATTCCGAAGGGAAAGATTCACGGACAAGCCGGTGGTGGGGCCGACCCCGTGAACGGGATCCCTGGTCAGTGATCACGAACTCGTCGGAACCAACCAAACTTGTCACCTGATTACTTCATAGTGAGAAGTCGTGTTCCGGAGCCACTTAGTGTGGAATGGGTATCCTCCTGTCACCGCTGAAAGCGTTCCGCTCTCCGTCGTCCAATATGGCATCGATCATGAAGTGATGCGGATGATTCCCCATCCCAACGCTGCAGACACAAAGGGCCTTCCCAGCAAGACATCCAAGCCTAGATGGATGGCGTGCGGATATTCTGAGCTACCTTTCACCGCTTCATATGATGCAGACTTCCTCCTTCGGATTTACCGAAAAGCCCATTTCAAACTTCCTACTCGTGTTAGAGATACAAGGGCCGAGAAACCTGTACCCGTCTCCGACAGGACGGAGAAGATATAATAATGCACGCTCATCTCTCCGCCGTCAAGGGGAAAAACAATGTCTCCTGACTGAGCTTCTGACGTCGCGAGAGGGATCCTGGCGAGAGCGCTCCTGAGTCTCTAAATGCGATCCAGTCAAGCCAGGGCCCGGATTTCGTAGCCTTTATATTTGACTAGATGAAGTGCTCGGAGAAGCTCTTGAGCCTCGCGAAGAACTTTGAAAGACGTGGTATATTGGAGGGAAAACAACTGTTCGGAAGGAGTTGGTGGTAATGGACATGGGGACTCAGCGCAGATGTACCCCAGTCGTATACCTCTCATGCGAAGGACTCCGTCATCTTCCAGGTTCTGTCGAGCAATAAGTACCCCGGTATGTCTCGTGTGGAGGAGCACACGCAGTTTTGGGATCCTGAAGTCTGGCACCCAGGATGGAAGGTCGCTGCCCGTCGGATTGGAGAGATCCTCGAGAATATTCAACGGCAGAGGGCTGGACGTGAGATTCACCAAACTCTTGATACAGTCTTCAAAGACCTGCGGGCCATTTTGTTGTAATCAATTACTGGGGAAAGGCAATCTTGTGCTTGTCGCTCGCCCTCGGCAATATGCTGCAAGGCGAAAACGAGATCCTGGTCTAGCTCGCCTTGAATCCTTCGGTATCGGTCAGAATGACATGAAGCCATTTTCGGCCTTCTTGGAGCTTGGTCGAGTTGCCAATGAGCGTCCTAGTGAATAAGCGAGCCAGGATATATTCTCTTTGCGCTGTCCTCATCTTCATCCTCGTTGGTCTTGATATGGGAGCACTCCTCAAGTATCGCGAGCGTTCTAGCGTGTTTGACGGTGCCGCGCAATTTTAGAACCGCCTCGAGTGGAAATCGATATCTGCCTCTGGCCATCTCCACTTCTTTTGCCGCAAATATCTCTTGACGAATCCAGGTGCGCCAGAACCAATCGCTCCGGCTGACAAACTCTGAAAGAGCTCTATAGAGTCCCTGTTTAGGGCCAGAGCAATCCGAAACGGCCCCACTGACCCGGTGGATGGTGTCGAGGTAATTGAAAAGAAAATAGTCCTCGTTCGTAGGCTCTCCAAGCCAGCCTATCACTTTTGTTGCCTTCTTGAAAATCGAGAACACATAAGTTGGACTTGCTCGCCCTTCTCCTTCAGATCATACTGATTATGCAAAAGGCGTCGGTCCATAGATACCTGATTCTGTCTGGCAGCCGGAGACGGCAAAGTGCAGTCGCAAGGTGTTTCGTGACGGGGAAACATGAGGCCGTTACACTCGAGGGAGACAGTAAATGAAGGTCTCCCCCGTGAGTACGACAGAGCGTCATACTCAATCGCCCTTCCATTCTCCATGAGAACGGCCTCGCCAGGATGGACCATGCCAGCCACCACCAGCTCACATTGGAGAGGTGTATTGGTTGATGGGCTCGAACCAATTTTCAGCAGACGTAACTGCCAGAAATGAATTGGTTGGTACAATCGTTCTGCGACCCTGATAAAATGTGAGAAATAATGTCCATCCGAATGTTCGACGTCGCATAAGACTGCTTACGGACAATCCTTGATCTTGTAGAAGAGGTCTAGAGAATAACTTTGTGATGCTACCAGAATATAAGGTAGTCGGTCGGCAACTCCTGTTGCCCTCTTTGTGTTCTTGAGAGTATGCTTGCTTGAAACGTTGGTTGAAACATTTCTAGCGGTAACAGCCGAGTATGGGGGACGCGGAACAGGACCCAAAAATGGGGACGCCCAGGCCCAGTCGTTTCGGTCCCTATTGGGGGTTCAGAGAGACCCCTCAGTCGGCTGCTCAGGACACACCCTGATGACCATCTTTCGACAAGGGTCCTTTTTGAATCTGGTAGTGAACTGTTTCATTTATATGCAGCACATTGTCTGTATTTATGCTTGGACATGATGGCGCCTACCAGAAACGCTCGAGGCTTCAGGCGTGTCCTTCAAGCCTGTGAGAATTGTCGGTACGATGTGCTCAACACTTTCTTCCGATCCCTGTTGGCACTGACTTGATCAATTTAGACGTAAAAAAACTCGCTGTCCAGGCGAAAAGCCGAGATGTTCCAATTGTACTCGCCTGCGTCAAACCTGCCATTATTCTGGCAGCGAATTGATCAGCGAGCAACCTCGTGAAAACTCTGGCCGCAATCTCGTAAGTAATTCCGTCCTCGTGCGTGACAATTGGGATTGACACGGAACACAGGAGGATCGACTAGCACAACTTGAAGAGAAAATGGAGATGATACTGGACAGACCTAGGTAGGTGCCCCAACATCGCGTCTCATGAGCGATGCTGATGCTGATGGCCTCAAAGGGATTCCCCACGACAGGGCGAAACTCCTCACTCTACGCGTGAACGCAGCGAAACAGCATTCATTACATCCCCCGCTGCTCAAATATCATCGGTGTCGTGTTCCAGGTAAGTCGAGGTAAACCCGAGGACCGTGCTATACTTACGATGACAGTCTCCTGCCCTCAAAAGAGGTCATTACCAAAGCTATAGATATCTACTTTCTGTGCAGCCACCGACAACCGTTATGGCTTTTCGATCCCGCCGACGCACTCTCTCCGGACTCTTGCGAGGAACTCGTCTTTGCAGTACTGGGTCTCAGTGTGCAATACGCCCCAGATGACTTCGTCGGTGCTCAGATACAAGCTCCAGAAGCATATAACGCCGCAGCTCGGAGTCTGATCATGCTGAGAATGGCTAATGCTACCGTTAATTTCTCTACTCTTCAGGCTCTATGCCTGCTGGCTTTCTCAAACCTAGTTTGTGCGTCGTGGTTTCTGATGAATTCAGGAAGGAGACTAACCGGGATGCAGCGAACGACTGTCAACTGGCAGCCCTTCATGCGACGCTGGTAAAGAATCTTCTACAATGCTCTGGCGTCGATTCTCAGCTAGGACAAGATCGGACGCCGGTATTCGAGGAGCAACGAAGATTGTTTTGGAGTGTTTCCACTCTGGATTCGTTATGTGGCTTACAAGTCAAGGTTCCCTCCCTCCTTGATGATATCCATAACCCTCGTTATCTTGCCGTTGAAGGAATGCTTCAACAAACCACCGCACCGTGTCCACTCCTCCCTCAAGATTTATATACGGACGATGGGGAAAAATCGATTGGGATTTGGGGTCACATGGTCAGAAGTGCCACCCTTTGGGGGGAGGTCAGAAACTATGTCTCCAGATGTGCAGAAGGTCAAGTGAGAGCGCCGTGGCAGCCCACGTCGGGTTACACCATCATCAACTCGCACCTTCTCGACATGGAATGCGCATTTCCAACATCCTATCGCTACGACTCCGCCAAGTTCGTAGAACATACCAATGAAGAGATCTTCGAAAAGCGACAATTCTGGCTCCCTTGGATGAAGATACAGATAACCTATCATACCATTCACTCTGTACTGAATCATCCGTTCTTATACTCGTCACGAGCGTCCAAGCCACGGCCTGGGCCCAATGCTTTCTGGAGAACGTCAACTGACTTGGCTTTACTGCACAGTACCTGGATAGCTCGTCTCATAGGAATGGCCAACAAGAAGGGCCTCAAACTGGCCGATCCATATTTTGCACACGCGGCGGCCGTTGCCGTCACATTACATTCATATTGGTCCCGTGCGACTGACTCGAGGATAAGAGTCCCGGCAGTAAACAACCTGGAGATATGCAGATCCTTCATTACCGAAATGGGTTGCCACTGGCCCATCTGTCGATCAATTGTAAGTACCGGAAAGCGCTGACGGTGGAATTCACTAACACAAATTCCCAGGCGGAAAATTTGGACCAACTTGTCAATCTCGCACTACCAACAGAGCAGCCTGAACAAGCACGTTCGACAAATATTGCAACCAACACATCGTTGATGTGGAAGATTTTGGACTTTGCTGCACCACGGCGGTCATCCTTCTCGGGAAAGAGCTCATTCGAATCGTCTTTCCAAGACACAATACGCTTTAGGGACGGGAGCCAGGATCAAGCGACGTTGGAAGACCCAGAACTGCAGTCCCCACCGGGAGACATCCAGAATTCGACGGGAGAATACTCTGCGCCACCCGATTGGTTTTCAACCCCCAACACCAGCACATCTCCCCAAATAGTCAGACAAATGGCCGAGGGACCATCAGAGGAGCATCAAGAAGAACTGGCAGCCGCACCAGGAGGACAATCAGAGAACCCGCAAAATCTGAACCTTCCGGAGCCATCAAACTGGACATGGGGACCTGGCGACGCCAACATCACCTACGATCCATGGACACAATTCTACGATCGAGCTGGAGCCCATTCAGGATGGTGGGATTTTGGGAATTTATGAGTCAGTCCGAAGGCTTTGCCCATAGCTGGAGCAAAGGCCCGTCTGCACCGTTGACCGGATCTTGCAATGGAAGATCTACACCATTGATCTCTTTTTGGTACTCTTCGAGATTAATTGCCTCTTCGCCCAATTCGTTGCGCCACTTTGGCGCTCCCTGCATCCAATTTGGAGTCAATTGTCCGAACGAACTAGCGACGGAATGGAAGTCCTAGCCTACGTACCTCGGGATACACTCCAATGTATCTATAGTCCGGGGTACTTTGAAGATTGCAGTGCCCCGTCCCAGCAGGAAGGACAATAACATCTCCTGCCTGCACATCAATCTGCTCGCCTCCGTCAGTGTCGTTCGTGCCGCATCCCACTAAAATAGTCGATGAGCCTTGAAACACGCCTAAGAGATATCAGATCAGATGTGCAACAAAACAAGGAAAAGGAAAGAGAAGCCAAAGTCAGAGCCAGGTCGAATTCTCAAACGTGTGACTTACCATAACATTCATGTGTATTCGGATGGAAATGGCGACGTGGAATATGTCCCCAAACGCCCTTCTTCACCCAAGCATGAGCCTCGAGGAACCCAGTCGTCCTATCTTCAGACAGCGGCAAGGGCAAACAGTCGCGATAAATCAGGACGGGCATATCATTATTGGGCGCATGTTTATTGGGTTTCAAGTAGTAAGTCTCGGGTTCGCAAACCATTGTTTTTTCTCTTTGGTTTCCTTTGATTCTCTCTACCTTGAATTTCTGACTCAGGTGAGTAGAGAGATGGATTCTTGCGCAGAGAACGAAGAGCGAAACGCGGTGATGTCCGTCCGAGGTTGAATTTCGACGGAATTGGATCAGCTGATCGGCCCAATGATATCGGAGATGCCGTCTCCCCGACGATGCTTGAAGGACCGTCGGTATTTCCGGCCTTTCGATATGAACAATCGCTCAGGCTTTGAGGAACCTTTGTTTCTTACCGGCTTCAAAGGAAGGATAAACCGAATTATTGGACTCGTTACTGACATTGATAGCATCAACCTCTGGTATGGAGCCTCCTACGGGTGGCAATTTTAGTCTCCGTCCGGTACTTTCTCCGAGTCATTCATTCGGCTAACGGCCTGGTAGAGGCGATCCGAATATTTTGTGTGAGACATGCAAAATGTCCCCAATTATTTGTGCGTTCCTCAAGTCTACGAATACGTCGTCATTCACAGTCGCCTCTGTGCCTCTTGATTACTTCGACGCTCTCGACTTTCTTCTGACAACTGATAATCGCCATGCCAAAGGACAAGCACGCACCGGTTGCAATCATTGGCGCAGGGCCCTGGGGTCTTTCTACAGCATATCATCTCGTACAGCAAGGCTACGATGATATCACCGTATTCGAGCGATCATGGAAAATCCCATCTCCGTACTCGGCCGGAAACGATCTGAATAAGATCGTCCGATCGCAATATGACACGGACTTCTATACAGAACTAGGACTGGTGAGTCTTCTGGTCTTTCGACTGGTGGTCTCGCACCGATCATTTTCAGAAATGTTTGGGTCTTGCACTGCATTTGCTAATATATTGTTTATCTGGTTTAGGAAGCAATTGAAGGCTGGAAAACACCCGACTTTTCCCCCTACTACCACCAGACCGGCCACCTGGTGACGGTCTCTGGACAAGCATCCTTGAAAGCCACTCAGCACCATGAGGAAGCGTTTGAGTACGTGACCAAGCACCCGGTTTTGAGCCGTGGAGTTCAACCGATAAACACACGGGCACAGTTTCAAGAGTATGCCTGGCAGCTCTCGGGCCCGCTGAAAGGCTTCAAGGGCTACTTCAACAGGCTTGAAGGGTATGCCCATTCTGCCAATGCTCTAAGAGGTATCTACACTTTGTTGGCAGGCCGTGGGGTCAAGTTTCTGCTCGGCCCGGAGATCGGACATGTTGTAGAACTCATCTACGATTCTCCACTTGTTTCTTCCTCGTCACGCTCTTCGCGATGCACTGGCGTTCGTACAAGAGACGGAAAAGCCCATGCAGTGCAAACGACCATCTGCGCTTTAGGAGCATATGGTGCGTCCCTCATCCCCTTGCTCGGCAGTTTCAATGTTGCCCGCTGCTGGTCGGTCGCACATATCCAACTGACCCAGCGCGAATGCGATATCCTTCGCGGCCTCCCCGTGGTCAATGTACGAGACCTAGGTTTTTACTTTGAGCCTGATCCAGAGACTCGACTCTTGAAACTCTGCCCTTTAGGAGCTGGCTTCAGCAATCCAGATACCAAGACCGGTATTTCCCTTCCACCAGCAACCGACACACCTCTCCTACACGATTACATTCCGCTTGAAGACGAGCAAAAGCTACGTACTCTGCTTTGCGAGACGCTCACCTGGCTGGCAGACCGGCCGTTCATCAATAACAAACTGTGCTGGTTTAGCGATACGTGTGACTCAGAATACTGCATTGACTTTGTTCCTGGCACGGGCGGGTCTCTGGTGGTTCTCTCTGGAGATTCAGGCCATGGGTTCAAAATGATGCCGATCTTTGGTAAGTGGGTGGTCGAGCTGTTGGACAGAGGTGAGCAGCAAATACCTAGATGGCGGTGGAGAGACACAGCGACTGAAGGGAGCAAGGATAATGATTGGGGTAATGATGTTAGTTGGCGGTTTGGAGAGGCCAAGACCATCAATGAGATTGTTGAAGAACGGAAGAATCAGAATTGTGGTGCCAAAGCTAGTTCGAGGTCACGGTTATAATGGAATGATCATCTTAGAAGTCCAGGCTAGAAATTAAATCAGGATTCTGTCATACAATTGACCGGAGTCGAGATACATTATACGGTGTCAACATGACCGGTACATGTCAAAGTTTTTGAAGGCTTGGTAGTTTCTGTCAAGGGGATTCATTAACTACATACACACAAATTTTACCCCCCCAAAAATACCAGGCTTGGGACACCCTCCAGCCTCTCACCGCCAACAACAACACGAAAACATGTCCAACTTGCAAAATATTCGCTGCTCCAGCTCTTATGAGGTGATTGATTGCTCCCATCCTTGTTCACCAAAGTTGCACATAGCTTCCAAATCGTCTCCATTTCGGCATGGCATAATAATTATCGAGATATTTGATCTCTTCCGCACTCAGAATACGGCGACCAGTCAACAAATCTGCAGTCCGAGGATCCCGCCATGGTGTGCGCATGATCACCTTGTATCCTAGGGTGAAGAAAACAATGATCAACAGCCCAATAATGTATTGGAAGAAGGTATAAGCAGTAAAGCTCGCGCCTCCAAGGGGAACGGCACCGGCCTCCACGCAGCAGACCAAGAGCAGTAAGGAAATGGTCATCATCCAAGCGGGCATAAGAGGCCAGGCAATCGATTTCCAAGCATACACTTGGGAGAAGAGAGTGTCGTTTTGTGCTTGGAGAGCCTGATGGAAACGCCAGGATGTGAATGAGATGATGATCCAGTTGATGAAGTAGGCAGAGCTGGAAATATTGACGAGCCAGATGAAAAGTTCGTAACCGCCGGCTAATCGCGTCAGATACATGAAATTTGGAGCGACGAAGGAGATTTCTTACAGCTTAAGCTTAGATAGCTCAGGAAAACCGCCACACCACAAGTAATCAGAAGAGCCCATCGAGGTCGTCCACGACTGTCCACCTTTGCGATGACTTCGGGAATCAACCTCTTGTGGGCCATTTCCCTTAGAATTCTCGAAGAGAGGTAGACGGACTCGGCGGCAATGGCAAGAATGCCAGTGATCATGGCTGCATTCATGATATCTGGAATGACCGGAATATTCGCATCGACAACCGCAATGACAAATGCCGATGCCGTCACATCGGAGCCTCCGAGGAGGCGCTCATCGTCAGATCGTACGAGTAATGTGATGAAGACGACACTCAGCATGTAGACGAAGTTGACTCGAAACGGAACCAGTTTCGTCGCGTGGGCCATGGAGAATCGCGGACTCTGGGCTTCGCCGCCCATAATGCCAATCTACAAAGTTCCGCGAGGTCAGTTTTTGGTGCCTAACACTCACGGTAGGCACATGTCTGGGTACCCACGATCTGGCCACTTGATGATCGTGTACGGAGAAAGTGACATGGAATGGAACGGAGGAATTACTTACGAAGACTTGGTCCCCAACACCCGCAAGGGCCAGGAGACAACAATTCGCAAATCCCTAGCCAGAATCTTCAGTATCTTTGGAACTTAAAGACAGCATAGATGTTGACACATACCGTGAAGCCATTTTTGAACGGTGGCAGATCTCGCCAGTATGCTCCATCATGCACGTAGCCATCAGGACCGGCACCACAGACAATGGCCAGAGACAGAATGATGATCATCAGGAACAAGAAGATTTTGATCACTGAAGTTATGTATTCGAACCAGGCGAATATCTTGTTGGGAAGGAAGAATATTGCCAGAACCACGACGAGAAAGATTGTAACTATCCTGTCAGTACTGCGAAGGACGGGGAATAGAGGGGCCGGGAGCTAGGCCAACTTACTAGATGCAGCAATAGGAAGAACGCCCAAGGCCCAATATTGCACGAAGATATCAAAAAATACGGCCTCGAGGGCAACGACAGCGACCCATCCTATTGTGACGTTTTGTCAGTCATGCACGCGTACATAATCTCAGGGGGATATGATCTGATATGACAGAGAGCTCAGCAAGCCTTACCAAGCCATTCAGCAAATCCTGCCCCAAATGCTAATGCCGGATCAACCCAACGGTCCGCATAGTCAATGTAGTTTCCCGACGTTGGAAATGCAATCGTCATCTCGCCGAGTGTCTGCAAGACAGCCCAGACACACGAGCACACGAGAAAGTAGGCGATGACCATGAACCCCGGACCGCCATTGGCTAAAGCTTTGCCTGTGCCGAGGAAAACGCCGCTGCCGATGTTTGATCCTAGCGATATAATCTAGAAAACAGAAAACCCCGGTAAGTAATGGTTGGAACTTTTCTGGTGTCTCTTGAACGGAACCTACATGAATCTGACGAGGACTGAAGGAGCGGTGGAATTGACCGTTTCTGTTGTCTTGCAATTCCGCTTCTTGGATGCTGGCGTCGACGCTGGTGTTGGTGCTGACTCGTAGATCTACTCCGGGCTCGATATTGATGTCCGCTTCCTTTGCCGTTGACGCAAGGCCAGATTTGCGATCGAGATACGACATTGTCGGGCTTTTCTGGGATCAGATCAGGTATTTCGACAGAGTGGATATTAGCAGCTAATCAGCCTCGCCGTAGCAGGGGAGCAGTACGGATTTCGTCGATCGGCATTTGTTGAGCAGTGAGATCGCTCACTGTTATAAGCTTGAGGTGGTTGGAGTCTTGCTGGCCTGCGAAAGTCGTTCAAGAATCAAGTCCTTATCGAGGACCCTGTCTGTATCGCCCTGAAGCTATAGTAAAAAGAATAAAACTTGATACGCTATCATTTCGCTATCAGCAAGAATCGCCCCGAACTCCAAATCATGACTTCTTATCCAGCATTGATCCACCAAGCGAGCCCGTTATACTGGTACTAGGCCGCTTGGGCCAATAATACCTGAGTTTTAACGTTGCCCAGAATGATATACCGCATCAGAAATTCACTAGCGGATTAACCGACGGCTCGACCGCCGGCGATATGACAAACCCGCGCCAGAGGAAGTGGTAATGGGTAGACCAAAATGACAGGATCTATAACCCCGGGATTGGTAAGAAGACTTGACCCCAAGTTGAATGGATCGTGATCAGGTTGCGTTCAGGGCCATGTACCCCAAAGAGTTAGGATGGGGCTGATTACATAATTTCCGGTGCCATAACGGAAAGAACTTGCCGCATCCATAGAAATCTCAGGTCTTCGACATTTGCTATCTGGTTGCAGTCATAGCTTTTCTTTGGCCTCCTGTCAGGGTTCTTGGGTAAATATGTTGTTGTTACCGATTTCGTGAAACGAAGATGATGATAGATGGCCCATGCTGGAGTCTATCATTAATTGGTCGTTATACTGGCATATCAAAGGACGTGCTGGGAATTCACTCTGGCAGGGCAGTGTCAAACTGGAGGTGCCAATTGAGATGTATTTGAATGCTCTGTCTCTTTGGCAACTGGTCCTGCCAGATTACCAGCATATATACATGCTTGGTTGACCCCCTTTTCTACTCCTATTTTTCCCCTATATCCTGCATAGGGGTGATAACCCTTTTCCAAGTAAAAGGTAACTGCTCATTGTTCGACGGCTGGACTCCCTTAATCCAAAATCAGGCAGAAACTTTAGGAAACTCGTCCTGCGTCCTTTGCAGGAGCTTTCTTTCTTAGACACAAGAACAAATCTGGGCAAGCTTTCATCGCAATGGTCAAGCCTCTGGCAACTTGAGAGATTGCTCCTCGTGAGGGCATTGAATTTGCAGTCCTCCTCCCGCTACACCCTAACATTCATCGACTTTCGACCAGCAAAATGCGATGCGAATCCAGTCCATTTTCTCCAAATAGGGAGATGGGTGCACAAGAGCTTGAACCCTGCGGCAATCTGCGTCTCTACGGCTTCACACAGCTTGATTGCTGCTTCTGGGTGTCCGTGTTGCATTGTGGCGCTTTGCACCAGTTCGGCATGGGCAAAGCTATCGAGGACGATGGTTCTGAACATGGAGCCCAGAGCGATCATGCTGCAAGCCCAATCACTCTCAGCAGTTGTTCCGAACTGCATAACGGGCAGCTTGGGTGGGCTATTGTTGTGATTGTCAGACGCCCGCTGAACGAGGCAGAGCTCTCTTTCGTGGGCAATAATCTCGATGGCCGCCTCGAGGCTGGCTCTCAAGAACAACCGGAACGTCTTGAATGACTCGGGCTGGCAATTCTTCGTTGAAGCTGATATCCGCTCAGTTGGGCTAGATGGGCGGAAATGGAAAGCATTCATCATGCCTGAAAGCTCCGCAACGGTGAAGTCAAATATTTGTGTGTAGGCGGGCGGAATTCCCGAATAGATCCAGTGAACATTCTCAGCACTCCGTGTTTGAGCGTCCCCTGCATGTTCCAAGCCGAGGCTTTCGAGCCGCTGATCTTTTCTGCTGACAGGACGCGGCCAGTTCAAATACCGCAAGTGCTCAGTCCTGTCTATCGAGGGCTCTACTGGAGCTGAATTCAGATGGGCGTTCAAATTGTGGATAAACTTCTCTGGGAGGGAATCTCCAAGTTCGACAGAGCCAAGCTCCTCGACGAGACCTTCAGCTGATGGGAATGCATAGGTACAGAAGATTTTGATGCTGTGTAGCAGATATTTGCCAAGGAACTGCTGGGATTCTGTTTGCTGATCACGGCAGGATGGCAGGACGGATTCAACCAAGCCACAGTAGAGCACCGACGCAACAACGATCATCAATCCCGTACAAGGCATTCTGAGACTCTGAGACACGCTGGAGTGGGAACGCACAAAGTCTTCCAGTAACTCGAGCATTTCAACGCTTGCATGTGCTCTATAATGCTCGACATAAGATTCGGCACCAGGAGCTAAGGCTCCCAGATATTCTCTTGGTGAGAGAAATGTTGAACGACCACAAACGCTCTGGTTCGGGTCTTCAGCCATTTGGCTCGCTGACAACAGGTGATTTGCACGTGCAAAAACCGCGATAGCTCGAAATCGAGATAAGTGTGTATCTGCTTCGTGTAGGTTGAAGACTGAAAGGTCCGCGAGGAAGTTCAACTGCAACAGTCGCAAGGGAGAGTAGCCCGGGGTTTGTGGTGTAATTATATCTCCGAGGAAATGTGCAAATCTTGCTCTAAAGGAGCCTCTTCTCAAATTTTTGGCTTCAGCGATAGACATGAGGGTGGCTGGAATGAGTCCACCTGTAAACGAGTCAACAGAGACCTATCAGCCCGATAAACCTAGTTAATGCCTCACCAGGAATGAAGACGTTGAAGCTCAGGACATCTGCCCGAATACACTCGGTCCAGAACAATGTGCTTCGTTGTGCCCTTTTGGCTTCTTTGGCGCACATATGGCAGACTGGTCCGGGGGAGCACTGTACCCAAGAGTTTGGCTGTCATACACACAGGATAGATGGCGGCAGGATGCCTTACCCTCGACTTTTTCCACTTGCAACGGAGACAAGCTCCACCCTGTTCGATCACCTGATCTCTGTTCTGCTGGTCCGTTACGTTCCTTTTCCTCTTTCGATGGCAGGTATCATATGAATGATACCCCACATTCAAGATGCCGCATCCTTCCAGAGGGGTCTGTCTCCTATTCGATCCATCGATGAATTGGACCATGGGTATATAATCGGGCTCCGGGGATTCTTGTACATGCATGGAGCCAGAGGTATTCGCTGATACTTGAGCTACAAAGCTGTTTAGCTAGATGCCATGGCATAGCTAGCGAGCCACTCACAAAAAGGATTTGTGGTGTCATAGAGTGAATCTGGTCGTCCGTTGTGATTAAACTCTGACTCCAGAGTTGGTAGGGCGTCCTGATGTTCCGCTATTGAAGATGAGAGCTGAGGGGAGGTATGCTGATGAAGACTGGTCACAGATACATGGCACTGCATGATTGTATCTTGTCGTAAGGGTTGTTGGTTCAACTGCATCGGAAGATTTAGCTCTGTTTTACTGAAGATTTAGGTGGCTTACCGAGCAGTGTCTCTCTTGGGAGGGGGTAGTGCCGGTTAACTCTTCTTGGAGAACTAGATCAATGTTGTCGACTCCCACGACAGCATTGGTCTCGCTGCTATGAAAGTTCTGGGGCAGGGAAGAGATTGATCCGAGGCCTTCATTAAGCGTTGTTTGATCGAGGTCATATCCAGGAGACTCGGTTGAGACGGAGTCCGGGTGGTTGGCCATAGCGTCCAAATTCAAAAATTCGTGGAATTCCCAGTCTGAAGGGTCAGAAAGGCTTGGGTCCTCATGCCAGTCCATCTTTGCACACTGCCGGACGGAAAGTGCTGAGTTGGGCGAGCTCGCAGACAGGCAATTGAAGAAAAGAGCCAAACTCGACGACAAAAACTTGAGAAGACCTGTAAATGAAAATTTAATGGTAAATTTTCCTTGCCACCATAGCTTTGTGGCCCAAATTCCCACAGGCGTTTCAGTATTATTATCAAGACTCTGTCACTCTGCCGCAGTCCCAACGAGGCTAAGTTCGATGGGGCCAAAGACTAATTCGCTCTGCCGGCGTCCCAATATGGCTAGCACGGGAATGGTTGCCGTTGGCTGCGACAAAGTTGATCCCCAACGCTGCCGTTGACCATTTCAGAAGGTTCGTATGAGAATAGAGGCTGGGTTCGAGCCGTGGCCGGCCATGGATTCAAAGAGAAGCTCGTCCAACATTCGCATCGTGGGAATATCATTTCGAGCCAAAGCATACCCCATTGTACAGCGTACAAGTTGTCCATCATGTCTTCCACATCCCAGCAAGATGCTTCTGAAAAAGGGTTTGATGGCCAGTGGCAACGTGGCGAGATACTTTCATTACTACAACTGCTCTTTATGATATTGATTTTTGGAGTGGAAGTGCTCTTCAAGCATCGAAGCATTTGTGGGTTCGCAGACACCTTGGGCTTGCATGTATTGACTATAATAAAGCAAGAGGTCATACAACTGTGGTACGTCACAGTGCCAGTGTTCTCATCGAAGATGAATGAGTCGAGAATGAACGAGGGACCGAGAACGGCCATTCATGTGGAACCTCTAGACAGGACGGACACATGGAAGATACACTTGTCCGAGCTAGGGGGATTGGTTTCCAAGTCGAAGACAATTTGAAAAAGAATAGTGAATCAGGATGTGGTCATGACTGCATACTGCAATGTCGTCCATGGTTTGTGTGTGATGGGGCCTGTGGATGGAAGGACGTGGATTCAGGACAAAGATCGTACCAGGGCGAAGGGATATACTAGTCTAAAGACCGTATTAGTACGAAGGTTATATCAGCCGAAGGCGGTACCAGTTCGAGGATAGACGAGCGTAACACTCATGCTGGCATAGTACTTATACGTGTAATGGGTTTATAGCTTAGTAGCGAAACAAGGCTAAAGTCCGAACAATTCGAAGACCGACAATGAAGGACAATCCCGCGCATGTTTTCGGAGGAGAAGCCGGTCATGACCTATCTGCTAGCGTAAGTAGGATTAATGGACCACAAAACTCTTTTGTCCAACACCATGGTACTTAGCCTCATGGCAGTTGAATGATACACGACCACTCATTTTGGTGGCCGAGCAGGACAAACATAGATGTGGTGGATGATTTATCGGTTGCAATAGTAGTGCTTCTTTGGCAAACCGCGCAGCCACAAGTATGCGAGCCATCATTCATGTGCAAGATGGGTAAGTTCCGCAGCTTCGAGCTATAGATGCGCTTCAACGTGCAGAGTATTTAGGATCTGAGGCAATCGTGTAGTTATTGACAAGACCTCTAATAGAAACTGGATCGACTAGACATGGGATGGGTAACCGTCTTGATTGATACTTATCTTGTAGATAGACTCGGATGAATGACAAGACATGGCCCTCAAGACTCGATTTTCCGCATCACGCTCATCTTCAAATCCATCCAACCAATTTTCCGCTTCAGCAATTCTGCCCTTTCGGGTACGTCTAGCTCCTGAGCCGGATATTTTTGTTCTTCAAATGGTACTATCGCCAGGGGTTTGCAGAAATTGGCTGGCGCGACGACCATTGCCACTGATAGCGCCCAGAATGGTGAGATATGCTCCTTTCCTCCCCCAGACGAGGATCGCTGTTGGCACGACATCATGGAAGACATGGCAGACATCTTCACAAATCCGGACGCAGTCTTCGAATAGCGAGGGAGATTCAACTGGCTAGAGTGGGTTCCAACAAATTTCGAAAGAGGTGATTCTAAGAACGTGTTTGATTATGTCATGGTCATCGTCAACGTCCACATGTCCCGAAGCCTGTTGCATTATGACAGGAATGCTTTCGAGGCTGAGGCCCTTTTCTAGGTAAATGCAGCGATTGGTCAACCTCAATTCATATAATTAATCTACCCATATAGTCTTCGAATCGATATGATCTTTCTATGCCCCCCCTTTTGTACATGTCAACAAATCACAACTTGGCCTTACCCGCTCTCTTCTCGTACATCCTAGCTTCTTCCTCCTCTCTCAACTCCTTCTTAGCTTGCTCCTTAATGACTCTCCTCAAAATCTTGCCCGACACACTCTTCGGCACAGCCTCAACAAATTTTATCCCTCCACGCAATTTCTTGTGATTCGCCACTTTGTTGTTTAACCAATTGACAATCATTTCGGCATCATTAGGTTGAACAGCGGACAAGCCCCCTTTACGCACAACGTAGGCCCGAGGGACTTCAGTGCCGAGTTCGGTGCTGTCAACACCCACGACGGCGACGTCATCAATGAGTTCATGATTCGCGAGATAGCCCTCCAATTCTGCCGGAGGTACTTGGAAGCCTTTGTACTTGATGAGTTCTTTGACGCGGTCGGTGATTGTCAAGTTTCCTTGGGCGTCGAGGAAGCCGACGTCGCCGGTGCGGAACCAGCCGTCTGTAAGACACTCGGCCGTCGCGGAGGGGTTGTTGTGGTAGCCTGTGAACACGTTGGGGCCTTTCACGTACAGCTCTCCGACTTGTCCCACGGGAAGTTCTTTGGTGCCGTCGGATTCTTCGCCCGCTCCCGGTACGGCGCAGAACTTCGCCTCGAGATTCGGGACCATCCACCCAGTTGAGCCGACGGTGTTGAGCCAGTCTTCCCACCGTTGCATGAAGATCGTCGGGCTGGTTTCGCTTAGGCCATAGCCTTGTTTGACGCGTACGCCTTTACGCTTGAATAGTGTTTCGACCAGGTCTCGTGTCAGAGGCGCGGCACCGGAGTTCGTCATGCGGAGGGAACTGAGATCGTATTTGTCTACGGCTGGGTGCTTGCACAGGAGTAACACGATGGGTGGGACGATGTAGCTGAATGTGATTTGATGGTCTTGAACGAGACGGCACCATTTCTCCAGATCGAATCGTGCCAACACCATGGTGTGCGCGCCCGTGTAGATCGGGCAATGCACTAAGCAATTGAGGCCGTAGATATGGAAGAATGGCAAGCAAGCTAGGATCTTGTCGCCTTTGCCCTTCGGCGGATCCGGGATGCCAGGCACAGCCATGGAGCCGTTCCAGGACAGCCAGGGTTCAGCGCCGTTGACCTGCTGGACGTTCGCCGTCATGTTGAAGTGGGTGAGCTTGACGCCTTTGGGTCTGCCTGTTGTTCCGGATGAGTATACCAGAAAAGCGAGGTCGGTTTTGGGGGATATCTTGGGAGTTCGGTATCGAGCTGTGCCTTCGAAGTTACGGACTAGAGTCCAGTGTTTGAATGTTCGAGTTGGGTCACGGTCTTTCCCTAGGATGATGATATAGGAATCGGGGATTCCGACTTCCTTGCATGCTTTCCTCGCATTGTCGAGCACGCTCATGTGCGTCACAACCACTTTTGCACCGGAATCTTTGAGCTGATACACCAATTCGGGGACCCTGTAGCCTGGATTTGCAGGAGAGACAATGCCGCCGGTCCAAAGTGTGCCGAAGACGACCGGAGCAACATCGATGTCGTTAGGGACGTATAAAGCTAGCACATCGCTTTTGCGAAATGCATGGTTTGCTCTCAGCCCCTTGCCGAAGTCAATACTGGATTGTTTAATCTGGGAAAAAGTGTATTGGCGGTCGAGATTGTCCGCGTCTTGAAAAATGACTACAATATATGCATTAGTATGGATCCATGGATGAGGGTTCTGGTACCGTCGCGTTTCGTGGAGAAGGTCGTACAAAAGAAATTTTCCTCCATCTTTCAATGGGCCGGCTATGTTCTCGAACATACCTTGATTGTCAGGAAAGGGTCTATCCTTTCGATTGAAGAGGAAGGAGAAAATATCTGTGACCTGAAGATCGAGATCAGGGAAATTTGATCTGATCGGCATTGCCACGGTTGCTTGGAATTGGGTGTTTTCTAAAAATGCGCTGGAAGCTCTCGTGTCTGCAGAACGAGTGTCATGAGAAAAGTTGCAATAATAGAATAATCTGTCTCGTCGACCGAAGCCCAGGAAGAGTGTATGGGAGGGATATATGGATAAATATGTTAGAAGACAAGAGAGACACAAGACAGATGGATAGAACCGAGGACCCTGGGCCTTGAACCTGGGGTAAGTTAAACTAGTTACGGTGGCCCTCAAAGTTCTAGGCGGCAAACTTGCCGAGGCTCGCGAGGCTGTCCAATCACAGCCTTGCGGAAGCCGTGTGTCAAAATTGCCTCCTCGCTGTACGGACGTAAATCGGACTTGCGATACCGGACATTGCACATTTCGATGTCGGTATCCCGTGCATTAGTCATTATGTCTGGCCCTTTCTGCTGTTCCCACATTACCTATCTCAACGAGAATCCTATTTGTACGGAGCCTCTTTGCCGAGCATCTTCAGCCTTGTGAGAAAATAGTCGTCAAAAGCACCGCGGCACTGCGGGCTGCACATTAATCAGGAAAGGAGGGGGAGGAGAAGTAGGGGGTAAAAGCTGTTTTCAGCTACATATGTACTGTGTAGTGCGTTGTTCACTCATTTGTCCTTTCCAAAACGCCCAAACGCCATGCTAGCTCTTGCACATACCATTCAATGCATGAGACTTACAATGTATCTCCTCCAAATCCAAGGAGTTCAACGGCTACATTGCCCACCGTAGACAATGTCCACAATATGATCAAACCCAGTCCAATTTTGCGGTCCATCCTCCAACCATTCAATGGCACCACAATCAACAACCCGACCAATGTTACCAGTAAGGTAACACCGGAAATCATCAACGTCGTACTCACGTCAATCTCGTAGGGTTTGTATTTGATCGGCTTTTGAGGGTGCTTGGCGTGCTTATGTGTCGCTTTGTGAATGGTCATGTACATACCTCCAATGCCAATTCCAAGGAGGATATTCAACATGGGACCTCCAAGACAGGCTGACAGTGCCATCACAGGAAATCCGAGTTTGGCCACGGTAATATCTGCCACGAGATCACCCAAGGAGTTGCCCACTGCAAAGATGGTCAATCCAAGAATGGCATCGGATATTCCCAAGATGACTCCAAAGGCCTTCAATACTCCAACCACTTCATTGGCAATAGTTGAAATCCATCCGATAGCCACGACGAACCCCAAGAAACACAACAAGGGTCGGTATTTTGGTTCACGATCGGCCGTGGTGGATGAAAGGAGGACGGCGAGCGATACAAGGGAAAAGATCAGAGATCCTAACACTAGCCGAACATAAAGCTTGATGGTGTGATCATCATCCATATTTGCCCAGACAACGGTCACCACGAACAGAGGGGCCGTGAAGACTTGGAGGAGGACAAGCCACCTATTCCACTCCTTTGATGCAGATACTTCATCGGCTTCTGGATTGGGACTTTTAGGGTAATCGGACATTTGTCGTGATATTCCGGTTTCATAGGGATGAGGCTGACCGAGGGACGGAGATGTCTTTGGAGCAATGGTAGGAGTATCTGACAGCAGTTCTACCCGACTTGGAGCTCGACTCCGAGTTTGTCCCGTGGGTGTCAACAATCCAGGATCAGTGTCTGCCCTCTTGTCTTGGGGTTCAACCACTGGGAGAGTGATGGTCAGGAGAAAGACACTTGGAGCAGTAATCAGGCCCAATATCCGATCGAGAATCGACTTCTCCCGCCATCCATAAATTGTCGGGAAGAGTATTGATACAATTACTTGAGGAGCTGGTAGGTATTTATATGGCCACCATGAGAACCGGCGCATCGTCTCCTCCTCTTCTGGAAGGAGACCAAGGTGGTGGGCAGACTCCGGAGACACGCTGGGGGCAGGTAAGTGAATACTTGGAGGCCTCGAGGATATTGGAGTGAGAAGCATTGGTGAATCCATATAGGGTGGAAAATCTTCTGGTTGCAACACGGATCGCTTATGGTCAGGATGTGGAGTATGCAAAATCGGCACTTGCAGGGTCGGACCAGTTCGGGGCGAAAGCGCTGGACTCCGACTTTCCGATCGATGTTCGTCATTGTAATCGGGACGATGGAACGTTGTGGTCGGAGGGGCCAGAAGATTGGGTGACTTAGCAGGCTCAGGTGAAAGACTTCCGGTCTCTGATGGTAGTTGAGATCCAGAAGGTGACACGATAAGTTTTGGAGAGGGTAACCGGGGATGACTAGAAGGCTCATTCAGTGTGCGCAATATACTGGCGCTCGCCCTCGGAGGTTTGGCTGCATTCGACGATGATGATCCTTCACTGGTGAGGACCGTTTCAGAACCCCGATCGGATGTTCGATCAGACAGAAAATCCGTATTAATCCGGAGACTCGTGGCATCATTTGCAGATACTGCTCGCCCACGGACGCCATGTCCGTGAGGCTGTCTCTCCACGTCCACATACCTTTGGTGGCTGACGCGTTCTGGATGAGAGCCACCAGGAGAAGCGCTGACCGGAATCGGACTCAGCGCACTTGTTGCATCATCTGAGTATCTGCGAAGACCAATTGGTTGAGTGCTCGTACCCTTCTTCTCCAAAGACGTCATAAGAGATCTGAATTCCAGTGCGCCAATCAAACTCGGCCGAATGGGTGTCATGGTATTCCTCCTTTCCCCTCGGGCTGCTCGACTCACTCTCATTTTGCTTTGCAACTCGGCGAGATATCGATCTCGTGCCTCATCATCTTCGTCGAGATCTTCAATCTTCCAAGCTGGAGTTCCGGGAGTGCGCAGCGTTGGAATGGTATCGCCCGACGATGCCCGCAGAAGGTTGGTACGCTCGTTTGCTGGACGAGACTCTTCATCATCATCAATTTCAGGCACTTCGAGTTCTTGGGCGTCTGGAATGTGATGATGCAATCGGGCGGTGGTTTCAGAGAGCCTGATCCTTCGTCGTCTCAAAAGCCACCAATGCCATGAGACCACAAAGATCACGTAGAAGACATAGAAGGCGATCATGGTGATACACTCCCACGGCCGCAAACTGCCGTCGGATAGGAAGACCAGGCTGAAACTAGCAGCCACGGCGAAGAATCCCACATCCCGAATGAAGCTCTTTCGAGCCACTTTGAAGGGCTCGACCAAGGCCATACTTCCAGCAACAACAGCCGTGATGAAGCTGGCAGCACCAATCAATTCTCCTACCGCCAGGCTTCCACTGTTGCTGCTCATGGCGGCGAAGGTGGAGAAGACGTCGGGACTGCCATTTCCAAAGGCCAGGAATGTAACGCCTGTCAAACTCTCGCTCATGCCCAGGATACTGGCTATTGTACTCAAGTTTATGCAGAGGAAGTCGGAGGCGGCAATACCGATGGTGCTGAAGAGTAAACTGACCCACATCACCAGGATGATGAAAGCGACAGGTTTGGCATTGGCGAGGGAGCAATAGTAGAGTTGTAGGTATGAAATCAGACCGGCTTCTTCGTCAGGGCAGTTCTGTTTTATGAAGGAACATTTGTCGGGGGCATTATGAACGAGTCGACACTAGATTCGCGGTGTGTTAGCTGAGAGCGCACGTGTCGCGGAAAGGTCATAGGGAACACACCTCCAGGTCGCGTGCGTCAAGGGACCGAGCAGCGATTGATCGGGTGTGACGAAAGTCGCCATGACCGAGACCTCGGAGAAAGCTATAGCAGGCAAATAGAGTGATGATGAGGGCCGTGGTGTAAAAGGTACGACCTTGATGGCGTAATGGGCGCATTTGAGTCGAACGACGGGCGGGGGCCATGAGGAAGGTCGCAATTCATGCTGGAGCCCGTGTTTGGAACATTGAGGAGAAAGTCAGAGGACAAAGAGAGATACGGGATATAGAGAAGGAATGGCAAAGGTATTGTAGAAGGAAATCCGTATCTATTCAATCACTACTTAAGGCAGCCGTTGCGCAGTTTTAGGGTTGGAACCGAGAAGTGGGATGAGGGTTTCACGCCTCCGCTGGCGGAAAAGAAACGGGAACAAGATGTCCAAACACTTCCGGCCAATTGTGCACGGCACCCGATTGTTCGAGGGCTCCATGGGTATTCGTTGCCATATTCCTTGCACAGCCACAACTCCAGTTTATCCATCCATGACTGCTGAAATGTTTTGCCGGGTCCTCGAGCCACAAGGCATGTTCCTTTTTGTGCCTGCGAGGCGAGGCAGACAAATGGGTCCAGGCTGATTTGGGAGTGTGAATTCACATGGCCGTACACATGTTCGAGACATCCTATCAGCCTCTTCCAAATTTTTACATTTCTACATGAGGCGCTATAAACGCTGCTACAGTATCTGTGCCGAGGCTCTCGCCAGGATATTTTCCCCCCCAGAAATTTTTACTGCCCCGTCGGCTCTGTCTATCAATCGATTGATGGCTTTCCCACGTCTCCTTTATTAACGACGCTGTCCCCTATTGCTTCATGACATCCCTTGCAAGATGAGTCATTCGTCACCATGGCTCCTACTTTCGCAGATGTCGTTCCAATCAAACAACTTTCCTCTCATGAATACACCATCCACCTAAAAGATGAATGGTGTGTAGGAACAGGTCACAAAGAGAGATTCTCCCCGCTCTGCCTCCTTATCTATTGACATCTTCCAGTTCCCAATGGCGGATACGTCACCTCGTCCTTCCTCGTTGTCGCCCGCACCCATATGGCTCTCACCCACCCAACACGCTCCGAACCACACCCGATAAACCTCCACTTAGAATTCCTACGACGCACCTCTGTCGGTCCGGCCCTCTTCACCGTGAAAGACGTGAAGCTCGGCGCGCGCATCAGCAACCTCCACATCGTGCTGTCTCAGAAACAAGCACATCACGATGAATACCAGGACGAAGCAGAAGGATACATAACCATGAGCAATATCGCCGCCGAACAGGGGCTGAGCCTCGACACATCTTACCAATTGTACCCCCCGGCCTTGCCCGCCGACCTACAGTCGCTTGCCACGCAAGGCTACGACGCAAACTACACCATGCGTGCAAAGGACCCTTTCCCACAATTCCGTCGCGCGGCGCAAAACATCCAAATGTTCCTAATAAACCCGGAGCGCAAACCAGCGGGACGACCGAAAGCCATGAACGATCAATGGGTGCGGTTTGCGCCGAATCGGGTGCCTAACGGCCGCTGGACCAACGACGCCCTCGGCTTCCTGGTGGACATGTTCCCGCAGATCGTCGAGAGCTATGTCAACCCGTTCGTCGAAGAGGCCGCTCTCGGGCAACACTCTGAAGCCGAGCTGCAAGAATTCCTGCGTTCCAACGAACCGCGGGCCAAGTACTGGTACCCGACGCTGGCGCTGAACTTGGACATCAAGAAACTGCTCCCTGACGAAGGTGTTGAATGGTTATTTGTGCGTACGCGGGCCAAGGCGATTCGGAACGGGAGATTCGATCTAGACATTGAGGTCTGGGATGTCGAGGCCGAATTAGTCGCGTCCAGTTGTCATGCCAGTTTGATTGTCGATGCGTCCAGGAATACCACGCGGAAAGCCAAGAAGGAGAAGTTGTAATTGTGGAGACGGTATTGGATATTAATAGAGACAATCGGCCCTCATATAGACCTTAAAGACATGAGAGCCCCGTTGGAGAAATATTATTATTCATTATCACTTATCTGCAGAATGAGGACGATGGCGGTGCTCCGAATATTGTCCGCACCAGAGCTTCGCATACCTCGTCCTTTCTGTCATTGGACTGCGATCTCATCGACCATGGCTGTACATTTTTGGAATTATTCTGATTGACTTAATTTTCCCCGTCATCGCCGCGATCTCTCCCTTCCTACAAGACTGCAGCAACACCCAGCCCCACGACCCCCATGATTCCTGCCCACTCCTGCCTCAAAATCTGTGCGGCGCCGGTATATGTTGCCGGTGCACCACTGGCAGCGACATAGCTGCTGGTTGTGGTCGCCGAGATCGTCGCGGGAGCCGTAGTGGTCGGTGCCGGGGTGAAGGTGGGACCGGCAGCACTGCTAGATGGAAGAGTGATGGTCACGCCACCACTCAGGCAGTATTGCTGGGCGAATGTAAGGGTTGCTGGTTAAAGTCAGGGTCGTGGGCATTGAGAGGATGTAGTGCAGAAGACCTCCCCCGTCAGAAAATTGCGAAATCTTATCGACGTACCTTGCTGATCCGCCGGACTGCAAGCCGTGCTAATGCATGACGCCACAGAAGACAGAAAAGTACTCGCGGAGCAGATACAATGGGCGTCGGTGACGGCACAACCGGTGCTGCTAATAGCGCTCAAGGCACATGTTTGCTGTTTCAATGTCAATATACGGTTTCATCCAGATCTGAACAGAAACTCACAGCGCACTGGGGGAGACTCGAAAGGTCTTGCGAGGTCGCAAGGTGGAATAGGGACAAGAGGCCGAGTGGAGCGAGAGAGAGCACGCGCATTTCGTCGGATTTTGTGAGTGTTTGGAAACTCTTGTAGAATCCACTGATGTTGTTGGGTAGTTCGACAGCCTCGAACGGTGATCACAAGAACGAGTGAGAGGGTAGAAGAGCGAATGATCAATCCAATACGATGTATGAGACAAATTACCTTATCTCCATGCCACGAGAATAGAGAAGATGAGAGGGTCGGTGAGGAGGTGGCACCGGAGTATATGGCACTACAACTCTGGACAGGTCGTTTCATAGAAAGATCAATTCATGGCCCGATGCCTGAACTTCAGTAGCTCTTCGAGGAGAGGTTGCCTCATTCGGGAGGGGAAACTCCGATCACTTAGTTCTGGAGACATCCTCGTTCGGCTAGGAAGCTGGCGGTGGTAGGTGAAGACAACAAAGACTTCTCAGGTCGGGGGGTAACGATCTCTGCCGCTTCAGCTAAGGGTGTGCAAGCCATCATACGAACAAGGGCTGCATGTCTCAGGCAAACGATGGTCTAGGCCGGATGCATGAATGCAAAGTGACGAATGGAAAAAGAGAAGAGAAGCGAGAAGCTCTGGACAGGCTCGGTTGGAGGATGTGGTGGAAGTGTTTTTTCGTATTCCATGAAGACTAGGAAGAGGGGTATGACGGGGAGCTGGTTGGTGGAAGGAGCACATCGCTTCCCGCAAGGGGCTGCACAAGTGTACGACACTGAGAGGCGGAGAAATCAGGCGAGAAGAATCCTGAGAGCGGTCAGCAATTTTGGAGTGGTTGAAAAGAACATAAAGAGAGGTGGACACTCCCGCCAAAACGCTCTATTGGGGAAAACTACCTTCCTCAGCAACATCGAAACTACTTCTACTCATTTGCAGCCTGGCCTTTGGTGCTACAATCTTCTGCAGCACTGTTTTGTATCATCGCCACCTGTGATCACATGGCCAAAGATCGCACACTTTACACACCTCTCCGCATTCTGGCCCCGGGACTTAGCCTTCGTTATGATTTGCTACCGTTCGCGCCCAGCTAGACCCATGAGTTTCAGCCTCAACATGCCAATGCCTCCTCTCTTACCTTCCTCCATCGATGACCATCGCAAGCGTCAATCAACCTTACAGTGGATCCGCTCAGCGCCACTACCCGTATCCTCGCCCTCATTGAATTGTCCGGAGTTTTAATGAAGTCCTTCAACACCGTGCGGAAGGTTCTAAAAGAAAGGGTCAATATTGTCAGAGAAATGAACAACATCTATGGCTTGCTCACGAATCTTCATTTCCTGTCGAAGATGCTCAATCAAGTGGCCCATAGTTTAATTGGATCCGGCTCTTGGTTATCAAGAATAGCCCTCTGGGCCAACTCAAATTGACACTGGAGGGACTGGTAGTGTTAAAGTTGAATCTGAGAGCAAGTTGAGAGATTTACTTTTTGGAAGTATAACAAAAACGAAATTGGGGAGGCTCTGAATCCGAGAGAGCACTTGAAATTGTTGACCAATCTCGGCCTTACCAATGACCTCTTCAAGTTGACCTAATCGATCCAGGATGATGTCGTCAAAATTTCTCCGAATGGAAAACAGTACTCAACGCCACTATCATTGACCGATTCAAGGGCTGCCGGCTCTGGACATGAGAAAGTCGTCCGACTTCTCATCGACGCAGGTGCGGTTGTAATAACCATCCAGGCCCTGTGGTTTTCTTACTCCCTTGGCCTCGGAACACATTTTATCAAACGCCACTGTGCCGCATACTGCGTGCTATGGCGGGAACCTGGAGATCCTCCAGAGTCTCGTTGATGCCGGGGCAGACATCAATGCCCGATGTGGCGCCCATGCCACTGCACTGGAAGCCGCTGTGCAGAGTTATACGGCGTCCATGACAATACAATATAGAATTGCCAGGAATAGCGAGAAGGAGCGGGTTGGATGCAATCCTGGTGCTCATATCGAAATAACCCGTCTGTTTCTCTCTCGGAGCGTCGATCTATCCTCTGTACTTTGGGCCGCATGTGACATTGCGCTCACGGAGTTGTGGCATCTTCTCCCGAATGAATGCAGGAGCCTCAGCCCACACTCGGAATAAATGAAGAGACCCCTTGCTCCCCAAAAAAATTCCATAACGGCAATATTGAGGCACTGAGTTCACTCATGGAGCATGGCGCTGGTATCATCCTTGTCGACTTTTATGGATGTAGCTGCATTGACCACGGTATCGCCGCACTAGGTGGTTTAGAGCAGATTGGAATTTTGCAGCACCAAAATCGAACAACACCGGAGGAGATCCAACCGAGTCGAGTTCGCCAATCGCTCTTTCATTATATCGACATAGTCTAAAGCTCCGAAATTAGAAAGGGTAGGGTACTGCCTCCAGGAGGCGGTCGAAGCCGTCAAAACCTTTCTGGTGAACTGCTTCTTTGGAGGGGGGATTTTCACATCGCATGTGGTGCAATGGCTACATTTCTCTGGAAATTCAGCACGCTCGTCGAGCGTGTTTAATCTGACAAGACCTCGATCTCTGTGAGTCTTTGGGAAATATCAAGCAGGAAAGTTGCAAACTCGTCTGAGTTGTGGGCATGATTTCCTAGAAGTCCGGCAGCGAGCATCACCCTCTCCTGAAGACATGGGAGAAGAGTCGGTGAGATTCTCTTCGCCAGCAGATGGAGCTCTCCACAGTTCACGAATATTCCATCAGGCATGCGAAGCTTTACACAATCGCCAATACTCATCATTGTCGATGCTCGCCATATACGGTGCGCTGCATGTCTGCGGAGTCTTTTCTCCATAACCTTCTTGGACCGACAAACACACTATTACATACAATGGTTTCAGGATCTTCGGGTACAGCATGAGACAAGACACGGGCTCTTATCTATTCATCTGTCATCTCGTTTTCCTACCTCGTTCTGTGTCCATTGAGACTCAGACAAACTACCCCGTTCCTGGTACCTTCGAAATAAAGTTTCCGTACCCCGTACCTTATTCCCCTTCAAGTCAAAGTCTCCAGGCACCCACGTGCTTAGCCCCTAGCGGTCCCCTTGGCCGCAGGTTGCTGCCTTGAGCTAGACTCCTTTGCTAGGTAGTATGAAATTCTATATGCACTATCTACCTAGATGCGGAGTCTCTTGGTGACACGGGATAACTGTCGAAGGTCAAAGTATCTGAATGGTATATATTCTTAACATCTTCCTCGGAAGAAAAGAGTTCAACAATCCATATCTCAATCTCCACGCTCAACTCGATTTAACGTCATCATGGCCGACTCTACCACCGCTACTAAAACGCCCTTCACCGGCTCTTGCCACTGCGGCTTCATCAAATACCGAGCACACCTGTCCCTCGGCGACCCGCCGACTGCCACCCGCTGCAACTGCACCGTCTGCCTGAAACAGGGTTTCACTGGCACTCGGCTCGCTTCGCCATCTGACTTCGAATTACTCTCTCCCTCGTCTCTCTCTGAGGTGAAAGACTACCAAATACGCTCCAAGGACGTACACAAGCACTTCTGCGGCAATTGTGGGATCCATGTCCTTGGGCGGGGGAAATATGAGTATCAAGGCGTCACTCATGAGTTTTGTTCGTTGAATATCCTGACGCTCGATCAACCGCAGGACGGGCTGGATTTGAGTAAGTTCAAGATTCAGTATTGGGATGGGAGGAATGATAATTGGCAGGGCGGGACGAAGGATGTGCCCTGGCCAGGTGGGTGTGTTTGAGTGATTGACCGGGCGATGGTTTGATGGTGTGCTTTTGCTCTCCCTGTGTGTCATTCTCCTGTCCTGCTTTTGTTTCTTTGGATGTAGTGAGACGAAGAGATCCTCTGTGGAGCGATGGTTCCAGTGGCGGAAAAGGCTTTGATATGCTTCCCCTCATCCCGACTGAACATGTTCTTTGTTTTCTCTCGAACTTCGCGACCTCTGATATGGCTCAAAGATCAGGCAATCTTTGGAGTCTCCGAGCATCTTTATCGCACCATCTGAGAAAAGCTGACAGCAGAGAATGACTATGAATTCCCTCCGTTGTGTCCTGTCAATCAGTGTATTGATGCATGAAACGGTCGCTCGATTACTGACGACCGTCACCCTTGCGCTTGCACAGTTCTCATCGCGGTCCTTGAACAGGGACTGGCTAATGTGTATCTTTGGACTAAACAGACTGCTTCGACGATTAGTTTCCCACCCCTTCCCCTGTCGAATGTGCACCTTAATATTTAACTGACCTGACACGATTGCAAGGTTCTCGATCTCGCATCCTTTTAATGGAGCTAACGAGGCTGACTGTATTCCAAGTTCTCCATCCTCCTCAACCACTCCATTGAATGCCTCTATCAGGATGCTCAATTCCCAGCCTTTTCCCGCGCGAGTCGACGTATTTCCTCATCAAAGCTACCGCTTCTCGAGTATGGCCTTGCGACTTCCAGGTGTAAGCAAGATAATTCATATTTCCCAGCGTGTCAGATGCCCATCTCCCAGCACGCTCTTCCTCGTCTCTAGGACTTGCGCCCGTAGTTCTCTGCTTCTGCCCATCCACTCATTTCCCCGTAAACCTTCGTCAGGAGACTCATAGCCCTGAGCATATCAAGATGCTCTGGGCCAATTTCCGCCTTTTGTCCATCTACGACCTCTTTCAGATGCTCCCCTCCTTTATCCCAATCGCCATTTTTACTCGGCGCATATCCAAGAAATGCATAAGCGACCCAGGTTCTATTGCCCCTTTCCCTGAATGCTTTTTCTCTCCAATCAACAACTTTGAATGGCAAGCTGACAGCTTCTTGGTATTTTCCATCACATACAAGCTAGTAACCCATCTTGATGTTCAATATTTTTACCTATGCAAAGAGTCACAAAGAGCCTGAGCATGCGGCACGTTTGTCAACCACTAGGTTCTGTGTTAGTAGTCATAAAATGAGGGGCGTTCATTCAACTGCCTCATACCGGTTATCGTCCAGTACTTTTCGCGGTTCTCCCTTCTGAGCCAGTTTTGAGTCGCCAAACGTACGAGGCAATATACGTCGCACACCAGGTCGGAAGAACTAGCGTCATTGCGCTCCTATAGGAAACAGTACGATGTGATCAATCCTAGAGCTTCGATCATCTCAATCTTACCGGATCACCTGGTAACAGAGACTGATGGATGTTCCTTTCATTGAGGCACGAGATGAATGATAGGCAGGCCGCTGCTACAGAATTCTGGCGTCGAATTTATTCGAAGGAGACCAGCGACATCGTCGCAACAAGGTTCTTTGCTTCCTTATATCTCCTGTCGGCTTGAATGTCCTTGCTGAGCAACCTGATCACATTCTCATCCGTATCATTGAGGATGTCTGTCTTGATATTCTATTTTTGTTGATGTATGTCGCTGCCTGGACAATAGCTAGTAGTAGGTGAGTTAATTTCTCAAGTAGATCGAAGCAGCGTCGAGGTCGGCCAGGGCTTCATTAGTCAAAACTTCCGGCTTCGCAAGTGGCCTTGTCAACAGCCTCATGCTCTTCCATCTCTCGTAACTCGAGTCCCTTATTGCGTGCCAAATCGATAGCTACCTTCCCGTTTTGGGTTTTCACAAGAATTGATCCTAGAGGGGAATCAGGTGAGAAATCATACAATGGTGTATCTTTGCCCCAAAATGCTTCATCGTCAGCGTTGTCGATTATCATGAACCATGGACCTGTCGATTCCTGACTCGGGTGCTGTTTGACGAGGTTCTTGACATCAATTCTTGTATCGTCGATTTCCTGGATCTTGAGGATTTCCCAATTTTATATGTGTCCTTGTCAAATGTCGAAGGTCCATAGTTTGAACCCAGAAGACTGACCGCTGCGGGCGTAGCAACTTCGTGCGTTGAACTAACTCCAGAAAAACTCTGGTTTTCCCAACACCGCCGAGGGCAGCTCCACCTGGTGCTGGAATTTGGAAGCGCTACACTTCAAGCGCTTCGGCCTCCTTGTAGCGACCAACGAATTCCTTGGGGCGATGGAATGGAACGAGCCAAAGCGGATCGGACTTCTGGTAAAATATAAGCGGCTCTCTAAACTGGAAAACCCAATGGACCATAAGAGAACAGCTAACCTTCTACAATCTTTTCTCTGGGGTTCCACTCCGTCAAAAAGCCTTTCATGCCAGCTGTCGTCGTTGCTGCCGCGAAGTACTGCCATTGGTCGTTCTTGTTCCTATCAGCATAATCGCCGACCCCTTTGATCACGATGCTCGGAAAGCGGTCCCAGATGCCAGTGCCCTCCCTTTCAAGAGCAATGATATTGTCAGTGGCTGCAACTCGGTCATGATCTTCCGCAGATTTCATAACTGTGTCTGCTGATCCCATCCTCCCAAAATGGACCCACGGTATCCAATCCTAGTGGTTAAGGTTCTCGGTCCGATGGACAAGGTATTTTTCCTTGAAGCCGAGACTTTTACAAGTTGTGTCGAGGGCTTTCTGACAGATCTTTTTCTGGCCTTCCGCACAGGTGCAGGCAACCTTTTTTTTTTTTAATTTGGAACTTGTAGTGCTTGGTGAAGGTAGCTAGGGTAATATAACGTATCAGTTTCCCAGGGCTGGGGACTTTGCTTCAGACAAACTGTTGCGATATTGAGCTGTCTTTAGTTGTGCGAGTATCGATCGGATCTCCAGGCTTTGGTCCACCTGCATTATCCTATCACCCCTGTTGTGGAGGCATTACGATCAGTCGGCGCTTTCCGATATCGTGTACCTTCACCTCTCCTGGCTTTGTCGAAAAGACATTGTACACATTCCGCTTCTATGGGTCGGCACATACGATGGCGATTTCGAAACCGCTCCGATCTTGGGAGGAGAGGGAGACTTCATTCTCATGGGAGGAAGTTGCAGCCAGCAAGGTCTGAAGCTTGGTATACTCGGCTATTATCGACCATTCCGATATCCCACAGTCTCTCAGGATTGGGGGGAAGAAGACCATTCTGAATACTGATCGAATTGAATAGTCAAGTTCGGTAGTGTTTCGATGAAGGGCGAAGTTTGAATATCGCTAGGCCATATTTGTTTCCCCACATTGGGCGGCTAGCCTAGCGAATAGATCGAAAGTGCTCCCTCAATAACCTTTTACTATATTCCATCCATGACTCATCGTAGCTCTCTATAAATCAGGAATGGCGGTTCTCCTCGATGCCCTCAGGCTTCTCCTCGTCTAAAACCTTATTGCCCAGGTCACACTGTTGGACGCAGAAGCGGATATTTGAAAGGGGGTATGAACCCGTCAAACTGAGTATGCCAAGGGGATATGTATGGAATGTTCCGTCTATCTAGCAACTGGTCCTGCCATGTTGCTGGTAATTATACGTTTGGTTGACGCCTTTTCTTCTCCTATTCCTACCCCTATATCCCAAAAAAGGGGCACTGACTACTTGTCCAATAGTTCAACAGGACCTAAAGAATAACAGCGATGCATTCAGCTACAGCATCGACTGGCTGCTTTTTGAGGAGCCCACCAGATATATACTCCTCAGATTGATCAAAGAATACCACTTGCTGGCTTACTAATGTCTCGGCATCCTCTTGAGTGTTCGAAAGCACCCAGGTAAGGACATTAGGTAAGTCCCAGTTGTACCCCTTGGCACATCTCCCTTTCTTGAGGCCCCCCCCC